GAAGCTCAAGGAGGACAATCCTTATGGCTTCGATGTCGTCGTCGAAGCTACTGGAGTCGAAAAGCTGGCGAACGAGAGCATTAACTATGTCAGGAGGGGTGGAACGTTGATGATATATGGCGTTTATGAGAACAAGGCTCTTGTCCACTGGCCGCCTTCCAAGGTCCGTCTCATTATTCATAGACTCTTATGCCAGTACTCATCAATTTTCAATGCAGATCTTCGGAGATGAAATCAAGGTATGAATCTCCTGTTCCAAAGAATATCTATCCGTCTCATAGCGTTCTTACCATCTAGATCATTGGATCCTTCTCGCAGACGTTCTGCTTCCCGCGTGCAGTCGCCTACCTCGATTCGGGCAAGATCAACGTCAAGGGAATGGTCACGGACATCTTCAAGCTCGAAGACTATCAGGCGGCCCTCGATAAAATGAACAGCAGGACTGCTCTCAAGATTGCAATCAAGCCGTAGACGCCTCCTAGGCGGTCTTCCCAAGTTTCTGTCACCATTCCCAAGCGTTGTAGATGTAGATGATACCGCCCAATATGTAAGCATACATTATTGTTATGTTACCCCATGTACATGTACGACTACTTCACCCAGTCTGCTCTCCGTCATCATAATTATGGCAGCTTGAATCTGGCTCGTAAATTCTCACATTAAGGGCCTCGACAACAAACACCCCAGACCAATGCTCTAACAATATAAACTTGTTACCCAAGAACTTCCTACTCGCTATCAGCGAGTTCAAGTGCGTGCTCTTTCCCAAAAGACGAACTTCGACATAAGTCGCCTACGACATGGGGCCCTTGAGGCTGTTTCGAAAGGTCGGGTTGTAGAAGGGCGGCACTTCTTTTCTAGCTGGCGGCGATTGGGTGATACCTTGTTTCGATGCATCATCCAGTCAAAGCTCGTGCACATGACCATAAACAGCGATCATTTCCGATTCAGGATACATGTCTCAGCGCACACGGCGCCATTCGTTCTTCATATTATTGCTATGTAATCAAGATGAAATCGACGAATATAGGTGAAACGGGATCCCGTTCTAATAACTAGTATTCCTCACTCCAGGATATATATGACAGCAAGAAAATATCCCACAGGCCCCGACGCAAATTAAAACAGCACCAATCATTGTAATCAGTAAAATGAACTTCTTGGTTCGACGCCGACATTACTAGTCGTCCGTCTCGATAACCTCGCTAGGACCACTTTTGACGCGCTTCAAGCACCTGGCCTTGAACCGCGAGTACTCGTCATCAAAGTCCTCGATCATAATTACCTCAGAGAGGCTATTGAATTCCCTCTTCTTTGCACTCACTGGGGTGACCGCTAGAGCCGAAGAGTGAGTGGAATCGTCTTCTGCATCCGAGCTATCTGTAATTTCCACCACTTCTGACTTGGGTGCTAGCAATTTACCTCAAGAACTAGGGTCATTGGCGGAGTTTGTTGGGCTTGGGACCTACCACGGGCGCCTTTCTTCTCTGGAGGAAGGCGGAGGTGACTTGATGGGCCATACTGGGTCGTAATCGGAAGTTGTACGTGTAACGTGGTTGCATTTCCCTGCTGCTCGCAATTGGGAAGCCGGTAGATTCATTGACTATTTTAGAGACGATAATAACGGCCATCATGAAACACAATGAAATGGAAAGAGCGAAGTGTGCAGGTGAAGGTTGCCTCTATAAAAAATATTGACTCGATTTGAGGACACCGGAAAATAGGTCTGCCTAGGTCTGTCCTTACCAGTAGAAAAAGTTTTTCTTGGCCTGTCCCTTTGTCTCCACCCAGCAGTAAGAATTCCAAGCTACGCAAAAGGTTAGGACGGCGGCAATCCGGGCCGTCCCAAAACTTCGCATCAATTCGCGATCGGCAAAACCACGCGTCAACCGTATGTATGTAACCACCACCTTCGTACATCAAGTTCTGGGCCAACTTCTGGCGATTTTGCCTCCTTTCTTTCTATTCCGCGTGCGACCTTGAGGCTGCCACAAATTATGGGCACTCAATCCGGAGGAGATGTGTTACTGGCCCAAGTTGAGGATGAGCTGACATTCACCGCAACGAGTGCGGTGAAGGAAATTGCCTTTGGAAGCGTATGTCAACGTCCAAACTCATTATACTCTGCACTGACAACATTTCAGGTTGCTGGGATGGTTGCTGAGGTGTTTGAATACCCGTTTGATTTGGCCAAAGTTCGGTTGCAAGCACAGTTATTGACCCCAGCATCGGCGCATACAAAGCACTTCAATGGCCCTCTGCATTGTCTTATGCAAACATGGAAGGAAGAGGGGGTGAGGGGACTGTATCGGGTGAGTTGTTCAACTTACAGTTGTGCACATAAGGCTGAGACGAATTCTGTAACTAGGGATTGCCAGCACCGATGGTTGGAGCCATGGCGGAAACCGCTGCACTTTTTCTCGCATATACGGAATTCCAGAATGTCATCCGAAAGTTGTCACCGCCCACGTCGTCAACAGATGGCCGGAATTTGAAGCCCCCACCTCTGTCTATCACCCAACTCGGACTTGCATCTGCTGGAGCTGGTTTCGTGACGAGCTTCGTCTTGTGCGTGATTCCCCAATTTTTCACGATTTTCAATCAACAAAAATTGTCCTCAGGACGCCAATAGAGCTCGTGAAATGCAAGATGCAGGTCCAAATGATGAACTTTAAGCCCATTATTCCCCCTTCAACATCACCAGGACGTATTCCTCATCGATCATCATCCTCTTTGCCCGACGCCGCAAGACATATTTCCTCCTCTTCTGTCGCCTCCAAATATCCAAAGCGTTTTACCCATAATGCCACTTCTCGAACGGCAGAAGCAATCTCCTCTCCGAGTAAACCTCCAGGTCCTATAGCCCTCACACGTTCCATTGTCGACGAGTACGGCTTTCGTGGCCTCTGGTTAGGCCACACTGGGACCCTCCTCCGTGAAACAGGTGGTTGCGCTGCTTGGTTCGTCTGCAAAGAATATGTTGCGCGCAAGCTTGTTGAACAGCGAATCCGTCGAATGCCTGCTGCAAGCACGGACCTGCTTGCCTGGGAGTCCGCCTTCTCCGGCGCTGTCGCGGGCGCCGTCGGTGCTCTACTCTTCTACCCTGCCGACACCGTCAAGAGTGCGATTCAGACGGAGGACGAACTGCGGCCTCGTGGTTCTCTGCTGCGCAAGAACAAGCAGAGCACATTCCTCGGGACGTTCAGGAAGATGTGGGTGAAGCATGGGGTCAGGGGGCTGTACGCTGGCTGTGGGATGACGGTTGCGCGTGCGGTTCCGAGCAGTGGGATCATCTTCGTGGTTTATGATGGTCTTTCGTCGTGGTTTGCCTAGAGGACAATTTCACGAAATGGTGATTTAGCGTTGCGGAAATATCCTTAGATTACTTCCCTCCCTAGACGTGTAGATATATGCCACTTGTAATATGTAGTTGTAGGAACCGGTAGCACGTTCAAACCCCCTACTTAGGAACTTTGGGATTTGAATCGCGGGCCGGAAACCGCCAAAATCATCTCTGCCTCCGACCATCACTGGACGCGACGCAAGGGCTAGTTGCTGAGCACCTCGACCACGCGAATGTCCGCGCGTGTCTCATCATCATGGATGCCGTTCCGGTGTGCACTTCGTAGACAGGCACTGTCCCGGTATTTCTCGGGCACCACCCCATATGCGAGCGCGGAGATGGCCAAGCTCGACAACAAGGCGTTTTCGGCTACTTTGCTCCTTCCAAAGACTCCTTTTAAGCTAAGACAGGATTTGAAAGAGGTTGAGACCAAGTACGAGAAGCTGACGTGTGAGGACTTGTATCGGTGGCAAGTGAGTCGCGTTCTTCATCATATTTGACGGGGCTGAGTTGCTGTAGTGGGAGAACGCGAAGGGCCCGCTGTTCGTTCTCCATGATGGACCACCATATGCCAACGGAGATTTGCATATGGGTGTGTTGCGAAGTTTATCTTTCATCTGGCTTTAATTGAACGCTTGTTCGGCGCTTTCAGGACACGCCTTGAACAAAGTGATAAAGGACATCATCAACCGTTTTCACGTCACTCAAGGCCGCAAAGTCCAGTTCGTCAAAATTTCTAGCTGCTTGATTAACAGCAGCTAAGAATGACGCGTTAGTTATGTACCAGGATGGGATTGCCATGGACTGCCGATCGAGAATAAGGCAATGAAGGATATGAAAGTGCGTACATATCCTCATTCCATTCTTTGTCTAATGGATCTTCCAGCGTAATCCGCTGGAAACGCCTCCCTCGATAATTCGAGAAGGAGCCAAGGCAACTGCTCTTCGGGAGATCGACTCTCAACGGGAACAGTTTCGCCCGTTGGCGGTCATGGCCGATTGGTACTCAAGCGAGCGGACTTATCGAACCTTGGGTATGTGCGTCAACCTTTGCCTTACTTGATAATGAGCCTTCAGTGCTGATCAGCGTTCAGACCGACATTATGAGATGCGACAACTAAGGATATTCCAGCAGATGGTTGCCAATGGTTGGCAATTTTTTGTTCTCAGTGAAAAGACTTTGCGATTGACATTGAATTCCAGGGCTAATCTATCGTCAACACCGTCCTGTTCACTACTCTCCGTCGTCACGTTCTGCACTGGCTGAAGCAGAATTGGAATATAAAGACGACCACGTCTCTCATTCTGTGTATGTCGGGTTCGATTTGGATGTGCGGAGCCTCAAGCTTTCCGACTCTGTTGCTCAAGAGCATTTGAATTCTGCGCCTAAGGTTCAACTTTTGGTCTGGACGACAACTCCTTGGACACTGACAGCACATATGGTAAGTTTTGACGATCATCATGGGCTAGTTAGCTGATGAATATTTATCAGGGTATCGCTGTGCACCGAACGTTGCCTTACCATATGGTCAGACTCGATGAAGGAGAAAACGATGGAACAATCGTCTTCATGACGGACATCCAGCCCGAGACACTTGAGAAGCTCTTAGGACGGCACACCGTTCTTGGAGCGATTACCGGTAAGCAATGCCTCCTCAAGTTTGAGTACCGCTACGGATTATTCTTATGCACGACTTAGGTGATGGCTTGATCGGGACAACGTACAAACATATCTTTCCGGGATCTACCAAGAGCTTCAAGGTCATCCACGCACCTCACGTCACCAACGAAACCGGAACAGGTCTCGTCCACTGTGCGGCGGCACATGGAGCTGAGGACTACAGCGCCTTCCGTTCCTTGGGCCTCCTCAATCCCTCCAATACCGACGACCTTGTCTGTCATGTCGACGGCAAAGGGCAATTCACGCCTGACGTTGCCGACGTCGTGGGCCAGGAATATGGGAAGAGACTGACCGGCAAAGAGGTTCTGGGTGATGGCAACAAGGAATTAGTCATGATTCTCAAGGAATTAGGCAAGGTCTACAAGGTTCAGCGAATCAAGCATCGGTATCCTTATGATTGGAAAACGAATGAGCCTATCATTGTTACGTAGGGACATTTCTTGGATTTTCTACGTATATAATCGCTGACGATGCCAAAGAGCAACCTCTCAGTGGTTTGCTAACCTAGACAAGATCAAGGACGATGCTCTCAAGGCACTGAAGTCTGTATCTTTCTTCCCAGATGTTTGTCAGTGTCGTACCCTTCGTCAATTTGATCTACTCTCACCAGAATTTTCCGCAGCTCGCAATCGTCTCGAAGCGTTCGTTCAATCTCGGTCAGAATGGTGCATATCTAGACAACGTGTCTGGGGTGTACCCATCCCAGCTCTGCACCACAAGGAAACAGGACGCGCTGTCCTTGATGCATGTACCCTCGATTTCATCCTGAATGCCATGGAATCCAAGAACCTTGACTGGTGGGACGCGCCTATCGAGCACTTCGTCCCGCCTTGGCTTTTGGAGGAGGGCAAGACCGCTGCAGAGACATGGGAGAAAGGTCGTGATACGATGGATGTGTGGTTTGACAGCGGCTCCTCGTGGTCAATGCTTGCAGAGATGGGTGTTGGCCGTACAAGTGAGAAAGGCAGGAAGTTCGATGCTGATCTCTGCCTAGAGGGGTCGGACCAGCATCGCGGATGGTTCCAAAGTCAGCTGCTGACAGCTGTAGGGTCAAGAGATGCTAGTGCTGGAGGTGATGCGACAAGCCCTTATGGTGCTTTGATCACGCATGGCATGGTCCTGGACGAGAAGGGCAAGAAGATGAGCAAGTCGTTGGGCAATATCGTTAGTCCGATGTCGATTGTTCGAGGATCTCCGGTTTGTTTCAGTGTCGTTAAGCCCCTCTTACAAAACTAACCAAATTTTAGAATGGCAAGAAGGAACCAGCCTGTGGCGCGGACGTGCTGAGGCTCTGGGCTGGTACTGTCGAATACTGGAGAGACATGGCTATTGGTCCAACAGTTATCGCACAAGCAGTTGAGTCCTTACGCAAGCTAAGAAACACCGCTAGGTTTTGCCTTGGAAATATGGGCGATGCAGAGAGGATGGCGAATATGGCGAGAGTACCGAGAGACGAGATGGGCTTGGTGAGGTTCTTTCTTTTCTGGTGTCGTCATAATGCGACGCTGATGGACTTGCAGGTCGAAAGATATGTTATGAATGAATTGTATAATTTGGAACAGATTGCATTAGATGGCTATGCTACCTATAATTTCCCAAAAGGCATGTCATCTGTTTTTCTGGAGACGTTGGCTAATTACCTTCTCAGTCATCAATGCCCTCAATAATTTTGCCAACATCACGATGTCGTCGCTCTACTTCGATATAACCAAGGATAACCTTTATGCTAATGCCATTGAGAGCCAGGAGCGCAGGGCCGTTGTAACAGTGTTGGAAAAGGTACCCTTTTGTATTTTATTTTCTCTCCGTGCTTTCAGCTCAACAAGTCTTCGTTTTCTCAGGTCTTGGGTACCATGACGAACATTATGTCCCCAGTCTTGCCATATCTCTCAGAAGAAATCCATGATACCTGGAAAGGTGACGGAAAATCTGTCTTCATGACGTCTTGGGTACCTCTGGTGAGCACTCGTCGCTCTTCAGATCGGGTCGATGTCTGACGCCGGGTATAGAGTGCGGAATGGAAAGATCGTCAAGCCTCCGAAGACATGGCCAATCTGCTTCACGTTCGTGGAATAGTCCTTGCACTATTGGAGAAGGCTCGGACGGCCAAGTGCGTTATTCGACGAGTATCTTTCTTAGACTGGACTCTGACTGCTGGTTCAGGGAGATCAAAAGTGCTCTGGAAGCTGAGGTGGATATCATTGTTCCCGATGGCGTTTCTGAAAATGCCTTCGTCAATACCTTAACGCGTGAAGGTAGCATCTTTTTCTCTCATGATCCCGACGCCATGCCGATCGCCTTCTTTCTGCAGAGAATTTCCTGAAGACACTGTTCATTGTTTCTGATGCTTCAATCATGGATGAAGGCTCACTAGGCACAACCTCACCGGAGTGGCTGTACTCAGAGACAGTCTCGGTCCCAGGTAATTCTGAAGTCATTTATTCCTTTGAGTATTCCCTGAATCGCGATGTAGGTTCAGATGATGATATCGCCATCCGTGTCCGTCCTGCCACTCTCCACAAATGTCCACGTTGTTGGACCTATACCCGTCCTGAAGACGATGTTCTCTGTGGACGGTGTAAAGACGTTGTAGGGCCACATCTCAGGCATGCATAAACTATGTACAACCCAACGAACCTGCTATTCACCCTTCTCATAACGTGCATTAACAATTTAGATATAGGATCCATCGAAATTCAGGGCGAGTAACTTTTCGACAGCAAGTTCGTCGGGATATCGATCGACCATAGCATTGTACAGTTCCCAAAAGATGTAACGCCTTGGGAAATGTTGCGGGAAGAGACCAGTAATGAGGAATGTGCGAGTGTGTTCCCAGTATTCCGGAAACAATCCTGCAAACTCCCAGTCAATGATGGCTATAATGCATCCATCTTTCCAGAGGATATTGTGGGGTCCAAGATCTCCATGTGCGAATGCCATTTTCCGCTTCCGCCCTTTAACCCTGGTGTAAGCTTCAGCAGTACCTTCATATTTGTCAAGATTTCTCTTGACATAACCTCTGTAAGAAAAATCACCAAAATCTTCATGAGACTCGAAGGGGCCCCATTCCTCCGTATGTATTCGAATGTCCGTCAGCCTGCGACCATCCACAGCCTGGACTTTTCCTGGTTCGGGCGATTGAAGGGACCGGAGTTGGTCCATGTATCCCTTCAGTTGGACCATAGCCATAGCATCCTTTCGCTGGTCCTCCGCCAGAAGGTGCCACACATCCTCAAGTACATCGCCGTCGATGAACTCCTGAACGAGTTGAAGACGGCCATCGATCGCCCGAAACATGTCAAGAACTCTACGGTCCGGGATGGTTGTGTTTCGGGTGACGAACTCCATTGTGAGCGCCTCAGTGAGGCGCAACCCGAACGACACTTGACGAACCTCTTACAAACGTATCGGTAACCGGAGGGAAATTTCTGTTCGAAGGGCGGAAGACTAGTAAGGAGTTTAAACTTGAATAGCTCGAAACCGCGCAATGTTCTAATTGGCTGAATCGAATGTGTTGGACTTGACCTGCAAGAGAAGCGTTGGTGAACGAACCTTCATAGAATAATAAAAGCCTACGAATTTGGAAGTCACGTTTTCCAACCCAGGACGCCAGGAGGTCATGGCAGAACTTGGGGGCAACCAGAGACCGAGAGACTTGGAGCAATGCCTATTACATAACTCGACATCTTTCTCGCGGTTTGACCCCAACTGGAACTACCCGATGGTATGTTGGTCTTTCTCCTCGTGTTGCTTCATCATCCTGAACACAAGGGATTCTAACGGAGAATCAGAAATGCCCAACTGGAGTAGAGTAAAGCGATATTTTACCAATATGGTATTCGCATCATTTGAGTCCACAGCTCGAAACTGTGGCCACTTTTGTTGCCATTTTGACGAGCCATTATGTCCACTTCAGCCACAGACTTATTTAGGGGCGCATCTTGCCTTCACAGATAGCAGATCAGACTGAGTAATTGTGCAATGCAAAGGCACTTACATCGGTTATAGGCCTTTGGCCAGGCTGACCAATATGACTCGGCGAAAGCGGAATCAAATCGATGAGCTCAGTCAACTTACAATATGTAGAAGCCATCGAAATTGGCTGCCAGAAGTTGTTCGATAGCAAGTTCATCTGGGTAACGATCAACCACGCTATCAAATAACCTCCAGAAACTGCAACGATTTTCGTCTTGAGGGAAAAGGCCAGTTGCAAGAAACGTGCGGGTGTACTCCCAATATTCTGGAAACCACCCCGCATATTCCCAGTCAATGACACTTACGATGCGCCCGTCCTTCCAGAGGATATTGTGAGGGCCAAGGTCTCCGTGAGAAAAGACAGTGTTCCATGTCCGCTCTTCGACTTTGGCGTAAAGTGCAGCAGCTCCTGGATATTTGTCGAGATTTTTCTTGACAGCGCCTCTGAAAGAAAATTCGCCGAAGTCGATGTTGGATATGAAAGGGCCCCATGAGCGCGACCTGCTGATCCGGGGGTCATTTAATGGGCCACCGTCGACAGCTTGGACTCTGCCAGGCTGAGGCGGTTGGAGTGATCGAAGTTGGTCCATGAATCCTTTGAGCTGCAGAACAGCATCATGCCGCTGCTCTTCGGTCATCTTCGGCCAGACGTCCTCCAATACATCACCCTCGACGTACTCTTGGACAAGGTGCCGGTAGCCCTTGATTTCGAAGAAGTCAAGGACGCGTGGAACTGGTATAGTGGTGTTTCTTGCAACAAACTCCATGGAGAGTGCTTCTGTCAATCGAACTTCCCTGTGGCATTTTATGAACTTTGTCGTGGTGTATCTGTAGCCCGAAGAGAGAATGTGCGGGCGTCTTGTGATTGGGAGCCGTAAACGGAGCTTATGCCTGATCAGCTCCATTCCATTTAGTGTTCGAATTGGAGTGCAGGCCCATGCAGGTTGTTCATGGGACGAATCCGGCCTGTTTAATAGAACATTTAAGTTGAGCTGAGTAACAACAAGACATCAATATATTCAACGTACATGAAAAAGTCTGCCTTTCAGTAGGTGGTTGTGGCTCAAGCTCAAGAGTCAAGCTTCAAGCTTCATGAGGCGTCGGACGCTGAGTTCGAGCTCCGCAAATCAGGCTCTCACAGCGGTTCTGATCATACCACCACCTATGGGCGCCAGCTTTCTGACGCTTGGAGGCTCCTAAGAGGTACCTGACAGCGTGCTCGGTGCGCAACGGCCATTATAGCCTGCATAGTGGAAGCCGCTCTCGACGCGACCTTATTTCTCTTTGTTTTCTGATTTTAGCTTCCATAGCTGCCGGTCGCGAAAAGAGTGTGGTTCTCATCGGTCTTTCCCTCAGGGCATTCGACCCGTCCTTGTATTTCGGGTCAGTTCTTCTTATTCAAATAACTGGTACTTGAGATATCTTGGTACTTAGCCGACCTCTATCGATCATCGTCCGCCGATTTGGACAAAACAACGTATTCCGACGTCAACTTTTCAGTCTGGAATCTTCAATTGTTCCGAGACCCTTGCAGTCATAAAGAGCGGACGTTCTTCTCTGTTCACCTCGTGCACTTCTTCCAACGAGCCCTCAGCCTCACACTAATCCGCGGGAGAATCTCCATCATTCCCGCCGAACGGAAGTTCCCAACGACACCTCTATTCCGACTTCGGCCGCAGAGCATGTTTTCCAAGAATCGCCGTCGCCTCTATATCGCTTTCTACGTTCGCTCAATCAGAAATCCAGACGACGTGAAATTCCACACCAGCCTTCTCGTCATGCAGAAGTGTCCGGATATAGGGAGTATGGAGCGCAATACCTTGAAACTGGACGCCGTGAATGACATCACGGAAGACGGCGTGGAATACTGGAAGTACAACTATTCCAAGGTCAACACCCGGACCCTCCGCTTGGCGGGTCTTCAACTTCTGGCGAAAATTGACGATGATATAAAGGACGAAACTTTGAATGAGCTCCTTCAACAAGTTTACGTTTCTCCAAACGCGGACGATATCAACTGGCGTTGTCATAATTGGGTCTGGGAAGCCGTCGAGGTGTGTCCTTGCTGATTTTAGCTTTTGTTTGAACATTATCGACTCATGCTGTCAAGCAGCTCCTGGTGGCAAATGATATAGTTCCTCCCCTTCCGGATGGAATGACAGCACGAGACGTCTGGCAAGCAAGCTACAGTCGTCTGGAGAACGACGATTTCAACAACATGCTCCAAGACCCCGTCCGGACCTTTGATATGCGTGGTAAAATAACTAAGAGTGAAATCGGGGCGATCGACAAATAATCAGCGTTAGTACCCATTAAACGTTCTCCTACAGATTCCTGCCTCGGTTTCTTGGAACAATTCAGTGTATTCGGAGCGCAACAACTCGTTCCTTTTGGAAGAGGAAAGATCACCTCTGTCCTGACGGGTACGAGCCCACCTGTCATATTCCCAGAAATCCCTGTAATGTACGTAGAATAATTCCACATTACGAAGCCGCATAAAAACAGTCCTGAAATGAGGAAGTAGAAGTGATGCCGCACAAAGGGCATAAATCGATCGTGATGGGGGAATATTAAATAACATGCCAGAAAGCACCTCTCAAAGGTCTGGGCGGCAACATCATGCCATATTCGCTAACAGGAAATCCAATTGCAGTTTCGCAGCTCTGCAGCGTAACCTAAAAAATAGTATTGTTGTTCTATTTTTAGTAGTTGAGGACTGTGGCGCACCCTCTTTCCTAAGCCCAGGGGCCGACATGGCGATCTTTCGTCTTCACAGACAGGACACCTTTTCGGTCCAGCCACTCAAATTTTTCGCGAAGGATTACTTCTAGTTCATGACCCTTTGTTCGCCCTTGGAATCGCAGGACTTTGAGATTTCGGAATTTTGGGTGATTCAAGGCCCGCGCAATCCAGTGCCAAGGAACGGCATCAAGGTCTGCACCATCATCCAGGAGGAAGTAGAAGTTAATTTTGATTAATGAGGAAGCGGGAAGCTGTTTGAAAAGCCTCTCCATCCGAGCGCCAGCGACGATGAGGTCGAAGTGGCTGATCGTCAACGTTTGGAGGTTCATCCATCGAGAGACGTCGGCTTTTGACGAATAGAAAACATGAGTGCACGTATAGTAGATTTCAAAGGAGAAAACCTACCTCCGTCGAGCCAATGCCACCCAAAAAGTCTGGCTATTTTTAATTCAGGGCCAAGCGCCTGTAGGAGTCCTCTACTTGCGTCTCTTAAGGATTCATCGGCGTTTTCGGAGCCACCAAGGGAGAGTGTCGTGATCTTTGGGAGTACAGGAGTATTTTGAATCCATTCAAAGAAGAGATGCGGCCTTTCGGCGACCACCTCCAAACGAGACAGTCGTGGGGGCAGACGGAGGGAAGGGAAGGCTTGAGGAGTCTTTCGAGCGCTTTCCCATCCCCAGCATCTACGGTTCTGCACCAACAAGGCGCGAAGGGACCTTGGGGCACATATAACTGAAAGAAACTCCTCGAATGCGCCGAAGACGCAAGCATCGAGCTCGAGGTGCGTTAGAAGCTTGAAGGAGCGGATCTGAATGATAAAGACATCGGCGTCGACCGGACCAGGGTACGGTGACTCATACTGTGTCGTCAACTTCAGGAAATTGAGACTTCTGCATGCAACCGCGACGATACCGAGGCTGTCGCGAAGATGCACTTGCTGGGACTTGTGCTGAAAGATAGCATCGTGATCGGCGAGAACTGGGCCTTTGGGGTTGGCACGGCGAAGCTCGTCGATCTGAAGATGCAAACCACGAACATACGGGCCGATTGTGCGTATGGGAGACGAGAGGACGCCAACAACTCTCTCGACATTTGCGGCGTGGAGGCAGAAATAGATGTTCTTCGGCAACAGGTGAAGGCGGGCGCGGGGAAGCCAGGCTCTGGAGACTACTGTCAGATTCCGCAGCGTAACTTTGTCTGAGTGAAGGAAGTCGATGATAGTATCGATCAGCTCCTGCGGTAGCTCGTCGTGGATAGATGGTTGCTGAATCTCGTCCGTACTGTTCGATTGACGGGTTAAGGAGGATGATTGGCGATTGGGTAGTGATTTTGAAGGATTGGCACTGGCGTAACGGCGAATTGGTTTGAGAATGGACTTTGGAGGGTACGGACGGGCGCCTAAGACGGACATTGGGGTGGATGAACAAGAAAGGGCGGTACCGCAGGGTCATCTGTACCACCAAATAAGTACTGAACATTGTCCTTATATGATTATCATCCAGGGAGGTATCCCACACAGATCAACATTTGACTCCAACGATGGTCGCGCGTAGTTACATACCTAAAAGATCAACATCAATCATCGATCCAGACCAACTCACAATTTAATGTGTGCCCAGGTCATCACCGTATGTTGGTTGACGGAGACTGAAGATCCTGAGCGCCGGTAACGAGGACCATGAGCCACAGAAACGAAGTCGCCCATTCTGAATCTACTCTACTACGTACGCAACCTCTGCCCGAACCTAAAACTACGTCGCGAAGGGATCCCACGGAACGGATTTAGTACGAGCGCCCAAACAAGGTCCAGTGCTTCGCGTCCTTATTGCACGCCGGGCACTTGGTCTTGCCCAGCTCGATTGGAGTCCAACGTGAGTGGTCGAACGGAATGCAGAGCGATTTGGCACCAGCAGACGGCGCACGCTCATCCTGAGGTTCAGCACTACATGAATAGGCATCAGTGAGCTACAAGAAAAGCAGAAACAACGGACAACGATACTTACGCTCTTCCACTGCGTTCCTTGATGTCGTCTTCGCACGTCTCGGAATCACACCAGGGAATAGCCACAATGCACTTGTTGTCCAGAGCCGGGACGAAGTCCTCCCACTTGGTCACTTCCACGACACGCGCGTCGTACTGATCCTTGGCCCGTGTGAAAAGGTCGCTCTGGATGGTCTTGAGGAGCGCATCGACGGTTTGACCGATGTTGGCGAGCGGGATGGGGTTCTTGACGCCGTTATCACGACGAACTGAGAGCGTTTGTTGCTTGGCGAGGTCGTTAGGTCCAATTTCGAGACGAAGGGAGACACCCTATACAATTTGTAATTAACTGAGACTCGAAAGAAGGTGAAAAAAGAAGGCACCTTCTGTTCCCAGTCATTGAACTTGTATCCTGGGGTGTAACCTTCGCGCAAATCAGCCTTGGCCCTAATGCCTGACTTCTTCAGCGTCTTCGCGAGGTCCTCGCAGGCGTTGTTGATCTGAGTCCTCTGCTCATCTGTCGTCTTCGCGGTGATACCGCAAGGAACGATGACGGCTTGAATGCTCGCTACGCGCGGAGGAAGCACCAACCCCTGGTTGTCGCCGTGCACCATGACCATCACACCAATCGCACGCGTCGACAGACCCCATGAATTCTGCCAGACGTACGACTTCGACCCATCGTTTGGGTCCTCGACGAAGATGTTGAACATCTCCGGACGGGAGAAGTTCTGGCCCAAGCAGTGCGACGTTGCGGCCTGGATACCGCGCCCGGATGTTGGTATGTAGCCCTCGAGCGTGGTCGTGTATAACCCTCCAGCGAACTTCTCCTTCTCCGACTTGATACCAGGGATGACCGGCACCGCGAGGAGGTCCTCGTACACCTGGCGGTACAAGTCAAGGATCTGCCGGACTTCGACGTCCGCTTCAGCCTTGGTAAGGTGCGCAGTATGGCCCTCTTGCCACAGGAATTCACGGGTACGCAGGAATGGTTGCGGGTTCTTGAACTCCCATCGCACTACGCTGTTCCATTGGTTGAGCTTCAACGGGAGGTCGCGGTGGCTGCGAATCCATTTGGCATAATCTGCGGAGCGTTAGAGGGTATATGTTGGGGAAAAGGACCACTTACAAGGATACATGGCCGTTTCTGATGTCGGGCGGATGGCAATGGGCTCTTCGAGATCGGAGGACCCACTGCTTCAATCAGCGTCATGCTGAAAAACAAAGAATTAGAACGCACGCTCTTGTGACCCACGCGACCTCCGGAGAGAATCCCTCGATGTGGTTCTTCTCTCGTTCCAGCACCGACTGCGAGACGAACATGGGGAAGTACGAGTTCTGGACGCCGAGTTCCTTGATCTCAGTGTTGAACCAGCCTGAAAGTGGGAGTCAACATCGAAGGCAAGGCAAAGGATATGCTCGAAGCAGGATAGGAGGCAACCACCGTGCGTGTTGGAACCGGAGGGATAAGAGGAAGGCCCCACTGTCTCTCCGGGTCATCGCCACTGTGATATTTACCGATTGTGCAGCGGGTCTTTCCAGCAACGACAGGGTAAGATGTTGTACTTACTTTGAATCTCCTCCCAGATGCTATACGACCATGGCTTGAGGATGTAGCAGCCACTAACGCTGTAGTAGTCGAGCATGTCTGCTTTGATCAATACCTATCAGGACATTAGCTTCGTCTCCTGAAGGAAAGGCAATTCACTCACGTTGGTGTACCACGTCGGGAAATCTAGCTCCTTCTTGACACCAATGGCGATCTGAACAGCACCCTCGATCTTTGCATCCTCCTTCTCCTTCGCCGCAGATTTCGATGCTGAGGCAGCAGCAACAGGAGCGGTTGCGAGGGCTTGGAAGTCGAGCTCTTGGACCTTGACATCGGCGGTCTCGAGCCTCTTGAGAAACAATTGGATGTCCTTTCCGGAGAGGAAGACAGTCTCGCTGGACGAGTTGGCGTGAATGGCGAAGGTAGAAGATGATGAGGCGATCGATGGGTCCAGGACAGTCAGTACGCGTGAAAAGTTGGATTCGCTAAGTGAGAGAGGCGATACTATTGTTCTGCCCTCAGATATGACTCGTTACGATCTGGGAACACATACCAGAGTTTTTGTCGAGTGAGAAGAATTCTGTGAGGAGATCTTCCGACGCGAGACGAAGCTCCTTCAGATTGAGCTTCTTGCCAATCGCGCCCGAGTTCGTCTCCGTCTCCTCGCGCGCAATGACAACGACTGGGACGGGGGTGGCCGTTTTCGCGGTTTTCGGCTTGTAGACCAGGGTTTTGACGAGTTCAAACGAGGCCGGCGCTGACCCCGACGCGGTCAAGGCGTCCTTCCACGCCCCAGGAGAGCTTGTCTCGGCATGGCTGATGGTCGTAGAGGGCTTTATGGAGAGTTTCTCGAGCTTCTGAACGAGGTCGCTCGTCGCCATGTTGTGCGTCGTATATGGACGGAAGAAAGAAATTTGGTGTGACTCCGCTTGTCTTCTGACTCTTATCGATGCTATCGGATTTCGCCTTGCCTTCGCCAACGCGACCCGAGATATACGCGCCAGCTGAACAGCATGACGCTCTCTGAGCATGGAGAGCCCACGATGTCCAATGATGGTGGTGACGAAGCAAAACCACGGTCGTCGGTCGGTTAGATAAAAAACATGGTCTCCGCTGGCCCTATCAGTGACCTCGCCTTGATCTCTGACGTGTCGAACGGTCGGGACGTCGTGGAGCACCTTTGCATTACCTATGCATCTGGAACACCTCTGGAATCCGATACTTGGACGCAGGACGACTCGGCTTTTCCATGGGCTTTGTCGCTGACATCGGCGCGGCGAGGGGCTTCAACTTCGTGACATATAATCATTCCTAAACTAGTGGCTGTTGTCAGCATTCTCCAGGTTGTGGGGATCCGGGAAGAAGGGCACTAGGTTGGTACAGTTGTATCTCGCTTGCTCGTCACTTGCTCCAACTATCGAGGAACCCATGTAAGTTTCATATTTTCAAGTCGCGAGGCCGAGCCGAGTTTGTTTCATGGAGATTCCCCATGCGAGACAGAGATCGAGGCTTCGAACAACGGCAGTTGAACGCCGAGATATGAGAGTATAAGAAGGAAGAATCGATGGAGCACGGTCAGTAGTTCCCCAGACTAACCATCTCTTCGACGACCATGAAGTCCATTCTCAGTCTCGCCCTCGTCGCCCTCCTTCCGTGCATCAAGGCATCGTTCCCTGGAAGCACCTTCGGAATTGTCTACAACACCACTTCGTCTCTGATTCCCAGCGCCGGCCATCTCGCTGTCTTCCAAACCGAAACCAACCCTCCGGGAGCATTCTATACCACTATTTCGCCTACCACCCCCGACATTGGAGGGTATTTCACCGTAGCTGGCGTTAGCGGAGGAGTCTTGCACAATGCCTGCAGTGACATTGGCATTGCAGTCCTCGTTCCACCCAATCCACCAATCAATGGCCTGAAATACGTTTTACAGTGGACGCCAGGGCCGCTCAATAATTTACCCGAGGGTAGCCTGGTCCTTCCGTTCCAACTCGGGCCTGCCCCCACCTATGACACCATCGTCAACACTGATGTACGTCGGCCAGATTTTCTTCAATTCTTCTGCTGATTGCGATTCGTCTTTTTAGCCCCAGGCTAACCCTGGAACGTTCAAAGTTGTGCCGTTCGGGGGAGAAGCCTCTTACGTGGTGGGTTGGGCAGATGATGAAACTGATGGGTCAGCGATCACTCTTGTGAAGACTGGAACTCAAAATGTGCAATGTCCGTGAAGGAGAACTGAAACGAGAATGGATCTCTGAATCGTTGACATTGATTGGATTGCCACCCTTTCATGGAAAAACAAAAGCATTCTCGAACGGCACAGCTTTATGTTGTTTGCACTGGACATTTAATATGACAACTTTTGTTCCATATCCTCCATCTGTCGCCCATTTGACCACCTCCATATCATTTTTCAAGGGCAGGTGATGTCGTTGAACCCCCATATTCCTCAACCTGCGAAGGCGTTGGAAACAAAAGACGCTGTTCAAAAGATTAGACATTTTATTGAAATGTTCGTTCCCTACTTTGCACAGGAAGTTGACTTTGTAGTAAACACCGCTCCTCACACAGTCAAAGCCGATATCGTTCTGCTTATATGCCGGGCAGACCTTCCAGGACGTTGATTGGGATAATATTGCACAGGCACTGGATCGCAATTAACTCAAGCGGCTAGCTTGTCAAGGGACAATATCTGTGACTCCCCGAATTTCTTCGACGGGCTCCGAGTGTTCGCCAAGTCTCTCGGACAAAGGACATTGCTGCGGCTCCCGTATTTATTCCGAGTTCTTTACATTCATCGCCATAAATGTAGCTTTCTAGGTCGTAGCAGTCGGATTTGAGCTCATCGGCTACATCGAATTTATTTTGGCCTTCCTACAAAGCGGGTTGATTTATATCTCCTCCAAAGATCCATTTATTCTGGGACGATCTTACAATGCCTTGAAGGTTTTTTCTCTGTTTAGTGGTTCGGAAACCAGGCCGAGAATATCAATAGAGCCGAACGGCGACAAATTCTTGGTGAAACATCAGCACATCCTATCAGTAGGATCCTCACAATGCCTAACTCAATGCATATGAATTTTTTTGAAAGGTTTTCTGAAGAGGAAGCATCCGTGAGAGGCGCCTCAAGGAGTTTTGGGAAAGCAATTTATTTTAGATATATATAGATGAGTACACGTTGAAACTAATTGTGGGATCATGCCTTTGAGGAAATGGAAGACACGAAAGGAATGACTACTGTCGGTCTTGGATGTCCATTCTCGTTGAAAAATGGAAGTCGTTCCTTCCTTCATGCATATTTCTCTGACTTGAATTGCTTCAAATGATGCGATTCAGTCTCTATTATGTAGCCCAACCGAGTTAGCTTATCCGCCTTTCGCAGCTGTCACGCCACTGGTTCTCTTCCTTGTTTCCTCATACTTTGTACGCTAGCCGAGGTAAAGCAAGGAAATCATGGTTGTGGCTCTGACGAAGTTAATTCATCCGTAAAGTAAGCTGGCTACCCCACGTACGCCACCGGAAATCCGAAAATCGCATTCTCAGCCCAAGAAATGTGGAAGGAGGCCAAGACATGCCAAATCCGGCAAGGAACTTTCCTCTTCGGCTGTCACAACAGGGGTACACAAACCCTTTTATAAGGCTGTTTCGAAAGCCATTTCCTATCTCTTGCAGTCTTTCTTCTCGTTTTAATTCATCAAGAATAAGCAAACGATGACTACTATCGACTCGGCAATAATCGCCAAACATACAACGTCCTCGACCCCCCAGCCGCATGTTATCTACATTATTGAGGTTACGCACGACAACGGAGCGATCTTCGAGGTCCAAAGGCGCTTCTCTGACGTGCGTGCATACAAGGCGCATATATCCACCTCTGACATCATATATCTTGCCTACCTGCATAGTTCGTTGCGCTGAAGCTCGCCCTTGGAGACTGCTTCCCGCTCCCACCCAAGCGCACCATCACGACATCGGTCGTCCCGTGCGCGTGGATGGATGATAGACTCATTGAGGAGAGGAAGCGCGGGCTTCAGATGTACTTGACGTACCTCCTACACGACCTCGCGCGTCGCCGTGATCCGGAGCTCGCGCGGTTCCTGGCTCCAGGGTACTACAGATACATTGGCCGCCTCAGTGCTGCAAACAACGCCAAGGACGGGCCTGGTGGAGAACAAGTGACGACCCCGAGCATGATACAAGCAAAGAGCGCCTTGGCGTCGAGCTATATGCGCTCAGGTGGCGCGAACGCCGCAGGGACGGATGAAGACAGAAAGAAGCCCATCGCCGCATCCTACTACCCCTCGTGGGCGGCTGATACGCTTCCACCGAGCAAGATTGATTTCTCCAAGTTCGACGTAATCTTCTTTGGTGAGTCTTCGTTAAGGAGTACACCTGGGTATATGCGTGGGTATATGCGCTGAACCTTGGTCGGTGAAGCGTTTGTAACTCCAAACGGAACCGCTGGCATCAATTGGGATGATGGATCCGAGAAGGTGTTGCAAAACCTGGTTGTTGCTGCTCGTCAGAGTGGTCATAGCACAAAGATCGTACTCTCCGTTGGTGAGTAACATTTTCTGCGTCTTGGGGAATATGACTGAGTTGAATATATGCGCCATTCTTCGAAGGTGGATGGGGTGGGTGCCATTGGTTTAGCCAGGTGATGTCGACCTCCTCGAACCGCACCAAGTTTGCAAATACCCTGGTGAACACTGTCAATACTTATGGGTTAGACGGTAAGGCAACTACCATGATGTCGTCTCAACTGCAGACTTATTTGGATCTTGAAGGCATCGATATCGACTGGGTGAGAGCCTCGAATTTGGATGAGTTATCACAAACGAATAAGGCTATTAGGAGTACCCCAACGCAGAAGGAAACGGGAACCCTCACTCATCAGCAGATACCGCCAATTTGCTTAGCTTTTTCAAGATGCTCCGCGACACTTTCGGTACTTACCTGAGTTGCTTTTTTTATTTTTCTTCGTTCTAATGCGGGTAAAAATCAGGGCCAACGAAGATAATTTCGGCGGCAGTTACTCAGCTTCCATGGCTGGGACCTGACAGTGCTCCGTTAACCGACGTTTCTGCTTTTGCTGCTCAGATGACTTACGTTAATATCATGTATGTGTTTCTTTCCCTTGATAACGTTGCTGGATAGCCCAATCGTTCTTCAGGAATTATGACGTGTTCGGGGCGTCGTCGAACCCTGGACCGAATGCTCCTCTAGGTGGGGGTGTGTCTGTATTTGTAAAAGGAATTAGCTGATGATGCTTTCGCGTCAGGGAACCTCTGCGGTTCGAGCACTCAGCCAAAGGCAACAGCACAAGCGGCCTTCGCTCAATGGACAAAAGCTGGTATGCCGGCGTCGAAATTGCTCCTAGGCCTGCCATTGTACGGTTACGTCTCCAAGAGCTCGTCCAAGAAGCTCTCTGGTAGTTTGATTCCGACTCCGAACGACCCACGCTTCCCCCCTGGTGCCCATCCAAGGCATCCTCCTATCTCGGCGAACGGTGCTCAAGGCGATCTTAGTCACCTTTGGGGCCAGCAGATTGCGTTTAGCCAAATCATCAGTTTTGGTGCTCTGACGCAGAACTCGGATGGCAGTTATGGCGGGGTCAATGGATACACGATGGGTAAGCATGTCATCACTGGACGTCTTCTTTTTCAAGTAGGTGAGCTAGTCATTCCATAGGATGGGACGATTGCAGCGACACACCGGTGAGTCCTTGCATTTCATCCAGAATGGAGGTCTTGTCTAATCGTCGTCCTATGCAAAGTATCTGTTCAACACGGCTCAGACTACAGTAGTTACCTATGACGACACTTGGAGCATCGCAAGTAAGACCCAGTTTGCGAAGAAATCGGGAATGGCAGGGTGCTTCACCTGGTCGATGGATCAGGTACGTCGCTCTGTGGCACGCTTGTGGTATTGGATATAAATTGATATGGGCTGGGAAGGACGACGGGCTGGCTTTGCATAACATTATTCTTCACAACTTGAGGAAGTAAGGAAGAGGTCCTCCAACTTTCGTGTCAGTGATTCGCCACTTCTACCGAGACTTGTACATGCCTTGATTTGCACATATGTTCTAAGCTTGAGGTTATCAGAGAACTGTATACATAATGCTTATTGTGATAAAACTGCGTACCACGAACGTCTACATATATCGAATGTGGTACCCTATTGGCCGGTTTCCAGATCTACGGTTCAGATGGATCGAGTTCGTCCTTTCTTGAAGCGTGTTTCTGAGGTGCAGGAGTTCTGGATATGTTGAACGAAGTCTTAGTTGGAACATAGGAAATGGTAAAGCGTGTCTACGCACTGCAGCGCAAAGCGCGTCCCTGACACGTGACCGTGTTCGTGTAAAGGCCGACGCGACGGAAACTGTTGGTTTCAACCACAACAACGTCAAGACATTCCTCCACCATGAAGCGCGCCATCGAAGACTCGGAAAACTCTTTGCGGACCCAGAAGTCACCCGCCAAGCGTGTCAGACGCGACTCGGGGCCTCGTCAGAGCTCGTCGGGCTCAAGCTTTCCTCAGACACCTGCTGCGCTGGGCCGTGTCGCGTCGTTGTCTTCATCGGCAAGTAGCAGCAGTAGACCTAGCAAAGTCTCGTTTGCCACACCGCCAACACCATTCACACCCTACCCATCCCAACCTTCCGACTCTCCATCTAATCCCTTCAAGAGACGCCCCAACACAGCATCACTGCCACCCATCACGTCCTATCGGGACCACATCCCGCTGCGCGTCCAATTTGTACGGAAAGATGTCTTTCCCCGTCAGGGCGGCGTGTACCGCGTTATTCAGGTGCCGCTGAACTACAGCTTCACGCACCTGCGTGCTGTCATTGCGTGGGCGTTCGAGCTTCCTGTGCGGTACGCAAACGGGAAGGCGGGCCAGGAGGAGCAGTACCTGTTCGAGGTGAAGAAGGGTGTGAAGATGTACAGCCAGTTATACAAACCCGGTCAGATCAAGACGGGAACTGCGTTCGCCAAGGTGTCGAATGTGCGCGACCCGTGGCATGCGAGGTATGGGTGGGCAGTGGAGGATGAGGATGAGCTGGAAGAGGGGGAGGAGGAGGAAGTGACGCTGGAAGAGGAAATAGAGGAGTTAGAGAAAGAGAAAGGAAGTGAAAAGGAGGACTGGACGTGGGAGGACGAAGAGATGTTCACACTTGGTCATGTCTGGGCCTTGGGAATGAATCCAGATATTGGCATTGTCTACGTGCGGTTTGTTTTGTCGCTCTTTCACTCGCACGCTGACAATCCGTCGTCTAGCACCATTCACCAACAACTCAAGTCCATGTAACACTAAACGGGCAGAAGTTACCCCGTCGACGGGGCAGATCGAACTGTCCATATGTATTTTCGGCTCGTGGACGCGTCCATCTCTCACCTCCACCTTTGCCGCGCCCAATTTTTTCCCATCCACCGTCTTCGTCACCGTTCTCCGGTAGTAAAGGCAAACACAAATTTGTCCCACCGCCCAAAAGACGCGTCGTGCAAGAGGACCTGACAGACACCGAAGCAGACGAGGACAGCGAGGAGGGTAAAGAGAACGCGCAGGAGTTCAACAAGAACCATCCATTCTTCTCAACTGCATCTCCTCTGAAAGTTCGATCCTCTAAAAAGGAGGTCATCCTTGTTGAAGACTCGGACGAGGAGGAAGAGGAAGAAGACACGTCACAGGAGAACCACAACCTGGAGATCAACCCCGACAAATGGAACAAGGAGACGTACGCGTTTGGTCGGTACCTCCTGGGCTTCATGGATCCTTCTGGGAGGTCCTACGACGACCTAGACGAATCTTTCTTCGTGGAGGAGACACCGTACGACCCGTTCTCTGACTCCGATGACGACGAACCTATCCAGGAGGACTTCAAACCCAAACGTCGACCACCATCTACGCCTGGACTGACGACCACTACCGACAGATCCTCCTCCCCTCTCCCACCTTCCTCTCCACCTGCCATTCCTCTAACGTCTTCACCTTACCGATTGGCCCTCGCCAACTGTTCATGGTCCTCTCTACCCGACCTTGAGGAGCACGATATCATTTTGGAGGAGCACTACCCGAACAAGAAGTACTCACAGACGCCCGCGCCGCCCAAGGCACGGAAGCACAGGTTACGGATCGAGAGGATGGAACGGAAGCTGGAGAGGAATAAGCAGCTGGAGTATTTGTTACAGAATGACGAGAAGGAGGAGCCGGAAGAGAAAGACCAGCTGGCGGAGGAGACGAAGGAAGAAGCGGTGGAGGAAGAATGGACGGCGCCTGTGTTGAAGGAGGGTGAGATTTGGGATCCGTTTGGAGACGAGGAGGAAATATGACTGATACGAAATCATTCACACATTTATCTACTCTTTTCCTTCTTCTCCGTGAATGAGGGTCCAACGTGCAAGAGAGAGCGAACGTCAAACTTAGGTGGCCATAGACTACTCGATATGGCTGAAGCCAGGGTTAACGTAGTCTCGTTCCCAGCCGTTTTGGGTAATTCGGCCGCTTTATGAGAATTTGATGGCATGGCCTACCCTACAACGTCTGGTGCATTTGAACCGTGCGACCCCCCTTGCGTCATTTCGTGACAATCACGAGATCACGTGCAAGCCATACCGGACGCGTCTTCGTTTGTTGACTGTCTCTCTCTTACTTCTGTCTTGCCTCTGGTACCTCCAACTCCCGTCGCTCTTGCTCGTTGTTCTTGCCCATGGTTCCTCAACAAGATTGCTTGGCCGCTCCGCGAAGTTTACGAGAACATCCCAAAGTATTGGAGCCAGTGTCTGCATCTTTGATGCCAGCGTCGAGAAGGATGTCGACACAAGCGTCTCTGTTCGGACATCTTCTGAGGTATCGGAAAACAGGTGCGGCGCCAAAATCTCTAGCTCTTTGGATGCAAAATTCTTGATGTATCCCACAGCAAACTCCTTCATGACAGTGCTCGCACCTGTTGCGCGTTTTTTGTTGGACCCCTTCCTGCGTGGAGGAATTGCCCAATGCCAAAGAATTTTTGGGAGTTTCCTGTCCTGCAGCATGACTGTCCTCTCGTTGCGAACCTTAGCATCTTGTGTGCATCCGGAATGCCCCCAGCTCAGTGCGTCCAAAAAGTCTATGAGCTTAAAGTTTAACTCATCGAGCTTGTCAAGCACAGCCTTGACGTTGGCAAGTGTCCTCGGGTTTCGATCATCTTCTACGTCCTCGCTCGGTAGTTCGCGATCAAGAATATCGATGTCAACTGTGTTGTTGGGCTCGTCCGGTTCGGAGTCGGGTTCGTCTTCGACAGGGTACTCATTTCCCTCAAGATCACGGTTATCAAACAAATTGTCCTCCTGGGGCAGTCTCGGCATTTCGTGTGCTCAGAGAGGAGGTTTTATGATGCAGTAAACCAATATGGGTTGTATGGGGAATAACCTCAATGTGAAGGATAGTGTAGACCGTCTTCGGAATCCATTCGTTTGCACATCCCACTACCAAGTTGTCTCAGATTTTGAAACATCCATCTCCTAACTCCTATATCCTGCTAGGAATACAATCCTCTCATGTAGTTAAGACTGCTGAATCTATTCTATCATAAAGGAATGTGGATATCTCCCGGAAACTCTTGATTGAGTCACGAACACTCTTGTATGGGGTATGAGGACGCGTTTAGGGGCGCGTTTGATGGGATCAGCACTGTGACTATGATCACGAGCTGTGACCATGGGGGGTCGCACGGTTCAAATGCACCAGACGTTGTAGGGTGGACCGCGTCCATCAAATGGTCAATAGCGGCCGAATTACCGAAAACGGATGGGAACGAGACTAGGGTTAACGAGCGCTTGGGTTATCCAAGCCATTGGGAAGTTCAAACTCCGCCCAGTGGCCGAGGAACAAGCGCCCGTGCGTTCTGTCAAATCACAAAGAAACTACTAAGAATCCAGCCGAAGGCGGAGTAACATGATGCTTTCGTAGAGCCCATATGAATAAACCCACTCGCTTTTCCAGGTCCATGACTAATTTCATGGTGAAGACATGGGCGTGCGTATTATCCTACAGTCAAATAAATGGCGATGTCGCCGGGAGACTCTCAGAGGTACGGCTATGCACAAACGCCAAGGGCTCATTGTATTTTAATCGTCACGTCCTGCTTGTAGGTATAGTGTAAATTAGATCGGCCTCGTACATGGTTGGCTTTGGCACCGATTCGTGCTGCACCGGCTCTATGTCTGAAGTAAGCCTATTATAATGTGAACGATAGGATTAGACTTGGGTCTGTGTATGACAAGAAGAATGAGACCAACAGCGAGGCGCACGTGTCAAAGTTTTCATCGTGCGGACTGGTTAAAGGTACACTTTTGCTACTATTAAAACAGTGGGGAAAATGATTCAGATGAAGAAAAAGAAAAGGTGCGCGGGGATCAAAGGGAAGGTACTTGCGCGTCTTCTATGTGTAAGAAGATTTGGTCTGCCCAGCGTTCGACCCTTCTGGACCTCATCGTACGGATACAGACAATACCAGGGAGGTTAAGGCCAGAACTCCTTTCTCAAGCCATGTTTCTACGATTCCGAGCTGCCGGATCGGGAGTGTAAACAGAACGCGAGGCACTCGTGTCGATGAAGTGTTGGCGAGGAGGGGCCGGGGGAGATTTAACACTGTCTGCTTTCCCTTTCTCTGTTTTCTCTGCTTTCAACTCGTTAGATTAGATGCCTTTTATGAGTTATCGATCGTCAAGACACGTCCATGTGGTGTAATATCATATCATATCAAGACACCGTTTTGACTGGTCTTATGCCACGAACAATAAATTCAAGTTCGACAAACTGTGGCTGGCTTCATTCAAAGGATGTTACATGGAAGGGAGCTGTTAACGTTTCTGTTTCCTCCATCATCAAGAACCCTTGGCGTCAGATCGATTGCGGTCTTTCTTGACTGGGCGTCTTTCGCGACGTGTAACGCGAGTCGTCGGCGGGCTAAAAATAGACCTCCTTTCAGCTTTGGTTGGACTGCAATTCCTCCGGATTCAGTCCGGAAGTAAAAGAAATTCGAGAGGCGTATAACCCGCGGCAATCGTCGCTGTGCCGGCGAATTTGCGTCGAATAGCTCTTGTAAGATTAATTGGTGCTGATACGGTCAGGCTGTACAAACCAATCCGCAGCTCCACGGGCGTAGACTCTGAGTGTCAGAGGTAGCATCACGTCCACTGCAGTGCACCCGGCGACGGAGGAGCACCGTCTCTCCTCCAACGGACCTTCTGGACAGTGCTTTGCCAGAGCTGCGGGGTTGGTTGCTGCGTCGTGGCTCGAAGGGCTTTGTCATCGTGACACTCTACATTTTTTGGGGATTATTCCGCAGTTCTTCCACGTAAGTGAGAGTCGGAGACCTAGGCGGCCATGGTGGTTCTAGCATGAGCTGTAACTCCGCTCCAGCATTGGCTTTACATAAGTAATGAAATGTTCCCACGATCAATAATGTCTAATCTTGCCTGGTTCCAAGCTTCAACTGCAGATTCCATTCTTTTTCGCATACCGCGACGCAGCTAGTCTCCGGGGCACCTGGCTCCCAAATATCTACAATAGTGAGTGCAGGCGAACGGTGGCGACCTGCGATGGCGAAATCCAAGACCCCGACTCCTCAGGAGCTCTACAGGCTACGCAAGCAGCGGGAGGAGAGAGAGCGGACTGCCTATCTGCCACCAGGGCTCATAAACCATGGAAATACGTGCTTTATGAACTCAGTATTGCAAGGGGTGCGTTGTTTCTACTTTCGAGACAGTTAGCGCTCAGAAGATCGTACGTTCATAGCTCATAGCTACCCGCCTTCTCTCGGATCTCGTCCACTTCAACCCCATACCAGCAGAGATACAGCAAACAGCCGTGACACCCATACTCTCCAGGCGCTCGCCGCAGCTCACGAATGGCCACAATCTGGCTGGCAAGTATGAGCAGCTCTGGGTAAACACCATGCCGATCGGCGACATGTTTCTTACGGTACTGTACAAGTCCTGGGAGGCGCAGGCGGCGAGAAAGAGGGAGTCTATCAGCCCCAAGTGCGTCCTGTTCCTAGCTTTTTGCTTTCTGTCGAGATGTGTCCAACGATCGACTCATGAACTCTCCTTTACAAGCTAATACGTTTCTGTTACAGATCTATCCTTGGTGCGCTCGGTCAGAAGTACGACCAGTACCTAGACTTTGCGCAACAAGATGCACACGAGTTTTTACGGATATTGTTGGATGCCATGCGGATGGAAGAGCAGGATGTGAGTTCCTTATTGACATTGGGTATTTCTCCGAGATTTTGTCATCGTGATCACACCATCGTTCCGCCGTTCATCTCCCCATTCTTCGTCTTTTCGTGCTTATTGGAGGCACCGTATATATGGGCATCCCGCCTTCGAAAGGCCTTCGAAAGGTATCGTAGGGTCTGGCTGTGCACCTCTATATCGTTGACAATGGCGAAACTACCGACGACTTCTCTTTTGTTAGATCGCGATGTGAGGTCAAATGGCTAACCGCTGTTATATCTAGGTCATCAAGAAGCGTCAACCACCCCCACCTAAGAAACGACGGCGAGCGACACTGACGCCTGCCAACGTATCTCGCACTGAACCCGTCGCCTCCAGCTCCTCACAGCCGAATGATCATTCCCCCGACGCGGCTCCGTCGGAAGACGATATCCCTCTTTCGTCCTTCGCGGATATGCTATTCGGGGGCCAGCTAACGAGCATTCTCGTCTGTCAGAAGTGCAAGCACGTGTCGCAAACGTACGAAGAGTTTAACGACATTAGCTTGAGCATCAAGCCCGAGGACTACCTACACAACCGAAAACGCGATCGATTCAAGAAGATTGTCGGGAAGTTGACTGCGTTTCCGGGCGCTTCGGGATCGATGAAGGAGAAGGACAAAGAAAAAGACAAGGAGAAGGGAAAGGAGAAAGAGAAAGATAAGGACAAGGAGACGCTGGGAGAGAAGGAGAGGCCTCGCCTTCCCATCGCACCTGCCCATGCGATGGAGATCCAGCGCTCGTCGTCGGTGCCGCCCAGTCCGAAGACAGAGCTGGACCCAACCCAACTTGAGGTCTTGCCGCTCGTCGATTCGACACGCAGGCGGAGTCTAGATGCGGTCGGGTCAGTCACGTCACTTCCCGTTCCTGCTGTGGAATTGGATGATGAGGCTTTGGGCCAGGAGAAGAACTCCTCGGATGTCGCCGCTGCTGAGGAGGACCCCAAAGAGAAGGAGAAGGAAAAGGAGGAAGAAGAACTCGTGGACAGCGATAGCTCGCACGTCATCGTGAACGTTACCGGGCCCGACGACAAGCATGTGGAGTTTCTGGAGCCAACGATTGACCGCAAGGAAAAGGATGAGACACCGGAGGATGATACCAATGTCAAGGAGAAAGAAAAGAAACACGAAGATGGCTCGTGGGCGAAGATCGGCAGGCGAATAAGTTTGACTGTCGGACTAGGTCGGCCACGAAACCCAGACAAGGAGAAGGACAAGAAGGACAGAGAGCGGAAAAGCAGGTCGATGGATCGCAGTGGACTTGGAGCAGGCATCGTCGAGGGAGTCGTGGCGAGCGTCAGCTCGATGCAGAAGTCGATCTCGGTAGGCGCTTCATCGCTAGCTGAATCGTCATCGCGTCGCGCTTCCACCGAGCTGGAGATGGGTGCGAAGGGCAGAGTCTCTTCAGAGGGCACATTGCGACCGAGCGCGCCTCAGATCGCCACTGAGCCGTCAACAACTTCGTCAGCGTCGCATTCTACGAACGACGCGACGATACGCGCCAAACCCTTACCACCCCGACCTCTGGTTACTGAGTCGACTCCCTCAAGTTCCTCTATCGCTCTCCTACGACGGTCGCCATCTCCTCAACCTGCAACGTCCACTTCCGTACCACAAAACCCCTTGGCTCAATCATTGATTCCCAATGTGCAACGGTCCAAATCGCCCAAACCTCCAAAACCCACTGCAGCGGAGACAGAATACCTGCGAAAGATACTTGCAGACGTCAGCCCTGCCTCATCCACCCCCAACCCCTTCGCTATCTTCAAGCCTCCATTACTTCATAGCCATTCCCATCACCACCAGCACCATACGAAACCTTCCCTCTCCACGTCCTCGAACACATTTACCGAACCATCAACGAGTGATAAGAGCACAATGTGGTTAGGCATGGGCAGAAGCTTTTCAGGAATAGAGGAGTGTCTTCGGATGTTCACTGCGGTGGAAATTCTGGATGGGGAGAATATGGTCGGGTGTAGGCGATGTTGGAAGATACAAAACGGGATGTACCAACCGCAGAAGGAGAGGAGGAACGGGCAGGACCCAGAGGATTCTGACCAGGAAGACCAAGAGGTGGACCAGGAAGAATTTTCATCTCCTGGCCCTTCTATTGAAGTTCAACCCGCGACAGCACATCCGACGGTGAATGGGTTTGATGTGCCACCCCCAGTAAAGCCCCAGCGACGCCCACCGTTGACAGTCCTCGCGCCGTCGATAAATACCGGCGGGGCCTCTGTCCACCTCCCCACATCAATATCCACACCAACCGTTTCTTTCTATTCGCACACATCCAGTGATACGCGGTCGATGTCGTCCCTACCCACCACACCATCTGATCTGAGTCATGGCTTGTCAAAAAGCAGTTCTGACACGAACAGCAGTGAGGACAACCTCTCCTCGATCAACTCGGAACGAAGCACCAAGGCGAGCAGCGACATTATTACGAGCTCGAGTCACCACCACGGCATCCAGATACCCATAATTTCGACGACGGCGCCGGATACACCGGTTGAGTCGACCTCTTCGCTCGATTCGCATTATTCCACGGCAGAGAGCACCAGCGAGACCAACCGGCAGTCGGCATATGCAAAGCTGACAGAGAACGAGAACAGTGCCTTATCATCGTCAACTTCTGTGCCAGCGTCGTCAGGTCCCAGCCCACATCCTCGTCTCACACAGGCTCTGTACGGATACAACTCGTCTTCAGGGTCGAAAGACTCGCTTGTGATACCACACATCGGGAAATCGAGGCCGCGGTATCAAAGGCGGAAGACATATTCAGAGACGACAACGGACAACGACTCGTCCGGCGACGAGACTGACACCTCGATCGGGACGTCTGTTTCCGCTGATTCGTTAGTATCAGCCGATTCTAGGGGCTCGAACGACGACCCACAGGCACCGCCTGCAGTGCCCGCTGCAGCTGAAGGAACGACCTCGGCGCCTCAAGTCGGAGCTTCTCAATCTCAGCAACCCACCCTAGGCTCGTCGATAGCACAACCGGCCCCAGCCAAGAAGCCCTCGAAACCTAAGCCTGTCATCATGCGGCCAGCATACAAGCGCTACCTCATTGCCACCCCACCTCCTGTGCTGGTCGTACACCTCAAGCGATTCCAGCAGACCTCGAAGACGCCTTTGATGATGTCCTTTTCACATGGATTCAAGAAGCTGGATGACTACATCTCGTTTCCGGAGCACCTCGACTTGATGCCGTTCCTTGCACCAAAGAAGGAGGATTACGGGCTTGGGAAGAAGGGCAAGGGCAAAGAGAAGGAAAAGGAACGGAAGGGCAAGGAGAAGGAAGAGAGGTGCATGTACAGGCTGTATGCGGTGGTGGTGCATATCGGGAATATGGTCAGTGCCCTTACTCCCTTTTCAAGCATTTTTTGGGACGTGCTTGCTGACCCATACTTTTTTGTTCGTCTAGCTGGGTGGCCACTATATCGCGTACACGGCACTTCCGAACGAGCCTCCCGGACGGACAACGGCAGCCAGGTCATCAACGTCTTCGTCGACAGCCAATGCTAGTTCTTCGAGGACTTCGGAGCCTTCGGCTGAGAGTGAGCAAGCCAAGCCAAGTTCAGCACCAACAGTAGGAGAGAGCCAGGAAGGAACAACTACGGCGAGCTCGACGCGCCCGAGCAAGACCGCCGAACGACAGTGGGCGTACATCAGCGACACGGTCGTGCGGCTGACGACGCTGGAGGAAGTCCTCCATGCCAAGGCGTACATCTGCATGTACGAGCGGTGTTGATGTGGTCTGAGAGAGCCTTCTTGGCCCTTCGAACGAAGGGCCCAGTACTTATATGCCTCCGCAGTTCTCATCACACGCTGATGACATCCCTTCAAGGGCTCGTGTTGGGCAGTTGGAAACCTGGAACACCAAGAAGTTGGTGTCAGAGTCGGCGGCGGACGGGAAGGGGAAGCGGCTGGTGATGTCACTCGAGCCTGAGGTTGACGAGTGGCTTGTAAGTATGAGAAATCTAACTTGGGTTTCTGTCTTGGATCTTTTGGAGGACCACAGGTAAATATAGCTTTATCATAGGACAATGTATATTGTATTTCTATACCTCTAGTTCAACGCTCTGTATGGTCGGAGAAGGTGAGAAGACATCCATAGCTCACACCTTGAGGGCTGTGGCTCTAAGCTAAGGCTTGCTATACAGGTCAATGGGTCTTTGGAAACCTGAAATATAGGCGCATTTAGAGGTTAGAGATTTGAGTATGAACGCGTTCGCGTACCTCCTTCCCCGATAGCACCTAAATGTGTAACATGTCCAAACCCTATCTCTTTCAAGATCGCCTCAAAGTCTGCAGGCCGTATTCGGAGGTCCTTGTAGTTCTCTTGCAATTTCTACGTGCAGAAACAAGGGAAAGACGGTTAGTAAGCCAGCTCAGAAGAAAGACTGAAAACACATACCCTGTCCATCTTTCTTGCCTTCACGTATGACTCCCAAGGCTGAGGTTCGAGGATGAAAGTCCCACCACTCTTCAACACGCTGAACACACGCTGGAAGAACCGTTTCAGGCCGTCGTCGCCTCCGTTTAGGTGTATCCATTTCGACAGAGAAAACCTGCAATATCACGGTACATATAGTGTCAATTAATAAGTCATGGTGGTAAAAACGTACGCAACGACGATGTCGTACCCATCCGCGTCCTCTGGTATGGTCGTATTCACCCAGTCGGCGGTGCGGAACGCGAGGTTGTGCGGGAAGACGTCCTTGCCTCTGTTCGCTGAAGGAGGAATGGGCAGCGACCCGAACTCGTGCTCGCAGGACGCCGGGAAGTAATTTGGCCGTGGTCGTGGTCTCCTCGTCGTCGTATTGGTAGTAGAAAGCGGACTGGCGTGTTCGTCTGCTGGGCCAGGAACCTCCGAATCAACCTGGTCTCGCTTTCTCTTCTTGTTGCTGTTCCTGTCCTCTGTCAACAAGGACGTCGAGGACTGTTTGCCGTCCTCCAGAGAAACTTTGTCTGGAATTTGGTCTTCCAATGAACGACCGTGAGGAACAGACGGAGCCTGCGTGGACCAAACAGCCCTTCTCCTTCGCCACGCGCCTTGGACGAGCTTGTCATCGATATCAACGCCAACGATGAACTTGGCGCCATGAGTCTGAGCTGAAAAGGATTTCCGTAAGCTCAAAATTCAAACGGAAGAGATTCCGGAGTTACTCCAAGCTCACCAATCTCGCAAGAAACCCAGCCTTCATTGCATCCTACATCTAAAACCCTCTTCCCTTCGAACAGATGCGCAGGCAGGACGAAAAGGCGTTCATCGTTGGGAAATGGCCGTTTTGTGTAGTATCTTCAATAAACTGCATATCTCAGTTGCTTCATCTTGGTCGAGGGGGGAAGAGAGGCCCACTCACCCGTAGTAATTTCCGTGTGTTGGCAAGTTCATATTTTTGAAGTATAACTTGCAGGAACGCTGGACCCCACAGTTGTAGTAGTGACCTGCGGCAAAAGATGAGCGGGAAAAGGAAGCAAAGGAAAAGAAAAAAAAAATCTCTCTGTCTGGGAGTCGAACCCAGCTTTCGCGCGTATTACGTAATAAGGTGACAGGCGCGTGTACTAACCGATATACTAACAGAGACATGATAATGTATCTGTACAAATTGCTATCTCAGAAACAAAGACCTTCCTGGACCTTTCCCATTCCTATCTCCCATCGACAATATGTATCCACTCAGCACAAACGAAGCCAGGTAAGGGTTCAGGCAGCGTAGTTCACAGGGTTAAGTAGGTGCTATGGTAGCTACAGATAGCATGATCAACAAGATGGCACAGACACAGGAGGAAAAAAACGGACGATGAAAATAACAAGCAGAAAAGAGAAGGGATGGAAGTGGGAATCATCAATGTACAAATCAAACCTAGGTGGTATAAAACCGCAGTGGAGGAAGAATGAGCTTCGAGCGAGAGGGGAAGGTATGCAGAGAAAACAGGTGAACATGCGAGAGGGAAAGAAAAGTCGTCAAGTAAAATCGATGGCACAGGGTACAATTTATACAACCATGAAACAACAACATTCATGAACGAGGAGAGAAATGGAAATTGAGGGGAAAATGAGGTAGAAAAAAGGAGAAAGGAGAATAAAACTGAGGAACCAAGTCGGAATATGGCTAGGAATACACTATGCGTTTTATGCCAGAACAAGGTTGAGGGTGTTTGGAGAAGGTTGAGGAAGGGAATAACTGAGGTCGCTAATGATGACTAAATGGTGACAATAAGATGCTTGCACGATGAACGATGATGAAGGATCCGGAATAACAGAGACAGTGTCCTAGTATATGGGTCCTCGAGGAGTCGTTATGTGCATAATACGATGTCGTGTACTTCATTGTTCTTTGGGTGGGTGGATTGTGTTGTGTTGACTGAGGGCTGGGGGTGGTGGTAGATATGAGGGCTGAAAGTAGGGTCGGTCGATGAAAGCGGAATATAGCAGAGACACCAACAGAAATATGGATGATGCGAAAATACACAAGTGCGATGAGTGGAGAGATGGTGTCGGTGCCGATGCTATTTGAAACAAAATAAGATTAGCTGGTATGATGTTTGGGTTGAGTCGTTGATCTAATGAGAGCGCAGAGCAGCATAGCGCCCGACCACCTAGGTATGGCGAACGAGGTAGCTCTGATATAGGTTCTCCATGAACCCGGCATCCTAAAAAGGAACAAAAGAAAGGGAAGACATCAACATCTGTGAGGATGAAAGTTCAGAGACAGAAAAGGCGAACATACATGAATGAGATCCATTACTCCCCGAACGAACTCATTCTTCTCCAGCCTTCCATTAGGCCGGGCAGGAGCGCCCAGCGCACCCAAGAAAGTTTCCTTCATCTCTTCCGCAAACGCCCCAGTCCCAGCACTATTGTGCTTCACGAACCCATTCACGGCCCTCTCCTTGCCCTTTACGCTATGGAGCCCATTGCCATTAACGTAGTGGGTGTTGGTATTACCCGCAAGCGTTGCACGGGCGGTCATGGTTGGCGTCTTCATCTCTTGTATCGGTATCGATGCTTGGGATGGCTTGTGCGTCGTAGCAGGCAGCTCGGGCGACGGGCATGGAGAAGGCGAGGCCGGTTCGCCGTTAAGGAGCGACATGAGGCTCTGGCTAGTATGCGACGCGTTCGATGCAGCAGGTGAAGGTGGCGGGAAGTCCCAGCTCTGCTCTATGGCTTCCTTCGCCTTGGCGTCCCTCTCCTTCTTGCTCCTCCTGTTCCTCCGGCCCTTGCTCTTCTCCTTCTCTTCGGAGGGTGGGGAGGCTCCGTTGACGTGGACACGCCCATGACCGTTCGTGCTGAGGCTCGCATTGCTCTGCGATGTTCGCAGGCTGACGGCACTCCTCTTCGATTGGAGTACCTTCTTGAATGCCTCGGGGTCGCTCAGCACACTCGTCTCCTCGAAGTTGAGCTCCACGATCTCATCGTCGCCTGACGTCGGTGAGCTGTCCTCTGCCACAACGGCATTTCCTCGGGAATACGGCCAAAGTTCCGAATCAGGCTCGAACGGGACGAGGGCCCTGTTCGCCCGAGGCTTGCTTTCAGGCTGAAGGTGCGATGGGGTAGACTGCACGCCGGTCGGAACTCCGCGGACCGTCGATATTGACGAGATGGGCTCAATGGCGAAAGGGTACTGCGTTCGTTGGCCGCCGTTCAGTGGAGGGCGAGGTGTAACGTCGCCATTGATCTTCTGAGCTGGCCGAGGTCCGCCCAGTCCTAGGGTATTTAAGAGGTCCGTACCGGCTAGTCGTGCAACGCTGGGTCCTGAGTGGGACTCAGGGTCGCTTTCGTCCGGCTCTAGGAACATGCTACGAGAGTCGTTGTCTTCCTTGTCACCTTCATGAGCGCTAGGGTGTGATCGCGAGGTGGAGGCAGCGGAAGGTGCTCGGGCGGGGACAGAACCGGTAAGGATGGTTGAGAGAACTTGGGTAGTGAGAACTTGTGGTCGAGAAGTCGAAGGATGGGGAGCCAGAACGGACGATAGGGTGCTTGGATGGTGAGAGCCAGAGCTATCATGACTGTACGCGGACGGAGACGTGGGGGAAGCAGGAGTGGACATTGCAGATGCGAATATGGTGTCTAGGAGGGCCTTTCCAGTCGGCATAGATAGATTGGTCGGTTGAGAGGCAGCATTTTGCGATGTCGGGACCGTAGTCGTATGGGTTGTCGACGTCATTGGGTTAGTACCCACACTCTTTGATAGTCTGCTGAAGAGGTGGTCCAAAGCGGATTTATCTACACTTGAAGCAGACGGAGCGTCGGAATGGTCATTTTCACTGTCGTAGGTGACTTTTCGAGCTCGTGAGTCGGAGGTTTCTGAGTCCGTGGTGGAAGCTGTCGCGTGTCCAACGAGGCAGGTCAGCGAAAGACGAGACAAGTGAGAGGAAAAAGAATCGCCCGTGACACATGCAGGGCAGGATCAAGACGGACTGCGCAAGGCAATACAACTTACCTGAAGCTAGCTCTTGTTGACCGGGAACACGGCGATATTGATCAGGATAGGGCAAATTTTTCTTGATGTATGAGTGCAATCTGATTGAGCATTTATTAATGGAGGCGGGTTCGGGGGTATCACTTAATGACGCACCGACACATAACGTCGACCATCGTTTTGCGCGCGTCGGTGGCATGGATCCAAAGTCCAATGATCGACGCCCGCCCCTTCGCTTTTGGCTCGATCGACTCGATGTTGGGAATAGCATATACGTCGGAAAACTTGTCTGGCAAGGATTCCGTCTTGGATAGTCGAATGCTCGTGAGGCGGTTACTCAAAAAGTCGGGATAAGATCGAATGATGAACACTTTGCCCATGTCGATAACGTCGTCCTCCGGGTACAGTCGCTGGATGAAGTCATCCATGCCGACACGGTTCATGACATAGAAGCCGTACGGGGGGTAGGAATCTCTATCAACAACCTTTGTTACCCCAGGATTGATGCAGTTCGAGGAGTCCACGTACCTCTCAAACAAGAACATGCTTCCCTCGTAGCCGTGCTTGTACCACTTTTCTCCGTCATGGTGGTAGATGCAGACGTGGCTGAATTGGTCGATTATCTGCTGGATTGAGGGGTCCCGCCGCTTGAGAACCTTGAGATTTGAGTCATATCGGTCCTTGGCGGTCATGGTCTTGCGAGGTGGCGCCTTGCTGGTCTCTGACAGGGCGCCCTCGTGGTCGGTGTCTTGCTGGTTCAGTGATGACTGTGAGGACATATGCGGTATCGTTGTCGCTGGCGGTGGATGTCTGCGGGGAGGGCCCATTGTGGGAGTCGTTGGTCGTCGTCTGGACCGATGCTGGAGGGTTTACAATGGCCCGGACAATGCCGGATCGACAAAGCTTACAGAATACAGTGATTATGTAATACAACTACGGCACTGGACCTCGGAGCTCGTCGTTGTCGTAAACGACGACGATGCAAAAGGTCAACGCAGAGGCCGTCCTGCGCCAGCGCGGCCGCGCAATCTCTAGCGGTGCTGCACTTGTCCGCTCTATTCTCCAGAGGACACCTTTTCCCAATGGCTTCACCACGAAGGAGTTGTTCGACGTCGCGGTGCAGGAGCCACCACCCAAGGACTTTCCACCTTACCCATTGACTTTGCCGGGTATTAAAAACGTTCAAAAGCCCTCTAAGAAGGCCAAGAGCGCATTCAAACCAATAGGGCCTCTTTACCCGACATTCCGTGCTGACCACCCCGTTCGGTCAATAAGGTACGTCTTTCGCCCGTCTTTCGTGTCGGGCCTGCGTATATCCATCTGGTAAACCAGGTTCTTGAAGACAGAAATCCTGCCCGTGCTTGCAGGTCGTCAAGAAATCCGTATGATGAACCAGCCAAGGACAGACTTGGCTCCCGTGGCAGAAACCCCGACGAAAGGCAAGAAGAAGAAAAAGACCTCACATATGGAGTTTGTCTGGAAAGTTGTTGCTCCTGAGAATCGCTGGGTCCCCAAGCCGCCACCACCGAAGAAGGAGGTTGTAGGAACTGAAGTGGGCGTCGGGGCGGACTTTTCTCATCTCAACAAACGGCGACAGCGGGCTCGCGTCGAGAAGGTTTCTGCAGCTGTGACGAGGATGAAGGAATACCGCCAGCAGCAAGGAGAGGAGCTTGTTTGGTGAACTACCTCCTTAAGTTTTTTGTTCCCATTCTCTTGTCCGTCGCTTGCTCTCTACACCGTATTCTCCTGCTAGCTAATTTTAAACCATCACCTTTTGGGAATCATCGCGCGAATCTGCCTTAAACTCGAGCATATGACAAGGTAGGATACAATTCCTGGGTATGTTCTCACAAACTGTTACAGGTACATTATTCTACTAGTGTGACCAAACATCGAGCATGCAAGATAGATCTGCCCTCAAACCAACGGGTGTGCATAGTGGAAAACAAAATAAACGCGAGTTGAAGAAAATTACAGGGCCTTTCCTGTTTCGATAGCGTGCTCAAGGTCGAAAGAAGGCTGTCGCTGGTCCTGGAATGGTGATTCCGTCTTGTCCTACGACGCCAGAGTCAGATTCAGATACCTGGCACCACTATCAAACCCTGTCAACATACCGGACTGAGATTCGACCCACTGGCAATCTCCTTCTCCTCTTCCACTTCAATGTTCGTGTTCAACCTCGGCGGAAGCTGCAGCGGGCCCCGGGGCTCGTCAAAGTGGTCCAGGCGGAACGTCAGGCGGTCCTTCGACACGATGACTCTCGATGTGTTCCTCGGCTTCGAGTTCGTCTTTACGCTCTGGAAGCTCCCGCTCAGGCACCGCTCGAACTCGACCTGGCTCTGGTCCGCTGGCACGCGCCCGTCCAGGATCTTTATCCTGTTGTTCAGGATGACGAGCATTGTGTTCGCGTAGATCTTTGATATTGTGAGCCCTGGCACTACGAATATCTGGTGGTTGGCGAAGTAGAGGCAGAGATGCAGGATCGCGAAGACGGCTGTGTCCTAGTGGTGAGGATCGACCGTTTTATGACTCTTGTGCCAGTGATGCTCACCAGTCAGAACTCCAGTTTCGATGATTAGACGAATTAAATTGACAATCATGACGTGCGTTGAATTCAGTCCCGTTCCGTGGCGCATGAGCTGAAAGATCGATGTTAGGACCGCAGCAAAGTATCACGAACGAAAGCGCCTACATAGTAAGGCATGACCAACGCAATCGTGATATCACAAATCGCCCCGAAACCATTCCAAACCTGCAAACGAAAGAAAAGCTCATCAGGAAGCGCTCTAAGACGGGCTGTAGAAAACACCGACCCCAATTGCCGCCAACGAACCGGACGCATTGCTCAACAACCCCGAGAATGTCCTCGCGCGGAAGAAGGCCGCGGAGGCCACCAGGGCGGAGCAAATCGACGCTGCAGCCAGCTAATATCACGGTAAGTACAGCCCTCAGCGTCATCTGCCAATGACACTGCTGATATGCAATCACTTACGATGCCAATGATTACAGGTCCGCCTCTCGATCCTTTGCTCGACATGTTCCAAATCCGGTATGCGAAGAACAACTGTCCTATCCCACCCGCTTTACAAGGAACAGAGTAGTCAATATCCCGTACCTCGAGTGCGGAACTGAGTCAAGGATTAATCCACTCACTCAGGCCACCGGCGACGGGTATGCTTAGCCAATGCACATGGATCCCATCGAGCGCGCTGCTGCTCCCGAAATGGGACGCGAGTGCCACGAAGACGTCGTGCGAGGTGATAGCAGTTTGCGTTACCTCGAGCACCAAGACGGTGTAGACGAGGGCTTTGGTGAAGGTGCGGTCTTTGGGAAAGGCGAGGTAGTAGGTGTCTGGGAAAGTGGTCAGTGTCGATCCTCAGCGCAGAGAAGAAGGTCCGGAAGGAACTCACATATTTGTATGATGAGAATCCCTAGGAGGCCCCAGTTGAAGTATGCTGCGAGAATCTGTCAACCAGGATGATCAGCATGTCTCCAGGCAGAGTCGACCGCATCCAACTCTCGCTCACTCACCAAAGAACCAGCTCTGGGGGCAACAAGGCAGTCAGGTCAGCCAGGATATCTACCGGAGATATCAGGGAAGATACTCACAATGTCTGCGCAAACGACTCGTCGATCTCCATGTCTATGACCCAAAAGGCAGGCAAGTCACCTCGAAGAGAAGGATGGCCCGCGTGTGGCAACCTCGCGAAGTATAAGTACCGTCCAAACGAGGAGGAGAATCACGTAACGGGCTGATATCGCTCACAGCCCGTTCGACCGAACCTGTGCGTACCATCCCTGCGCGATATACGGGCATCGACCTATTCTTGGTCTGGATGCAAGACGACCAAGTGAAAATTGGACCCAAGTGGGGATGCCAGACCTTTAATTGGGTTGATTTGTTGAAATAGCTGATAGAGCGGTTTGTCGTCGTAGTCAAACGTGCGTATCCGTTTCGGCGCAAGCATGTGGGCGCTTATTTTTGTTCCCGAAAGTGACAGACTCAACCTCCTGAGCAGTGTAATCGGCGTTCAACCGTATGAATACGCTGCTCTACAGATGTAGGTCGCTCTTCTCTCGTCGGTCTTCGAGGCCCGGTCCAACAAAGTTCAAAAATTTGTGGGCGCCGATAGAGGCGACGCTAAAATTAGACTAGCGCAGTCTGATGTCAATTGCCCCCGTTCCGCCAATCACCGCGACGGGTGTACGAACGTGCATACAAGCGTATTCTCTATATATCAACGTCTCTGGAATTCAAATTCGTCGTCCCCTATAAACAATGGCAATCTCGACCTTCTGTTCTTCGCTGTACTCCAATGAATTGCGAATACGAACGCCTTCAGGCTTAGGGATTACAAGAAGTGGCGGTCCTTGCCCGTTCGCCTCGAGGCTGGGGGCTCGGAGCGGTTCTGGTAAGACGGGAATCTCAAGCGTCTCCACCAGACTTTAATGACGGGTGTAAAGACGCTTCACGACTGGTACTCGGGGATCGGATAGCCCTCCCGTCGAGTCACGCCAGTATGCCTCAACAGTGCCTCCGATTGTATTCAACATCTGAATTTGGGTAGATAGGAACGGGCACAACGAAATGGTGGCCCGTCAGTCTTAGCGAAAGCCACCACCTGTTGGCGTAACGGGCGCTTCCTCTTCTCCATTCAAAGTACAAGAACATACATATCGGTCTAATAGGCAGAAAGTGGACATTTCCTTTATCATTCTTCCCTTACTCCGGGACCTGTCGGTGATCTTCGTACCACTGCGCCAAGTGATAATATGTGAGGCTCTATAATAAACTAATTACCAGAAAGCTTGCTTACCTTCTTCAAGAACCGAGCAGAGTCCTTCGGATAGCGCTTCTGCGTTTCATAGTCCACGTAGGTGACGCCGAAGCGCACTGTGTACCCCTCTGCCCATTCAAAATTATCCAAAAGACCTACGTAACCGCGGCGTTTGATACTCAGTGAGTCAGTAGGCACACGACAAGATACCTGGGACAGGAAGCGGAAATGAACGACTCACTCCAAGCAAAGTATGATTTTACCGGGACACCATCCTGGTGTATAGCCTCTAAAATCGCACTGGTATATCCGCGGTAGTATTCAACTCGATCGGTATCGTGAACGGCCTCCTCTCGTGGGAGAGCCACGTCGCCCTTCGCTGCGAATCCGTTCTCTGTAACGCTAGAGAATATACCGGTTATATCTGGTGAGTGATAAGATTATCGCCACATTCTTCGGACATACTAGATCGGTTTGTTGTACGTCTGAAAGAAGGCATGAGTAACGAATCAACAACTGCGCTTCTGCTGTCAACATCTAGGGAAAAGAGACATACCTTCCAGAGATAGTTCAACAGCTGATGAACAGTGTCATCATCACTCGATGATTAGTGCCAGTCCATGAAGCGATCAAAGGAAAGATACTCACCGATCTAAATCCAGGAGCGTCTATGATCGGAGAAGAGGGTCAGAATACCAGCTCGGAAGTAGAGGAAGAAATTTCGTTGTACATGCTTGGAGCCAAGGCACTTGCGCTATAGACCGGTCAGACAGTGGGATATACCAGGCGAGTCTTACTCAAAATATTACCTTGGGTTCCGAGTTGCGTACCATCGGGACGGGTAAAAGTCGTCTTGATCTTCCCATTGAATTCTTCGGTTCCGCCTTCCTCTACACCCCAAAAAAAAAGATCAACGGCGGCATCCAACAGAAGCAAGAATAGGACCGACTCACGGACGAGGTTGCTCGTATACGTATTCAGACCAAAGAAATCAGACGAGCCCTTCACAACAGCGATTTCTTCCGCAGAGAAATCCGGGAGGCGGTTACCCAACATCGCCTTAAGTGATGCTGGGTAGTGCCCTTTGTAAATCGGATCGGCAAACCAGCCTAGACGGGCGTCCATCCCTCGTTGGGCAACTTGAGCAGCTTGGTGAAGCAGATTAGCCGATAACCATTGGGCGGAGAAAAATCAGATATGGAAATGAAACGCACTCTCAGGCTTGTCATCGTAGGGAATGCACCAGAGGGAGTCCAGAGTGACAGCAATTTCTCCTCCGTGGACAGGTTTGATATTCTCGCGGAAATACTTGACGGCGTACGCGTGGGAGAGGATGAGGTTGTGCGCCACACTACAGGGATCAGCACGGAGATCACCGAGAAAGAGTTTGTCACATACATCCAGGGCTCAGTGGACGAGTTTCCCTCCGGAGACTTCGCTCGGTCGCTCGACCTTCCGGGCGCAAAGACGCCATACCCGTATCCGAGGACGGCAACACACCACGGCTCATTGAGGGTTATCCTGAATAGTAAATGGGTTCGCATCATCAACCCAGAAGATGACCGGTATAAACAGCATTCACCAATGCTTAACGAGATCTCCGAATGCGTTGAAGCAGGCCTATTAGCTCCGCTCAGCTTCAATTTCCAAGGATACCGTATGAGAGATTTTTTACCTTGGCAAAGTGTGCGAAATCCTCGACAATACGCTTGTCACGCCAACCTCCATAGCGAACCTCCAGCGCTTGGGGGAGGTCCCAGTGATACAAGGTCTAATGCCATTTCAACATGAGACCTTTGTTGTGGGGGGACGGCAGAAAAGGAAACACATACAATAGCGGGGGTGATACCGTTCCGAATGAGCTCCTCGAGGAATTCCCTGTAAAACTTGATTCCCGCCTCGTTGGGTGGATCTAACCCACCCGCATCCTTACCCTTCTTCTCCCCCGTGAAATCTATGATACGGGTCCAAGAAACGGAGAACCTGTACGAATTGGCGCCATACGACTTGAGGAGCGCGATGTCTTCCTTCCAGCGATTCAATGAATCAGTAGCGACGTCTCCAGAAAGACCGTCCGCGGTGTGCTTAACGCCCGACGCGGGGTCTGGGTGCGTGAAGGTGTCCCAGATGGACGGAGTGCGGTTTAAAGCGCTCGGGGAGCCTTCGATCTGGTAGGCGGCTGAGCATCATCGTGGTGCGCAAACGATTAGAAACCTGCAAAACCTATTAAATGATGAGAAACGCACCGGTTGCATACCCAAAGAGAAACACCTTAGGCAAAAGCAAGTTGGCAGAATCAGACATCGTTGTGGGGTCTCGAAATGAGGATAATTGACACTTGGGGAGGCTTTTATACCTCTTGGTCGTTCGCGGTCACTAGAACAATGGCGTCAACGAAGCCCCAAATACAAGTGCCTTTCTCCGATAATTTTCCGAGAGACGGTCACTTGAGCGGGCTTATTTCTCAAGAAGCCCCTTCAACTTCAATTAATCATGAAATGTATCAGCAGTCATGACAAAGTGGATGGCGCCCATTCGAATTATCCGTTTCGAAGCACGACGCGGATTATTTTTATTGTGATTTGCTATTAGACCTATAGCAGCATCTGCGCGTATGTGAAGAAATGTGAACCTGTGGAATTTATTGCCTCTTGATGGCCATCTCAAGTCAATTGACTGGGGCAGGCACCGCGTCGTAGGTTGATCCTGACTTCGCATGACTGCAATAACTATGAAGACTCATAGGGGAGGTTTATAGTTCTTCGTGGGTGGAGAGGAGAATATTTTAAAAGGAACAATTAAATTGCCAATGGATTATTGATGTTGCATCCCCCGGAGAACAAACATCCGCAGCCGGCATTCAGACGCACAGTGACACAGGACCGACCTTATCTGCCGAATTCGGAAAGGAAATTTCCTCTTTCGTCTGGCAATCACGATCAAACTACAGACCTGGGCAGAGTAGTCCATTGTCAATAAGACGAATAAGTGCCCTCATCAGCTTGGCACAAATTTAGATTCCAGTAGAACCCCTTTGCGATTCTGAAATGGGCGCGATGCAGCTCTTGGTGAGCAAAGTGTCGGACCAAGTCGTCCCGTTTTGGGTTGGCACTTCGCCTGAGCAAGGAACTGTCAGCGTCGAATCACTCCACGAGTTTCCGTGTATGACTTACTGAGAGTATAGGCTGGTGAAGAGGCGTGGTGGTAGGTGGTCATCAGAGGACTGAAACGCCGAAGTTTTGCCGGACGTTCACGTACTTGTATCAAAGTTGCCTGCAGCCCACCCAACATATCCAAGGAAGACTAAAAGGAGACAAATTACTTTATACACTTACCCTGAACGCACAAAGGGAAGCTCACCGTCGGAGTTCTGAGCCTGGAAGGCGATCTGCTGGCACAAGAGTGTGACACAAGACGCCGTATTGCCTCCACCGGTCTCAGTGTTAATCGCCTACCGTCCATTGCAGCGCAACCATTGAGCCAACGGCGCCCAAGCTTCCTGGATATTGTCAGTTACACACTCCCTATGAAGCACCGCATCATCAGGGGATGCAAAATCCCAAGGCAAACTGACTCGTGCATCCCCGAGTTGTCCGCGTCCAGGTATTTGTGGACGTCGAAGATGAGGTTGTGTTTAGAACCATCGAAATCAACGACTCTGCTGAGAGCATCGGCAGAGCCGCTGGATACAAAAGTTGCAGCTGAGGTCCAGTTGTTTCCAGGCAGCAGGATTTTCTGTCGGGTTACTCTAAGAATAAACGCATGAGAAGAGCAGGCAACTAAAAATGAACGCTGTTCGACCCACCCGGTACGACGGATGGCAGCGACAACTTCCTGGACGGTCCGTGCCCATATACTGATATCGGGGACGTCGTGAGGCTCGTTCATGCTATATTCGATTAACACTGGGCATAACGATGAGAAGTAGCGGTATACTTACACGCCAAACATGACTTTGGGCTCCTGTTTCTATTTAGAAGCTATGGGTGCCCAGAGCTCGGCGAACAGAGCGTCACTTGGTCCACCTTGACCAATGATCTACGAATTGATAGATATCTTAGTAGCTGAACCCTGCAATGACGATGAAACTTGCGGAGTTATTGAATCTCGCATAGTTATGAATATCGATGATACAACTGGCGCCAGTACCCAAACAGGCCTAATTGTGATTTAGAATTTGTTCAGACAGAAACAATATTTGTACGAATACCTTCACGAGAGCATCGTACTTGGCAAAATTGGTCGAGTTTAACTTTCCGCCTTCAACGTCGTTGGTCAAAAATTGCCAACCGACAGGAAGACGGAATGTATTAAATCCATCGTTCTTGAAGAAATGCTCCATCTGTCCAGCGCCATCATGCCCTACGGGAATTTGTAAGCAGAATGGTGCACTGTCATGAATACGACTGACCTCCCAAGTCTGTCAAGGGTGCCCAGGCAGCAGCAGACGTACACGTCTAGAAATGAAAGTCAGAAAAGGATCAGCAGAATGAGATGTTTCTCTCTACCCACCCCATCCACACCACAACCAAAGTCGAAGCCAGCGATGTTGACCCCAACGTAAGACAGCTCACTAGCAGTCTTTGGTGGTGGCAAGGTTTCAGCACACGTCCTTGATGCCGGAGGTGCGGAGAACGTTGGGGTCGACAGAGTGACAGTAGCAAGAGCCAGAAGGAATATAGCTTCGAAGAACATAGCTAGAGATCTAGAAAGCTCTGGGAAAAGGAGGTCGCCAGCTGAAAAGCTTTTATACGGGATATTGTTGCTTCTTCAGCCTCGCAGACCGACGAGTTACCGAGAAGATGCGCTTATAGGGCATTCTGCTGGAGGTTGCATAGCTGCGGGTGTTGGATCGCTGCAAACGACAGCAGCTGAGAGCCGCCAGTGTGGCGGTCGATTTTCGCCTCAACGTCGGGTTGTTGGTTATTTTTATCGGTATTGACAACAAATACCTTGGCGATACGTTATAGAATGGCACTCCGTTCGCGTTAAAATTGGATCCAAGGGTCTATAAACGTCAAAGCTGAGTGTGTTATAGCTTCTCGGTGAAACGGCGAGGAGACGGGGTATATAAGCCAAAGTATCCTTCTTCTTTTGGGAAGAATTGTTCCAAGTGGTCTTTAAAATAGAAGGAAATCGTTTAAAGCAGGTCGATTCGCAGGTTGGACCAAGGAAGGGGTTGGGAAGGAGTCAAGGACGAAGGCAAATGTGACAATGACATGAATAGTAGGATGGTCATGTGATAAAGTCACAGGACCTCTTCGTCACGCCCAGCACCCTCATTCCAATACTACCGTCCACATCCATCGTAAGTCCTGAACGCCTCGGAAATACCATACTGAACCCTAAATTAGAATGCGAAGAAACGGAGAAGTCGCGTTCCAGGAGTCTGAAAACTCAAGCGAAGAGGATGTCGAGGAGGTTACGGATGAGTCTGATTCTGGAGACGATGTGGCTCCGAGTTCCCCGCAGAAAGGGAAAGGAAGGGCGAAAGAAGACAGCTCAATAATAGTCCAAACCGCATTCGACGCGTATTTCACGTACAACAAGCCAGGGCGCGTCCAAACTTCGTCCAATGTCTTCTCACAACTCGTTCTTCCTCTCAGCGCAGAGGAGTATCGAGATGCGATCGATTCTACACTGAAGAAGCCCCGAACTCTCCAACCGAGTCTGTTGAAAGAGGGACACAGGGGCTACCTATTCTCCAGGTTTACTTGTGAACTAGAAGAAGGGTTCAACATCCTCTGCTATGGGTTGGGGTCCAAGCGACGCGTCCTCAATCAGTTCGCTACGGATGTTTGCTCGAAACGGGGTCATGTCGTCGTCGTCAATGGTTTTCAACCAGATCTCAACGTGAAGGACGTTCTCAACTCGGTCGAGAGCATCCCCGACATTCAGGACCTCGAGCTTTCTTCGACGAACATCGATAGACAGGCACGTAGGATCCACGACTTTTTCGCCTCTCACAAGACGCACCTCTATCTAATTATTCACAACATTGACGGCGCCCCTCTACGAGCGACGAAAACACAGTCAATACTCGCTCTTCTCGGCCAGAACCCTCGAATACACATTATCGCTTCTGTGGACCATATCAACGCTCCACTCCTTTGGTCTTCCTCCGAAACTTCTTCGAGGAAGCCGGGTGAAATCGCCCCATGCTCCATCCCCTCCCGCGGGTTCTCATGGCTATGGCACGACCTCACCACGCTCGCGCCCTATGACTTTGAGCTTGCCTTCGCCGACCGCTCGTCGCTGTCTGGCGCACACACCGGCGGAGCACGCAAGAAGACCGACACGCTCGCGGCGCAGAATGCCACCGCGATGAGCGAGACCGCCGCATCACACATCCTTGCCTCCGTCACGCAGAAGGCCAAGAAGCTCTTCGCACTCCTAGGAAAGCGGCAGCTTCAGGCGATCGAGGGTGCGGACGACGGGTCGGCGGGGAACTTGCAGCAGTTTGGGATGGGATATGATGTGCTATTCGCCAGTGCGAGGGATGGATTTATAGCAACCAACGAGACTGCTCTTCGGGCGCTACTGGGAGAGTTCAGGGACCATAACCTGATCCTCTCTGGCCCGGCCGCGAGTGGAGGAGGCGAGCTACTCTGGATCCCGATGCGAAAGGAGAGGCTGGCGAACGTCCTGCGTTCACTGGATGCTCAATAATCCCATTTGATAAATCTAGGCTAATGGGAGAGTAGTTACAACATAGTAGTGCGTACATGTAATACACATTGCCATTCAACCTCAGAACTTACGAGGTCCCTCTTCTGGCATAGTCAGGATATCTGGGGCTCGCTTGGACGATTCAGCGTCGTCTTTAATCGAGTGCCCTTCTTCGCCGTACATCTAATCCCCCATGATGTCAACTCGCAAAGCATCCCATCTGAGAAAACACTCGCCTCAAGGTGCTCAACAGGCGCCCCATCCGCCCACACCTGCCTCACAACGCTCCGGCCAATCCGGATTTCCTTCCTATCGAACGTCCGCGAAAACGTCCTCTTGTTCTCGAACGAGTTCTCTGCGTCGGGGAGAGGCGGCGGTCCTCCCACAGCGTGCGGACGATTGTTGAACGTCGCGAGGATGGTGATGGAGTAGAGTTGCGTGATCATGATGGCCGGGATTATAAAATAGACGCTCGTCGTGAGCTGTTCGCGGAAGCCGACGAAGAGGATGGCACTCGTGATGGAGGCGGTCGCTTGAAGATGGAAAAAATGGTAAGCATTTAATTTTGAGGGATGGTTAGATGGGAGCGCTTACTGGTGATGATTCCCGTCTCAATCGAGAGCCGGACGATCCGTGTGATAAGGATGTCTGTGTTCTGAAAGCCGGTTTGATTTCTCGATAACTGTGCTGGTGTCAGAGCGAAGGACGATTAGAAAAGAGATAATGGCACTTGCATAGTAGAACATGCATCCGGCGATCAGGACGTCGCAGAGAGCACCTGCACCATTCCAAATCTGTAGACGATGGATCAGGTTGGCGCCCGTTCCCAAATAGGCAGAACCAGAGAACACGAGACTTACCCCGCAAGTGAGATAAATATGTTTGACCTGGACAGCCCTGGATAGGACGCCAACGGTCAAAAGCTTTCCACCAAAGACAATAGCGGAGACACTGGCGCACAGGGACAGCTGTAGAAGTGGCCTCATTGAACACGAAATTGAAGTATAAGGATAGAGGAAGCCACGCACTGCTACAATAATACACCCTACGACCTTCGAGCCAGAGAGCAGAGTTATCCGATATGCGAACATCAGATGACAGAGCAATCCAACTCATCGTTTTGTTCTCAGAAAGAAGGTAAATTCAAGGAAATGAATGGCTTACCTATTCCTCCGAGAATAGGGAGAGTCAGCCAAAGCAGGTGCAGGTTATCCAGTTCTATTAGGTCCCCAAAGCCCGCTGCGAAAACCTTGTGCGTATCTCGAGTGACCATCATGGTCTGGGCGACCTCTATGGCGAACGAGAAGTATACCAGCACCTTCATGTGCATCGGGTCCTTTGGGAAACTGAGGTAGTAATTGTCTATTAAAAATCGTCAAGGGACTGAGCGGATGTTAAATAAGAGACAACTGACAGAGTTGAACGCATAGAATCCCTTGAAGGCCCCAAGTAAAGAGAGCACTCAGTTGCTACAAGGAAGTCGTCGATTGAGCCCACATGACAGTGCATAGATAGGAAGGGGTGTACCAGAGACGAAAGTCTGGAGAAGAAGGATTAAGTCTGCTGTAATCATACAACGAATGAGCGACGGACTCACAAGGGAAGAATGAGGTCCAACAGAGCAGCATCGAACCCTTCTGGTACTGGAGCCATTATATCGAAGAAGAACGCACGGGTGGAAGATAGCAGGCGGCAGATGGATCCGAGGGCAGGACGCACTATTATACCACGCTTCAACGATGAGATCAGCGCGCACCCCGAATGCGTAGAGCCAGAGAATGGGCCTGAAATGATGTATGAACCTCTATAAATGTTTGAATGACGACAATTAGCTGATTGACGTCCGGCTAGGCGGATGTTTTGGGATATGCATGTTTCCTGAGCTTCATTCAAGAACGCATTCTCTGCATTCGGCAGCACTATCGCAGCAGACCAGGCACGGTGGCTGAGCCCTTTAGGTGGTCCCGAAGCTTTTCTGGGTTAGAGCAGAAAGGTACAATCGTGTACTATCCTGGAAAGCATCGCATATGGTTCATAAGTCCCAATGCCTCATGCAGGATAGAAACGGAGGGAATGATTGTGTCAAGATGAATGAAAGTCCAGGGAGGCCAGAGTGCCCTATCTCCCGCAACGAGTTGATTAAGTGTCCCATAACTTCAAGAGTATAGAATTACCAGCATGGCATGTTATCTTGGTATTGCCAAAATGGAGACCGTCAGCGGCTCATGTTAGGCAGATCTGAGTGACAGAAGATGGTTTCCAGGCTCCTGGAAAAATACTCGCCGCTCGTCTTTGTTCCTGCACTAGGAGCTAGAAAAGGGAATTTTAGGCAAAGGGGTCCTTAAGTCGAGACGTACAGGGGAGAAAGCAAAAGACAGTGTCTATCACCGCGACCAAGTGGCAGGATCAAGACGAGGTTCTACAAACCGGGAACATGACACGTGATGCATGACCGATCATGACCGTGCAAAATCATTACTATGCCATCCCGGGAATTTGAAACTTTTTGAATGACGAACATATTGCTCAACAATGATTCACCTCTACAACATCAAATCTGGCACACTTATCATAAATCATCTTCGCTCCACGGAAATATTTTTATTTTATTTTTAAGCCCAGGGGAAGGTGCATCGGAAGGCTCACAACGGTGGGGTCTCGAGGATTCTGGCAGTTTGAAAAGTATGTCACACATCCATCACACCCATCAACGGCCAAATCGACGGCGTTGACAACCGATCCTCCTGCCAAAATAGTCACGCTCCTGGAGGTGGGATCATGTATTCTGCAATTTCCTCCATGACGCGCTATTTATTCTCTGCAGAATTTGACGAAAGACATCTAATATGCGCCTTAAATGTGTTGACAGAATTTCAGAAGCGTTGGCCATCGGGATCGGGCAGGATCTGGGCTGACATTCGCATACATGGGTCATTTTGATGACATCAAAACCACTGTTTTAAATCCAGTGTCCCTCAGAGCGAACGCGATCCCACAAATTTTTGAAGAATCGTTAGGAATTGCCTCGGAAGCATACCAAAAAAATTAGAAGTCAAGAGCACAAAAAATGGAGGCGCGAGACTGGAATTTCAAACTCCTGGAACTTTCAAAACTCCCGGAATGGCATAGTACTAATTATAATACGGGCGCTTCATTGACGTCAGAGTATGATTTGAAGTTAGTTCAAGTTGCCGTGCCCGATGCCGTGTTTGCAGCAAGAAATTTACAAATAAATAGAGAGAGAGGAATAACTGATGAAATAGAGAAAACGAGAGAAAAAATGGAATGAGAGAGACGTGTTAGGGACTGTGAAACTCGAGCTTGCTAAACATCCTGCTCCAGGCGATCTGCGGGGTGAATGTCCTTTTTAAGTATGTAGCGCCTGAAATCTACTTTGGCGGCCTGCCGGGATACATTTGGAAAGTTCAAGTCTTTCGGAAGCATGGATACTCCCTTTTGTGGGAGAGGACACTATTCTAGAGGCCTCCGAAAAGCCTATAGATGTCGATGACAAAATGGCAAAAAAAATCCTTATGGGTGCGCTTTGGTTCCCTCTCATTCAAAGCAGGAGAAGCCGCAGATAAGCGGTAAAAAAAGTGTTTATCCGCGCCATTATACCATTCTGAATCCTCCAAAAAAGGTCCGAAAGACAGAACTATCTTTTGACCGCCTTACATTGATTTTGGAACACGATGCGTCTACCGGAAGAGTCAGCTTCCCCGATAAAACAGTATTTCTAGGCCTCTGATGTGGAAATGAGTTAGATTAATCCATTTTATATTAACACCCGTACATCTGAATTAAACCGCTCAAGGGCGCCTATTTTCTATAAATAGAATGCATCCTAACTTGTCTTCGACATCGAGAACATCTACAATATAGGACACGCGTGTTCAATACCAAGACGAGATCCAGTACCTGACTCCAAGGCCAATTACACGAGTACACGTAGAACGATTTTGTCTCTACTATATTTGCTGTTGTTTCGATCTCTCAATGGCTTAGACTCAAAGGCGGTTTTAACACTGCCTGGAGTAACCGATTTGCTCCTTAGCCTCAACTTCCGGATTGCCGTCACCGAAGTTCTCAGCATCGGGACGACCGTGATCGTGGTCAGGTTGGTGCACGCCTTTCGCTGCGTTGACGGCAGCAAACAAGTTCCCTTCTTCCGCTGTGACGTTCAAGTTGCCATTTGTCAGCGGTGTTGCTTTGACCCAATCGTATCGACTGGGAGACCTACTTGTTAAGGTCTCTGCTATCTCTAAGATATCAATAATCAGGCGCTCGATCAAGTCCTCGCTCAGGGTTTCGCGGACTAGGGAGCCGAAATTAGTACAAAACCGTCACCTGATCAGGTTGTGTCATAGACATACCAACGATGCGCAGAATTTCAACGTCCTGAGCGCCCATCGGAGCCTGAGAAGGGTAAATATAGCGTCATGAAAGTTCAAAAATGTCGCACATTGTAGTTGGGCACAATCCAGCCTTTCGTCCTCAGGAGAGTCTATGGAGCGCCAAGTAAATATCCGACTGTCCCTTGTGACGAGTGAGGCTTTACCTGGATCCAAACTTGCTTCACGTGAGGATTCTCCTTCATGTACTCGTCGGACAACCTGGACGATGTTAGCGCGTAAGGTATTCAGGTAGGCGGTACTGCATACCTGAAGGCCACAACAGGAAGTCCTGCTCGGTAGTCCTCAGGATCATCGCTATAGCCATGCTTGAAGCGATGGACGGAATGAGTGCCCGAGTCACTGGAGCTTTCAGGATGAATTGGGCGGTGGATATTGCTCAAAACCTGTTGAAGAAGACGGTATATGAGGGACAGAACTTTAGGCAAAGTTGAAGCGCCGGAACTTACGGTGAAGTAGGTGCTCTCAAGCGCTCGCGCCAACATGCGTGCGTTGCGGAGATCTTTCTGGGCGACCTTTTTATAGCCGTCGAAGCCCAAATTAAGGAAATTGAACATTTGTGCAATTATCGGTGCCGCCGGCTTCGAGAAGTTCCTTCGGGGTAAGGTGTCAGATTAAAGAAACCGAAGGATACAAGAGGGACATACAAGGTAAAAGAATATTCAGTGCTTCCAAGGTAGTCTTGGAACCGCGTCAGCCCATACAAGCATCGAAGGGAAAAGAATGGGGCATACGAAGCTCGAATACGAGGTCTCTATGAAGAAAGCTTTCGTCTCGCCAGAGGACCCAGCCTAAACCGGCATAGACCAAGCCAAACTTGTGACCGGAAGTGTTGATCGACACGACCCGAGGAATGTCGAAACTCCACTTGAGGTCTGGGTATACGAACGGAGCAATGAAGGCGCCAGATGCACCGTCAACGTGGATAGGGATATCAAGGCCAGTACGATCCTTGAGATCATCCACTATCTACAGCGTCAGGCGGAATCTTGGCTTTAGGACGACGAGGAGAACGTACGCAATTCACTCATAAGCGCGACGTTCTCGAAGTGGCCGGTGTACGTGCTTCCAAGGATAATGATGACCCCGATGGTGTTCTCGTCTATGTATTGTAATGCGTCAGGTGGGTCCATGATGAAGCCGTTTTCGGCCTTGACGGGCACCAGACGAGTTTCTACGTCAAAGTATCTGACGAAAAAAGAAGTGAGGAAGAGCACTTAAAGAACTTGAAGGAGGGAATGAATACCTAGCGAATTTCTCAAGAGCAACTTGGGCATTTGCTCCAAAAACGATGTTAGGATGGTAGTAGTCCTTGCCAGCTATCTTGCGTGCTTCTTGCCACCTCTTCTTCATGGCCAAACCCCCGAGCATGATGGCCTCAGAGGACCCGGCCGTTGCCGTTCCAATAACCTTGCCGTCCTTGGGTGCCTTCCAGAGATCGGCGACTTCGACATGATCAGTTGAGTAGAAAAATGGATACTGAACGCAACTTACGCATGGAAATGCAACGGTTGTGGATGATCGAAGCAGCTGGGTACTCGTCGAGATCAACAATATTCTTGTTAATGTTCTCCATGATGAGTTTGTCCGCATACTCCGGCATCCAGGTATGAACGAAACTGCAACAGTTCGCGTCAGACGAACTACGAACCTTCTACTTGATCACTTACGATGCAAGATTCAACAATGGGTTTCCATCGAGCGCAGTCTCGTCGTGCAGCAGTTGATACGCCGACCTTGAAGGGATTCCGACCTTGGGCATCGTGTACTTCGGAACGCCCGCAGCATCTTCGTCGCGCCGCCAAGACTGGTGCAGCCCCCGGCGCCCTGATGCGCTCGAGTGCTTTTTGTGTGGATGATCCTTGCATTTCTCGATGATCTCTTCTGCGTTGACTGTGCGGAAGCAAATCGTCAGCGTCGATCATAGCGATCTAGATGATTTCACTCACTATGGCGAGAAAGCGACATTTTGGGCGGCTAGTCGCAAGGGTTCTATCGGGGAGAGGAGGTCAGATGGCTCGACGGTGTAAAGTTAATCCTTGAAAAATGGTCAGGAGGTAAGGAGTGCTGAGTATTTAAACAACTTCCGCAGACTTGAATGGCTGCGCTCTAACGACTATTTGCTACCAATTCCAGCCCACGTTTTCCGGGGTCTGGCTCCATCTCAGACCCCAAAACCTTCTTCGACTGATGACGATCACCATCTTACACTGTTTTTTGTGTTGGGAAGCTATGCGGCCGCGCTTGGTCCCGAGAAGTCCACACATTGATCTAATGTATAGATGTTTATTATTAGTTGTACCTACATTAGTGCCCGGAGGCAGAAAGTCGAAAGTCGTGTCTTCAAGAAAGTCTTAAACCACCACGATGAGAAGTTGATAACGCAGGGGCATTGGAGAGGTGAGCGGCGTGATGCAGTCATATGGTCATACACATGTTGTTGCTGGCCGTGTCTCGCTCAGCAGGTCCTCGTTGCCCACGTTGCGTATTTTCGGGTCAATTTCGCTGAGAATACAAATGGTGCCTTGTCAATAATAGCACCGTACAGCCTGCATGTGACGTAGGCTTACCTGGAGCTCTGCGAGAATATCCCAGTTCACTCATTTCTGCTGCGACTTCGCCCACTCTCCTTAGGACCACCTCCCATCCCGTTCTCGCCGCGGCGACTCGGGGTTGTTGTCACACCCGCCCTTGTGCTCGTCATGCTGTCCTGGTCCCTGTCTCGATCCTTGGTGTCCTTTCTGCTATCGCTACTTGCACCTTTCTCCTTAGCCTGTCTGAAACACAGGAACTGGACCGCAGTTGCCCTCCGAGCGTCGCCCAACGCCTTCTGCATGGCCTCGAATGCAACCTTAAACTCTTGAGTTTCCTTCGCTGACGGAGCGTACGCCTGGGTGATTTTGTGGGTGTATAGATCCTCCAAAAACTTTCCAGCCGCCGTTTCTGGCCCGTAATGTCCCAAGGATTTTGATATGAATGTCAACTCCATCACAGCCTATTTCATCGCCGTTCATTTAGTGTCATATCTCTGGCGTAGTAGGAGCCAACAAATACCCACTATGAGCAAGCCACCAGTCCCGAAGCGCTTGATCTGGGAAAAGCACCGCCCAGCCTCGGCCACCAGCTCATCGAGCAAGGCATTCAATGTTCGATCCAGCAAATTACTGGCCACGTTGCAGACTTGCGCATGCACCTCCACAAGGTAGTTCATGATTCCGAGAACGTACGGGCGAACGGCTGTGTGGGCACAGGCGCAATATTAGCTAATGTCCTGGTATCATCGCTTCGAAGACTATACCAGTGGGCTGGGGTGCTCTGTACCAATCGATGGCGGGGCCGGAGACCGCTTCTCGGAGGATGTCCGTAAGCACTTTGGCTCTAGGCTTGACGTACTCGTCGAACAACGTCTTGTCCAGCTCATCCACCACACCCGTCAGTGTCTAGAATGACGAACGGTCAGCACATCCAAGATATGAATTAAAGGTGAAACCCAAGCATCAAGCATAACGTACAGCACGGTCGTCGGCCAGCGTTATCCCAAACGCCGCTTCCACCTGCACCAGCATCCCCGGAATGACCGCTCTGCCTAGATGCTTCAAGTTCGAGATGACGAGCAGCAGCCTGACATTGCCATCCTTCAGATCTAGCAGCTCGTGGAGCCTCATCTCCATGGCGTTCTCCGTGCCCTTGAATGACGGCCGCTTGCAAAGGATCGGCGACTCTTGCGATGCCAGCAATACCAAGCCATCGAGGAGGGCGTAGAGCGCGTCTAGGAAGGCCCTCGAGATCTTCGTGATGAAGACCTGTGCGACGGCTGGTTGCCGAGAAGATTTCGATGAGGAGAGGCTCGAAGGGAGGTCGGCCCCTGCTGCGATCTTGTATGCGGACGTCGTGAGATGCCGCTGAAACATCTCAAACTTGGAGAGGTAGTGCGTTGCAGAGGGCTCTTCTCGACTGACGGTCCATGATTCCAGATGGTAGAACATTCGAGCATCTTCAAAATATCAGTCAGATCACCCATGCCTTCCGAAAAACAGGCAGCATGACACACCTCTCAGCCACGCATTCACCAGAACATCCTCGAGCCTCCACTTCAAACTCTCGATCAAGCTCTTCAGCCCATTGGACACATCGCTCGAAATTTCCAGAGCGTTGATCTCGTTAACGCACTCCTGCACTTCTCCGAGGATCTTATGTAGGTAATGCGCTGTAGATGGTGAATGCGAGTCAACAGGGAGGAGCGGAGGGTGGGTATAGGTAGCCGCGTTGCTGGGAGAGGTCATAACTACCATGTCGGACAGCACAAAGGTTTGCGAGATGAGCGAGATGTAGAGCTTCACGATATCGAAAGCCATGGTTTGACATTGGCTTGGGCTCCGCCGCGAGCCCGAGGAGGTATTCGTGGGCTAGTGGGAAACAATGAGTGCGTTGGAGAATGCAAGAGCGGCCGTCAGCAAACCTTCTTGTATTTGCCGTCGATAAAGTTCTTTGAGATCCTCCAAAAGTTGGGCAGAGAAGACGAAATTGCCTCAGAGATGTACCTGACGAGGTCGAGCACCGCCAGCCAGGCAGGTTCCGCTGCAGATGTTGCTAGAAAATCACTTTGGATCAGAATAAGCATCGAGGAAAAGCAGGAACGACGCGCACCAATGACTACATCGACCTGCCTGTCCTCCAGGTGCCGCATGGCAGTCTGTAGCTGCATTTCTAATGACGATTCCAAGGTCATGTTTCCTCTCTTGATTCTTGACGCCTCGAGGATCTCTTCACACAGAAAAACATTCAGGACATGGGCAACAAGAAGGGTGCAAGGACCAGAGCACCTTCAATAGTTGCCACCGACGCTCGATGTGCAGAGCTCATCTGGTTCATGATATGCGTGTGGTGACTGTCGAGGTACGTCCACACGGGGTCGTCGCCTGACTGGAATTCCAGCAACATCCTAAGTGCGGTCCTCAGCGACTTCCTGCCTCAAACCCCAAGGCAAGTTACATACTCGATGGTCTTCTCTTGCTCCTCGACACTCCTCGTTCCGTCCTCTAGCTGTTTTACCAAGACCTTGCGCATCTCGGCCATCGCCTTCTCCACACTCGTCCAGACTTTGTTCAAGACCCTCTTCTGACGCTGCTGCGCCGCTACCGACGTCGGCTCATCTTTCGTTGGCCCGATAGGGAGGAGCTGCCCTGGTCGGTTCTCCAGAAGGTATTTGCCTTTCTTGTAGTCACGGAGGGCGAGCTCGTACCGGCCCTGCAACAGACCGGTTAGAGGTGCAGTGCAAACTGTAAATACGGTCTTACGGCGTCGGTAGATTCCATGATGAAGCTAGGGAGGTTGAAGAAGAACTTGGACCGTTCAAACACACCCAGTGTACTTCGCAGCTTCTGGGCTTTGGACGCGGTCTCGAGGACGGGAAGAAAGATCTGATTAGCCTTCTGCACACCACCCTTCAGATGCCGTCGCAGGGGTTTGGACGCGTAGTCTGTTTCTGAGGCTAACAGACCCGCTTTCATGTCTTCATACAGTCCATCCGTCGACGCCTTCACCGCAACGAATCGGTCGAAGTTGTTCTCCACGAGAACTCGGAGAGCTTCGCTACGCGCTTCTATGGAGCTCTGGAGATGTGCAATGCCGTAGGCAAGGTCTTGGTACGTCGCGTTCGGGTGTGCGAAAGAGAGATACGCGGCTGGGTCAAAAGTTTTGGAGGTGATTATGACGGCAGCCTCTGCAGAAGTACATTTGTTAGACGGGCACATATTCGACGGGCAAGACGCGTACTTGTCTCCATATCGAGGTCTGCCGCGCTATCTCGTCCATTATTTAGAACTAGAATGACGGAATTGTAGCCAGACACGTACTTTTGTGTAGTCCCCAGCCCTAGTGGATCCGACGCCTCCTTCTCCCTCACCTCACCAGCAATGGCATTCGGACTTAAAAATGAGCTCGCAACCGTCTCATCGTCGAAGTCGTGGTCCACCACTTCCCACTTCCTGCGCTACAGTGAGTATCGTGGCGGGCCGCGAGGAACAGGAGACGCGCAGCGTACGTTGGTTCCAGCGAGCCAATCTTGTAGGTCTTCAGAATGGTCGCTTCATCGATGTCGAAGTTCAATCGAGGCATTCAAACTATGTTGGTAGTGGTGTTGGGAAAAAGAAAAGCCTCGTGCAGTACTGAGTGGCGGCCTCAGGCAGCCTCAAGGGTCGGTTGCGCTTTAGTCTCCTCGACGTGATGGCGTGCAATAAATGACCTGAACATCGATGCCGAGATCACCGTTTGCTGTTCTAGATAAACAGTGCAGGCCGTTCACTTCGAAGACATTAGAGATGGGAGATGGAAGGAAGAGAGGAGCCCTAGAAACCATCGCAATACCTAAATTCATCACAACATTCAAGAGACTATATATATAGAACACACCGAGACAAGGGTAACGATGCATGCCCAAGCTCAAGCTCAAACTACTAGGGAAGAGGACAGAGGGGCCAACAAATATCTACGGCGTGACAATGAGGTTGGCAGAGCCAAAGGCGCCGAGAGTCGGCTGGAAAACGTCAACAGCACACCTGAACCTGACCACAACCTTTGTCAAAGATATATGCCGGACGCTTTCACACAACGAGACATAACCACCCCTAGAGGTCCGTCTGAAGGTCCTCCTCGAACCAAGAAGCGTGAATTACCAGTGATATTTTAGTGAATAAAATCGACGTAAAGCTATGGCGCTGTTGCAGTAACAGCGGAGTGAACGCCTTCGGGTATCGGCGGAGGCTCTAGGCGGACAGGCTTTGGAGGAACGATCAGCATGGTCCCAAGGCGTGGCTGTGTGGATCTGTTAATGAATTCCATCTTCGTAGGCAGCTTCGCCGCAGCTTGGCGAAGAACTGTGATCATCGTTCATGAGGAGAGTCCATAGCTGCGGGCAACAAGGGACATACCATCTCGTGCAAGCTCTTCACGGATGGGCACACCACCAATTTCGAAAATGACGCGTCCGGTAGGTACGCTGGAAATAGGTGAGCATGAGCAGGAGGCACGTAGAAACTTCACTCACCGAGTAGCCCAAAATTCGAACGTGCCTTTTCCTTTCCCCATACGAGTCTCATTCCCCTGCAAGTAAAATTTCTTATGAGAGAGCAAGCACGCAGAGATGTCGAACCATACGCACCTTTATGCAAACCGGAATATCAGGGAACACCCGCAGATACACCTTGCTACCCTTCAGAACCTTCAGCTTCTTGACGATGACTTCCTGTGCCGTTGTGAGTTGTTTCGCACTTAGTCTGGCACCGTTTCCCTTGATTCTAATGCCCCAGTCTCCGTACGCCAGCGTAGTGCCTTTCGTCGAGCCTCCGGTTGGAATCGGTATACGTCCCTTGTGTCTTTTCAGGTGTTTCACTTGCTTCGGGGCCAGCTGGCCGCGTCCACGGGTAAAAAGACTCAGCGGTGAGAGTGCAGTGGGGACATTATGTTGCGTGGACGTCCGCTGCAATCCACTGAAGGTTACGCCGACCCGACGGGTGACGGCAAGAAGAGAGAACATTGGCGATTACATAATTATCGAATTCGTGACCATATGTGACGATGCCTCCGACCCAACAACGACCAACACCATCGTGCCTCCTCACCATCTCCCCGAGTGACGACGATTAGACCGGAACATCAAAGCATTCTCAATTCCTGCTTTTCCTATGAACGACCGAAAACGTGCTTTCGAAGCCACAGGAGGCGAAGTCAGCAACAAGAAGTTGAAAAGGTCGGTGTTCATCCTTCCTAACATTTTTAGTATCTAACTACCATTCTTGTTTTCTTTACAGCGATGTGAGTAATATTCTACTGCATACAACCTTGCCAAGGTGAATTGCCTCTTCCACACTGTTCTGACTAGTGTCTCCAACCTTTCTACCACCCAGACCCCAACAAGTTCTAATGGAGCCTCGACGCCATCAGGAGTGAGTACTCGTGTATCAGATGCATAATTCTATCTAACGTACCGTCCAGCTTTCAGCCGCTGAGCTGATCGCTCAAAAACGCGCTGAAATTGCAGCCAAGCATGCGGCCATGATGAAGAAGAACCCTGCTCTTGCGTCGGCAACAGCAATACGACCAAATGCAGGTGTCGCAGCACCCGTACCGAAAGTACCTCTCGTACCTGCTTCGGTCCCTTCCAAGGTCGTTTATGCCGCCACCCCCTCACCGACAGCCACCACACCGGCATCAGGATCCGGGACACCTGCAACGCCAGGCTTATCTGACGACCTCATGCGTCGAGTTGTAGAAGCCAAGCGACGTGTTGCCGATGCTCAGAGCAAGCTAGCCGTGAAGGATAACCCGTACATGGTCGGTCATACTTCTGCTCTTTTGAACAAGTTGTTGACCCTTCTCTAGGCTCTAGCTGCCGCAAGCAAGAAGAAAGGCACTCCCGCTGAACAGCCCCAACAGGGTGCAGGTCTAAAGATGGCCGCCCACCCCCTCCTCCTCGACCAGACTCCCGTTCTCCAGCAATCGAAAAAGGACCGATACAAGCCAATGCAACCTAAGTTTGCATCAATCAAAGCCAATGCGCGGAATCAGCCCTCTCCTACACCGACACCCATACCCGTAGCAACCCCGAGCCCGACAGTCAATCCATACAGCTCCACCCCGAAAGAGAGTACGGGATTCGATGGTGCACCTCGTGAACGGGCCGGGAAGAAGTTCCATTTCAACCCCAAGGGCAAGTATGTCGCTCTCGGAAACCAGATGCGGCAGGAGGTTCAGCTGGAGGCGCTGAAGCAGCGCATTGCGGAGAGTGCAAGGAAGGCAGGTCTAGATGGCGACATGGGCATCGAGAAGGCGATCAAGCGTCCAGCACCTCCCGAGACAGAGTGGTGGGATGCGGCCTTCCTGCCGTCAAAGAAGTACGAGGACATTGACCACTTGGGCGTGGTGGGCCTGAATATTAGGAACTCGGACTCTCCCATCACGATCTACATCCAACACCCAATTCCCATCCCCGCACCATTTGAGAAGAGCACGGTCGAGTTGAAGCCGATGATGCTGACGACGAAGGAGCAGAAGAAGATGAGGAAGTTGAGGAGAAAGCAGGAGTTGCAAGATAAGAGAGATCGGATTCGGATGGGCTTGCTGCCTCCAGACGCACCTAAAGGTATGATTATTCTATTTGAATCCGGTCACATGCTAAGTTCTTCTTTCAGTCCGTCTGGCCAACCTCATGAAGGTCCTGACGTCGGACGCGATCCAAGACCCCACTCGCGTCGAAGCCCGCGTCCGTCGGGAGGTCGCCATGCGGAAGCACACGCACGAGAAGATGAACGCCGAGCGCAAGCTCACCGACGAACAGCGCCGCGAAAAGCTCGAGAACAAGAAGGCCGACGAGGAGAAGAAAGGCATCTTCGGTGCCGTCTACAAGGTTCTCATCCTCTCCGATCCCGCGCACCAGTTCAAGGTCCGGAAGAACGCGGATCAACTCAGCCTTACCGGCGTGTGTATCTTCAACCCCACGTTCAATTTGGTGTATGTTGAGGGTGCTGCGAAGTATATGAAGAACTACAAGCGCCTTATGATGCACCGCATCGCGTGGACAGAGGCTGCCCGCCCGAGAGGCGGCGAGGACGTCGAGCTGGAGAACCCTGACTCAGACGTCGAGGGTGACAGCACAAACGCGACATCAGCCAACGGAAAAGGGAAAGGAAAAGAGGGCGAGGAGACCAAGTCGCTGGAAGATAACAGGTGCTTCCTGATCTGGGAGGGCAATCTAAGAGACAGGGAGTACAGCAATTTCAGGGCCAAGAGCTGCCCGACGGATCGTGAGGCGAAGGAATTCCTTGGGGAGAAGCTCAAGGGGTACTGGGATGTGGCCAAGAACTGGAAGGCGGAGGAGGAGGAACTCTACTAACGAGCTCAAAGTTCTGCGTACCTTCTTTCTCGTCCTCTCGATATATGCGTTCTGTCTCACTGTTTTACAACCTCTTCCTTAGGTAGAAGAAGTTCCGAGAAGATGGCATACATAGTGCTACTTTACGAACTAATACATATCTTTCATGACCGACAAATCGACAAGGATCATGCATGCCCAAGGTGACAAGGAAGAAACACAAATATTCCAACCAAAGTAAATAAAATCATTCAGAAATTGAACGACTCACTCCTCCAACCATTCCTAGATCTTGTCTCCTCCCTCCTCCCCTCCCATCTTTCCTGCACTTGGCCAGCAACATCTGCGGTGTCCTTGACACCTTCAACTGTCGTCTCAACCGCGTTGTTGACCCCATCCCGCAAACCTTCCAATAGACCTTGTCTCTCCTCATCCTCGCCATGAGGGCCACATTTTCCCGGGAACAGCTGTGGCCCATCTCCAATCGCAACCACCAATTCCGACTCTTCGACGGACGATGGACCACCGATGTCTTCCAACGTCAAGCAGACCCGTTCCACTGGCGTATTGGTCTCGGGGCTGAGAACCATCGCAGGCTGGCCCTTCGGCTGCTCCGTGGTCGTCGTGCTCGTATAGACGATGCCTTGAGCCGTCGCCTCGACCTCTATACGCGGCTCCACATCCAAACTGGCAGCGCCGATGGACTGAACAATCGACTTGGTGTCGTCTGTGCCCTTGCCGAAGATCTTTGGTCCGCTATTCAAGATCGCGTGCCACCAATCTGGCAAGAGTTCAGTTAGGCTTTCCTCAACGTCCTCGTCTGCTAAACTCATCCCGCCAACAGGATGTCTCTCGGATCTATGACGTGCGCGTCTGATCTCTCTTCGAAACTTCGCATCCTGGATGACCGCACCAAGTCCTCGAGCAAGCACTTCAAGTGCCTCGCGCACCTTCGCCTCGGCAACCTGCTTTACCACACGTGCGACTACAGGACCGGCGAGAGGCTGCAAGCAGAGCTTGTTGAGTATCCAATGCTTGCTTTTGTCGATCTTGAACTTGAGCCCCCGTATTGCAACTTGGACGTCGATCACTTTGAAGAGAGGGAGGTCCTCTCCATGTTGTGCGTTCAACAATGCCGTTCGTGCCTCGCCTACGGTGGTTGAACCCGGAGCGGCGCTGTTTGCTACGGCTTCTTGGACGTCAAGGTTGGCTGGCAAGTCGGCCTCATCTTCATCTTGCACGATGATGTCTGGAATCTGAACACGATTCCGCCTAATTGAAGTCGCTGCATTGTCATTGTCAATCTCGATTTCCACGTCCGCGACTAGACCATCGTGTTCAGCACCCATCCCGACGTCGACGCTGATCACGCCCTCATCCTCGTACCCGACAATACTGCCGTTATACCTGAAGTAGTATCCCATATTCTCTACCCTCGCACGGACGCCATCCAGGTGCATCTTTACTCGTGACATTGTGCGTACGTCCGCGCTCGTCATCGCGTGCGTTGCCGCTGGTCCAAGTGGGGACGAAGGCTCTGTCATATCGACGCGCATCTCAGTCCATTCAGTCAGCACCACTTCGTCCGGAACCAAGCTTGCACTGGCGAGGTTGCCCTCTTCACCGTCTCTCGCAAGGCCCTGCACGAAAAGGGCCTGTAGTGCGCAATCAATGCTTCCTAATTTGACCTCGACGGAAGGAATAGGGATGGCGTTCGCTGGGAGCAAGCGAAGGAGGCGAGGGATGCCCCATGCGATCCAGTCCGTCCAGCTGAGTATGCTCGAGAGGGCTTTCATTCCTGATCGAGGACTTGGCGATACGAGAGCAGCAAAGTCGCTTGTGAGGTCCTCCAGCGCGTGTACTAGGCGCATAGTCGCCTTGTCGTCTTCGATCGCTGAAATATATGCGTCGATTTCGTTCATGAGCATCTGCAAATCCTTTTTGAATTGTCTTCTCAGCTCGTCGCTGGTGTAACTCTTAACCGTCGCGGCTTTTCCGGTAGGACTGGTAGGTGAAGGCGTCTGGGTGACCTCGTCCGCGGTGTCTAGGACTGTTTCGCCGACGACGTTGATCAGGTCGACTCCGTCATCGAAGAGCATTTCCAGGCTACTGGCCCCGTCCTTAGACATCGCCCATCCAGGCTCGTCAAGCCCTTTGTCGAGATATACTCCAACTCTCGCGAAGTATGTGGCAATAGGGTTCGTAGCACCTGTTCTGAAGACGGACTGGAATATGTGTCTTGGGAGTTCGAAGGACTGATAGGCGAAGGCAACTGTGCTTGTTGCTCTCCGTTTTGTGTCTTTTGCTTTTTGCGCTTCTTGTTTTTCTTCGCTTTTCCGTATCCTTTCCCGGGTTGCGAAAACATGGGAGGAATCTCGCCGTCCGTAGGCGACTGTGCCTCTGTCACAGCTGAATCTAGTTTGTCTTCGAAGGTCTTCGTCGCCTCTTCCCCTAAAATGCTTGGGGCTTCGTTCAGGTCTTGGATAATGCGACCGAGCGCAGATACTAGTCCGTCGAGCGAATGTTGCTTTCCCAGCCTTTGCAAGATATCCTTGAAATCGAAAAGAATGGCATCGGACGTGACGTCTATGATCGGCTCCTTTGCTGTAGGCGTTTCGTATGGTTGCGGTGGGTAAGTCGGTTCTTCGCTGTTGGACTGGAGGGCGTCCTTCGCCTCCTTTGCGGCGTCGATGATGGTATCTGCCGCTATATTTGACAGCGTCGCCATCTTGGCCGTATATTTTCGGGCAAGAATGAGTATGGCACGCATCGCTGAGCGAGACGCCTTGTCTTTTTGGATGCGGGCTATGACCTAGAAACAAAATCGGCTTTCAACCGAGCATCAAGCGAAGAGCAAGGCCAGATTGCACTAACCTCTTGCAGACGATTCAATATCCTTTCCTTTGTTTTGTCCGCAGCCTCTTCACCCAGCGTACTCATTTCTGACTCCAGCCCTTCCTTCGAAGCCGCGACTTTGTATGCGACCTCCTTGCCTTTGGTCTTGAAGTCCTCAACAGGGACCGAGACGGCTAATTTTACTTTGCCGTTGGCATCTGTCGATATGACGTCATTGCTCTCCAAGACTTGCTGCACGACGCGCCCAGCAACTTGCTCAACTTGGGCCGCACTACGTGCGACATCGGAGGCAGCATGAGCGACGACGTCCTTGATTATGGATATATAGTCGCCAATGACCAGGCGGAAGATGGGGGAGGCGATGAAAACCTCGAAAATCGTGCGAAGGGCGTGCACGAAGGTGGACGCGTCGAACGCGAGCTGGTCTTTCGTAGGGCCTGCGAAAGGTGTTAGTTTGAACAGACCCGAACAAATACCGTCTGACCTGTATCTAGAACATCTGATGTACCCTGTCGAGCGGCGTCGAGAGCACCTTTGCCCGCTTTAGCAGCGGAGGTAGCTGCGGAAGGATGGTCTACGTTCACGCTAACCTCGATGGGCGGCGCATCCAGTTCCAGCACTTGGAAATAGAGGTCTTGAAATTTATCGTCGGCTGAAGAGAGAATATGAACAAAGTTCGTCTACGAGGGAGCGTTGTCGTGTACCATTCTTCTCCATTGAGAATTGCAAACAGGCTTCGACCACCTCTTTCACATCCCGCACAACCTTCCTCCCTTGCCTGCTCGTTGGTCCATTGCCGGTCGTGAATCTCCCAAGCTCTTCCTTGAGGAACTCTGACTTCAACAACACCTGCAAGAAACGGTTCAGCTGCCCTTGCGTCGGTAGTTTGCCTTCCTTGAGCGCAGCGAGGGCGTCGACGACCTTGTCAACGATGGAGTGGTCAACGCCCAGCGGTCTGTTCACCGTCTCGCGTTGTCGTTGGCCGGGGTTTGGAAGGAGAGGCTCACGCTCGCCGTCTCGCGCTCCCCTGCCGAAACAGGGAAGGCAATATTCCATGGTAGGCGGCGAGACGGTGAATGGGGGTTGATGAGAAAGAATGGGATGTCAGTGAGTCTGTCTAAACTTGGACTTTTGGGCAGCGCTTCTCAATCACGTCGTAACGTAACTTTTGAATGAGTAGTCGCGTGCCCATCTTTTTGGGTTCATTGCGCTTAAAGTTAGTACAAAGCATATAGCCATTCATCTAAGTAAAATTCTATCACACCAGGAATGGGCAAGGCGAGGTGAAATTTATCTTATAGCACATTCGATGACGGACTGGAAGATGTCGTAGAATCTGAAGTCTTGAAGTTCGGTACAACGAAATACCATAGTCTCGTTTGCCGCTAGCCTCATGAATCGTCGTTCGACTTAGTCAGTTCCTCGTGACATATTTTAGACGAAGTAAGCATATTTCAGTAGCCCTCCACTTTCTATGTGCTTGTGGAACATTTTCTAAATACGAACATCGGAGTACTGGATCCATAACGAAACCGATATACCTTCGGGAAATCGTGCCACTGTGGGACACGGAGGAAGGTTCCAAGCAGCACTTGACGAGCAGAGTGTCCACCCGGGATGTCCCACTACGACCTTCAATTGGACAACCACAATCAGAGGAAGAAAGACTCAATAGTAGCGGAACTAGACAATTTACTGAGGGCATAGCCAGGATGGGGAGAAGAAAGCAAGCCCAATAGGTTCCCAAAGAGAAAAATCTTTTTACCTTCTCGCATCGAAATTACCAATGGACCACGCAGCATGTCCAATGAACACTCAAGATAGGGGTGATGAAGGTTCAGTGTTCGGCCCTCCTTAACGTTCATTATCCAACGTCTATAGCGTCGCGACGACCACGATAAAGTGTGGAAGTTCACCTTAAAAAGTTAAAGACGCTCACTGTCGGAATTCGGCGCCTGATACGCAATCTATCGGGCCTTGGCAGAGACAGGACGCGGTGTTGCCCGTCTCGGCGTTGAATGCCTGTCGACCGTGATACCTCAGATAGTCCGTGAGGGGTGCCCGCGTCATGCGGTCACTTCATTGTGTACAATATTAGGGTACTAGGATGAGGTCGAAGAATGAAACGCACGTATTGGTCCTCGAATTATCATAATCGAGGCCTTGTGCACGTCGAACTTTCCGTTCAGGTGGTACCGCTGGCGCACTACCTATCAAAGGACAACTGAGCCAGAAACCCCAGATATCCTGAAATTGCTTCGAAAATTCACATTGGGCATACAGAGCTGCTTGGGCGCGCACAGAGGGGACGCCGAGACCGAGAAGGAACACAGCAGTGATTAGAGACGTTCTTCAGACGATAGCGAGCTCGGTGACCAGTCCATCCGAATACCTTATGCTTGTCTCCTCCGAATATCATGACACGGATAAGCCAGTCCCCGACGAGTTTCCGAGAGGACGAAGACGCAAGTAGGTCCGTGTTACTTCGAGTCTGAAGAACAATGCTGCAAGCACGAAACCTGAGCACGGGCGACTCCTAAACTGCTCGATATCGCATCAAACGTGTCCTGTTTGAACAAAGTAGAGACATTCGAGAGCTCCTAGGACATCACAGCCCTTTACTTGCCTTCGATGGGGGAAGGAAAGAATCAAAACTTGAAGGAAAAGGTTTCCCAGGGTTCTGTTATAAGCACCGCTCCCGGGATTCGCCGAGGCCTCTTCACCATCGATTTCGATGTCCGCACAAACGTCCACCTCAACTTCAAACCAGAGAATGTGTTTACCGCCCGAAATATGGCACTATGTTGGGCAGTATATCCCCCTCGAGGACTTGAAGAGACTTTACGGTGTTAACCTGCTGTTCTTCGACCTTTCGATGGACGCCATGTACCGCAGCATCGTGTTTGGAAACATAAACGACTTGAAGATTCACCAGTTGGATTCCTTGAAGTAGTTTCAATCAAAATCTCCGAGTATATTTTCTGACAGACTTACAGGGATCCCAAAATTGCTTGCCGCGTGCGGTCCCTCTCCATACCAGTGAATGTTGAGAGGAATCATTACGAGAAGCAAGAGGCTGCCCCAAGGCCTCCCTCGTCATTTGAGAAGGCATTCCGGCGTCTGTTCCGTCGCACGAGACAAGTCAAACCCGACCCAAAGCAGGTGGAACGTGCTGCGATTGCGGAGATGATCGCACAAGTGATCCCTCTGATGCCCAACGTCGAAAGATACACCTTGTCGTGGTCAGCGTGCTCGGACCCTCTTCCCCCGTACCATGAAGTTGCATGGCGAACTTTCTCTCCTAATCTCGTCGATATCGCTCTGACGGTAAACACCGCTCTAGCACCCCACATTGGTATTCTGTCCTCATTCAAGTTCCCTCGACTCGAAAGCCTGTCCATTCAAATTGATGAAGACTTCAAAGGACCGCCTACACCATGGATGAAGCTCGTAGAGTGTCAGAAGACACTTGCATCGTTTGTCAGCCCGTCGCGCTCCACGTTAAAGAAGCTTCGGATGCGCTCGTCTCTTCTCCCATTAGCAGAACTCTACTCTCCATTACCCGAGTTTGAAAATCTTGTCGTTTTAGGTGTCGAGATGACTGTACATATGGAGGCCGGCGATGCACGTAGCTTCCCTATCCTGGTTATAGGAAAACAAGCGAGCCATCTTGAAGAACTCGACATCCGCATTGGTGGTGACGATGACGTCCGGCCCATAATCCAGTCATTTCCCTGTTTCTGCATGAAGGACCTCCGTATCCCGAAGCTCACGACACTCACAATTTCTGCCCAGCTTCTGAATACCCTAGAACACGAGCAGCAAATCGCTACCTTCTTCCGCATTCATTCGTCAACTCTCAGGATCCTCCACATTCGTGGGCTTTGGCTTGCGTCCAATTCGGTGGCCCACCCGGGCTTGGCTACCGTCCTCGACAATTCACGCGCCCTGACGACCCTCTCTTTGGTCTCGGAATATCTGCAAGCATCTCACCTCGGGCTCCTCGCAAGTTCGCTTCCTCAACTCGAAAGGCTCACCTTGAACATTGAGTACGTTCTCTCAAACACTGGGAGTGATGCCGCCTCTCCGAGCGACATATTCCCAAAATGGCACGAGGTGAGATATGGCACGCCTCTCTAACTTCATCACATCGACATTGACCTTCACAGGTGACGGATTATATGCACCCTTTTGTCGACGATATCAAGCAAGATTTATCCCTCCAGCAATGGCACTTGCAGGATATCACAATTCAGCGGCAGTCTTGTTGTGGCATTCTCGTCCTCTGGGGACTGATGAAGCTCTGCAGAATCCATTCCTAGCATATGCAGCTTCATGGGCAACGGGGACATGGAGCTTCCGGTCCCGTCCAATCTTCCGCCTGCTCCAGCTCCGACCGTGTTCTGTGATTCTTTTAGTACAAACTGTGAGTATGGTGAGGACTGCACACCAGTGTGGCGGCTCCAGTCATTCCCAGAGTCATCTTAGCACGCAGGGTCGAGTTTTTCTGAGTTCTGTGACGCCTATAGTAATTTGATTATTTAGATGCACGCTAATCTTCGTCTCAGAAGTACCGAAGCCCCTCTGTGGGCGACAAGGAGATGTTGCACGGGACATCGTATAAAAGTTTTTATTATGTAAAAGGTCATTGATTAATTACACGAGCTTCCGTTGCTTCCCCTCCCTTCTCGTTCAGGCAGATGGATGACACTGAATTCATCGAAGAGGATAGCTTTCCTTGGTACAACCCTGACCAATTCTATCCGGTCTGCATCGGCGAAATACTCCATTCAAGGTATGAAATCATCGCAAAGTTGGGGTATGGTGGTTACTCCACGGTGTGGTTATGCCGAGACATTTCGTGAGCATTTCTGCTTTCCATCGATGTAAGATCTTGCTGATCTCTTCAGTGCAGCACGCGTTCATACATGGCTCTTAAAGTCTGCAGGCAGTGCCCTATTGCCGTTCAGAGAGAGCTTTCAGCCCATCGGCATCTAAAATCTCACTTCATCCGGGGTCTTTGGTCATACGGAAGATGCTGGATAATTTTGAAGTTCAAAACGAAGATGGCGCCTTCCAATGCTTTGTTCATGAGCCCATGTCGATCTCGATGAACTTGTTTCGACAATTGCTAGGGGGGACACTGGAAGAAGGCGTGCTTAAGGAGACTCTTAAACGCCTCTTACTCGCCATCGACTACTTGCATTCTGTAGTAAAATTAATACACGCCGGTAAGCGCTATCTCCTGGCCATTTCTTAAGCTCTACAGACTAGGACGACGATATTATGCTTCTGATCGACTCCCCTTTAACAGATATACAAGAGAGCAACATTCTCTTCTGCATCGAGGGGGAGTACGACCTCGCAGAGTTCGAGAAGGAAGAAGAAACGAAGCTGAGTTGACGCAAAGTCGTAGGCAATCGAATCATCTTTGAATCTCTCAAGCTCTGCCCAAATCCCGATGCGCTTGGCAGCCCCATGCTGTGCGATTTTGTGAAGGACGCCCCGTGCTTAGGTCTGATCCAGCCACATCAGTATCGAGCTCCAGAAGTCATCCTCAACATACCCTGGGATGAAAAGGTGGACATATGGTCCATCGGTGTGATGGTTCGTCAAACGGGATCATGACCACGTTAATACGCTTATAACTGACCACCCAGATCTGGGATATGTTCTATGATCACAATCTATTCGATTACCGAGACCTCGAAGGCAAACCGTCAACAACCTATCACCTTGCACAAATGGTTGCTCTACTTGGGCCCCCACCGAAGGATTTCCTTTGCCGAAGCACAACAGATGCACTATGGGAATGGTTTGATGAAGAGGGTCCGTCTGGTAGTATCCTATGTTTTAGCCCGTATATCTCAAGAACGTGCTTTGGCTCCAGGAAACTGGAAGGCACAAATCCAAATACCAGACACTTCCTTGGAGAAAGCTGAAAGCAGATTGACGGGAGAGGAGAAACTCAATTTTCCAAAATTCATCTGGAGAATGCTCAAGTGGAAGCCTGAAGAAAGATCCTCTGCTCACGAGCTGCTGGAGGATGACTGGCTTAAGGATGCTTCGAAGTAAGCAAGATGATAATTCTGTAGAGCTACTCCAACCTGATCCAACATGGATGTATGATATTACACATAACGTGCTCATATTTATAGTCTCATATAGGGTTTCTTGAAATGTGGGGCGAGAATCGAAATCAATACCTATATCCTGTTTCTGGTGAGTGTCTGCCTGACCAACAACAAAACATAAAGCAAAGCATACTCGTCCGACTCTGTGGAGCGTATAGCTGCCTCAATCTCCGTACTTCTTGGCCGGATGGAGCACCTGAACGGCAGAGGAGTGCTAAGATCTATTCAGCCTTCTGCCCAATGCCGAAGGGTGGAAATATACGTACCGAATAGAACCTGAGGTATAAGGGTGGTCTATGCCTGCAGTCGAATCGGACCTACAGAAGACAAAGGCCGCGATAAAGGAGGATACAGCGATCCATGTCGAAGACCCTGCCAGGAAGCGCCCAGGGCAGATCCTGAGGATGGAAGGATAAGCGCCCACGTGCCGGGCCGTTAACCCGGAATAAATTTGGTGACTCGCCTTCGTCCGAAACCCCATATCGCGTGGTCTGGGTCCCATATGTCCTCGTTTAGTTTTCCTTCCTCCGTCAGGAATCGCTCGGGCTTGAAAGAAAACGAATCTGGATACTTCGTCTCGTCGTGCGTTATTGCCCTAACCCGCCGCAAATCAGCCAATGAACAGCGGAGTCGCGAAAGAGAGAGAAGCACCAAGTATTGCATAAGACAAGTGAGCCTCTGGGAATCCTGTATCCTCGATATTCATCTTCTTTGTGCAATAGATGAGGGAGCCCTATGAAATTGAAAATGTTAGAATGTCAACGAAAGTGCTGGCATGTCGGGTGGAATGAACCCAAGGGCACAGATATATTCCATCGAGAGCTTTCCTTGACAATTGCAGTGATATAAGGCAAGGATGGTTCGTCTTCAAGATCTGGGAGAGTCCCAGGCTTGAGGACACGATCAATTTCATCGTGTGCCTTCTTCAGTGCTTCCGGGTGATTCAAGAGGGAGAGGATGCAGTTCGCAACCGAGGCCATGGTCTTGGTAAGAGCAGATAAGCACATTGTACGGTTCATTCAAATCGCTGACATACCGTGTCAGAGCCACCTACGCTCGATAATTCAGCTTGAGATGAGGAATGGGGTGCAATATAATAAGGTGAGCCAACACACCTCCGTACAGTGTCCCTGCTGCGTCTTTGATATCTTGTTCCTGCTGGTCGATGTCAAGTCTCTCATCAAGGGCCTGTAGGCTCGACAGACAAAAAGACGGCGGAGGTAAACCCTTTTCCTGAATAAATCAAGTATCGTTAAAGCACCAGTATTTCACTCGGGCGAGAACGCTCACAATCTCATTCTTTGCCACTTCAAACGGCGTGTCTCGCATAGCTAAAGTAAGCCGCTTCCACTCATTCGCCTTCCTTCTGAACCCAGCCCCTGGAAACCATTCCGGAACGTACTTGAGGAAAGGCATAAAATCTACCCAATACGTGCCCGGGATCAGAGCCGGTAGGGCAGGCTTGACACCCTCTTTGGCGAGTCTGATGTACTTGTCCGATTTGGAAGCGATATCTAGGCCATACGCAGAGGAAAGTATGATTTCACCTGACAGGCTGGATGTTTCGCAATTGGTTAGTCAAATGGTTTCCGCGAGGGAAAGAAGGGCGAGGAGCTGACTGTCTTATGTCCCCGACGATGTCGTCTTGGCTGTCTAAGACATGTCGGAGAAAACGATGAGATGCCTTGAGCATATGTGGGCGATATTGCTTCACAGAAATTGGGTTAAACGATTGGTGTACCACCTTTCGAAGTCTACGCCTTATGCCGCCTGTTGTTAATGATGCCCATAGGCATACACAGGGAATCATGCCATCGTTCTCCTGTAGGCATGATTGATGACCTGAAGGTTTAATCGTAATTAATTGCTCGCCATAGTCCATGAATGCGAAATTGAAATCCCATCCCATCAGCTCATTCACCATCGGCATGCGCGGTCTGTCCATTCAGAGATTAGAGGGACATTGGCAAGCGAATATAACAGTAAGGGTGGATCTCCCACCGTCCAGAATAAATCGCTGACTTCTTGTCGAGTAGTTCTACTGCCGCTTCGTACGTGTCAAGAATGATGAGGTCGGATCCAGCGGCATTGAGGTGAATTATGTCGACCCACTCTGCGGGAGATTGGCGGGAGATGATTGGTAATGCAACAGATAGGCTTGATAGAGCAGTGATGCTGCAAAAGACCGAGAAGGTGTTAGAACAGCAAGGGCGCCTGGGGGAGGTGAAGACGAGAGAGAGAGCGGCGTTTAGAGAGGTCGGGCGTTCGGAAGAAAGATGCATTGACAGAGTGATGGGGCTTATATATCCTGTCGGAGACCGTATACTTCCTTTCGCCAAAAAAAGCATGAGCACTGACTCTGCGACTTGTGGACGAATTTTGGGACGAACGTTTTTTTGACGTTTTTAGTAGGCCGATTGCCAAATTAGGAACTGTCGATCGTCGCCTGGAGCCTCGGCCTCAATTCTAGGAAGACGATGGACAAGTGCGACGTCGTCGCGTATATACCACATTTACGACACCGATGTTGCACTGCCCGTGCTTTCGTTCAACCCCGAAGTGCAAGGCCTGGACAGTTTTACGCAGACAGTCACATCCTGCCGACTTACTTGGTTGACCAAAGACAGGCCAAGACCGGGACCTTGTCGAACCTGTCTCTAAATTCCGAGGGAAGCAGGTCCACTAAGCGACCTCACTCATAAATTCATTCGAAAAAGGAACATAGGCATATATTACAGTGCATACTTATTACACACTTTCCAATTCTACATACAAGAGGTATGATTTAGTCCATCTAAATCATAAGTATTCATAAATCATAATTACTACAGAAGCGTCACGATTTGTTGCGCTCCTGGACCAGATAATCGGTGACAACGTTGGCCGCTGCCTCAATGGCTGCCTGGAGCGCCGGGTCGGCCTTTGCCAACACTGCAGGGAAGAACTTATCGGTATGCCACTTTCTGACTTCGTGTGTCGCCATCATGCGCCTATTGCGCTTCTCGTGGCCTGGGCGGTGCGGGTTAAAGACGTACTCCCAGATGCGTTCCTTCACGAGGTCATCTATGCTGTCGACGAATCCGAAGACAGGCCAGGGGACCTCGCGGAAGGTCTGCGGAACGACGCCTCGCCTGAAGTTGTCGTAGCAGGCCTCGTGGTGTTTGTACCACTCCAAGGGAGTCGAAGGTGCGGGTGGTGGAGTTGGGGAAGAATACGGAGGGGGTGACGTTGAAGGCGTCGAGGGTGGAGGAGGGGATATCGGAGATGCTGGGGAAACTGGAGATGCTGGACGAGTTGGAGGAGTCGTCTGAGATTCTGGAGAGACTGGAGATGCTGGACGAGGTGGAGGAGTCTGAGATGCTTGGGAAATTGGAGATGCTGGACGGGTTGGAGGAGGAGTCTGAGAAGCCTGAGAAGTCTGAGGAGGCGTGTCGTCTTGTACGTCATGCATAGACGCGTCCCTTTCTAGGCGGATGGAGGGTTCTCCCATCGGAATGTCGGTATCGTACTGCTGGTAGCGAGCTTGTTCTTGCCGCTGTTGCTCGTAGAAGGCCCGCTGCTGCTCGAAATAAGCTTGCTGCTGCTGATAGTGGGCCTGTTGCTGTTCATACTGAGCGCGCTGCTGTTGTTCTTGCTGAGCTTGCTGCTGCTGCTGATACCAGTACTTCTCCTGCTCGCGATTAGCCTCGTGCTGAGCGTGGAGGAATTGTTGCCAGGCCGCGTGAGCGACAGAGGCCTCGGCTGCTGCTTGGGCCTCAGCGACGAGCTGCCGCATGCGTTCGTGCAAAGCGGCGGTGATCTGTGCAAAATGAGCCTGCTGCTCCTGCAAGCGGGCCTCCATCTGCGCACGGACCCGCGCATCCTGCTCGGCCTGCATGCGCGCCTCCATCTCCACACGCGCGGCCGCCTCCCGCTGCGCCTGGAGCTCTGCGTAGTGCTTCGACAGCCTCTCAGCCTCAGCGCGGGCTGCCTCGACGGCCTCGCGGTGCGCACGCTCGGCCCTCTGCTTCTCGAGGTCAGCGGCAACCTTGCGGAGATGCTCTTCGTGCACGTGGCGCAGGCGTTCAGCCTCCCGCGCAGCCCATGCTTGATGGAGGCGTTCCTGGGCTGCGTGCTGTTGATGAGCCCGACGCTCCTCCTCAGCCCGAGCCGCGGCCGCCCGGCGACTTGCCTCCTCCTCCTGGCGCTGTCGGATGAGATCTGCGATCTTTCTTTCCTCCTCTGCGATCCTCCTCAACCGCTCCCGCTTCTCCAGCACCTCCAACTCCCTCTTCCTCCTCTCGAACTCCGCCTTCTCGCGCTGTCGACGAAGCTCGGCCTGACGCCGACGCTCTTCCTCCTCCTTTAACGCCTCCCTCAGTACACGCTCCCTCGCTTCCTTCTGACGGGCCAGGCGCTCCAGGCGCTCCCTCTCGCGGCGGATCTCGTAATTGGCCTTCGGGATAGGTGTGGCGGGCGCTTGGTCCTGCGCCTCGGGGTCGGTAGGGTCGGTGGGGGTAGCCGTATCGCCTCCCTTAGTCGCGAGGAGGTGATCGAGGTCCAAGCCGAGCTGATGGAACTGCTCAGTAAAGACGTGGTCCTCGCTGGTGATGGTGCTGGGCCTTTGAACGGCACCCATGACGAGTCCGACGCGCTCGTTAAGGTGCGGGAACTGCGATGTCTCGCGGGCCCGGGAGAGCGCTTGGTCCTTCTCGATAGCATGGAAGGAGCGCTCCTTGCGAAGCTCGTTCAACGAGCGGGTGTTGCGTACGCCGCCGACGCGGTGCTCGCGGGTCTTGTGGGGGCGAATGCGAGGCGAGGGGCTGAAGGGGTCGGCGGCTGCGTAGTAGCGCCTACGCGCGGGGGTCTTTGGAGTGAATGGGGTGTAAGGAGTGGCAGGTGCGGCGTCCTGTCTGGCAGGACTGGTTTGCGGGGAGACAGCGGGCGATCCGCGTGTGCGGACGAAGTTGAGAGGAGAGTAGAAGGGAAGGCGGGAAAAGATCTTCTTGGGAGTCGTCAACATACTTGAGGGTTGCTGAGTCGGTGTGTGTGGATGGGGGTTGGCGACGGTGGGCGGTGGTTGGGGTTGGGGATGTTGACGATGGCGGTGCTTCTTGAGGGCTGTCTTGCGGAGGTCTTCTTGGGTAGAGGGGTTCACGAATCTATTCCAGCCTCTATTTATGCTGCTCGGCAAAGCTGACAACAGGAGGTCGGCCATAGGGCATGCTTCTGTGCGATGTTCAAGCACCAATCACCCTGGCTCTGCAAAATGCGGCCAGAAGAGGAAATTTCGCGCTGCTGAATTATCGTGGCCCGGAAGAAATTGTGCAGTGCCAAGAAGCCGGCCCAGCTATATCCACCATTGTTCATCGAAAGTGGACCCGAATTAGAGCTCATCCCCGAATTCTCGACGTATGGACTCTCGATCCTGCTAAACGTATTCTCGTCTTCCATAAGGCGAGCTTCAGGGACTAGTCGCTAGAAAAAAAAATCGAAGTCGAAAGGAGGTATGGAGGGTGGGTTTTCCGCGGCCCTGACATTCTACTCAAAGTTGGCCAGCGATGGAGAGCCACTCGATAAGAGGAAGATAGGGATCTGCCGTGGGTGGCCACTCGCCCACCACATCACGCGTAGCTCAAAGCGACAACGGTGCCACCACAAGACAAAGAGCTGCCCCGCTAGTATAAGAGACCGCTGGTGCCAACATTATGGAGGCCAGACGAACCTTCTTCTGTGGCACCGTCTTCCCTCTCTCATTTCACATCTTCACGCAATCACCGTCCCGAAATGCCTGTAACGCGTAGTCACAACACCAACAGTCGCCATGAGAAGAACGAGAGGGAGCCAGTCGACCGTCGTCTCGAACAGGATAGGGAGGAGCGCGCAGTCGCCCGCGAAGTACCCCTGGAGGCGGACAGAGGTACCTACACCCCTTGTATTCCCACTGCTAGCCAGTCTGAATTGTAATCAGTTGTCGGCTTCACGCCCAGCCCCCCTTCTTCGTCCCAGTCTGTCCCCAAAACGCCAGTCAATCAGATCCACGGAACACCTGTTACGCCACCCAAACCCTCCAAAGACGACGAGCCAGTCGCAAGAGAGAAACCAGAAGGACTCAGAGAGCTCTTGAACCGATATGTTCCCCCGTTGGCGAGGAAATGGACAGTGTCTGATGAGAGGCCGACCTCCCCTCGAACAGCCATCGTCAGTGGTGGTACCCGGTCGCAGAAACAGGGTCGCTCCCATCGATACGCCCCATACAATAGGTACGAAATGACTCCTAGCTGGCTAGGGTCGCCTTTCGCCATTTTGGAATCGAATCCGAGCTCAAGTTCAAGGCGGACATCTGGAAGATCAGCCAGATCGATTGAATGGGTTCAGAACGAGAATACTGGAAGCAAGAACGAGGAGAAGCAGCAAAATTAACCATGCGCCAGCTATAACCTTTCGTTTTGGTTAAACACGAATCTTCCAGTCGAGTGTTGTCGCCAATGTTCTTGCAAGCTGTCCGAGTCTGAATGGACGTCTGCGGCGATAGTTGTAGCATGGAAGTTAGAAGTAACCGCGTATTTAGCCAGTAGTTCCTGTTGAATGCGCTACGTATCTAGTTAGTCGAAATTGTCGCTATCGATGCAAAGAGGTCCAATTCGGTGCTCGCATGCAGTGGGAGTCGGAGGAATCAGGGGATTGCCATTTCGGGAACGGAAGCAAATGCAACGGCGCCCGTCACGTGGATCGTTTCTGTAAGCACACAATATGCATCGGCAATTGCCGCTCTTGACTGTTTCTTGACTCCTACTAGTTACTTTCCAAGTTTCGCCATGTCTCTCCCAGCCAAAATATGGCACCACATCTCGACTTTTGTGCCTCTTTCAGATCTGAAAGAACTTTATGCTGTCAACCAGGCATTTTTTGACATCTCGATGAATGCTCGTTACCGGGAGCTACGGTTTGAACAGTTAAACAAGTTCGTGTTTCACCAGCTAGAATCTCTGAGGTACGTCCATGAATACGGCCGGCAGCATCATCTCACAGAGCTCTCAGGAATCGTGAGATTGCTAGTAGAGTTCGATCCTTTCACCTCTCGCCTCGTGTCATCCGGGACCAACTTGAACTTGAGTACGAAAACGAAGAGGCAGCAGCTCTGAGACTGCAAGAGACGCAGAAACCACCCTCTCGACTGAGGAGGATAGCTCGTCGGCTATTCGGTCGTTTCAACCGTCCAGATGAGGACGAGCACCGCGGTTCCAACGATTCGACGAGGACTACACCCATCCTCGACGCGATCTCGAACGTCATCCCACTCATGACCAATGTGCAGCACTACTCGGTGAAATGGTCTCGATTCGACGACTTTTCCGCACCCTACGCTGGTTTAGTCTGGCAACTCTTCTCATCCAACGTTGTCGATCTGGAACTTGCGATTTCCGCCAGCCAGGCTTCACAACTCATGACAATGCTCTCCGTACCAATCCCGCAGCTCGAAAGCCTCGCCATCGACCTGCTTATCGACACTCCGTTCCTGAAGTGTCAGGTCGCTCTTGGGCGCCTCGTTAGCGCCGTCCGGGGGACATTGAAGAAGCTGCGAGTGCACAGCAACCCCTTTCTGCCCTTATCGACGTTATTTTCGCACATGCCCGAGTTGCCCCGTCTGGTAGACCTTCAAATATGCATCTCTGGCCCGGGTATGCATATGGATGATGTCGCACTCGCACTCGTTAAGCGCCAGGCTGCACATTTACAGAAGCTTTACCTATCCTCATTCAAGCTCGGGTTTTCGCAGGCCAAAACCTCGTTTTGCTTGGATGAGGTCGTTATGCCATACCTCCATTCCCTGGACATCGTTCCCGAGCTTCTGAATTGCCCCGAGGCTCAATTGTCGACGTTCTTCAGCACCCATGCATCTACGCTCAAGCATTTCTGTATACAAGGATTCTGGCCAATGGATGGTCCGCAAACGGTGCTAGAGAGTCTTGGACACCGCAATCCGCACCATTCACTCACACGTCTTTCGTTGTATATCCCCTTCCAAGCAAAGGTTCTTGACCGGCTCGCGACTATCTTCTTTCGCCTCGACAGTCTCTGGTTGCGAATCGGCAAAGTCTCCTCGAACTCTCAAGATACTCAGGTGATACCCAGCGATTCATTCCCTGACATCAACTTCGTATTGGTAAGTGGGTTTTCTGCCTCGTTTTGTATGCTAACTTGACCGCGTTCTTACTAGGAGTCGCAAAGTTCACATTTCTTGTTGCAAGACATGGGGCAATATGAATCGTTCGAACGATGGAAATTGCGCAACATCATGATCAAGAGATATTCCTGCTGCGGGGACCTCATTTTATGGGGTCTGATGCGCCTCTGTGCTCACTACATCCCCAGCATTACAAGCTTTGCAGAGAACGGGGATACGCTTATACCAGATCCTCCAAATTTGAAGCCACGTCGGGGTCCCGCTACGTGCTCCGATGTTTTTTGCCGTTATGGAAAGGATAACTGATATGAAGTAATGGTGTCCAGAGTGTTTCTCGCTCGCGTCCATCTCCTTTCACATTCCGTAAATGATGTGTTTGTAGTCTGCAATATACCTCCTGGCTTGTTGCAGAAACTACAAAGTTCAAGCGGCAAAACTAACCGCGTTCGAGTCTCATCAGCCTTTTTCGGCGTCACCCGCTGACCCCTAAATCTGGCCACGTCGTACTCTGACCGCAACCATCACCATGCCAGATCTTCCGCCCGAGTTATGGTGTACCGTCGCTCTTTATCTTCCAAATGATACTCTCAAGGGGCTGTATGCTGTCAATCGACCCTTCTTTGACCTAGCCATGAACGAGAGCTATCGAGAAGTTTCTTTCCGCAAGATCGACGAGTCGACGACGCGTCAGCTTGAGGCTTTGAGGTGGGCATTGTCATTTTTTCGTTAAAATTCATGGCTTACACGAACTTCAGAAACCCTAGCATTGCATGTCGCGTCCATTCACTGCGTTTTGTTGCCGGTTTTCTCCCTGGACTCTCTCCCAATCTAAATGAGGTGGCATCTCCTGAACGCAGGAGACTATCCTGTCTTTCGAACCTGTCTTCTATCAGTCACCACCTCGTTCATCAATTTACGAAGAACCGTTCTCGTGGAGGAAGGAAGAACGAATCGGATCCAGTGTGCTTGACCAAGCTCACAGATGGGCTTATGGCTGTTCTACCCCTCATGCTCAATGTCCGTGACTTGCACGTCTCCTGGAATTCCTTCGATTATGACCATTCACCGCCGCTCAATCTCGCTTGGTCTACATTTGGCCACGACCTCGAAAGCCTTACGTTATCCGCGTCGACAACAACAAGTTTTTGTCGATGTTTCCCTTATCGGGTTCATCTCTACCCTGCCTCCGATCGTTCACGGTCGAGATAAGCGCCCGAGGTTATGCAGATGATAGAAAAGTAGGAGGCGAGTTGTTCAGTGCCCAAGTTGCGCTTGCTGCCTGCGTCAGTTCGCTCTCGGGAAGCCTGGAGCATCTCACGGTCAGCTGCTGCCCACCTGAGTACCTCAGCGTCTTCTACAAACACAAGTCTCTTTCATCTCTGACATTAAACGTGGCATCGCTTGGGAGGCAAAGTTTCGAGACATCGACGTCTTCCGGTCTGCATGGTTTTCTCCGACAGCAAGGAGGCACGCTTCGTCACCTCGAAATATCCGCTTCTGTTTCCGAAAATCCCTGGCGTGCCTACCGGTTCTCCTTCCACGACCTCCAGCTATCCTCGTTGCAGTCTCTCTCCGTCACGGCAGACATCCTCGCCTCGTCGTGGGACGACTCCTTCGCCTTCCTTCGCAATCACGTACAGTTAGAAAGCTTATCAATCGATGGGCCTCTCGCCCCTTCTGAGATTTATCGCATCCTCGATGTCCTCAACCACCACCACCCCTCTACTGCTCTTGTCGAACTTTCGTTATCGATATACAACTTGGATGTCCGTGTCCTCGATAAACTCGCGAGCGACCTTCGACGACTAAGAAGTCTCAAGTTGAAAATCAGCAAGATATCTTGTGATACCACCTATGCCATAACTCCATCTCAACACTTCCCTGATGATTCGGTCTGCATCTCCCGCCTCTCTTTTCATACACCGACGCTGACTCTTGCACACCCCAGGTGTCCGGCAAAGTGTACCCCTTCGTCAACGAGATGAAGCTCCATGCATCGTTCGAGCGGTGGGAGTTGAAGGACATCACGATCAAACGGCGCTCATGCTGTGCGGACCTCCTCCTGTGGGGCTTGATGTCACTGTGCGCGCAGTGCATCCCGTCGATTACGAGCTTCGCGGGGAACGGAGACAAGATGATTCCCGCGGGACTTCAGCTTCAGGCTACATACAAGCGATGTTTACAGGTTCTGTGCAGCTACGGTACCGACCATACGCTATGGTGATTTGGTGTGAGGATTCCAGCAACTTGAGCGGGTTTGTGAGTAATATCTGTTCTCCTTCTGAATCGGCCTGGAATAAGCATAAACCAGGTCATTTGATTAGAAACCGAGTGCCACTTGGATTCATTAAATCAGTCGATCACTTGCGTTGGTGTAACCTGACGCTTTCCGTAATCCATCCCAGAATAGGTGCGTCATGCAATGAGCACAAAAAGTGTTACAGATCAGGGAATTATGAGGGAAATTTTCCTTTTGTTTGCATGTTGGTCGACGCGAGACGCGATGGGAATTCTTCGAACACTCAACAATTACAGCTCGGTCAATCTTTAAGCAACTAAGAATCATTTTCAAAACATTCTCTACAAGCTAGCAGGGGGCTTGCCAGCAGTGTGAGCGCGAAGCACCCTTAATGGAGTAACACCCGGCCTGCCTTTCCCAAAGGCACACACCTCTTTGTCAATTGCCTTCTATCCTGTCTTCAAAATCTCCCCACCTCACACCACAAGAAGACTTCTATTCTCAGCCAACAAGCCAAGGGGCTCCACTGACATCTCAGAATCAGACGTATGGCCAGCTGTTTCACTGCATCTGTAGTCCATATAACAGGGAAAGTGCAGTACTTGTTCGTCATCTGTTTCTCTCCTCCTTCGAGTTGGAGCTTCTATGTTATGCTGACACTCATTGACCTTGTAGCTGCTTCGGCATTCTTATGGGCGTTGGGCCTCTATGTGGCATTCATAAGAAATCGTCTGCCGCTCCCACCTGGCCCCCCAAAGCTGCCTCTCCTCGGCAACCTGCTGATCATGCCTAAAGTTGCTGAATGGAAGATGTATCACAAGTGGTGCAAAGAATTTAGTAAGTTCAGCGAGAGTATGTTCAAATTTTGGTTTGGTTTATTCTCGAGTCAGATACAGACATCCTCCATCTTGATGCCGCAGGAACAGACATCATTGTTCTTGACACGTACGAGGCGGCAGTGGAACTACTCGAGAGGAGGTCGTCCGTTCATGCTGGATGGTGCGTGAGGCTGTTGACTCCATTTCGCTATCTTCCCTCACGAATCAACGAACAGATCGCGCTTGCCAATGGTGACCGAACTGATGGGATGGGATTTTAGCTTTGGCTTCATGAACTATGGTAACTTATCAGTTTCACTGTATGGGTGGTTTATTAACCACTTTCATAGGCGAAAGATGGTATGACTCGCTGCATGTCTCTCTCAAAGGAAATACATATCCGAAGTTCGCAATATTTTCAGGCGAAGGCTCCGAAAGCTAGTCCACCAATCCTTTCACTCAGGGACCTCGAAGAGATATTATCCAAGTCAAGTCAAGGCTGCGCGTCGGCTCCTCCTCCGCTGTTTGGACGGCCCGGAAGACATAGTAGAGGAGATCAGACAGTCATTATCTATCCTTTGTCTCGAAAGTTCGTATTCGGCTGACAATGATGTCCAGCCTCTCAGGGGAGGTTATACTTTCAGCAACATACGGATTCGACATCGTGTTGGAGACAGACAAGTACATTGTGATGGCGAAAGACGGTGTTGACCCCGTTCTCCCGGCTCTGATTCCTGGAACGTACCTGGTGGATTTTATTCCTGCCCTTAAATATGTGCCGGAGTGGTTTCCTGGTGCAGGGTTCAGGAGAAAGGCGAAGGAATGGAAGAAGCTTACTTTGGCTATGCGTGATGTCCCTTTTTTGGTTGCAAAAAGAGAGATTGTGAGTGCTTCGTTAGCCTCTGCCTCGCAAAATCTAAAGGGTTGCATTATGATGCCCTACTCTCTAGGAAAATGGTTCTGAGAAACCCACTTTCTGTTATTCGAGCCTTCAAAGGATCGATGAGAGACTAGACCGCGAGCAACAAGAACGCGACATCAGAGATGTGGCAGGGACTATGTACGCCGGTGGGTTCAGATCGTCTTCTTTACTTCCTGTATCCACACTAAATTAATTTGTGAAGCTGGTTCTGACACGGTACACTGCTCGTTAACTTCCAATGCATTCGCTGATTCAGTTCCTTATTTCTAAGACTATGGCCTCGATCGCGAATTGCATCATCGCCCTCCTCAACCATCCCGAGGTGCTGAAGAAAGCCCACGAGGAAATTGGCCGAGTTCTCAAGCCAGGAACCCTCCCGGACTTCGACGATGAGCCGTCCTTGCCCTATGTCACAGCCATCATTAAGGAAACCTCCCGTTGGAATGATGCGACACCTCTCGGTGAGTTTAGCGCAAGTCTCCTCTTATTTTCGCGCTCTCATGCAGGACACAAAAAGGTCTCCCCCATATGTCAAGGGAGGAAGACGAGTACCACGGGTACAGGATTCCAAAAGGATCCTTAGTTTTGGCCAATATTTGGTAAGTAGCGACAAATTTTCACCACTCCACCGCCTTCGAAGTTCATACTCTTTGTGTACGGCAATTCTACATGATGAGGCAATCTACCCCGACCCATTCACCTTCAACCCCGAGCGATTCTTAATGGCGGACGGTAAGTTAAATAACGACGTATGGGATCCGGCCCACGCGATATGGGGCTTCGGACGCAGGCACGCCGCCGTCCCCCTTTCGGAATTATCGGCCCGACGGTTGGGCGCTTATCATCCTCATTGTCAGGATCTGTCCCGGACGCTTCTTGGCAGCATCTTCAACCTGGATCACTGTAGCATCCTTCATCGCGGCTTTTGATTTTTGTAGGTCGGATTCGACTGCCGGCCCAGATCATCCTTATCTCCCCGGTTCTCTCCGGTAAGCCGGACGTTTCTGCGTTGAGGCTCTGTCCAATCAATTTGAGAAGGTTGCCTTTGCCGTTTAAGTGCACTATCCGTCCCAGAAGTAGTGAGATAGAGGCAGCAATCCGCTCGGTTGATGCTGGCGAGTAAGTTCGTTCAAGCCCGTCCTCCAAGTTTCTAACAGACGACGGGTACTAGATATTGATCTTGTTGCTACAGTGTAACGGCACTCCTTGATACACTGTCACTCCTTGATACAGTACGCATCCTGGGCCCAATTCCCCCTCAAATCCTTAGCTTTTTTACACAGCAGTGCCATTATATTGATTCTAGTGTCTAAATAAAAAATGGAGGGTGGGGAGCATTATTGCTTTCAAAACCTGCGAAGGACATGATTTTGAGGGCACTCCGCTAAGGAGCACAGGCCCTGTCACAAATTGAGCCGCGCAAAATTCGCCATAAATTCACGGTACATCCTTTCTATACTAGGCAAAATGTGGGCGAAGTTTTGGGACAGGAAGTCAGCCATGTTGAGAAGAAACAAGCCAAAGAGACCAAATGAGGTGGAGAAGTGCATCATTTGGATTTTCCCACCCGCCAAATTTAGCGGTGATGTGGGTGTATCAAGGAGTGATTCACCATCACAAAGCTGCCTTTCCTTGCAAGACGCATTGTAGCCCAAATCGTGGCCAATCGAGCTGAAAATTGGCAGGTGTACTTGCAATATGTTGTGGAAAAATAATATTAACTTTAATTTGCAGCGAGTGACCTATCTGCCTTTGAAATCGGAGATGACCTTAGCCTGTATCAAGGAGTGCCATTACACTGTACATATTCGAGCTTTTGACACAAAATATTACCTTCAAGAATAGCTGCACGTTACACATCGAACAAATTTGTGACAGTGAAGATTCCAGATAACACTCAAAGCTTACATTTCACTCCTTGGAGTCAGAGCAAATGGAGCAACCCCCACAATCATGTTCTGAACATCCTGCCACCTCGGCCCCATGATCGCCTGGATCTCCTCATTCATACCTATCATTGCCAATACAGCCTTCGCCTCCTGCTGTCTGACATTCCATGTCCCTGCATGAATGATCTCAGGGCGCTTCATAATTTTCACGGCGTGAGGGCTGCCAGACTTGATGGTCTCATATGTACAAAGGTCCTTCACAGAGCCGCAGCAACTTTCAACATGAAAGCGGTGATGAGCTGGACTGCTCCCTGACCCTGGTAAATCCCTTTTTTTTGACCTTTGTCATCACATTCCCGTCGTTCCCTCGATCCCCAACACCTTTCCCATTGTGCCATATGATTCCTTGACACACCCGGAGATCCTCAGTCAGCAAAAGCATCCGTCCCGTGACCGGCACCGCCTCTTTCCCTCTCTTTCCCGTTTCACCAAGATGCTTGGTGCGCCACCCTTTCCTTGTTAGGTAGCCTTTTCCCCCATCAACGCAGTTGCCGCCTCGCCACCTCTCCCCTATTCCATTCCTGTTTCATTCTTATCTGAAATTTTCTGTTTTTCTTTCTTCCTTCACCCACGGCTCGGATATCTTCCTTGCCGGGCTCTTCTTTCTTCATAGATATAATCCATGTCTACACACTCACACAATATAGAGAATTTAGTTCATTTTTCCGTCTCTCACCTCCCTTGTATTCCGGAGGCGCTGTTGCCTCATTTGTCCTGTTCCCATGCTTAGCGCCCACATTTGCCATCCGTCTTCGAGTTGCATGCGCCCACTGGTTAGAGCCGCACAACCATGGAACTGTCCTTGCACCTCAGAGCCACTCATTGCGGTGTTTTGGGTGTGTGTTTGTCATTCATTATTCACACGATCACCCCACCGTAGGCACATCAGCGGTGAGCCTGCAGCATCCTGTAGGTCACTGTCGAGCTGCTGGGGTCGAGGATAAACATGTCCAGCTCAGTGCAGGCTTCACATCTTGGTGGCCCACATCCAATCTTGCACAGCCAGTAGTTCCGTATCTCTGCCTTGCTTCCTAATGCCTCGTGGAGGTAAGATATGCTTCATATGTTTTGGTACTGTTTATGTAAGCAAAGCGTGACAAAATGGCCATTTCAGCTTAAATCCCATGGGGCTCTGGTAAAAAAGTATTTATCCAAAATCTGTTCCCAGGAAGTCCAAGATATTCGCATTTAGAAACTTTTGTTGCGGATGGATTTGGCAAAATCGACTCAATGCCGCTGCCCAGTGGGATTTTTGTATGAGAGTGTGCTAATTAAGGACGTGACTAAGTACGTGTTAGGACGCATCACATAGCATATTGAAACACAATTCCCTCTGCTCATGACTCGCAAGTGTAAATTAAATCCCACAGCAAATCTAGGCAACTTTGTGAAGGACTGCAAGAGGCAACAGAAGTCAAAAAAAGGAAGTATGAGGATCTGTGATCAGTGATTGATTATCTTGCTCACACTTCCACAGGTTTGCGACTCATTCTCTTTGGTTTATGGATGCTTACAGAAAGGGTCTGAGTGGTTCAAAAGCAGCCTGGGCAGCTAAAAAGTACAGGGGGCATCGTGTTATCCCAATGACCATCTTGATAGAGCTGGAAAAAGCAGGGCTTTGTTAATCTGTAATTATATTGGTCAATAATCATAATTTACACAAGGGGGAGACTATAAAGTGAGTTCTCAAGTGTTTTGGGTGACCAAATTGAGAGAACGAGGATTTCAATGTCGTGTCTGAGGGGCTCATTAGTGGGTGTCACAGATGTGTCACAATTATGTAAACAGTACCAAAACGTATGAAGCATATCTTACTGTGAAATGAATCCCTGAAGGTAGCCGACGATCAGCTCCACAGATATAGCGACGTTCTTGGTTTTCATGAATTCCTTGAGATGTGGAATAAGCTTGAGGTGCAGATGATGAAGCTTCGTTGCAAATGATCCTTGCATTGAGGTGAGTTGGTTGAGAAGCGAGGTGCTGATGTCAAGGTTGTGTGTGATGATGCACAACTCGATGACTTTGGTGATACGATGGAGGCTCTCAGCCCTGATGGGCAGAGACACTTTGGACTCGTGCATGACAGTAACGAGACCGTACACCTTTGGTTCTGGTGCTGGCCACTGTGCGCAGCCTGTTCGAGGAATTTTTTAATGGACCTTTTGACTTGAACAAATGCCATGTCCACGGCAACAGGCTCTCCTACTGTTGCGGCATGAGCGACTTCATGTTCAGTGATGACTCTCCTACTTTCCACAAGAGCTTTGGCAAATGCAACGCAGAAGTCATAATTGGCATGCGCCTTGAGCAATTTGGGCATCATTCTGAGCAATTGAAAAATACTGAGAATATTCATGAGAAGCAAAGGTAGCAATAACTCACAGATTTGCGAACACCATAAAGCCTACAATGTTGATAAAGTCAAGAATTTTTGGAATATCGTCAATGTTCTTTGTGTAGTAGGAGCAGCAAAGTTTGTCCGTCCTGGTTTTACACCAAGCAATGGCAGTTGGGAAGAGACACAAGCACTGGAAGCTGCCTGATGAAGTTGATGGCATCCTGACCACTGTGAGAACGATCCAGAATTTCCTGGAAACTGGAGGGGGAATCAACAGGAGATATCAAATGCGAAATGGCTGACTTGGACTGACCTGATGGAAACATTAGAAAAACCAAACTCCTTCAAGGTGTCGAGCAGCTGTTCCTTCCCTAATGCCTCCAACATACAGTCGCAACCATTCACAAATGTCTTCCACATCTCAGCATCCTTCCACTTCACCGCCAGATCAAGCATTGAGATTGACTGCTCTTTGCTCAAAGAAGAGCCATTGGAGCTCTTCTCGGAGACACACGAAGCCGAAAGCCTATCTTCAGAGGTTGGTGGAATGGCAGTAGACGCCTTGAGCCTGGTCAGTGCATACCCGATGTCCTCTGCAGCATAGCAGATGGCATCCTTTTCTTTCTCCAGGATAATGAGGAGTATGGTATGTTTGTAGCCTGGGACAATAGAATAATTAATGAACAAAAGTCGGACACATAACCTGGAAGAGGCTATGTACGATGTTCAATCATGCCAATGCACTGTTAATTTAAGGAGCCGTCAGCTAAATGGGCAAAATTATGGGGCTTATAAGCAGCGAGACTTACTCCGAAGTCCTTTTTGTCTGGCTCGAGATCATCGAATGGGAATGGGTTGTCTGGCATTAAGGTGCTGAGGTGAACAGGTATCTTTGTTACAGGAAGTAATAGTCTCCCCTCCAGTGACACGAAATTGGAGAGTGCTGTGGTCGATTCGTAGACTTTGTCTATGGCCATGACATCGTAATCTTCATCGTCCTCATCTTCATCATCAAGCCCGAGCCTGAAGTTGAGCATGTCGCAACCACCACGCTGCCTGCCCTGACTGTGGCCCCTGTAGCATTTACGTTTGCTGCCATAGTATGACCCACCTCTGAATGGATTGTGGCGGCCCCTCCCAGTGACGAAGTGTTCCACTTGTGCAACACCAATGACGAATCCTGGTTGATCCACGGCTCTCTGCAAAGCCTCAACATGGTGCTTGTCTGAACCTTGTAGTTCAGAAACTATTGGGCCAGTATGGAAGTGAATAAAGAAAGGGTTGGAGTGAGGCAGGAGGTAAGCCAAAAATCCCTGTTCCAGGAGTGACAACATGTAGTGGCCATCTTGCCAACCCTTGAGGATGTTGTGTAGAGAGTTGACAGGACTGCTGGCTTCAGGTAAGGAAGGGACACCAAGATGTGATTGCTGGATGCCGGTCAATCTGACACCATCAAGAGTAAGAGAAGGGTTTGACGTGTTCTGAATCTGCTGTGTAGGGCAGTGGGAGAATGTGCTCAGAAAAAAAGCTCATTTTGAGAAAATATGAGGGCCGGATTGGGGAAAAATTCCCCGGTGATTTTGAATACATGAATTTGGATCTTATACACTTTGAAGTCAAATTTAAGATATAGGCAGAGGCAATTTGATATACACACATGGGAATTTTTGGCCCGATAGCGGTGTGTGTGGAGTAATTCAAAAATAATTCAAAAAATAATTCAAAAAAAGAAGGGGAGAAGGAGGGAGGTTTATAGAGCTTCCTCCCCTTCATTTTAAGGCCTTAAACTATAGGATCGAGTGTGAACACCATTTTTTCGTCCCTGCAGGGCCGCCCCATAGTTGTGTCGCAATTATTGCGACTGGGCTGCTACTGCCAGCCAGATACTTGCTTGCACACCATTCTTACTGTTTTTGCTGCCCATTTGATGGTTCATCAGCAGGATACCCACTTAGATGAACAGTGTGAACACCTTACTAAGGCGCCAATAAGATTATGAAGGTCCTTGTCATGGAACAAGGGACGTTCAAACAAGCAATCGGCATTTTCCAGTGACCGAGACACGACACACGAAAGACCACCTGTCACTCGTGTGCGAGCGATTTCAATGGCCTGAAATTAATTTGGATGAATTTCCAATTTGTGTGCTTGAGACCTTCCCAGGGTCTTAAAATCTAGTTTGGCAATAACCAGAAAGAATTGACTTCAAAAGAGCAAAAGGTGACACCTTTGGCCTGTCTTAGAGTGAATTGATTGCACTTAAATATTTGACTACCCCGGATGCCTACCTATATACGCGAGTGCTTCTCAATCTGAATGCTGTAACTCCCACCAGGATGAGGAGGTCTTCACCTGCAGAACAATTCAGCACATGAAATATTACATAATACTCGGTATCCACTATCAGTATCCTCCACCCACATGATTAATGAGCCAAATTTAAACACACACACAGCGATTTTATACACACACACACACAACAATTTTATACACACACACGATGGTTTTATACACACACACACCAATTTTATATACATACATGCTGATTTAATGCACATACAGGCAGATTTTACATACACACACAGCAATTTTATGTACACACATGTGGATTTTATACATACACACATCAGTTTTATACACACACACACGAGACGTCTGTCACGACCCGTTCCGTGCCGAAGACATCCGAGAGACATCCGTTCATAGCCGTTTCAGTTCTTCAATTATATTGTTCTTTTGTTTGTTATTTGTCTTTGATTTTCCTAGTGTACATGTGCCTCATTATTCTATTGTCATTAGCGTACACGTTCCCTCCACGAGTTAGACAGCCAACGGCTCATTGTCATAGGTAGTCCATTATTTGTTGTAGTATTTAAGGGACTGCAGGACGACCGAGTCTGGCAGTCTGAATATCATACTCAACTTCTAATCTCCTCCTCTTGTTCTCATCCATTCTCATCTGCTCGCATCCATTCGACATCCGACACTGGCCTAAAAGCCTATACTCTGAAATTGGACTTAGACTATCTCGAGGGCGCAATGCACAAACGTTGAAGCCAAAGTCCACATCCGAAATCTCTTCCGAGGCACATCCGAACGCACCCAGTCTCCGGCACACCTCGGCTCAGCACAGGTCGTAACAACGTCCTATGACACACTCGGCTATCGGCATTTCCCTTGCCGGGTGGAGCTTCAAGCCTCTCGGCAGACTCGGCAAGAATTTGGTGCCCCGGGACACCAAATTTTCTCCCATGGGTCTGCTGGGGCGGAGTTGACGCCCTCAAAGGCACCCGTGATGCGCTTTCACATGCATCTGATGTGTGTCAATTTGGCTCTGCTAGTAGTAATGCTGGCATATTCTGGACTATCAAGATGCTTAGGGGATGGAGGAGTGAGACCACATTTTTATAATTTTGTGGTGAGGTGCATTGATTTGGCCATGGAGCTGCCAGATGTGGGTAATTTTGAACATAAAGAGTATATACTGAAAGCTCCTAATATTCTACCATTTATTACAGTTTTTATTTCATGAAATTCGGTCCAGAATTGCCTGAAATATGCCAGCATTACTACTAGCAGAGCCAAATTGACACACATCAGATGCATGTGAAAGCGCATCACGGGTGCCTTTGAGGGCGTCAACTCCGCCCCAGCAGACCCATGGGAGAAAATTTGGTGTCCCGGGGCACCAAATTCTTGCCGAGTCTGCCGAGAGGCTTGAAGCTCCACCCGGCAAGGGAAATGCCGATAGCCGAGTGTGTCGTAGGACGTCTCGTGTGTGTGTATAAAATTGATGTGTGTATGTATAAAATCCACATGTGTGTACATAAAATTGCTGTGTGTGTATGTAAAATCTGCCTGTATGTGTATTAAAATCAGCATGTATGTATATAAAATTGGTGTGTGTGTGTGTGTGTGTGTATAAAATCATTGTGTGTGTGTATAAAATTGTTGTGTGTGTATGTAAAATTGTTGTGTGTGTGTGTGTGTGTGTGTGTGTATAAAATCGCCGTGTGTGTGTTTAAAAATTCCCGTGTGTGTATATCAAATTGCCTCTGCCTATATCTTAAATTTGACTTCAAAGTGTATAAGATACAAATTCATGTATTCAAAATCACCGGGGAAATTTTCCCCAATCCGGCCCTCATAAGAAAATGCTTTCTGAAGGTCAACCTGCAGCAAACTTTTAACAAGAGGTGAGCGACAAATGGATGACCCCAGACATGTCGACGACTTACGCGAAGGCTTGAACCACGAGTCTCTGGCAAGTGCATTGCCATTTTGAAAATTGTCGATGTGTTTTTGACGCGTCTTAGATGGTGCGTTATTCAAGTTGGGCGTTTCGATGTACATGGCCCTGCTGTTTTATACATCGTCGTCGGATCCAGTGATGCATTACCGCCATCAACGACTGCCCTGAAAGAACACCCTGTGTGCTTCTCAAGGATAACGGGTGTGCGAATCCCGAAGTACATTGCACGGCCTGGGTCTTATTATGCATGCCTCGCGGTAATAGGGCCCCCGAAACCTACCTATAAGAAGGCACAATGCAATCAAAGTGCGCGGCTCAGTCTTGGGTGCTTAATGAAGATTGTATATTACATAATATCTCGACAGCCGGATATTAGAGAAATTTTTTGCATTCACAACAAAGCCTGGCTGTCGAAGGGTAGTATACGCGAACAAGCAGTCTACCACACTATGCCGTGCTCTGAAAAGACGATCAGAGCTTACGCTTGACCCCTCGCGAAGCCGGAGCAAGGCTGTTAGCCGCGGCAGGAGGTTGCTGAGTTGAGGGCGTAAATGTTGTCGACGTCCCAACAGTGCCCTCTGGAGTAGGCACGAACGGCGCAACGCCCTCAATTGCGTTCTGCACGTCCTTCCACCTCTGCCCCATAATCGCCTGGATCTCCTCGTTCGTACCTATCTTCGCTAAAACAGCCTTCGCCTCTTGCTGTCTGCCCTCCCACGTCCCTGCACGAACAATCTCAGGGCGCTTCGTGATCTTCACGGCGTAAGGACTGCCAGACCTGATCGTCTCGTAGGTGCACAGATCCTTTGCAAGGCCACAGCGATCTTCATATGAATACGCCGAGCTTGCAGCATCCTGTAGGTAACCGTCGAGGTTTTGTGGTCGAGCATGAACACGTCCAGCTTGGCGCATTCTCCGCACATCGCTATACCGCAACCAATTTTGCGCAATCTGTAGTTCCGCATCTCTGCCTTGCTCCCCAACGCCTGGTGGAGGTAGTGAGAAATGAATTGCCGTAGGTACCCAGCAATCGGCTCTGTGTATACAGTTATCTTCTTAGTCTTCGCAAACCCGCTCAGGTGCGGAATCAGCTTCAGGTGAAGATTGTCAAGTTTAGCAGCGAATGATTCCTTCATTGACGAGCTGGCTGAGAAGCGATGCACCAACGTCAACATGGCCAGTGATGATGCATTGCTCGATGACTTCGCTTATGCGAGATGGGGAGAGATGCTTTGGCCTCTTGCATGTAAGAGGGGAGTCCGTAGATACTGGGTTCAGGTGCCAGCCACTGGGCTGCTGCTCGTTGGAGGAATTCTTTGACGGATTTTTTGACTTCAAGGCCGACCGCGTCAGCGAAGACAGGCGGTGCACGAGCTGCTTCATGTTTAGCAATGGTAGTCGCATTTCCGGTGAGTGCTTTGACAAGCGCAATGCAGAAGTCATAGTTGGCGTACGCCTTCACCAAGTTGGGCATCATTCTACACGATTGGAGATGATGAGAACGATCAAGCGGATGAGAATCGACATGACGCACAGCTGAGTGAACACTTTAAAGCCCACAACCTTGACGATGTCGAGGAGTGTTGGAATTTCTTTCACTTGAACATTGTTATAGGAAGAGCAAAGCTTGTCGCTTTGAGTTTTGCACCAGGCGACGGTGGCTGGTTGATCAGCCCGTGAAGCGAGCGCTGGAAGTCGCGCGAGGAAGTTACCGACAAGGAACTCCAACTCAGACGCCGCCTGCTGCAATGCCTCGACACGGTATTTGTCTGGGCCTTTTAATTGCATCAATGGAGCGCTGCCAGAAGGCATAAGCAACGGGTCGTAACTGTGCTGAAGGAGATAAGCCAAGAAGCCCTGCTTCGGCTTTGATGATTCGTAGTGGCCGTCTTCCCAGCCATTGAGGACGTTGCGAAGGGCGATGATGGGGCCGCTCGTGTCAGGCAAAGAGGGAAGAGGAACTCCAGCTACTGGGGGTTGGACAACGTTGTAAACGAGTGCCAGTCGATAGCCAGACTCGATGGGCTGCACTTGCTGTTGGACTGCATTGTACCATGTTAGGAGAGTGGTCGAGGTGATGGACTTTGGCGCGTCGTCGAAACTTTTAGTGACTGACGAGTGCAAAAGAGTGACTTGACCTCCAGTGTGTTGAGAGGGAAGGAAGATGACTGCGGTAGCGAAAGATCCTTCAGGCCTTTGAGAACTGTGCAAGTATCTACGTGTCAGAATGGGTAGGACTCAAAGGGTCGAAGAAAAAGGCACACCTTTCGTTAGACAATGTACTGTGAAGTAGAAATGATTAGTAAATCCGTGGAAGACGAAAGAAGATGGGAGACGTACTGAGAGCCCTTCGAAAGCAGTACACAGCGCAGAACCAACTTTGTGATCGAATTATGATACTGCTGCACTCCCAACGCCGTCCAAACCTCCCGACAAATCGTCCCCTCGAGCCACTGTGTCCACTCTCCATTTCCGAATGTGATTTTTGCGGCTTCGACTTCCCAAGCTTCGCGTGTATCCTTTGCAGCTTTCCCTTTCTTGCCCTTTCCCGACGGTTTAGGAGTCATGCTGGCGATGATGGTGGACGCGTCGCGTTCATTGAGGGGCAGACCAATGGTACCGAGGCCGTCGATGGTTAGAACAGGATTCGGTGCATCAGTTTTCACAGCGGAGTGGGAGAAGGTGCCTTGGAATGACAGAGTCTTCGCGGCGAATGCTTGCTCGAGGTCAGTCTAAAGCATCGAGTATGAGCTGACTGCAGACGACTTGCAAAGTCGCGTTAATGACTCACCCGGAGATTTGGACCTGGGTTGGTCGGATTCTTCATAATAGCCGTGTTTCTGGACATGGTAGCTGTGGGTGGCGCGTTCTGAAGACTACCGTACTTAAAGCCTTGGGACGCTGGGTTAAGAGTAAAGAACCCTTTGCTCGAGACCCTGCCACATAGCGTGTATGTAATTTGGTGGCCCTGAAACAAGCGTTCCCGCGCTCCTGACAATGCGAGCCTATGCGAGCCTACGGATCGTGATACGCCTTGTGCTCCTCGAGTTCCATTCTCCGGTAGTCTTGCCAATGCGTAGATTGTCCAGAGGATATGCCTGGTAATGGAGGGCTAGAATCTTCCGAAAGGGAGGACCCTGATTTTTGATTCAGAAGTTGAATTCTAGGTTTCATACTTCAGGTTCTCGCCGGCTGATGAGGATTGCGGTTCGTGAAGCGATAAATTGTTTTGAATCGGATTCTTCTGACCACTGGGCTTGAAGAGTTCCGGACAAGTGATACTTGATTAGAAACAAGAGGCGAGCGAAAAAACCAAGATCGCGATAACATCATGTGACCGTGTTCCCTTCATTCGGTGAAACGCGGGCGTCTAATTGGGTCCGCGGGATCAAACTTCAAGTTGCCAGGATTCGGACAGTCATAGTAGTAAGCGCGCTAGCTCGAGCGCTGAATGACTTAACTATTGATCCCTTCCATCCTCACTAGCTTCAACACGAATTGCATAAAGGAAGCACGCCGAAAAGCTGTTGACTCCTCACTGGCAGCAACTTTTAGTACGAACTGTGCCAAACCTTCATCGACGGACAATTTGTGGCCCGAAAGTATACGGGACCGGGGTGCTGTTATTTCTGGCTCGACACTCACATACGTTTTCAATATTGTGAAAATAGGGGCAATGACATCATCACAGATTTCGGACCTCTCCGTTCCTCCCCATATATATAAGCCCCATGCACCCTTTGTGATAGATCCGCAGCAGGGCTATCCCGGGCCACATACTCCCTCCAACTTGACTCCACGAACTCCCGAGCAAGAACCTTCGTCGCCAACTCTCTCACTCTGCTATCATGGCGCAAGCATCCTCGAACTACGACGTATGCCTATACTTCCTTGCAATGTGAGTAATCTACCCCTCTCCGTTCTCCTTGGAGTGTTCTGATTCTTACGTTTGCAGCTTCGTACCCCCTCTTCCAGTCTTCATGAAACGCGGAATTGCAGCTGGTTAGCATTTCATCTTCCGTGTCGCGAATCAGGATTGTTGAAATTGCATTTAATCACAGACTTCTGGATAAACATCTTGTTGTGGATTTTGGGCTGGATACCAGGAGTGATTCACGCATGGTGCGTCCTGCGTTTCTATTATCTTCCAGTCTGCTTACTGTGATCCAGGTACATCATATCTAAGAGCGAGGGCGCCATGTAAGGCTCCGGCTGAGTTTATATATGAAGTGACGAAGAGAGAAATGAACTTTCGGACTCGCAATATTCCATGACGTCGCTCTATGCAAACGGGCTGTACTTACTCATACCCGGAATATTTTGTATCGTAGAGCTTCAGTCGGATGTAATGCCTCGAGTTGGAAGGGCCTATGTGTATGTGCAGGAACTTGAAGTCTAAAGCCTCGCGAAGGTGAAACAAATGCCCGTCTAAGTGGCGGAACACCGGCCTGCTCTTGCCGCTGAACTGTAGAGTATCAACGACCTTCGGAGAGGCGTCGATCTTACCCAGGCGCTGATCCAACAGAGCTCAAGCGTCGGAGTTTGATTCGCGGCTGCGACGATCCGCCTCAAGGACGACCGCTCTTCTTCCAACATTTCATGGACCACGCACACCTCTGCTTCAATTAGCTATCGAACGTCTTGGAACTTTTGGTACACTTTCTTGCCCTTCTTTAACGACCCTTACGCCTCAAACGAACCCACAATAATCGCCCATGTCAACACCTTCCTCTTCCCAAGCCCTCATCACCCTTTCGACGCAGAACCGCGGACCATCTCGTTCTCCTTCACGGCCACGACTGACGCAATTTTCATCCATTTCAATCACTGACGCTGTCGAAACGCAACAATGGCAACCCATTCTACATGTCTCCAACCAAGTGGTGCTCTATAACCCCCACTCACATGCCCTCTCCGTCGTGTCAGCACCAACGAACCTCGCACCCGTCGTTGTCGCCCGGAGGCATAGAATAGGCCGGATAGGAATCGCCCACACCGACGACGGCATCACCGTGGCAGACGCGTGCCCATACTGCAAACAGGCCCTGCCACCCGGCTTTCATGCATACCCTCGGACGACGGAGAGACACGAAGACGAAGCAGACTCGGATGAAGGACGGTGGGAGGATGTTTTGGACGCGGACGAGGGAGAGTTTGAAGCTGTCGGCACGGACCCGGCGTACCACTCGCGGGCGTCGAACTACTTCCGTCTGCTGGCCATTGCGAACGAGACGTCGTCAGTGACGGCAGGGTCGAGGAGGCACAATCTGAGCCCCCCAGGGTCAGAGAGGAGCGATTCGAGGACACGGAGCCGGAGTAGGCAGGGGAGGGCTGGTAGTCGGGTGGGACGAGGGATGGACGAGAATCGGAGCACGAGAAACGCGTTCCCTGCAGAGAAGATGGCGCAAGGATACTTCAAGACATTCTTCCAGGAGGAGTATAAGCTAGGTATGGGTGCAAATGGGAGTGTGATTCTATGTCAGGTACGAGGTGTCGTTTCTCTCCAGGCATTTACCAACCTTCCACAAGCATGTCCTCGATGGAAACCCTTTAGGCCACTTCGCCGTGAAGAAGATCGCCGTGGGCCAGTCTCATTCTTACCTTCTCAATATATTGCGAGAAGTACGCTTGCTGGAGAAGCTCCACCATCCGAATATCATCACGTACCAGTGAGTGAGACGCCATGCCCTTGCAAACTACAGCTAAAACGCTCTTTCAGCCACGCCTGGTTAGAGAACTCACAGTTTTCCTCATTCGGGCCCACAGTACCAACCCTCCAGTGCGTTTCTTTGCTCGCATCTGTATTCCGCCATTTAAACCCTTCCTTAGTGTCCTGATGCAATGGGCAGAAGGTGGCAGCCTCGACGATTTCATTGATGTTCGGCTAGGCCGCAAACCAGCACACATCCACATGCACCCCCTGTTCACCTCCTCGCCCTTCGGAACATCTATCCCAGCCTCGCCTGCGTCCTCGACCCAAGAACTCCACGAAGAAGACGCCCAACACGAGCCTATCACCCCAAGGCAGACGCATACCGTCCCAGAGAAGGGTAAACATCTAGAACCGGCCACACCCGACTCTGCTTCGCCTCTGAAGCCTCCAGAGGACCCTCACTCGCGTTCAGCGCGTATACGCGCCTTCCGTGCCTACCAACGCGCGCCACCAGAGGAGAAAGAGCGCCTGCGCGCAGAGATGAACGTGATGGAAGGTGGCGGCGTTCTCGGGACGAGTGCCGGACCGGCAGCCGCTGCAACCCAACAACGAGATTGGACAGCTGTGCACCTGCTGAGCGCGGATGAGGTCAAGAGCTTGTTCGAGGATGTTGTAGAAGGGTTAAACTTCCTGGTGAGTCTCTCCCATCCTGTCGTGAGCTCGAAAGAAGAAAGATTGAGAGCGTTGCAGCATAGCAAGTCTATCTTGCACCTCGACTTGAAACCGGGAAATGTGCTATTAACGTGGGATGAGGGAAGGCTGATGTACGCGATTCTTCTTTTGTTCTCTCAATTTTTAGTTGAAGGTTTGATAGCCCACGGGCGATGCTCTCGGACTTTGGGACCTCACGCGACATGATCAATTCATCGCGGACGCAGCGCTCAGGGAACACAGGAACGCACGTCCTTTCCTGTGACTTCTCGTTCACGCCGCTAATAATACTGTTTTCAGCCTTGAATACACTGCCCCTGAGTCTCTCCCCTCGCCACACACGGGTCTTCTGTCCCAGATTGACTCGAAGGCAGACATGTGGAGTCTGGGCATGATCCTGCACAAGCTCCTGTTCTTCAAGCTGCCGTACAGGTATGCAGCGCAGGGCGATGCTAATGGTGAGCCGATGAGTCGGGATGTAGCCATGGGCGGTGAAGGGGAGAAGATGGATAGGCTGGAGAGGGAGGTGAGGGAGTATCCCGGGTAAGCGTCCTCGCAAGTTTGCTTATTGTTATGAATCGCTGATGTCTGTGGGTTTCTTTTTTTTTAGGTTCAAATCGACACCTAATCTTGTCGCTGGCTTCGAAACTAGGCGCTTGCCGCGGACGTTCCTCGTTCTGCTGGAGAATCTGCTACACACCACTCCGGTGAGCCGACCAAGTTGTGAGAGGATAGCCAAGGCTATTAGAGACGGAAAGGTGCGTTCTGGCGATCCTCACTTCCGTCTCCCCCTTTCTTGCTTCGGATTCTCCTTCAATTTACTCATATCTCCAACGTAACTGCTCAGCTGGACCCGCTCTTGGCGAACACGGCTAAAAACCTGTCTCTTGCCCGCCCGCCCGTCCGCACTCCAGAATCAAGTACAACCACGGAGCCGGAAGCCTCTGTGATAGAGCATGAGGCTCAAGTTGCACCAGAAAAAATGATGCTACTTGCTCTCCCCTCTCCCGCCGACGTTCTGGGTCCAGAGGAACCAACTAGCACCCACCGCTGGGGAATTTGGCGACGCTGGATCTTTGCCTTGCTCGGTCTTGTTCCTACAACATCGCCGGCTACAGCCGCGACAAGACGCACTCGGCTCCGGCCACACCAGCGACGTGTGGAAGGCTGGACAGTGACGAGCGTGAAGCTTTTCAGGAGCTCGCTGTTGGCCGTCAAAGTTCTGACCATCCCGAGCCTTTGCACGGATCCGACAACGCGTCCCCGGCCGGTGGTGGCGGCGCTGCTGTTGGCGGTGGCAGTGGCCGATACGGTGATCGATTATGGTGGATATGGTGGTTCGAGTGGGGGCGGTTCGCGTGGGAGGGGGAGGGGGAGAACAGGGCGCCCAGATGAACCACAGACTGGGCGAGTATCTTGGATGGAGAGGATGAGTTCGCTTTTGGGCGTAAGGCTCGAGAAGGGAGTGTGGATATCTTTGGGTTTGCTATTGTTCCATTTCGGTTTGCTGGCGCTTAATCGCTGGAAGACGTCTGAAGGGGATGATCTTCTGGGGCTATGTTCTGTCGATCTCAAGGGCAGTCTGGTTGTTAGACCGCCCTTCGCAAGGTGAGGGCGATGCGGGGACACGAGGGCAACGGCTATTCTTGTCCCAATCTCGCCTGGAAGTGCTTGTCCAACTCAATTTTAGCTTGAACAGTTGATAAAACTAGTCTTCGCTGAGTCCCCGCGCTCTGTGGGAATCCGTTCTGAGAAGAGAACTTGACGGCGATCAGGATGCGTGAACTCATGGCAGTGTATTTCACTGCTTCCAACGACGTGGAAGTGACTGTTGTCGTTTATTGCCCGTCCAGACTCCTTATCTGGATGGATTTGGACGCTAGAAGCGCACCTAAAGAGATGCACTTGATTGTAATAAATCTTCAAGGCACAGGTCTTTGAAAAGTAAATTAGATGAGATGCTTGGGCTGGAGGTTTATGGACCGGGATTTTACTTGCACAATCCACCCACCTTCATGAAGCTCCATTGAATCTTCCCATGAACACACACATAATTCGCACTATCTTGCTGAACACGGTTCTGAGAGTGTACCTCCATCGGAGCATATGCCTCTGTTCCTTCTTCGCTTTACTCCCTGTTCCTCTGTCAGGGTTTGACCGCGACCTAATACGCCAGTTCGGCATTATTCTTGGGATAATACTCGCCCACCATATTGCCAGGTGCGTCGTTCACTCTATATGCACCTAGCCAAGGCTCATAGGTTTCGTTGTAGCGCCTTCCAGTTCATCAGGACTAAAATCAATCTCTATGTCGATCTTGTCCTCCTGCTTGTCGAAATAAGCGGTATGTCAATTGAACTAGAAGCCGAGATTTGTTCTTATTATATTATGTATTTATCTAGTGCTCGGCTTCAGCACCCTCGATTATACGAGGTCCTATGTTGACCGATGGTCTTCTCAAGTGGAGATCGGTTACGTGTCCTTGAATTGGTCACTTCTGGGGTTCCTTGCTCTTCTGGCAGCCCCACGGATTGCAACCATCGTCAAAAACAAAGGCCAACTCCGAATGGGTATGAGTTTTGACATATTGATCAATTCTAAGATCGACAACTGCGATGGAATCCAACAACGTCAAGCGCCCAGCGCGCCTAATATTCTCATAGGACGGTCCATCTGGCGTAAAGTCATTGCGTGAGTGTTCTATTTCATTTCTGTTTAATGCAGCTGATCTGGATGGGCGTAAAGAGGCGAGAGCAAGACTTTGACACGTTTAAGAGGCACCTTCGCGGTCGTTCTTGCTCTTGCGGTCGCTGGCTTCTCTATGGTCCATATCATCTTGGAACCGGTCAGGGAGACTGCACTCACACCCGTCAAAGAGCTCCGCGTCCTTGACTTGCCTTGGGATTTCGAAAATGAGCCTCCAAGCTGGAATGTAGTGGTGGTAAGTAGCGATTGCAATGCCACATCCAACTTCACTTCACGTCTCTTTTGCAGTTTCGTGTGGTTGCGCCTGGATCTTCCAACGTCCGATCCGACTCCAGGGTTGACAGCGCGATGGCTCTAAACTCTGTGCAAATGTTGGCCAGTCTCACAAATGGCACTTCGCTGGCTGTCGATCGGACAATAGCAACCCCGGTCATACCTCCCGGCGTCAACTTGATGGGTACTGTGAAGACCGAGCTCCGGCAAGTCTATAAGGAATCAGCAGCTCCTGCATTCGGACTTTTCGGGGTGAGTTCATTGACTTTCGACAGAAGGCCGCAGTCGTACTTATTAACCACCAAACTGTCAAGTCTTCTCACATGTTCGTGATAGGAAGAATGCTCAATGTGCTTCCAGATCCCGAAGCCTCTTTCCTTCCCAATGGCAGGAATATATCCACGTTCCGAGTGTTCCCTCAGGTGGATCTCTCGGAACTGAGAATTGTTCTCGACGGCCTGGAGTCATCCGTGCTGAAGGGATTCTCCGCTGTCGGCGGCCTGTGGACATTCTTGAGCGGCATATTTACCATCATCTCCGGGGCGTCGGCCCGTCGCTCATGCGGCTTGTATACGGTGCGTCAACATAAAGGTACGAATTACTACTGGTATCTGACGGTGAGCCATGGGGGTCAAGCCCTTGTCTGTCTTTGGACTGGCACATACCTTCCAGACAGAAAAGATACGCCGTGAATGTGTCAAACAGTATCCCAAGCTCTTGGAAGAGGATCAAGTCCCACAAGAAGAAAGAGGGCTGCTTAAACTGGTTCGCGATCACATCATTGAGCTCTATCCCTTAGACGAAGAGGATATGAAGTTCGAATCACGACCCTCTCCCCAATATGAAAGGAACGATGCGCAGCTTGAAAGTGGCGCGGCCGCTGGTGAGGCAGAAACCGCTTAGACAGATTACATTACTGTAGAAGCCAGAGGTAGTTATCATCTCATTTTTCGAACTATGGCCCGTTTTCTTTTCTGCCGAATGAACGCCTTATTCTTCTCTACTGAAAGCTCTCGCCCCTATCTGCCGCGACGCGACGCGTCGGTCACAGCCACAATTCCGAAAACAGAAATTAGAGGCGATCACATGTCTCCCAATTTTCGAGGCTGCCTCTCCCCAACCACTTCTTACCGCGTTCCACCCTGCGTATAAGCTCACAGAAGATCATGGAAGCCTCAGGAAGCGATGAAACTCCCTCTCATACGTCGAATGATGTCAGGGACGTGTCTCCTGCGCTGGAAACCGACACTGTTGTAAATTTGCAGAGACAGAACGCGACTATACAAGACGGAACCGAAGTAAACAGGGTAACAGGCGAGCTGGACGTGGATGTTGGCGACGACTGCGAGGATCTAGTGGGAGGAAATGACGAAGATGATTCGGAGTTGTCGGACGGAGAGGACCTTTGCGTGCGTCGTTATTTCTCTTTCCTTTCGGTTCACCTGTTTATATCCAACTGTTCACTACATGATATAGGAAGACCTGAAAGACTGTTTGGAGTCGTCGGATTTCTCGTTCCAAGGCTCTTTCTACCACGCCTCGTTGAAGCCGACTACACCGAACCCCTGTCTGACTGTTGGTGACATCGGGTTGGTGGGTCTTCCGTTGACGGAGCGCGACGCGAAGGCGATCATTGCTTGCGCGTCATTGGCTCCGTTTGGGAAGGGAAAACATACTGTCGTGGACCCGACGGTGAGGAACACCTGGGAGATCGAGCCTGCACGCGTGGGGTTCGCGAACGCGGACTGGGTCAAGTGGGTCGAAGACGTGGTTTGCAAGGAAATTTGCAATGCGTTGGGCGTGGAACTCGCGCAGACGCCCAACCTATGTCCACGGCTTCAGTTGCATAAACTTCTTCTGTATGAACCAGGGTCACAGTGAGTGTGTTTAGGTCTTGACTACCAGAGCATAATATCTGACAACATTGTTCAGTTTCCTCCCTCATCAAGAGTTAGTTTTGAGCTTTCACCTTTCTCATACTCGATGATCATCTGTTATCAGTACTCAGAAAGCAGAAGGCATGTTCGCAACGGCGATCATCATCCTCCCATCCGCCTACACAGGTGGTCAAGTCGTCGTGTCCCACGCGTCTAAGAAGAAGACGATCGACTTTTCCTCAAGCTCGCTGACATCTACCGCGGTCCTTGCCTGGTACACCGACGTGACGCATGAAGTCAAGCGCGTGCGCTCCGGGTACCGTCTCGCGCTTTCCTACAACCTCATACAGCCACGCGCTCCGGGCCTCGAGCGACGACTGCCTATCTTACCCGACACGAGCAGCACGGCGAACCGTCTCCGTCGCATCCTGCAGAAGTGGAGTGAGGGTATATATGCAGTGTTCCCCAGCCAGGACATGGTGGCGTACCTGCTCGCTCATCAGTACAGCGCAAAGGAATTGAATAAGGGTGCCCGTGCGCTGAAAGGTGCGGATCGGTCCCTTGTTGGGTTTCTTCGTGAGGTGGTGGTGGAGGAAGGGTACATTCTGGCACTTTCAAGTCGGGAGCAGTACCAAAAGGGCAGCGCGGATTGCGAAACTGGAAGCATCTATGCGCGGAAGAGGAGAAAGGGAAACGACCACCAACGTATTGACTCGTACGGCATACGAGGAAGGGGATACTCTCATGGATATGGCTGGGGAGAGGATGAAGAAAACGAGGACGAGGACGAGGATGAATACGGGAACGGCGACGACGAACCAGACATGGACGATGTTTATGAGACGAGCATTTCTATCTCGCGACTGGTGGATCTAGATGGCGACTTGATTTCTGACGCGACAATCGACACGGAGGACGACAGTATTATTCCCCAGAACCCGTTCGAAGGTTTGTCTCCCGACCGGCAAGAATATGAGGGATACATGGGCAATGTGAGTACATGTTTGTACCTTGTGTTCATGACTTTCATGAATGCTATCTGTTTAGGAAGCAGGAGACGTAGAATACTGTATGGATCGTATTTTTCTTTTATCAGTGATATTGCTCAACAGCCTCACCTCGTGTAGGGTACAACGCTACGGTCCTCGTGCTGATGCACGAAGTCGAGCGCGACTCGCTTATGACATCGTCAGGGAGCACCGAATACGCGTTTCGCAAGCTCGCGCGTTCCTCTGAGCCGAGTGCCACGGACGCACCATGGATCAAGAAACTGGTCGATAAGCGTATGTCACTTAACAAGGACCAAGCGCTGAAGATGGTTGATTACGCGCTCCGAGTGCGCGACTTGCAGATGTGGCGAAGCATTGTGGAGAATCCCACTTGCACTGTTCAAAGTCTTGTGATTGAGGGGATGGCGAGAGCATGGAGGTTATTCGGGTTTGAGTATGTTTATGGAAGGTGAGTTTCTCGTTATGGTTATAGCCAGTTCTGATGACATCACTTCGAAATTAGCTTCGCGCTGATCTTGGACCGCTCTGAACGACTTGCCGATCGTCTTGACTTCATCAAGAAGCTCCCTGATTACGCGCTGGACGTTGAGAAGACTGGAGTCCAGGAGTGGTGCCGCTTAGCCAGGGACCATGCTTTCGCTTCGTATAACTCCGTAGATGTCTCCGAGATTCCAACACTCGTGAATATCATGCGGGACGACACCGGGTTGCAGGCGTTTAATGCAATGTGGGTCCAGATTCCATTAGCCTGGGTGTTATATTCTAATCCATTGATAGTATGCTTCCAAACCTCGTCGGGAAAGAGAATGGATACGACTTTTGTGTCGCTCTGGTGAGGGCCATGAAACGCGACCTCCAGAGCAAGGCAGAAGAACTGTCAACGGATGTTCCTTCCGGCTCTCCTCCTGACAGAGAAAGTCTGCTGAACAATGCGATTAAATCACTTCTTGCAGCGGCGGCTTCGCAATGGAAGAAAGCACCAGCTACAACTTACCCGGCCGAGTCTTCTGACCAAGTGCAGGCAGCCACAGTCTCTCGCATCGTCGAAATTGTTGAGCTCTCTATCACCAACGGCCGTCTCGACGTTTGCGAGCCGGTTTTCGTCGACACCTTGCAAGCCACAGAGCCATCATCAGTCAAATTTCCTCAGCTCTATACGCCTCTCATCCCACGTCTCCGAGACATTCTCAACCGCCATGGTCTGGATATTTGCCTTCCACCATTCCTCAATTTCTTCCAAGTCCTCATTGCGACATACCTCAAGGATGTCCTCGGGAAGAAGGGTTCGCGTAAACACCGGCCTCGCAAAATTGGCTGTGGGTGTAAACAGTGCAAGATTCTCGATGCGTTTATCCTGGACGGCGTCACCACGATGAGATTGTTCTCTGCGCTTGTGCAAGGACGCAAGGCGCATCTCGAGAAGAAACTGGCAGAGGCGTCGGACCTGTGCTCGTTCGAAACGACTAGGACGGGAGCATTGTACAGCATTAGGGTGACGAAGCGACCTGAACTCTTGCACTTTGCCTCCTGGGAACGGAGAACCCGGGCCGCTGAAACATTCTTGGCGTCTGTTGGGACGGACGACGTCATCCAGAAGATAATGGGCGGGCGATACGAGGACGTGAAGTATGCGCTGGCTGGCCTTGTCCCATTTGATTCTGCACTGCCATCAACGTGTGTTGGCAACACTCGGTCTCAACCTCCAGGGGAGCCGGCGCCGGGGCCTTCGTCACAAGCGCCCATCGTCGAACCAGGTGCCATTGAAGAAGCGGCAAATCAGCCACCAGAAACACGGAATGAAATCCCGTCTAGTTCTGCAGAGGTCATTGATCTTACAGTGGAATGTCAATTTTTCAAAGTTTGATCATGGTCACCGTAATGCCATGTCCTCCTCTCCATTGTTCGCTTTGACATCCACTGTTCGCTTGACAGGGGACTTTAGCTGAGTATAGACTTCGGCTTCCCTTGAACTCCGGGTTTCCTACCAATTACACACCATTTCCCATTTCGGCACCTTAATATAAATGCCTCCTAGGCGGCTGCTCAACGTTTCAACTTTTGTCTGACCATTTCTCCCCAACTGATGACTTTTGTCCAGGCCGTGTTCTTTGGCATTAGACCAAGGCTGTGGTTGCTCCGCATTATATGCCTTTGTTCTCTCCTTTCTTTCTCCCTCCTGTGGTTCGTAGAATTCACAGACCTTGAACTACCGTTCGGTATACTCTTGTCGTGCATCTTGGTGTATCATGTTGCAAGGTACGATCGCTCTTTGTCATTCGTTAATTGTTGTGACAACCTCAGTCCTGTAGCGCCTTCCAACTCATCCGGCTTTGGATTAATCCGTACCTGGATCTCTTCGTCCTCTTTTGCTTAATCGGCGGTGTGTCACTTGTCCTATCGTGCGATTTACAGGGCTTTTCAGCTAAAACGAACTCCATATCTAGGTCTGATGCATCGAGCGCCGACAGTTAATGAATGGTCCTCGCAGGTCTTTGTCCTATACGTCGTCGTCGTATATGGTCTTGTTGGATTCCTTTCGGTGCTTGCCATTCTGCGGCTTGTGATGATCGCCAAGAATAGAGGCGGACTCCGCATGGGTTGGAATTACGATATGCTAACAGATTCGAGTGCGGGCACTGACACCCCATCGGCCCAAAACATACTCCTGGGGAAGTCGATCTGGCAAAGGCATATCAAGTGCGCTATTCTCATTAATTATAAAGCTCGAGAATCTGAGAAAATCTCGCAGTGGCGAGGCGTCGACTTTGATACTCGCCCGAGGGATCCTTGCAATCGTTCTTATTTTTTCCCTCTCTGCCGTTTCGATTGTCGCAATCGTCTTGGACCCGCTTCGCGACTCAGGGCTTGTCCCGATAAAGGAGGTGCGCTCCTTGGATGTCCCGACAGACTTCAAAGGAGAGCCTTCTGTGTGGAACGTTATCGCTGTACGTTTGCATTTGCCTTTTTTTTTGTTTCTTCAAAAGCTAAACTCATAAAATCAGTATCGAGATCACCCTAGCGATGCTAGCTCGGCCCAAATATTTCACGATGCGATAGACGTAATGCCACTTTGGGATTCTTCATGTGAGCTTTTCCTATTTTTATCTTGAGCACGGATGACACTGCTGAATAATGGAAGCCTCCCCAATTCCTGGCCCTCCATGCGTCCATCTCGACGGCAGTCACAATATTGAAGGGTTTCTTGAAGCCATCACGGTCCATTGTCCGTCTCGCGTTCCGGTGCCCAAGGGTTTGTACCTTTTCCTTCTCATTTTCTTCCAGCCAAACTCCTTGACTACGAACCGCGGGAAAGGAACACACCTGGTTCCCAATTCCACGCAGCGACTCGCTTCCCAATCTTCTGGTTATCGTAAACTTCACGCGTATCCGTTTTCGAGACGACCTCATTGACACGGCAAAGAACTCGATTCAAATCATTGTAAACCTCACAAATGACACCAATTTGGCTGCTCGTCGCACGCAGCCAACCACCATACCACCCGGAGTTAACCTTATGGGCACTCTCAATCTTGAGCTGCGTCAATTACACAAGAATCCGAGTATTTCTGCTCTGGGTTTCACGGTACGATTTTCAAATAATCATTCAATTGATATAATTACACCGATGCAGTCCTCGGAGACAATCATGGTGACGCGCATGGGTAGCGTCTTCCCGGACCCCGAAGCGGGTGTTTCTCCCTTGATCCCTCAATCTTCCAACATTTCCACGTTTAGATTGTTTGTTCAGAATGACCCTTCTGAATGGAGGATTATTATGGATTACAGGGACAAATCCGTTATCGGTGGTTTCTCAACCGTTGGTGGTCTATGGGCCTTTCTAAGCGGCATCTTTACTGCGATCTTCGGGACGTCGCTCATGCGCATTATATTTGGTGCGTCCTCCGACCTGCATCTTCTCTTCGACACTCTGATCACTGAACAACTGGTTATAATAGGCGTTAAACCACTATCCGTCCTTGGGATGGCTCACAGCCTCCAAGGCCACCAGACTATTCGTGAACAAATCAGTGAGGATTATAAGGGTGCAGCCAAGGAGCTCCAAGATGCGCAAGGTGTGATTGCACTGCTCCGAGATCATGTTATCGACTTCAGTTTCCTCGTTGAAGTTCGAAAAACAGCGAATTCGGCAATTGAAGCCAAACTCGAACGTACAAGAGAGACGGGACAAGCTGAGACAGTGCAAGAGACGACCGTACCAGCTCCATCGCATGACAATGCGTAGATTTATTCCTACTACATCTTCTGATTTTCATAAGTCCTGTTTGTTCTAGAGTAGAAACTTAAAGGTATCTTGGTTAGGGGCGTGCGAAAACGGAAATGACCGGCCCGCATTCCTTCAAAGTAATGTTCATTGTTCAAGCCCTCTCTTTCTTTCACGTCTGACAGGCATAATATGTCTGACAAAAGATTTCTCTCTTTACGACTTCCTGAAGACTCAAGTGACGAGGTATGATCTTATCAAATACTTGTTTTGACGTGCATGAACCAACAAACAGGAAGTATCGTCCGCGATAGTGTCCTTGCTCATCTCTGCGATCCACGATGAACGCCCAGAAAAGACAGTATCCGACGTGTACCACATCATCGTAAGTGAAGGCTTGACTTCCTGCTTGGTTCGTATCCATGCTCTGTCCTTTGGGATGGACCTCATCGTTGGTTAGGATCCACTCAACATGCTTCCACATCTTTTATCGTGCAACCACCCAGGAGCACAGGACATGGTTTCTCTCATCGGAGAATGTGGCTCAGCAAAGGAAGTGGTTATGACCGTCCAAGAAGCAGTCGAGCGTCTGGCACCATCCTTCGACGACCCGGACGACGCCGGGACCAGTAGAGAGGAGCCATCCGTCAGAAAAGTGCAGCAGCTCGTTGTCTTGATCGATCTATATGCTGCAGGTGAGCGTCTTCTCGACATTCACGAGAGTATGTGCGTTTAGTGCTAAAGGATAGCGATTCCGAGGATAAAGCTTCGTCGAAAATCGGCATCCGAAACGGTTGAGCCGTTGTTCAGCGAGTTGGATGCAGTCTTGAAGTTTGCCAGAGGAGAAGCTACTCGGGACGAGGGTCGCTCTCTCATCTCAGGCGTGTCGAGGCTTGTTCAGAGGGTATGGACGTGGAAAGGAGAGGAGCAGTTTGACAAGGTGAACGCGAAACGCCTTCGGTTGATCTTTTCTGAAGTCAATTCGTAGACGATCCTGAAAGGATTGCTCGATCGAGTAGCCATTTCTTTCTCTCAGTGCATACAGTCTTCGATAGCACAACGAACGTTTGCAGAGTGTTTCCCCCGATTGGCGTTCCGGACGAAGTTAGATCCTGACTCGGAGGCGGGTAATACAGCGATTACTGATTTGCTTGTGAGTCTACTTCTTTATGATCCCGTTCACAACTCACGACAAGGTACCTAGGATGCTTATCAGACTATTGGACACGGTATTATCACGCTTTCCGGCTCCTCATCAGTGAGCGACCTCCTGCTCAGCGCCTACTGCCCCCCACCCAACCCAGATGTCTCGAAACTCTTCACCTTCCTGCTCCCTCCGCTTATCTCGTCTCTCGAAAGCAACACATTCCTCGATGAAACCTTGGCCGTCCTTCTACGATCTCTCTACACCTGGACAACTGCGTCCTCATTAGATCGACGGCACCTTCCACTAGAAGTCACCTCCCCTTTCACAAGCTCCCTACCATCCGTCGCCAGTGCCCACCCCGACACTACAACCCGGCATCAGGCTTTCCGCTCTCTATCAATGTTACTCGCGGCGAGCGACCCGAAATTGCGCTTCCAAACCCTTGTTGAGCTCACTCGACATTCCGAGTTTCCGCAGATGCGCGTTGCAGCGGTGGGATTGGTCAAGGAGGGCCTGCTTGACGCCATGTCACAAGCAGAGGCTCGAGCAGCGAAGGTGGAAGAGGGCAAGGTCAACGTGAAGGGGCTGAAGGACGAGACGTTCCTCAGCCCCTTGTTCTTACGGACGTTTGGCCCGATCCTCTTCCGGCCAGACCCTCCCGACTTGTTCGCATCGGAGTCGCTCGAGCTCAAGGCGTTCCAGGAGACGTCGGAACCCACGCGGTTGGTCGAGTGCTTGTCGCTTTATTACGTACTTTTGCAGCGGGATCGACATAATTTGGTCAGTAAATCACCTGTTATTTCATTTCCCCTCGCCTGATTGGAATGCGTTTGTATCTAGACGTGTATCAGGGATAAAGACGTCTTGAAGACCGTTGAGAATAATTTACTGACGCCGCTGCGGAGGAACTTAGACAGATGGCTGGACGGTCCAGCTGGTTCTGAGAGTGAGTCCCCTGCTTTCGTTGTCTCTTCTCGAGTTCATTTCTAGCAGGCCATCTGCATGACATTACGCCGATTGTCTCCCTCAAAATCGGTCTGGAAAGAGTTGATGCTGCCCGAGAGGCACTGGTTTCTCAGTGAAGGTGGTACCTTTTTCGAAAATGTTGTTTTCACAACCATCTTCGCGTCAATAAATCCCGCAAGGACTTCGATCCAATGTCAGTTAGCTCAAGTCTTTAAGCGCCCGTACAAGTCCGTCTGCCGGGATGCCGAGTTATCAGCTGACCAGACCACCTTTTTCTCTGTATGGTGAGATGGGCGGGCGAAGGGGACCAGAGCGACTGTGAATTCCCTTCATTGTGAACTTGACAGATCAGACTAAGCACTATCCGTCGAAACGCCACGCAAACGTCTAATCAATTGTTATCCGTGCTGCCGAGGCACACTTGAAAGGCACCTGTGGGCTGGTCACGGTGGGCGCAATGTCCAGAGATCAGTATTTCGTTGTCCCCTTTCGTCGTCCTTCCGCCAGCTACCTCTTAGGATCATTTAAGCTCAAGTGTGCACCTGTTAACTTAGAGCCCTTTCCTATCGCAATGGCCCCAAAGACCTACACCTGGCTCTCTCTGTGGTTCGTACTGAGCTACGGCATCTCGCTGTGGGATGCTGTATACATCCTTCTACGGTAGGCTATATCCGATTGCTCCTTATCCAATGCCTCACTTTTTCTGTAATGCAGCCCCCATTCTCTCCCGGGAGGCAAGTGGCGTCTGCCATGGGCTGTGTATGATGATTTGGAGTACATTGACAAGGTGGGCAGATTAGCTTCCCTCCACTGCCCTCTCTTTGAATCTTATAGGTATCCTCGACAGACATATGATATCAATTGGTTCTACGAGGGGCACCCGAAGAGCATTGAATTGGCGGCCAAAGGTGCGCCGTAACTCGCTCTCCTTTTGTCCTTCCTGCCTTAAACCCATTCCAGCGACTGTAACGCTCCCGGAGATCGGCCTGGCCATTCTCTATCTCTACCTTGCCCACACGCGACGGTCCCCTCTCGCACCACTCGTTGGTTTTTCTGCGGCATTCGCGACCTTGATCAAGTGTATTTTGTGGACTCTGGAGGAGATCTACTGCGGATGGTGCACCGTTGGTCACAATTCATCGTTCAATATCTTCACTCTGTGGGGAGTACCCATGTTGTCAGTCCCCTTTTTCGTTTTTGCGGGGTCGAGCTATTCATTTGCCTCCTGATAGAACTTACGCCACCTTCTCGATGTTGAGCATGTGGCACCTTGGTGTTGATATGGCCGATGCATTGTGGAAATATTCTCCTGTGGAAATACAACGCGAAGAGAACGAGAAATCCTAAACGATCCTGTCCTTCTGTCCTTCTGTAACCACAGCGGAATCTAATCTTATCATCACACTCACACGGATGCGCCGGGCCGATATAAGGCAACATTCCCAGGGACAACAGCCCAATATTTCAACAAAAATGCAGAAAAAATTGAAGCTCCGGGAACTGAAATAATTTTCCTGCAAAGACACAGAGATTACTTTATGAGTTCAATAGTACTAGTGTACTGAAGGTCCCCCGTTGCAAGTAGTGCGGAGATTTACCATTCTTGGCTTGCCTCCGTGTTCTGATCGGCGATTGTGTGCGGAATGCCGAAGCGGAATCCTCGGTGCGGGGCAATCTGGAAGTAAAAATCGATCAGAATGCTCTTTTTTTGCTCGAGTCATCTCTCTTTAAGCACCCTCGAGTGAAGAACACCTCCAGTGCTTCAAGGATCTCATATCGACCTCCCCTTTCTGGTTTTCTGCTCCTGGAATGTCCGCCAACGCCCCCGATCTGCCGTTTCACTCCAATGACGTCGAGAAAGGCACTCGAGATGAAAAAAACGTCGGGAGTGGCGAGAAGGACGAGGTTGTCGACTGGGAGGACGTAGCAGGAAGCCCGAGCCACTACCATGGTCTTGGACGTCTAGGGAAGAAGTTGTTGACACTTGGAGTCGAGGAAAGAGGTGCGCATCAGACCTACAGACACTGAGAAATCTCGTACCCAACCTGCTCAGGGATTTGGCCAGTACCATTGGACGAGAGGGTCGATCGACCGTACTCGAAAATATTCTTCGTCTGGTTCTCGATGAACTTCAATATTCTTTCGTGAGTTTCTGGTGTATATTAAAAGAGTCCATTGATTAATACTGGCTAGCTTTTCTGCAGGAACGTTGGGACCGGTCATCTTCGGACTGGGACTGCGGGATACGTGTCTGACCATCCTATTCTTCAACCTGCTATGTTGTGCTTTCCCTTCCTACCTGTGAGTCTCCTCGCCCGGTCATGTCCTAGTTGCTTATCACAACCGCTATCTCAAAGCCTGACCTGGGGACCACAATTAGGCATGCGTCAGATGATAATCTCTCGTTATTCCTTCGGGTGAGCCGCTCTACGGCACTGAAAGTTTAATATGTTCTCATGACGCCTCAGATATTACGGCGTCATCATCCCTTGTGTCATGAACCTCATCGGCATGATAGGATTTTCTATTCTTAACTGCATCTTGGGTGGCCAGGCCTTGGCGAGTGTGACGAACGACAATCTAAGTTGGACGTGAGCATATCCTTAATTTCTCTTCACAGGATAAAGGACTGATTGAGAAGAACAGAGTAGGGATCGTCGTAATCGCAGTGATTTCACTTCTCGTTTCCTTTTGCGGTTATACAGTCTTAAACTGGTGGGTTCCCCTAACCTTCCGCGTCCCCTTTTGACAATATTTGCAGGTATGAGCGCGTTGCTTGGATCCCTGTTCTCGTGACATTCCTAGTCGCGCTAGGAGTTGGCGGGAAACATCTATCCAGCCCTCCCCCCGCGGAACCGGCGAGCGCTGTGGCGGTCTTGGGCTTCGCATCGACGCTAGCTGGGTTCGCGATCACATATTCAGGAATGGCGGCGGACTTCTCGAGCTACTTCAAACCAAGCGTGTCGAAGTTAGTCGGTCTACAATGAATCCAGACCTAAACTCATCCTTGGATCCCACTCTAGCTGGAAGCTTTTCTTTTCTGCGTACCTCGGGTACCTCATCCCCATTGTCAGCATTCAATGCTTTGGCGCGGCGGTTGTCGCTGTCGTCGGCTCCATCCCTGATTGGGAGCAAGGATATGAAGGAGGCAACGTCGGTGGACTCCTCGAGGCCATGCTGCATCCTGTGGGAGGATTTGGAAAATTCCTCACGGTGCTTCTTAGCCTTTCAGTTGCACCGAACATCGCCGCGACGTTCTATTCAATATCGATTAACATCCAGGTTGTCGTACCCTATTTTGTGAGGGTCCCAAGATACGTATTCTCTGTGGTGGCTACTGCCATGTGCGTTGATTTCTGTTCTCCGACTCGTTTCACGGATTACCCACAAACAATTTCTTCAGCGTCGTCCCCATCTCGATAGTTGGCGCACACCAGTTCTACGACGCGCTTGTAAATTTCCTCGGATTGATTGGATACTGGGCGTCGGCATTTGTTGCTATAGTCCTCGTCGAACACCTGTGCTTCCGTAAATCCTTCCCCTCGCCGTCGGCCTATCCACTGAAGGCATGGAATCGCCCAGACCTCCTGCCCACCGGTGTAGCAGCGGTTGGCGCTGGGATACTTTCATTCGGATTGGTTATACCGTCTATGCACCAAGTATGGTACGTTGGTCCTATTGCGGAAAAGACGGGAGATATAGGATTCGAGGTCGCATTTGCGGCCAGCGGGATTTTGTATTGGTTTTTCAGGTGTTTGGAGATCAGGTTGAGAGGTAGGGTTTAGAGAATTTTTTTAAAATATTTGTTTAAGTCAACGCAATATAAATTCCTACGTATGTAGCAGCCAAATGCTCGTGGCAAGAGCCGTCAAACGCGTAGAACGAGCCCCTAACAGGTGTGACAACGCGTTTCGTCACATAAAGTCATCAGAAGTTCCTCAGAAGTTGTGACGCTCCTTGTTTCAGTGTTCCTCAGTGTTCCTCCTCTCATCTTTCCTTGCAATCTCCCTTGATATAGTCACCTCCTTAGTCGGGATGCAGAATCTGACAGGAGGAACAGAGGCTCAAAGCGCAACGTCGGCGAGTCACGATCAAAATATCTATATTCGAGTTCGTCGAAGCCTCCTTCAGCCGATCTCGTCGACTACCATAAACCCGCCCCCTTCGGAGACGCCTACAGCGGGTCGATCTTCTGCTTATCTATATCTAATCGAGGGTACAATACAAGATATCGGTCTATACGCTGGCACTACGGTGGATTGGGTCATCAAGGTCGCTCATCTCATCTGCGCCCCTTTTGGAGCAGGCCAAGTGTACACCCATACGACGGGCACGCCGCAGAATTGGTATAACAGGGACAGAGGAACCGACTGGCGTCGGGTCTCCCTCGGTGATCCACTACTCCCTGGGATCTACGAATTCGAGACGAGCTCCCCCATCGTCCTGTCTCGACTTAGTGATCGTCAGTCTCGTTCAAAAACGTCCCGGGGATCCGAATCAAGTGCGACCGCTTTCCGACGAGATATACAGCTACGTGATGGTGTATGTGTAGTGACAGGCGCTTTGTCGTCCTTCGTTGCGTCTCACCTCATCCCGAAACGTATGGGAACAGATGGTGCGAAAACTGTCGTGACGGAGTTTGTCGGAGCACAGGCTGCCCTCGGCGTTCACAGATTCCATCCAATGATCGGGATCCTTCTCTTGAAAACTTTGGATGACCGGGTGGATCAGTACACGCTGGGTTTCTACCACAATACGGCAAGTAATAATACATCTTCAGGCAATCTTCTCACTCAACTATGCGTCCTCATAGGACGATACATACACTCTCCACAATTTTGAAACGGACCAAGATGTAACGATCGTCGGCTTTGAATCCTCCATCTTTTCAGGTCCAAGTGTTTTCCCCCGTCTCCACTTACACCAGATGATGCTTTCAGTTCATGGCGGAAATGAGCCTTTGCCCCCGAAGGGTGTATTCGATTGGCACTATCTGCAGTGCGTCGCCAAACGATTTGCCACCTCGGATTACAAGACGGTCCCCGGCATTTACTTCCATGTTTATCCTTTCAAAACGGCTGATGACGAGTCGGACGACGAATTTGAGTTCGAGGATAATGGCGAAGCTGAACCTCCGTACCCCACGTATCGCTTCGACCGATTCTTGGCAGAACAAGGGAGAATACAGAGGATGCACGAGCGTGCCCAAGAGGTGGCCCGTTGGTCTGCTGGGGTCGCAGAAGAGATTGTCGGGACAGGCGATGTCGGCGAGTCGCCATGAGCTACCCCTGTCTAGATCAGTCTAGACGGGGGTGATGCGTCTTCCTCCACCACCGTAGGCATATGCCCAGACTGAATAAGTTTTGTCTTCGACTCATTCTTCAATTTCGCCCCCGCCTTACATATGGGTTGTCAGTCGCACACCCGCCGGTCACTTATTTTTAGGTACAAGCCAAGCCATTTACCTAATCTTATCTCTTGCTTACTCCATTTACTTCCGTTCAGACTACTTCCGTTCACAGGCTGGTTGTATTCTCACCCCAAGGCTTCTGTCTTCTCCCGTATTATCATGCTGTAGTCCTGGGCTTCTCCCGCTCAGAGCGGCAGATCATCTTAGACGCATATCGACTTAATAGTTCGCTGCACAGAAGTACTCAGTCTCTATTTTCATCTGGTTTCTCTGGTCGCGAGGATTGACATTGTTTCTTCAATGAACCACGAGCGATAAGGAGTAAGTCTTCTGATTATTCCACGGTCGCATTATCAGATAGACAAGCGGGCTGAACCATTTTTGCTCAGATACCGGCTATGCATGGAGCTAAGATGTCACTTGATAGTCGAAAGTTTGCTCTTGTATGCCCGTCGCGAAAATGCAGCACCTTTTTGACCTTGCAATGGGCGTTCTCACCCCGACTATCTTGTAACCAGTCCCCCGTCTTCTCTGCTGCGCCCGGGAAATGTCTCTAGACGAAAAAGAGAAAGTTAGAGACGTTGCGGTGGAGGACTCCCTCGAAAAGCACAGTGTCGATGTCGAGGCTGCGTCTTTGCACGTCGCCTCACCTTTCAGGGGTAAATGGGCGACGAGGCTAGCGCACTGGGGTGTTGAGGCTCGAGGTAAGTACGCCAAATTCATCACCGATCTTCTCCAAAGTGATGCCGACTCGTTTGCGGATGGATAAGGCATCCAACCTGTGCCCTTGGAGGAAAGGACCGACACTCAGTACTATAAGATCTTCGCCGTGTTCATGTCGTCTAATTTGACTATCCTAACGTGCGTATTAGCTTGTTTTACGCGCTACGTACCCAGCCTTAACACCTGTCCAGCTTATCAACGGGGACTCTAGGTCCTGTCGTCTTCGGATTGAGTGTACGAGACTCGTGTCTAATCATCCTGGCTTTCACTGCGTTTTGCACGATCTTTCCGGCATATTTGTGCGTCTTGCTTCTTCACTCATACTCTAGGTGTTGATCGAAGAAATTGTGTGCCATATCAGGGTTACTTGGGGTCCAAAACTTGGAATGAGACAGATGGTGCTCGCGAGATATACCTTCGGGTCGGTCCCTTGGAACTACCCTGGGTTGAACTTCCTTGCTTACTCTCTGCAGATACTACGGTGCCATCGTGCCCTGCGTACTCAACCTCGTCGTGGTCGTTACCTTTTCAATGTTGAATTGCATCCTTGGTGGTCAGACTCTGGCTAGCGTGACGGACGGGCGTCTAAGTTGGACGTGAGTGCCTTCAGGCCGATACACTCACCTTCGCGAGGCTAACGCATATCGCATTTAAGCGTGGGCATCGTGATATTCACCATCCTCTCGCTCATCATCTCATTTTTTGGTTTGAAATTCCTACATTGGTATTCTCTCTCTACCCAACTACAAATTCTTCTCTGCTGAATCTGTGTTCACATTAGGTACGAACAGGTTGCGTGGATTCCCATTCTCATCACGTTGATCATTACGGTCGGTATTGGTGGAAAGCACTTCTCGGACCCGCCAACGCCCGAGCCAGCATCGGTTGCTGGGGTCATGGGTTTCGCTGGTGTGCAAGCAGGCTTGATGATCCCATGGTCGGCGTATTCTGCAGATTATGCAAGCTATATCAGTCCAGGTATCTCGAGGTAGGGGACAGCAGTACTCAAAATGATCTGATATCAATACTCATGTTGGGGTTGAAGTTGGAAGATATTCTTGGCTTCTTATGGGGGACTCTTTCTATCTGTTGTGCGTCGTTTTTTCCCGTATATCATTCAACTCTCCAACCATCGAATCTTACATCTATAGGTTCCTACCCAATGCATTGGAGCAGCAGTTGCAGCGGCTGCCGCCACCGTACCTGCATGGGAAGAGCGGTACGCTGGCGGCGACATTGGTGGATTATTGAACGCGGTCCTCACGCCACTGGGTGGATTTGGCCAGTTCTTGACTGTTCTACTCAGCCTTTCCGTTGCAGCAAACCTCGTATCTATCTTCTATTCCTCGACACTCAACTTCCAGGTCAGCATCCCGCCGCTTGTCGCTGTTCCGCGATACGCATTCTCCATAATCATCGCCGCCGTGTACGTTACGTTCCCTCTATTTTCGTTCTGTATGTACTTAGATCCGCCTACTGACGTGTTTTCCTTCCAGCGTTCTACCGCTCTCTATCGTGGGCTCACATCGGTTCTATACCGCCATTACGAACATCTTGGGCTTGATGGGCTACTGGACCTCGGTGTTCGTCGTCGTACTTATCATCGAGCATCTCTACTTTCGTTCGAACAGCTTCAGCAACTACGACCCGGACGCGTGGGATCAGCCAAAGCGCCTCCCCCCTGGACTAGCAGCGCTTGGGACTGGCGTTCTATCTTTCGGCTTGATTGTACCATGTATAAGTCAGGCATGGTTCTTAGGACCATTCGCAGAAAAGGCAGGGGACATTGGTTTTGAGGTTGCGCTTGGTCTCAGCGCAGTTCTGTATCCACTATTGAGGTGGGCAGAATTGAGACGGTTCGGTAGATAGAAAAGACGTGGTCTTAAGTACAAAATCACTCCCTTCCAAGTCGTCGACATTGTCAATCCTAGTAACATAGCGTACATCTTTAACGTTATCCAAAAAAAAGCTAATTCGCTTGATATCGTGAACTTTGACAATCTAAACAGTCATTCCCTTTACGCCTTTATCCATACGCGCTTATTGGCCTGAACATAGTCACGTAGCTTCGCTTTTCCAACAATGGCTTTCGAATGTCCTAGGAGCGCTTCCTCCAATCCAGCCGCGATAAGCTGTTCTCCTCCATTCAGCATGATTGCGTGTTCTTCTGACATCCCGAATTTGAATTGGGCGATCTGCTCTTCGTTCGTGATCTGCCTGTGCGTAATCTTCCGTCCTAGGACCTCAGTAAGGAGATCGGCAGCCTAAGTGCCGGGGGCTTTCATTAAAATTTCTTCTTTGCTGTATGCTGGGGTGGACGTGTACATACCTCATCATAAGACCACAATTCAGGACCAATGTGAATATAGTCGGTGTTGGGACTCTTCTGGGCGACAAGCGCGTCGAACGCTGCTTTGGCGATATCCTCGACGCCAACGAGCGGGATGCGGCCTTTACCCGTTACGGAAGTGAACTCATTGTGCTCCCGGATGGAGTGCAAATAGAAGGCGCCGAAGTTTTCTGGTGGGTGGGTATGAGGAATACAGTCTGGAAGAACTAGTAGTCCGTTGTATTTACCTATAAACCACGTCGGTCGCAATATGGTGTATCCAACACCGATATCCACGAGATACTGCTGCACCTTTCCGTATATTGGGGAGTCTTTCTCTGCTTGCGACGCGGTCACATAGACAAACCGTTTAACACCCTTCGACACCGCGACGTCGATGAAGGGCTTCATGTGCTCATATGGATTTGCGTCGCTTGGCGGGACGAGGTAGGCACGGTCAATGTGCGTGTCGGCCTTGAAGGGGTTCTCGAACGTGGAGTGGTCGGCCCATTCGAATTTGACAGCTTTATAAGGCTCTGGGGCGACACCGCGGCGGGAAGCGATGAGGAGGGAGTGGTTGGCGGCATGGAGGAGACGCGCGAGTGCGAGTCCCGTTTGTCCTGTACCACCAGTGAGAAGGACGGTCATGGTAGGAGTTCAAGCGTGGGGAAGGCGTCTGGTAAGATAGCGAGATCGACCGGGGCGGTTGCCATACTTCGGGCGTCTATTTATGCTGCAGTGCAAGTCGCTAATTCCGACGACGGGTGAATCATTCATCGCGACGCGAGGCGTAAGCTCGGTAATCCTCCAGGCTTGGTGGCTTCGAAGATGAGAGTAAGGAATTCTTTTGAGGCGACCAAGGGAAGGGTTTGCTGAACTAATTTCAAAGCAGCAATGGCGTGGGATGGAGTCCTAGCTGGAAACCCTAGAAATGAAGGCAGAAGCGCACGGGTCTGACAAATGTGTGGACTCTGAAACGATGTTTGCCGTTGCAGTGGTCAGAATTACTAATCAACAATGACAAAGGGGTAAAGGGTTTCACTAGGAGGAAAGAGACACCGGCGAAGCAATCGCATGAGGACCAGGCGAGAACCAGTGTGGTTTGTGGCATTGGTTAATTACTGAAGGCATCCGAAGGCGGGCTAAGATAATCGATGACGTGGATATATCTCGCATTTCCTGCCGAAGAGGCGTAACAGAGCCGACCAGCAATCGGGCAGAAACTAACGTTCAAAAAATCATCTGAGTCGATGGCAAGGTTCAGCAAGGACACACTATAACCAGTCTTGTCGCGCAATGATGGTCCGACCTGCCAACGAACATGAGTGGAATCAAGCCAGACAAAGGAGAGGTCTGATCCCGACACCCGACAGGGTAGAACGTATTGATATGATCCGATAGAGAACGTAGAGAGGTGCACAAGGGCCTGAGGAGATTCCTTTGTGTGGGAAGACGTCACTTCGAACCTTTGGAATGTTGGGTGGCTTGAAGGGAGAACAGACGGCAAAACGACATCAAACCAAAGAGGCTGCTGGCTTCCAGTATACCAGTCAGATAGACCGTTGCACCACCACAGGCCGTATTCCTGCGGCAAATAAATGCAACGAAGAGGATCGTGATCATGACTTGGTTCCGGTTCTGGCGCCTTCGCAAAGGTTGCTGCGTCAGGAGAGAGAACTGGGATGTCCCAAACTGCCACTCTCTGAGCTATGTCGATCAGCATAATTTGGTCGGTTGTCATTAAAATCTGTAGTCTGGGGTGAGAAATGAGTTCCAGGGCGAAAGAAGGAACAAATGGCACCTGCTGAGGCGTGCGGTCTGTGTACCACGAGGTCCATCTGTTGCCGACGAAATCCCATATTTTGATGGCATGTTCGTGAACGAGAACTAGGAGATTTTCGCAAATTGAAGTAAAATAGAGACGATATTGACTGATGGCTTGAATACTTGCGATCTTGGCGAGCCGAGGTTCTGTTTGATCCGGATAGGTTTCGAAAACTTCGAATGAGTATCTAGCAACACGGCCTCAGCACGAAGATCAGGACACCTTGTACCGCGACTCACTCTTCATTGGGGGCGATAGGGTAACGAACTGTTAAAATTCTGATCGCACGTGCATCGCAAGAAGGATGGATGGTGAACGAGTGGCACTCTGAATGGATAGTCGCAATCGGCCCGTCGGGTCCCCTCTGCCAGCGAAAACCCAGGTCCCATAACTCCAGAATCCGATGATGTAGAGTAACAAAAAAGCGGCCACCTGGAATGAGAAATGACTTTTCCGGCGAAGCCATCGACCCGGGAGTGATTTGCTGTTGATAAGTAGTCTTGTTTGAGAGATTCATAACCGCGTCCTCCCGATGCGATGCTGTCCGTGCTTCGCGTTCCAATCTGTAAGGAGCCAGAGCGGCATGTTCAAGGGCAGGAAGATTCAGATTCGAAAGCGGGGAGTATGTCCCAGGATAGACGGTCTTTTCGTGGCAAACTCTTTGTAAGACGTTGATCCAGATGACGCGTTGTCGAGTCACATAAAGCATTGTTTTACAGGTCTGTCACACTTTCAGAAGGCCGACGCCAATATTGAATCACCTTGGACACTCACCTGTCTCAACGCGATGATGCTGAAGGGTGATGCCAGGGTGCAGATGAGAAAATGGATATCCATTGGGAGATTCATGAAATTCGACGGAATGCCCTTGTTGATATTCGAAACAGAAGCCATGGCTGACTGACTGGCGTACGTCGTATAAGCTATAGAATTTCGCAAAGTAATGTCGTGGTTTGAAGATGGTGGCACTGGCAGTGGCACAAAGCCATCACCCAATGGGCAAATGCCGACTCCGTTTAGAGCGGAGATTGAACCCATCAATGTGCGCCACAAAGCACATTCACGACTCGCGGCTCACCACCACTACTGCAGCCGTTATTGAAGGCGAAGGAGCTTTTCCAAACAAGTTGCTGTGAGTTTCCGTCATTTATATCAATTGCTTGCTTTCTGACAAATAACACCCGTCGCTTGGCAGGCAGTCGCTGTGAGCGTCCATAGATTCTGTGGATTATCGACGATATTGTGAGTCTACTTCACTTTATGGCATGAGCCGATGTTAGTATTGAGAGAAGATAGGACAGGTAGTACCGGGACAGAGTCTCGGCAATGCTAAGCCCTTGTTTTGACGCTCTCGTCGGGCACACTTACGTCCCAGACGCTGACGAAGTTGCAGAAATAAGAGCCTTGCTACCCGAGCTAGAGAAGAGGCTCACGGAAGTAAACGAAAAAATGTCAAGAATAATGGAAACCTACGAGGAACTTCGGAAGCAGCGTGATGCAAAGGCTGTTTGCGAATAAACTAAGTCGGACGAAGCACCGCATGCTCGATACCAGCATCTAGCAACGTTTGATATATCCTCCCCATCTCAGGGTCTCCAGGCCCGACATGAGTAGAGCTCAAAAGTACGAAACGCTTCATCCCTTCAATATAGCGAGATTGATGAACGGCTTGACTTGCTGTATCACATCATGCCCCTGTGGTAATGTCATCTTTTCGAACCAGTTAAAATTGGCCACCAAGAAGTGTTCTGGGGCGTTTCCGCTCCTTGAGGCGGTGAGCACATCCTGTTTTGCAGCCAGAAGGAGTTTGCCAACGCAAAGCCGGTCTTTCCGATGCCGCCAGTAATGAGAATAGTCATGTCAGTCACAGGGTGCAGGATCAAATGAATGGGTTGGCTCACTTGAAAGGCATGTTCAGGGACATATTAAGTGACTGTGAAAGGTGGATTGACGGGTCTGGCTATGCGCCACTCGGAGAGCGGCCCGGCACATTAATCAGCAGGTACATTTCAAGCAACGTGAGAATGACACGAAGTCGCCTGTAGGAGCTTATTGTATGAGGGCACATGGTGTAGTTGGTTATCACGCTCGCTTAGCATTTACTTTCACTTGCGAGAGGTGTTGGGTTCAATTCCCAATGTGTCCAAAGTCTTTCGCTTTACCATATTGTTCTGCAGCTCCAGACACGACCATATCTGAAAGACAAGCATTGTCAAGATATACCATTTTCCAAAGTTAATCTATAAGAAACCCCCCACGCGTACTCATCTAGCAACTGTGTGCCTATAACACGCTTATGGAAGTTTTCGACATGGAAGCGATCATATCAGATGAACCACTGACAAAGGACGTCAACAATGCGAAAAAAAAAAAAAGCGATAAATGCATGTGCGAGCGTACCCTAGTCCCTGTAAGCCATCTATAGGTTCTACGTGGAGTTTCGTCCCATTAATGTTGACGTATCCTTTTTCACGGGCGCCTAATTGGAGCTATCGTTTCACGAGCGATAGTGGAGCCTAACACTCACCGGAACGCATTCGTTCGGCAATCTGCTGCACAAAAGCAATATCACTCGTCCAGAGAGATGCCGCTAGAGAGTATTGAATATTCCGTGGTGTTTGCTAGATCAACGGCTTCGTCGACTGACCCCACGACGGCAAATAAGAAGGGAATAGGGAGACACTTGGGTTGGATAGAAAAAGAACTACCCTGGCCGGAAGCTTTCTCTATCCCACAGCCTCATCCCAGATCTGACTCCTTTAACAAGATGTGGCTGAATTACCCTCCCGTCCTTCATCAAATCTCCAAGATTGATTTCCGCGCCATCCGCCTCCGCGTCTCTAATCATCTCAAGAATGTTGTCGATGTAAAAGAGCGCATATCTGAACGGTAGAATCATTGACAACATCTCCAGCTTTCCAAGATGCGCAAAGTCTCTTGACGGCGCTGATAAGGCGGTCCGCGACGCCGCTTTGCACAATGACCCTTTCGGTCGATATGCAGGCCTAGGGATATGCTTGGTCACTGGATGCTACTTACTCAGAAATGAACAGAGACGCACCTGGCCAGATTGCACATAGCGCCCTGAACAATGGCCTTCGCGGCTTCGCGGCTTCGTGGATGTCCGCATCGTCCAATACCTGGATGTTCGTTCTAATTAATTAGTGTCACAAAGAAGGAACTGAAAAAGCACACACAACAGCTGGTGTCTTTCAATCCATCGAGTTCCAAGACACAGGGCTTCAGATGCTTCGCCGCCTCCATCGCGACAATCCTCCCCACACGATCGCTTCCAACAAACTATCATTCAAACCTTTAAAATGGAATAATACTGATACTAAAATAAACCTTATCTACGCAACCATACGGTCCATACGAACAGCGGGGTTCGCAACAATTTCCGCGGTCAAACTAGGCGCGTCCTCTTTCGAGAAAGAGACGAAATTGAGAACCCCTGCTGGGAGCCTGGCTTCCTCGAAGACCTTCCCAACGATAAGCTGCGTTCGAGGGCTCATTTCAGAACACTTGATCACGACTGTGTTTCCCGCAGGATAGGGACAGTAGTCACCGAGATGGTTATTGTGCTGCATGGTTCATTGGCAGAGCAAGAGGAATCACTCACCATATGACCCGACCCCAAGGCCCATAGATAGTGGCATGGATGCAGCCGTCGGGGAGTCGTGTTGAGAGCGAAAAAAAAATCAGGAGGTTTTATATTGGTCACGAAACGACACTTATGCATTACAATACAGCATATTGGGATGATTTTCCTTCTCGACAGCAAGCTACATACTTGAGGATCACATGAATAGGGGATACTGTCGTCCAAGAGGATGCGTAACGATCACTCGTTTATCTGTATAACTCTCGATGTGGAATCTTCCGTAGCCAGAGGCACCGCTGTGTGGTAGCGACATGGGCCTGGAAAATCTCGAAACGGACAAGATGAGGGAGGTACATACCCTAGTCCCAATAGGCTGTCAGTCCCTTCCGTGTGAATAGTTGAGCCATTGATGGACGTGGCGCCTGGCGCAGAAGAGGAATCAGACGTCACCTATGCCTAGCACGAGGGAACTTACCGGCCCGGATCTGTGCCGCAAGACTTTGCGCTGCGTACAGATCGCTGGTCCATAAAGAAGCGGAAAGGGAGTAGTCTGAGGCGTTGGCTAATTCAATTGCTTCGTCGACAGAGTTGACAACTGCGAAAACAATAACTGGGATAATTGAACTATCAGATATATCCCACTTGAGCAGGAGCTGGAATTGCATACCAGGTCCAAAGGACTCTTTCTCCCAGATCCGCATGCCGGGCTTCACATTTGTGACAAGATGAGGCTGAACAACCGCGCCTTGTTTCGAGGTATCACCCAATATGATCTCCGCTCCATGCTGCTTAGCGTCTTGTAAGAGTTGCACAACGCTGTCGGCAGAGGACTCTGAGAAGAGCGCTCCAAGACGCGGCGCAGGGTCGCCCAAAACGTCGCCTGCTTTCAGCTGGCTGCTAAGCTCTTTAATTGCTGAGACGATCCTATCCGCAATCCCGCTTTGGACGATAACACGTTCGGTAGACATGCACACCTATGGGCTATCATCAGTGCTTCCCTTCAAGCAGAGACATGTAATCCTCCTACTTGGCCAGAATGAGCCATCGCGCCCCAAACGATAGCTTTGGCCGCCTCGATAACATTAGCGTCATCGAGAACCTAGGTGGGCAAATGTAGTAGAGTGCAAAGTGGGATAGAATGCCAAACTAACCACCGCAGGAGCCTTGCCACCCAATTCAAGGACACACGGCTTGAGGTGCTTTGCAGACTCCATCGCGATTATCTTCCCTACACGATCACTCCCAGTAAACTGCCCAAATTGACGTCAACTTTGCGTCATGCGAAAGACGAGGGACTGACGCACATTAGTGATTCGAACTGCCGGATGGGCAATGATTTCAGCAGTTAACGCTGGCGCGTTCTCTCTGGAAATGGAGATGAAATTGAATACTCCAGCAGGCAGACCGGCTTCCTCGAATAGGTCGACGACCAGCGATTGGCTCCTAGGACTGAGCTCTGAACTTTTGAAGACAACGGTATTACCACTGATGATTGGTGCCGCAATCGTATTGACAGTCAAGGGGAAAGGAGCGTTCCAAGGGGCGATGCCAAGCCTAGGGGTTGAAATCATAAATAACGTTCTAGAGAGAGAAGAGAAAAGGAGCCCATACACGACGCCCTTCGCCCTTCGCTTAGAGATGGCTTGGGCACCGGGAGCAGTCTCAGAGGGATAAATCTCGCCCCTCAAAAAGTTTACCATCCCAGCTTGAGTACGTAGCATGTTGGCCACTACATGGGCGTGGCGAGCTACCCAGTAGGGAGCACAGGAGGTCTCCTGCGGCACCACCTGCAGAAGTTTCTTCTCCCATTTCTCGGTCTCGACAATGCTTGCGGCCTTCAGGAAGAGATCTCGACGCTCGACGAGGCTGGTCTGTTCCCATGTCTTGAACGCCTTCGCCGCAGCTTCGATAGCAGCCCTACAATCCGCGCTGGAGGCTGACGCTGCTGTGCCGACAACATCCCCAGAGTACGAGCTGCGAACGTCGAAAGTTTCGCTTGTGCTGGAAGGGACCAATCTCCCGTCAATATACAGTTGCGTGAATGGAACTGACATGTGAGAAGGGTCGTAAGGAAGAGCCACAGGAAGAACAGCTTCTCAGAGCATTAAGTATAAGAAGGCGTCCGTTCTTGAGTCATTCCAGAAGAGTCAGGTTGTCACCCATAACGCATACGGCATGAGAAATCCATTCCTTTCTGTTCATGCAGTAAACGTAACCTATCAGGCCTATATATCAGGGCTTGCGGTCTTTCGCTCTTCGTTCCAATAAAAGGAGATGAATATATGGTAATACATATTATAAAATCTACAAAAGCCCAGTGAATAACACGATAGCAAGTACAAACGCAGATACTTAATATGAGTCATGATGGTCATGGGTTCGGAATCGATGACTTTGCAGACTTGACCCAATTCCTACGCAACTGATTGCGGAGCTTGAGCTGTTGGGCATTTTTGTCCACCTCCTCTTTGCTTCGATACTTCCACATGAAGTCTTCCGTTTTCGGCACGTAAAAGAGACGATAAGTCCGCACGCAGACCTTGATCTCGAGTCCATCCTGTGAGGTAACATCTGGAGGCGTTTCTCGGACAGCGGCAGGGAGATTTCTGTGATTCCTGTCAGCGATGAGATTGCATTGTGACGCCGAATGGCCAAGTACCTTCGAAGATATGGTCGTCTCGCACGAATGTGGGAGACCCCTTTAGTCGCATCACTCTGCGTTGCATAGCCGCGTCAGGAAAAGGGCAGAACAATACAAGCATGACTTGCGACTGACCGATATGTATGCATCGATGTAAGCTTGCCATCGCCCGGTCAGAACTTCTGGATCCTCGAAATTTGTGTCGTCTTTCCCGATCAACTGGAATGTCATGGTCTTGGACTCGGGCAGCTTTGTAAGAGACGGTTAGAGACAATATACCGTATGGGCAAAGCAGCCGGCATACCCAGTCAATCCGGAAAACATTTTCGTCGGGCCCCAGCACCTTTTCAGCGTGACGACGGCTATTAATGCGATCCTGCGTGGTTGGGGTGGGCAAAGAGCGTTCACGTTTGAGATATTCAAGTAACTCTTGGCTCTTCGGATCGGCAATGATGGCCTGAGCCTGGAAGAAAACCACATGAGCAACAAAAGGCGGAACACGTCTAGGTGTATCGCACCTGCTTGATTATTGCGCCAATGACCTTGTCGATAGTAAAGATCTTGTACGCATGCTGTATGAGGGGTTAGACGTGACAGCATACGGATGTGCACCATACGCACCTTGAGACCAAATACTGCCCTCGTGTCATCTTCAAACTTGTGCTGCTCAATCTCGTTCTCGAACAGGCGTTCGCACTGACCAAGCAGCGTCTCGTAGAAGTGATTTGTCCCAGGGGAAGTGGTTCCAGTATCCGCTCCATTCTGACTTGAATTCTTTGTATGCCGTTCTTTTGACAAGGTCGCTGCAATGCTCTTGAATAGGTTCAGGCGTGAATAAAGAACCTTTAACAAAAAAGTGAGTGATATTGCAGGGTCCAAGTGACGCGGTAACAAACCTCGATCAAGCGCAGCAATGCGTAGAAAGTCGTATTCGTGAAAAAAGCATGTATGCCCTTGTCAGAACGCTGAGTTGCTGCAGAGGACGACTCCGCCTTATCCTCCTCCAGCGGGATAGGGGACGCAAATCTGGACACAGCAGGCGATGGAGCCTCCTGGTGTGCCCTCGTCTTCCTGTTCGTCGACTTGGCTTGTTCGCTTTTGAGCAGCTTCTTCCTCAAATCACCTCCGGACGAATGATGAGGAGCGTGCTTACGTCCGTTTCTTCCAGCCCCTCGAACGTTCGACGTGGCAGGACCATCGGTGTCTTCAGCGACGCTTGCCACGTCGACGTCACTGTTGTCGCTCTCGACTGTGTCAAGAACGATGAAGGAGGAATTGAACTGCATAGAATCGAGGGTGAAGAAAAGGGGGATGAACGTCCGCAGGAAGCCCTCGATCCGCCTGCGGTCTATCGCGTTGATCTGGCCTTGCGTCCGGTCCAAGAACGAGAACGTCAGCTTGATAGCGTCTTGGAGCACAGACTCGCTGTCAATGAGCAACTCAAGCTGGTACCGAGGCCGCGTCCGAGCGAACAGTGGGTCGATCAACGATGCCCTCTTCGCTGTCTGCTCCTCTCTGGCGGTCTCAATCTGGTTTACGAGGGCCTTGGTCGCCAGCGCCTTCTTGTCGTTCATTTTGAACGAGATAGCTTGGTGGTCTAGGCTCTTGGCATAGTTGCGTGCGTCAACCTCTCTCCAGACCTTGTTCCATTCCCTCTGAGCCCGCTTCCACTCCTCTTCCTTCTGTTTCAGGCGTTGTAGGACGACAGGAATAGCATGAACTGGTGTCTCCTGCATGGCCTGGATGACCTCCAATCCTGCCTCGCGTCCATAGATCTTCTTGATCACCCGCTGGTGGATAGCTTTCCACGACCCGCCTAGGTTTGCCTTGAGCTTGAAGTTGCCTCTGTCTTCAGGGCTCATCTGGGCGATCTTGTTGTTGATAGGCTCAAGCATTGTGATTGTCCGTACAATGGCCTCGATGTGGAAGTCGTATTCGTGGCGCTCCTCCTCGCTCCGGTGAAGAGCCTCTTCATAGATGTTCTTCTTGTGCGAAATGAACCCGGAGTCTTCACTCGTCCAAGTCGGATGGGAGACCCACTCGTCATTCAGAACAGACCGGCACATTTCATCACGTCCGGAACACGGGACATTCGCCTCCTGCGTCGATCGTTAGTGTATTAACGATAGGAACTAAGAGATCAAGACTTACACTGGCAGAAACTTTGCGATAACTTCCATACTTCTCGCTGAGGTCAATTCGCCCTGGCCTGGCCGGCAGACCAGCAAGCGCAGGCTTAGTCCACCCACTCTGGTTATGCTGCTCAGCTAAGAAGTGCTCGCGTTCCTTTTTGTCGTCCCAGCCCACGATATCCCGGAATTGCTTGTATAGTTCAGTATTACCCAAGAAATGCCGACTTTCTTTGACAAGACGGGCGGTATCGATGTAATCTTGAGCGAAGAGATTGACAAGTTTCAAGAATTCGTTGTAGATTTCTCGGCTCTGTAGGACTCGCCTTACACGATCAAAAAATTGGGCGTCATCGTTGGCCACAGGCATTCTTGGGGGTTGAGGAGGGAGGGCGTGATGACTGGCACGTCGAGGAGAAGACGGGGCGGCGACAACATGTTTAGGGTTATAGGATATTGGTGCAGTATCTTGCGTAGAGGAATGTTTTAGTTTCTAGAACATATCAGAGTGGCGATCTAGGGATCAAAATTGTTATCAGCCCACCTTCGCGGGTGGCAAGGTCTTCAAAGGCGTAGGCTCCTTTTCACGTTCTCGCTCCTTATCTGCCGTCTTCCTCTTCCTCTTTTGCGGTAGTGACGAGTTGTGGTTGACGGAACTCGCTACAACATCCAACTTGCGTCTATTCCTGTCTTTCTCACGCGCGGACGATGCTGGTGCTTTCTCATCCAAAAGTTGCTGGCTTCTGTCAGGCATGAACACGCGAAAGTCTGCACGCAAATCCGGGGCATCTTTGAACAGCCTGGCAATCTGCCTAGAGACTTCGTCCTGAAATGGCAAATTTTTGGCGCTGCTTTCCTTAGCGTGAATTGAGACCCACCTCGTCAATGGCTTCCGGGGTATGGTGATAACGCGACAGGATGTCTAAGAACTGCCGATAAGTTTCGGGATCGCACCGTTGCTTGATCTTTTGCACGTATTGCACCGCAGGCTCGATAGCCTGCCCGTCCATCCCGCCGTAGGACCGGGACTCCGGAGATGCAGGCCGCGGAGCACTGTGGTCAATGCTAGCTCCTGTGACGTTGGTGAGGTCGCATTGACGAGAGACGCAAACGAATCTCACCATATCCGGTGCCATGAGGGAAAGGTAGTGGCTTCACTGAAGGATCCGTACTCTGCACTGTTATCCCACTAGGCGTTGTCACCGTGATGAAATGGTTCTGAGGGTCGCCATTGACTTCAATCCTGTAACCGACCGGAAGGAAGGTATTGAAGCCTTGTATCAACGGAGAGTGGCCTGTGAATAGATGAGAGACGCGCTGGATGACGCCAGGAGTGTCGATCCTGCATTGAACGTGAGTATATGTAGGCCAACAATGACAGTGAACGCACTGCTCGTTTTTGAACTCCTTCATGATGTCGAGGAAGTGGTTGTATACATCTGGCTTGTCCTGAAACTGGACCTTGACGGCATCAAGGTAACTGAGAGCGTCGGTCACATTCAGGGGGCGGTCTGAGGTAGAGTAGGCGCGAGTGTCCATCGGTGACGCTCTGCGAGATCGCTGGGTGTCGTCTCGCAACGGTCCCCCTGGCTCAGATCGAGGTATAACAATCGGAGTGGCAACACGAGGTGTCAAGATCCTGTCTTCCCTGGGTGGCTGTTCTAAAATTTCTGACTTCGGAGTGGCCTTTCGGTCATTATTCTGGGAATGTTGGTCCGACAGCGGAGGAAGGCTTCTTGGCGAGTTCTCTAGCAGTCGCTTGGACTCGCGCCCAGGACTGTCGACTGCCATTTTGTCAGTGTCCATGATAAGTGAGGTGGTAGGTGTCGCCGGCGACGACGGCGGATGGGAATGATGATGATGAACAAAGTGTGGTCTGTGCACACTGTCGATTGACCCGTCATAGTCACGCGGAACAGGAAGAACGGGATTTACGGGCCGATTGATGGAGTTCCCACAGTCCAGCCAATTCCTCTCACTCTGTTGCATACTTTGAATTCTGCTGTTAGTGTGAAGCTTTTCAAGTCTGAACACAGTTGGGTTGTTTGGACACATGTTAAGAACATGTCTTTCGAGTTGTGAGTCCCGGAATTTCTCCTTAGCCACTTGCTGACTGCGCATATAGGCTCACGGGCAGTCGCGTCAACGTCCCAAACCAACGCATTTCACACTTCCGCCCCCACCCTTTCGCAAGCCACAAAACGAATAGGCGTTCGTAACAAGAAGAAAAACCTGCAAAAGACCGCCCAACGCCTTCAAGAAGCCGCTGCCAATCGACCGAGCGTCGTTCTGGGCACACGCACCGCCGAGGAGGAGGAGAAGTGGAAGAACTGCCTCCTCTCCAAGATCCTCGTGAATGAGGCCGAGCTCGCCTCTACGACGGAGCTCACCAAGCAGAACTTCCCCGTTGGCGACCTCGAACTGCCCAAACAGTTCGGACATGGTGTTGCGCAGACCGAGAAGGAGCTGCTCTTCCGCGACCTGCCGATGGCTTCTGCTCAGATTGGGACAGAGGTAGGGAAGGAGGAAGCTAAAATGGGAGATGGGGTGTTGGAGGAGGACGAGTTAAGGGAACAGAGGAAGGCGAACTTGCTGGCGAAAGCGCTTGACTTGAGGAATGCAAATGCGGGAGGTATCGCGTTCGAGAACAGGCGGCGTATTATCCACGCCTTCTCGACTCCTGAAAACCCTTTCGATCCTGGAAGGACTGAGGTCCAAGGTGCGTATTTCCGTCGTAAACTCTTGTTCTCTCCAGCTTACATGGCAGTTTTTCTTTCCATTCGTAGTCGCTCTCCTGACCTACAAAATTCGAAACTTGTGGAAGCACCTTCCACAATTCAAGGCGGATGTTGCAAACAGGCGAAGCCTCCGAAAGCTGATCCACCAACGTGGTGCCCTCCTTCGATACCTCAGGAACAACAACAGAGACCGCTACGAGACAGTGCTAGAACAACTCGCGCTAGAGCCCGAGGCTGTTGAAGGCGAACTGGTCGTATAATCTTCTCTACTTCACTATTTACTCGTAATGCACTCCCTAAGAGTCAATATAGAATCTCACTATTCGAACCGTCCTTATTGATTTCAATAAGCCACAGTCAACGGTGGTCTCTAACGCAAGACGACCTCGAGGTCATTGGAGTGGAAATAGTCCATTTTTATTTCACTTTTTCGTTATAAAATACATGCTACTAGCTTAGGTATGTTCTGACATATACCACACTATGCTATTCGAAGGAGAAGAAACAGAAGTCAAATTTGAGGAAAAATTGGGGAAAAGAAGTAAAAAAAAGGAACGATCTTGAAATGAGATGAAGAAAGGGACCTTCAGCGAGAAATGGGAGGAAAAAAAGGAAAAACAAACTATAACACATCTATGAACACCATTAACAATAAAACGGAGCGACACAGAAGACAAGAAGTCTACCACATCATTGCGACGTCCACGATCGAAAGCAGCTGCGCATTTGCTAGAAAACGAGTGCACACGACCAGCTCAGGGGCCTTCCTCTCTCCCAAAATTGTGACAATCTCGAGGGAAGGTACACAAGGAGTTCTTCCAGCTCTGGACACAGGCGACACTGGGGGTTTTGGGGAAGATGAGCTGGCGACAAACGAGGGGTTACAAAAGCAAAATCGATTGCAAAGTGCGGAACGAGCGGATAGCTGACGACAGCAAGGCGAAGAACACTACGAAAGCCGGGGTCGACGCGACGAAGATGCTGTAGGGGGCAACGGGACAAGGATTGCAAAAGACATGACTTCGAGATTTGGATGCATGAACTAGAAAAACACATTGACATGGACATGGAGGGCATAGTGATGATGAATGGATGATTGTACGATGGAGATGACTGCGTAGGGTATGTGGGTTTGAATGCGAAGAGGATCCGTCCAGGGTGCTCCTTGGTACGAAGAAGGAACAAGAACGAGGTGACAGGAAAGAAGATAACAGGCCGACGGCGAGGGAAAGCGAGAGGTAGAACAAGAAAACAGTGTGGGGTAGATGACCAGGCGTCGAAAGATATCGAAATGAAAGGACATTTGAGAAAGCTGCCTTCCATTCCTCTGAGCATGGTCGCGCGACACCGCCATGGGACCTAACAAGCGCGCAGATCCTGTATGGTAGGGTGCTCCTCCAGTCCATCTTCGTGGTTGCCCTCTTCCAGGGCAGCCTCCACCATCTCGCGCTCAATTTTGATCTCTGCTTTCAGTCTCAGAAGCTCCTTGGACAGGTCGACCTGTGTGCCTTCTGCCCACCGTGACAGGGCCCAGTCCCTCATGAACACGCTCGACTGGGCACATTATACGTAAGAAAGGGGCGGAAGGGAGAAGGAGAGGTGCGAACCTTGTAGTACCGCTTGCCAGCGTACTTTTTGTGAAAAGATTCGTGCCTTATGGGTTTGAGGATATAATTTAACATCAGGTTCGCCGTTGGGATCAACGCGCTTTCTTTGTAGGAGGAAAAGTGGGCCAGGTTGGGCGTCTAGAAAGACGCAGCGTCAGAGGGCAATCATAAAATAATGGCGGAAGAATGTACCCATTGCTCCATACCAAGGGCCACACGAGCGAGCCAGATAGATGCCGCAGCCATGAGGGAAGGAGGAGCCGCAATCAACCGCCATTCAAGTACGCCAATTTCCAAGAGATATTTTCCTAGCGTCCTGACCTTGACGTTATAATCATCGGCCTTGGAGACTCGTCGAAGGTAATGCACAGGGTTGGGGTAGCTGAGATTCCAGTCGAGCGTCTTCAAGACGTACCGCTCCGCCTGGAGGATCTCTGACTCAGTGTACGACGAGTCGGCACACATCAGGAAGTGTGACACGGACGGCGACACGACCTCCTCGAATTTCGCAGCGATGAACATGCATGTCACGCCCACGAGTTGCAGTTTCGCCAGCGAAACTACACGTGCTGAGAGGAAACGATCGATGATGTTGACGCAAAGGAAGAGTGTTTCGGGCAGGAGGCGGAATCGAACGTGCACTTGGATAAGCCAGTCGGTCAGGATACCTCGCATTTTCCACGCGAGTTCCTTTTGACTTTCCATGTAGTTCGGATTGGGCATCGTGGTCAACTAGCGGAAAAAAATAGATACGTAAAATAATTCAGTATTCAAACGGACTGTCGCTTACCTCGACTTGCTTCAGGTAGTTGAAGATGTCCTGGACATACTCGCTGACCATTAGAGGGTCGTCATTATCGTCGGCATCGAGGTCGTCCCAGGGCGAACTCTCTGGATCAGCTTCGGGCTCGTCTGCAAAAGCCTCCATCTCCGCCGCGATGCGTGCATTGTGGGCATCTTCCTCGGCTTGAAGACGGGCAGCCTCGAGAGCCCGGGGGTCTTCCTCTGGAGGTATTGATGATGTCCTTCGTTTCTTATGAACGGGCTCCTCCTCGAACTCCTCCTCGACATTGACACGTAAAGATCGCGAAGAACCATGTCTGCGGGTTTCAAGGCGGCGAGGAGCAACCGGGATTGAATCCTTGACAAGGTTCGACCTGCGAGCTGCGATGCTTGGCAGTGGCACTTGATGGGGAGGATCCACCACCATCGCGTGCTCATCGGCAACGACGATGACCTCGGACACCTGCTTGACCTCTTTCTTGACAGCCACAGTCGTGGTTTGACGGGTTGTGGCCACTGTACGCAGGGTTTGACGTGTCGTGACGCCCTTGGACTTGATGATAACACCATCGAAAGTTTCCTTCTCCTTGCCCTTCAGCCCAGCGCCCGCTTGTTTATTGCCTGCAACAGCGACCTCGCCTAATGCTTCGCGTTTCCGTTTCCCTGCATGAAGGTCAGCCTTGGGGTCAGCGGTGGCAGCTGCCTTGGCTCTAGATGCTGCGGTGGCGCGGGTGACACCGCCTGTGAGGGCTCCTGAGGTTGAGGTGCCCGACACGAGCGAAACGGCCTTGTTGCGCGTCGAAATACGTGACGGGCGGGCATTGGCATTCTCGTTCTCCTTCACCCCGGCTGTCCGGGTTGTGCGTGTTAAACGGCGTGTCTAGAATGTCAGAGAGAATGGTGAGCCCGCGATACGCGAAACTCGACGAAGAGCTTACAGGAATATTTGAAGACATTGGACCTCGCCGTTGTTGAGGGTGGCTCTGGAATGGTGGTAGAAGGGGATGATGCGGGGGTGGTGGAAAGCGAGGTGGTCGACCACAACACCGACAAGCGCCATCAGTATCCAACATCACGTGCAGGTGCAAATAAGTCGCCAAATAAACGCGACGCGCTTGGTCACATGCGCGTCATTTTACGTACCGTGTTTTATTACGTGACGCGTCTTTGTTGATCCTCACCACGACCACGCTTGGCATGTTCCAACTTCCGTTTAGCAGATTGTACATAGTCCAGCGGTATGTTTGAAACTATGTGCGTTGGCTTCATGATGCTAATGTCCAGAGCTTAAACGTTGGCTTGCTTTCTTCATAAAGAACGGTAACGCGACACGACGCGTCAATGAACTTCCTGGATTACCCGTTACCGATCTTCAATCTTTTCGAATAAAGCATATTTACACGTTTATAACGTTTGTGTGCATCTTTTTGACCCTCTCTTCGCGGAGAAACGCCTCTGGATGCAAGCAGACGGCGCATATATTTAGATATATTTGGATCGCACTCGGAGATGAATGAACGCGACTGCTCGCCTTCCAATGGCAAACGGACTGAGATTCATCCCGTCCTTTCCTTCCACGCGGACGGATGAAAGTCCTGCAACAATAATGACAGTGAGTTAATCAAATATAAGCTGCCCAAGGAACTGAAGCGAAACTGACGAAATATTGCTGGCGGAAAGCTTAGATTGCACACACATGCCCACTCGACCTCTTCGATGTACGATAAACACTGACGAGAAAACGAGAACAATAACAGCTTTTCGATGGTAGGGTCTTGCAGTCTCTCGTAAGGCCGTTCATGTTTGAGATTGAAGCTAATTGAAGATCAAGGAGTCTCGATTCAAAGTCTCAGTATGGTGACAAATTTTCTCCGTCACCGAACCGCTCGTCTGTCCGTCGCGTGCGGCTTCGAAGGACGCCGAGCCTCTATTTGCGGAGGAACGGGCCGCTTCTATCTTGCCGATCCCGCCTGCTCCGATTCTTACCGTCACGAGCCACCCCATATTTACAAGCCCCAGCCATCTGAGGCACATATAGACCTCGCCCAAGATGCAAACGTCCAAGTTAATACATGTCCCCCACCACCTTGAATCGTCTATCTCACATCGCGTCCCATATGACCAGCCCGCGCCCAAAGATCGTTGTGACGAGGGACATAGGACCGGCTACCATGCCCTTGCTGTTTGAGAAGCAGTCATCTTACGAGGTGTGTGCATTTCCACGTGTTTTCGGTTCAGTTATTGAACGTGTCGTGTCGTAGATCGTGCTTTGGCCGGAGGATCGGCCTTGTGGGAGGGAATGGCTCTTGGAGAACGCGAAAGGAGCTGCTGCACTCATAATCCTTGTCACAGACAAAGTGAGCGTTGCTCAATCTACATGAGCCTACTCAGAAGTTAACTTTTTGATAGATAGATGCAAAATTGCTGGACATTGGTGAGTCTGTTCGCATGAGTATCTGGACGCTATCAGATAAACCAGCTGGTTAGCTGGACCTCAGCTTGTGGTCGTCTCTACTGTTTCTGTGGGCTACGGTAAGCCTTTATTGCTGTTTCACGCACCTATTCATTAAATTTATTCGTTCAGAACACGTCGACGTCAAGGAGCTAGCCAAACGAAACATCAAACTTGGTTACACGCCCGATGTTCTTACCGATGCAGGTACGAAGCAGAGCGCAATGTACCATATCATCCACTGACGCATTTCGCAGTTGCTGATGTGTCTATCATGCTCGCCTTGATGGCAGGGCGACTCGCCCGCGAAGCGATGGCAGTCGTCAACGAAGGAAGGGCAAGTTCATCTATACTTCCATGACAATCGCTAAATCGTATCTCCAGTGGCCCAACTTCAACTGGGCCCCTTTCCTCTTCTGCGGCCCACAACTCAGCGCAACTAAGTCCTCTCCGAAACGTACGGCAGGCTTCATCGGTTTCGGCCGCATCGCACATGCCACTCTTGCGCGCCTCATCCCTTTCGGCTTTACCCACTGCGTTTACGCGTCTAGCCCTTCCTCCAAACCCACTCCCGAGCGGGACGACATCCTAGCGAAGGACCTCCGCCTTCAATCCATCCAGCGCGTTGATCTCGACACAGTGGCCTCTGAGAGCGACGTCGTGTTCGTGCTGACGCCGGGTGGTGCGCAGACGAAAGATCTGATTAATGAGACCTTCTTGAGGAAGATGAAGAAGACGAGCGTGCTAGTCAACGCAGGACGTGGGCCGGTTGTCGACTCAGACGCGCTTGCGAAGGCGCTAAAGGAGGGATGGATATGGGGTGCCGGATTGGACGTCGTTGCCGGAGAGCCGAAGATTTATGCAGATCACCCACTTGTGAAGGAACCTAGGTGAGCAGGATAGCTACTACATCGCGATTTCATCTAATGTCCTGTGTAGATGCGTGATACTGCCGCATATTGGGAGTGCCACTCTGGAGACTCGCGTGGACATGGCCAATCTGGGGGTCAATAATGCGTTGGCTGCCCTTGCTGGAACCGAGATGCCTGCGTCTGTCGATTTATCCAGTTAACCTCAACATCCATCTGTATTTGTGACAAAGACGAAATTTGCTTGACGTGTTAGAAGACCAAGATGGTCATCACTGTTGCAATTGTTTCCTTGTTTTTCTGAAATTCGAGGGGATGACGCCTTGCCACCCAACGAAAAGACCTTCGCAACGTTTGTTTAGCATCAATGCCACATCGGTTGGCCACCAGCGGCCTATAAGCATATGTAGAGCCATATATCAACCACTATCCTTCCCTCTAAGCAAGGCTCGATATTGGCCCTCTTCTCACCTCCCGCAGAGAGCGCAGGATGGCCACCCGTAGCCAACATGCCTCAAACACGTCGGATGCATGGAACTACCTCTCCGCCGTCCGTTCCCAGTTTCACGACAGACCAGAAGTTTACCAGTGCTTCCTCTACGTGTTCAGAGATTTGCAAGAAGGGCGGTGCGTCCATTCTTGTTCTCACCTCCACTGCAACTCGCTCATGATCAGCCAGCATCAGCATGCGTACGACCGTGGACGTCGTTACAGTTCTCTTCCACAGACTCCCTAACTTGCTCGCCGGTTTTAATCGCTTCTTACCAGCTGAATATAGGATTCCTGTTCCTGATATGGTGTCCAGCGCCGATCCAACTGCTGTGGCAGCCAACGGCGAAGAGACAAACCTTGATCCCCTTTGCTATATCTTGGCCGTCAAGGCCGAGTTCAAGGACCAGCCGGAGGTGTATGGCCACTTCATCGATATCATGATGCAAATTTACGCACTCGTGTTATATTGGCTAACGGCTGTACGAGTCTAACTCAATCCTCAGAATCGACACAGAGAAACTGATCGAATACGCTTCCTTCACGTTCAGCGGACACCCGGCGCTGCTGCAGGGATTTAATTGCCTCTTGCCGGCGCAATACAAGGTCGAAGTCGAAGCTGGCGACCAGCTAGAACCACTCCCGCGCCAAGCACCCACTTTTAACATGACGAAAAGTAACTTTGACAACATCGTTCAATATTTAAGATTCGGTACGGACCACAGAAGTACTGCCAATTCCTGGATATTATCTGCCAGTGTGGCGAGACGAAACGATTGGGTGATGTACGTTATCAGAGGTTTATCTTATGGAGACGTTTGATGACTGACGAGCCCGCGCGTAGCCTGAGATTATGAGACAGGTTGAGATCCTCTTTCAGGATAGCCATTACCTGCTGGCAGAGTTCCGCGATATCGCGTCGGAGGAGGAGTTCGCTCTGAATATGCAGTGACGTCTCTACCTGAACAGGGTCTAAGTAGTACCATCATTTCAGAGTTAAAGAAAGCATGATCAAACCTCGATAGTCTCTTGCGCGCTCGGAGACTGTTCTACAGTCAAGGATCTTGTAAGTGTATTCCCATGGTGACATACGTCGATGCAATGGTGCCTTCTCTTGTGCAAGCCCTAGCGTTAGCGCTGTGGCCGCCGATCCGCGGTCGCTATGCGGAGTCAGCTTCGATCGCCACACTTTCCTGTTATAGGTGGTGCACGTCTCGTCTCTCGCCCACTCACCGAGACGAATAGACTCTAAAAATGCAAAGAAATTAAACAGAACGCGCGCAGCCACGCGGTTGGTCATGATCGATCGTCCGAAGATTCTCTTCCGTGCTGAGCCTTCGATGGCTAAACTCTCTTGCGGCTTGGGCGATCTGGATGAACAGAGCGACGATCATGTTTTCGACACATAATACAGAAAAAAATTACTAGTTCCAACATATAAGAGGGTACGAAATATAGTGGTATGCAAGATTACTCAATGGATACAATGAAAAGTCTGAAGGTGCTGTCACCTTCGGGAATGGAGGCAAACACTTGGGATGGAGTGGGGTAATGGAGGGTCGCACCTGCAGCCTCGCTTTCCCTATTAAGTTTTGTGTGTCCTTTCAACAGAAGTACTCGCATCCTCCGAGGCTCGAAGAAATGCTGTATAGCCGAGATTAGAACAACATCAACGCACCAATGCGAATAGACTCACATGATTCCATTTCTCAATAACCTTAAGCACGTTCTGCCCTTTCCTACTCTTCATAAACTGCTGTATTCCGTATGAGCTCGCCCAACCTACGTCGACGTCAGCCTGAAACCCTCCCTGCAGAGCGGAAGCGTACCGATGAAAGGGACAATGGAGATGAAGGGGACGTTAGATCTACTGACGTCCTTCTCGGTCAACGAACCGGCCATACGCATCTCGGAAAGGAACCTGCGATGCCTCAGGAATGCTGGACGCACCGAAAGACAAAGGACTCACCCTAGCCAATCAAGCTCGTTGACGTCGTGGGTGATGAACGGATGAGGGTGGGACCGGGTTGGTGGTGGGGTCTGTGGAAAGCCTTTGTCGAGATTCTTCCCTGACGCAACGAGGAACATTGGGTCGAAAGGCGGGAACGTTAGCTCTTGCGGTGGTGGACGCGACAAGGATTGCAGGACGGCGGCCCCGGGAGACGAAAATGAGGTTGCAGCCATCGCGGACGACATAGGAGTGTAGTATGACGCGCTCGGTCCCGCTCCTTCCTGAGCGTAGCCGTACCCATAGGCGTTGCGTGGTCCGTCTTCGAGGTCGGGGGGCGGCCTAGTCTTGTGGTCACGGTCGATGATAGTGGGCGACGACACCACAGTAGGAGCACTGGTACTTGCCATCTCGTTGTACGAGGGTGGGGGCCCTACACTGTCTCTCGGATTCTCCGAGTCAAAGGGGTCTGCACTGGGTCCCGGTGCGAGGCGTCTGGGACGTTTCTCTGCGCTTTCCTCTGGGACGATCATGGTGGGCGGTGAAGAAGGTTAGCGAGAGGTTGCGGCAGTCGGCAGTCGGACGATGTGATTTTATAGACAAAAAATAGCCGTTGTGGCCGTGCCTCCGACCTAGCTGCGGTCAACGGCGCAGCAGATCCTGTACTGAATTCGGAGAACGGGGCCAGGTATCATGGAGATTACCTCATCAAGCAGGCTTGGCCCGAGATTAGAAAAATGGAGCTAGACTCGGATAATAGATTAGATTGGCTGACCCTGGATTTACAAATATCCATCCACACCTTGTATCTGGACGACCTTCTAACTTCTACTATTTCCGCTACGGTGAACGACAGGGAACGCTCAGTGACTACGGTTGTTTCTGACTTGCACAATGTCTCAGTCTGGCAGGTACAAGACTCTGGTCGAAGTTGGAACTGCGTCTCTTTAAAACAGTCATCATGTCTTTCCGTGCGGAGAAAAACGCACATAAATCTACAGCAACTAGCCCTGGGCGTTCTGCCTCTATGCCGGACGACGCACTCCCTCCTTCCTACATTTCGCAGAGTGGAGGAAGCGGGGCGGCTGCCGCGGCACCCGCCGGCGGGAGCCATCGCGACGAAAAGAGGGGACCTCCCGACTCATACGACGGTCGAAGGACCAACGGGAACGACTACGCTCAGGCTACCCAAGGACCCACTAGTTCATCGCAGTACGCACCTGGGGGAAGTGCTTCTTATCACACACCCGCGGCACCTGTTGCTCGAAACCCCTTTACCACTCAGGATGAGTGTGTTCGGCAGTCTCTTTCCAGACCGCCCGCTCCAGGCCCCTCCTACGCCTCATTCGAGCCGATGTTCTTGCTGGTTGAGGGTAAGAACTTAAACAAGGGCTTTCCTCACACCCCACCTCCGTCCGACTCACACCCCCATCCTTTTGCCTCTCACGATGTCAACAAGCCCGATTGGGTTGGGTCAGTTTTTTTCGGGTTTAGTTTGAGGCATGTTTCCTGACATCCCCGGAATACAGCTTCTTGACCGAGGCGAAAGCGGCCGGGTCTCTGACAGAAAAAGACATCAAGCATTCGAAAATACCAGTCATTAGTTGGGTTCCGTTCGTTAGTGCGTCGTGTCATTTTGCTTCCGTTATTTGGCACTGATCAATTATTGACGCCCTGGTAGATCGAGCGAGCGCTCACGGCGTTCAGCAATTCATGAAGAGTCACAAAGGGCAGGCGGTCATGCAAGTTTTCCAAAAGTGGAACCATGTCAGTTCCTCAAGGCTGTCTCACAGTCCTTCTCGCTAACGCCGACGCCCATAGCATTTCTTTGAACCAAGGAAGATGCAAGTCATTCTCATGAAGGGACACGCCAGAGTTCCCGCGGGCAAGGAAAGACCTAGCTCATTCGACCCTCTTCCTCCCCGGGCCTACGCTTCAATCCCTGACGAAAGCGACTGCAGATTCCGTCTTTTTGTGGTGTCACTCTAGTCTTCTGTTTCACAAGTTGCATGTTTTACGTTAGGTCTAGACAAGCGTTTCAATCGCATTGAATTAAAATATGCAGCAATCAGGAGCCTGGCCCGTGGAAGACGGGCTTAGCACTAGCACGTTTGCAATCATCTTGGGGATTCGCACAGAGAGCGCTAGGTATTTTTATCCAGGGAGATGAACACAATGCGTCTTCGCTCCTTTTGAATCTGAATAGAATTAAAAGTGTCCATATGAAAATGCAAGTGCGAACTGGCGGCTTTCGTGGCAACCTGTTGGTCCACTAAGCACCCTTTCCCTGGCGCCGCACCGTGACAGGTCACGTTAGTGCGCCACACTAAAGTGACTGTGACAAAGTGTTACGGCTCTTTCACGTTGCAACTCTATATTTTACATAGAAATGTCAGAGGGGCTTTTTATAAAATATCAACTCGCTTTCGACACCTTGCATACATATGGCACTGAGAGCAGCATTGACCATCATCAAAGGCGTTACCCAAGATGATTCCTCTGCAGGGACAATGATCGCCTTCTTGTCATCGTGGGGTACGACCAAGCTTTTTGCCTTGTGTTAAGCCTTCATTTGCAGGCCTTGTTCAGTGTGCAATGTCAATGCTGCCATTGAGTATGCCAAACTCTTGAAAGAATACAGTGACACCATGAGGATGACCTCCTCATTGTCATGCGTGTCTACTTCGAAAAACCTTGTACCACAGTGGGCTGGAAAGGCCTCATTAATGACCCTGATCTCAATGGGAGTTTCCAGATCAACAAAGGCCTGCACATTGCCCACACCCGGCTTCTAGATGTCGCCAAGCTCGGTCTTCCTGCTGGTTGTGAGTTCTTGGATACTATCAGCCCTCAATATACCACCAATCTCGTTTCTTGGGGTGCCATCGGTGCTCGTACCACTGAGTTGCAAGTTCACCACAAGCTTACATCTGCTCTGTCAATGCCCACCAGTTTCAAAAATTCCATGGATGGGAGCATCGGAATTGCCATTGATGCCTGCTGCGCAGCCAGGAGTGGACATGTTTTCCTGAGCATGGGCAAAGAAGGGCTCCGCAGTATCATTGAGACCACTGTGAGTTTTATCCAAAACATTTCTTCCTGCCAACTTTTGCGCTTCATAGGGCAATCTGGACGTACATGTCATTCTATGCGGTGGCGCCTCGGGCTTGAATTATGCTGCTGAATTTGTTCATGAAACCTGTCAGAAGCTGGTCAAGGCTGGTTTACCCCAAAAAATCATGGTATGCGTCATTTCAATATATTGTGCCCTGTGACTGAGTTTATTATCTTAGATTGACTGCAGCCATGGAAACAGCTCAAAGCAGCACCACAAGCAAGCTGACAATATTGTAATTCAACTGTGCCATCCATTAAGATCATACTCATCTCCGATTATTTTTAGGCACATCAATTAGAATCAGAAGATACATCATCCTTCATTATGGGGGTCATGATTGAGAGCAACCTGGTGGAGGGCTGTCAAGATATCCCTGCATCTGGGCCCGCAGGCCTCAAGTACGGACAGTCCGTGACTGATGCCTGTCTTTTGTGGCAGGCGACAGTTCCTGTACTTGACTGCCTCCCTGAAGGTGTCTGGGCATGGCGACAGTTGGTTAAGTCCAATGCTAGAAGCTAGTAGATCCTCCATTGTGAGTGGCTTGGGTCCCCTGGCTTGCTAGCTCATTATATCTTTTCCCTACAGAGATGTACCAACTTTGCTCAGATGTAATGACCATGCCGGATGGGGTGGGGACTTGGCTTCAGCTGGACGGAAGGGGCAGCTGCACCACCATGCAACATCTGGGTGTCCCCGATTTCGGATGAACAGGGAGGAGCCGGATTCCAGCAGTGAACTAGAGCAAAGGGGGTATGTCGAGTTCGATATTCCGACTGAGGAATCTACTACTGTACATGGGTATTTATGCTATGTAGGATAATGGACCATGATTATGTAATAGATAACTTAGCCGGGACAAGGAGAACAATGAAGGACAATGGGACAATGGCTGGGAGACACAATGGAGTGAGCCGGAAACATGGCTCGCCTCAGAAGTGCCTCGGAAGCGCACGGCTCATTTCCAGATGTCTCGGAAGCGTCCCGGAAGAGCATGGCTCATTACTACAAGCCTCGGAAGCTGGATACAGCCTCGGGAGCCAGATAATTGTGCCGGGAGCCAGGGACGGGTCATGACATCAGATGTATCCTCACTGTACAGACATCCAGAAGCTATGCATGTATTCATACAGACCCTTCTGAGCCAGCTTGCAAGATTAGACTCCCAACATGTATCATAAAGATGACCTGGCCAAAATGCAGGCCCGTCTTTGTTTTCCTGGTACAAAGGAATGTCACACGCCAAAATGACCTGCACTTGAGGCATCTTCTACAAGGCCCAGATATTTGCGATGTGGCCCTCAGCCTTCTCTCTGTCGAGTATGCAAAAGTGCAGATCCCATGGTGTGCCTACTTTTATCTCAGAGTCTCCGGTAATTATTTTCCAACTGACATGTGTGCACTGTTGCCTGCTAGGTACACTGTCAGCCGACATGTGTGCGAGGACGTTGAGGTGCCCAGGGAGGTGCCCAGGGCTGTCGACGAGATACAGGCTTCCATCCCTGTAGAAGTTGAACATGTGGGGGAAGGGTCTGATAGGGCCCCATTCCTCCACCACGAGGTATCGTGTCTGGTCGACAGGGAGGAGATTGTGTGTGTGCGAGCTTGCAGGGTTGTCCTGGTATGCCTTGCCCTCAGGAAACAGCGATTGGCATGCGCTGCCCACCACGAATGTGCTCTGTGCGAATGTGTGTGTGTTCCCGATATGGTCCCAGTGACAGTGGGATATGCACACAGTGTCGATGTCGTCCAGGGCCAGGCTGCCCTTGGCCAGCAATCCAACAACGTCCTGAGAGACAGACACGATGAACAGCCCGCTGGAGAAGTACTTGCGCACAGCGGGCTGGTAAGACTTGAGGTTACGCCAGGTGCTGAGGTCAAAGACAAATCTCTTGAAAGAGGAGTGGGTGAGGAGGAAGCATAGGGATGGTATGACTTCTTTGCTGTCTGTCTGTGCGTTTGACAGGATGAGGCCACTTGGAAGGACTACATGCCCACCCTTGAGGGCAGACACACTGCAGTACGCCTGACTCGCGGATGGAGGTGGGAGGGCAACATTTGCTCACTTCTGTGGGAACACTGCGATGGATGTAGTGTGGGCCATTGTGTTTGTGCTGTGGGTGACTCACCTTCAGCGTTGAAATGTAGGTGGTGGGATGCTACCTGATATCTGCGTTCTCAAGGGGCGCCTATAGTTATCTGGCCCTCTCATGTGTGTTGCTCAGAAGCCTTGCACCCAAATGACCTCTCACCATTTTTCACCTTTCCTTCTTGACTTCTTTGCCAAGCTTTGTCAGCTTTTTGTTGCTGACTGGACATCAGCCTTTTTGCCCACTGCTGTGGTTGTGCCTGTGGCAGCAGGCAAGCACCTCTGGCGTTTTTGAATGCAAGGATATATTTGCCTTACAAACAGGAGGGAACTCGGAAGGCCAATCCCAAATCAACTATGGTTTTCCGTTATAAATACACTCTTTGGAGGATGCTCTTTCAGTGGCTTGAAGATAACCACACAAGGAGGATGCTCACTTGGAAGGAATCTTACACAGCTGAAATGTCCACCCTTGCTCTCGCAATACCAAGGCTCATCATGCGTGATGAGCACATTCACCCTTGGCGTCTTCCAAATCTCATTGATCCTACACAGTGCTCCTGGCCCACCTCTTTGTCAATGTGCACACAAAAAACACTTTGCCCTAAATTCACCACCACGATCTCAGACTTGAGAGTGACGAGGTTTCAGTGGTGTGCACTGTCCCCGCCAAGATAGATCCACCCAAGATAGATCACCCCACTGTCGGACGACGTGTGGGCAAGGATCTTGACATGCCCCACGAGGTGCCCAGGGGAGTCAACAATGTAGAGGCTGCCGTCACCAAAGAAGTCGAGTGCACGAGGGAAGGGTCCAATGGGTGTCCAATCAGTTGGATTGAGGAACTTTCTGTGTCCTTCCAATGGGAAGAGGTCAGACATGAAATGTGAGGTTGGGTCTTCTGGATAGCCAGATTTGAAGAGGGACTGGGCATCACAAGGAAGGTGCTCTTTGCAAATGGGCGCCAACATGGTCCCAATGGCAATGTGAGACACAGACATAGTCGATCTCTGTGGGCGAGGTACTGCCCTTCTGCAGAGAATCGACAACATCGAGGTCAACTTGGACAGGGTATGAGCATCTTGGTGTTCTGAGAATGCTGGAGCAGAAAGGAGAGGGAAGGAGTGGTGGTGACATCCTGGCTTTGCATTCATAATGAACATTTCGTCCAGCAGCCGATTATGCCAGCATCGAGAGTGGATACATTGCAGAAAGCCTGGTTGTCAGTCATTGGTGGGAATGACATTGGTCTGTGCAATTCTGACTCAATGATATTGAGTTTCTTTCACCACACAAATCTTTAAGCTCATTCGAAACACAAGAAAATTTGATCTCAACTGGGAATTCAATTTCACTTGTACATAGTACATTCAGGACAAATCCACCCAACAGCCAAGCTAGTCCACAACCATGGCCGAATTCTGCTTCTCGTCTTCAGACCTGGTTGGCACATGCTCCTGTACCTTTTCCAGCACCATATCCTCCTCTTCCTCCTCTATGACTGCATCCTCCTCCACTTCATTCTCATCAGCCCGAAGCCATGAATCGTTGAACCAATCATATGATTCGTTGTTAGTTCTCCAGAAGGGCTTCATGCGTAGAACCATTGAGATGCTGGATGGTCGAGGATGGTCTGGAACCATATCAGACAGCTGAAGAAGTAATTCATATATACTCTCCGCAGCCTCATGAATGCATCCATAAACCTCAGCTGTGCAGCCATAGAAACAGAGAGAGTATCGAGGGTGAATTGCCTTGGGGGTGGCACGAGAGGTGATTCTGGTCAGTGGTTGATGAGCTACAATGCCTATGCGAGGGGGAGACACTTTGTTGCTTGTGGAGACAGAGTTTTGATCTAAGTGTTCCTGGACGAAGGCAGATTTTGTGTCGCGGAGTTTTCCGACCCCAAGCTCCATAACCAGCGAGATATAAGGTCGGCTGAAGTACTTTTCTGACTCAACACCCATCTTCGTCTTCATGCAATCGCGGGACGATCCTGGGGGAGGAAACAACCCAATTTTCTTCGCATCAACTTCATAAGAACCTTTCTTGGATCGAAGTTTGATTTGTACAAGGATGGAGGACATGTTGGCCTCGGTGATCGGTTTGTCGATGTCAAGAAGAATGGGAATGCAGACATCAACCGACTTCTGTGACGACCAGCCAATGAAGCTCATTGCTCGGACAAAAGCAGCGCAAGCGGCTGACGTAGTAACTGCTCCATCATCTGCTGCCCGACCAAAATGTGTGAACCGAACCCAAGATCTCGCAAAGGCCTCCTTCAGGGGCTGTCCTTCGGAAGCTAGCAGGTTGTTGGGCTTGCAGTCCAATACCAGTTCCTGAAACTTCCTCCCAGTCAAGCTTTTCAAAAATGTCACCAGGGAGCAGCCCGAGCTCCAGTTGGGGTTGCCATAATATTGCATATCGGCCGCCTTCACAGCGGTCATGTACGCACGAACGAGTATCATTTTTGCAACATTCTCGCCTCGTTGACCCATATCAATTGCGCCCTTTGTGTTCCCACCATCGAGGGAAGAGAAGAACTCGGCCGCCGCATCTTGATCCCTCTTACTTGCACTCTCGGTGAGGTACAGTGCCTGCATGGCCGCCTCTGCTAGCACAGGCTCCGACGGATAACCTGTGTGCAGATACTCTCGATGTATCGGGGCAGAATAGGCAGTACGCATATGGCTGGAGATCAGGTCCTCCATCAGCGAAACTGTTTGAGCTCTGAAAGGGTAGAACTCCAGGTTTAAGATGGTGTCGAGGATAGCCAGCTTTGCATGCGAGTTCAAATCTGAAATGTGGGCCGAGTTGGTCAACTTTTGCAGAGCAAAGATCCTGATTTTTGCATGAGGAGGAGATTTTGGAGAGCTCTGCCGAGCTGCTTCAAGCATAGACCAAAATCTGATTTGGCAAGTGAGATGAGCAGTGCATGAATGACATTAGACAGAGATACGCACAAGGGACGCCCAAATCGGGCAATGAAGCTGAAATCCTGCACGTCCTTGAGAGTCAAGTCCCCCAGAGACGACACCGGCAATGATGGATGACAGTCAAAAGGCATTTCAGTGTAGGGGGGTATGAGATCGCCGGTCACAACGCTCCTATTGGAGCGCGTGAGTTTAGTTCGGGGGGCAAGTTGGCGCATCCGTGAAACTGTAGAGAGGAACAAAACAAAGAAGCCCTCAGGGTACTCGGATACGGCCGTGGTGAAGAGGTCGTAGAGTGTTAAGTTGCGACTTGAGTTTATGGCCCGGACGTCGAGCTCGTGGGCTTCGTCAACATACATCACAACCAACGGAGCTTTTCCTTTAGCAACTGGGATCCGCCTAATGAGCTCCTGCAAGGCTGTTACTGCATCGCTCTTAGCTGATGATGGTAGGTCCATTCGGAATCGTGGCTCGACATCACGAATAACGCTGGAATAGAGTTCGGACCTAACACCACCCTCCAGCAAATGCTTTCGCCATTGAGTAGCAAAATCTTTGGCTTGGATGTCCGAAGCCCAGTCAATGGAATTCAGTTCTGCCACAATCCGTTGGAACAAGGTGCAAAAGAGCATGTGGAACATCGTCACTACGTCGTCGTCAGAAGTCGCTTTGGCCATTGACAGTATCGACTTCGCAATGCATGTGTCTGGAAGAGGGTATGCGCCTGTTCGGACAGTTTAATGGTCAAGAACGAGGACTCGAGAAGCGGCGCTACATACCTTGTTGAGTTTCAGCTTCGGCCCGAAGGTTCATTGGTATAGTGAACACAAGCTTGGCAAGCTCGTCGACCGTACGAGACTTTCCGTATCCAGATGACTGGATGATGGCCCCAGTGTTGCAATAAGGCGATCCACGTGGATCGGATTGGATGTTGCTGAGCAGGGTTTGATGAGTTGATCCCTGGTATTCCTGGGTCCATGCCGCTTCAAGTTCTGGATGCAGTGCTTAAGAAGTGAAACCATGGACAGAAAATGATTATGAGCCGAACCTTTGCGCAGCTCTGGCGAGAGTGAGGGAGGTCGCTGGTGGTTTCCAGTGCCTGGCATTGTTTGTCAAGCCAGGAACAGCGAAAATAATACGCGATGCTCACCAGTGGGCGCAAGTGCAATAACATGGACTTTATCCTTTGGCAGATCCTTGAAGATGGCTGAGATCTCTGCGAGCGGTGAGGAGAGCTCCTGTGCGGCGTCGATCTTTCTCGGATCTCGCGCTTGCTCCAGGTCGGCATCGGAAAGCGAAACCTTGAAGAGTCTTATTTCCATTGCATCGATACTCGAAAGTGCCTGCTTCTTCCCTTTGATAATGTCCTTGAGGATGCTGACATTCTTGTTCGAGGAGATCTCAACTGTGAATATCTTGTCAGGGTCGTCACCAGAAATAAGGCAGTTGATAGCGATAGTCGACATAATGGAGGTGAGAAGTAATTGGAGGTGGAGGACGTATATGTCGAGTCGCTAAAATTCGAGCAACATGTCACGTCACGACTCTTTCCCATGCACGTGATCCATTAATTCTTATGTAACGCTTGAACAACTCCGCTCGGCATGTTGTCGGCTGGCCCGCCCATACAGTCAAACCCCTCTTAACCCATACCTCTCGTAAGCCATACACCCCCATAACCCATAGGTTTTGGCCGCTATCAAACCGAAATTTACACCAAAATTGACCCCTCATAACCCATAACCTCCCATAACCCATACTCTGGGCCGTCCACCGAGGGGTATGGGTTAAGAGGGGTTCGACTGTAGTTGCGTCGCTTGGTCAGCAGAAGCAATGGCTTCTGTGATCGCAAAATACGGCACGCGATAAACACGAGTTTTTCTCCGCATGCTTAGCACCTCACAACAACAATACTGGCGTTCTGGCCCCATACCCCATAGTGAGGCCCAATCAATCCCATGGCTTGAATTAGATATTGACCATTTGTAGACATACTAATTCCTCCTCGAGGTCCACTACAGACAGCTTCTTCAGCTTCACTTGATGATGGACTACAACTATATGACGAACTGCGCTCGGTTTAAAGTTCGGGGACGTGAAATGCCGCTTTCCACCAGCCTTCCACATGGGGCACAGGACCAGCGGACCGGACTCCGGTAACTTAAATAGGGGCTGTGCATTCTTCGACTCATCCACTACACCTTCCTCACGAGCGTCCACTTTCCCAGGTCTCTTTCGGGCCCGCTGTATTCGCGAAAGCGCCGCAAGAAGAATTGCAAGGCCTTGATTATTGGCGCCCCCCTCAAAATGCTCAGCGTAGACGAGGCGGTCTCCTTCCTCGACGAGATTAAGCTGCAGTTTCAGAGGGATCCGGGGAAGTACGACAGGTTTCTGGATATCATGCGTGACTTCAGGGGGGACGTGTGAGCTTAACTCTCTCTAATTGCTCTACTTCGATTATCTGAAGCCAATTTCTACAGCATTAGCACGCACGAAGTTCTCGTGCGAATTAGCGCCCTCTTCAACGGCTATCCGGAGCTCGTTCGAGGGTTCAACCAATTCCTGCCAGCCGGTTACAAGCTGGAGCCATCTACTGATAGTAGTGGGCGAAGCGCCGTATTGCTGAACACCCCGCAAGGCGTTACAATGTATCCGCGGGACTACGCCAGACGAGACTACTGATTCTTCCGGTCTCATACGTGTGTCCATGTTCTCCCCCTCCGCGTATGAGAAATATACTCACGTGTATTCCTTCATAAGGGCGACTTAGTGCACCTTCTTGAGCGACTCTCCGCAGCTCTACTGACTTCCATTTATGCGACCCCTGGATTATTCATTTCTGTTCAGCATGACCTCCCCATTCTCCCGCCTGCAAGCCAACCTTTCCATGCAAGGAAATAGTAGACCGTCTTATCAAAGCTTAGTAGTAGAAGATGATATGGCGTATGTCTGATATAAACACCCGGTTCCTAGCCGTATTCGTCGCCTGTTTTCCCGGGGCTGGCCTCCAATATCACACCTCTTGAGCCTGTCGCCGGTGTGCTGTCGCCGGAAAATAGAAGTACATGGTTGTACGCTCGGCTGGAAGCCATGGAACGCAACAGAAGCTCTGAAGCCTATCTCAGTGCCTAGAAAGTATTTCTCTCAGCCTATCGGTGCATTCCTGCTGGAATCCTCCGGACCCGACCAGATTCGTCTTAAGGATCGGACCGGAATCTCCGGTACCATTCGGTCGCATGGCACAATGTCCGTGTCCTTTCAACCAAGTCCATAAGAACATTTGTTTCCTGGCAGGTGCTGAGACATTACTGCCGAACTGACAGGGGGTGAGGTTCGTCGTACATTTCTGAGGGCGTATTCAGAGATCGGAACCGATGATAGAGGCAAAAACCTACTGGCTTGGTCGTCCTTGCAATATTTAAGACGCATAAGACTATTTCTAGGCCGTTAAACCACATTCGAAAAGTTCGCCGGAGAATTAAGATCGATTTCTCAATCTCATGAAGGAGGTAAAGGACGAATAATTTGTCCCTTCAAATTTCTATCTTCGGAATACTGATTTCTGTGCGCCATGCCGGTCAGGATCGATACGGTAGAATCAAGCGAATATCCCAGCTATTCGGTGACGAAGTAATATTGATTTGAGATACAACGCGCTTCTGTTTCTAGCTTTTCGAGCGAATGTCGAGGCTGGGGATGTAGATGAGCGCTTAATCACCATCACTACTCCGGAAGGACGAGAAACGGCACCAACTTCTCGGGACAGCCAGTTAGTTGGTCTAGTGAGGTCGAACTGATCTCTGTAGAATCAGACATTAAATGATATCGTCTCACTGTCTGCGGTGTAATGATGTCAGACAACCCTTCGCATTTAAATAATATCGTGCCTCCCACTGGTAGCTTGCGTCTACATATTGTCTGAACGAGGAGGTGCTTGTTTCTGAATTGAATTATTTCAGTGTCTCGATATCAAATAATTCGAGATAAGTTCGCACTGTACTTAGCCAGATCTTCGAAAGTTCACAGCCTCACCCTGTCTTGTAGTAGTCCGAGGAGAAAAGGTATAGTCCGCTTACACCGTGTCCCAGGCGAACTGGTCTTCCTGCCGTCAGTTCCAAGACGCACCATGTAGGGTCATGGGAAAGATTCGGACAATGCCAATGGTGCCTGCCTCGAGGTAACCCAAATACAGGTCAATAATAACTCCTGCCTGTGCCCAGTCAACGTGTGCAGCATGTTCTCCGTAGCTCGACATCTCTCTTCCTTTCCACCACCTAGTTGCTCCAATCACTGGTGGAAGATCGTTTTTCCATGGACATCCTTTCGCTTTCACCCAATGCGACGCTGGACTTCGCTGGTGCGCTATATTTGGGCGCTTAATACCTCGGTGTTTCTAATCAACCCCTGAATTGTTTTCAGGACCGTTCGCGCAAGCAAGCAAGCCCACCGTTCAACTTACGGTAACCAATTCGACTGGGAGCACCCTTCATTTTCGAATCAAGACCACTGCACCAAAGGTTAGTACAAGTGTCACCGCAGAACCAAACGTCTAACTAAGTGCACTATCCATTTTTCTGTTCGGGTGAACGTTCGAACAGCTGTATGCGGCGAGGCCAGGAGTCGGGAAAATCAGGAAATTGGAAAGCGTTGTGGTGTACAGTACGTCAGATTCATTTCTTCCGAAGATGAGGAACCCAGGCACTCATAAGACATCTTCAGTCACTTTACACGGACTCACCGAAGAACCCCCAGCGTCCTTCAAGTGTAAAGATAAATTTCTGATCCAAGCATTTACTGTGACCTCCGATCAGGATCGCATGGATGGAAAGGAGCTCGTACGTTTCTCTTTATTTCTAATTTCTCAGACTTATTTCCGAATTCAGTGGGATCTTGCATACAAAGATGCCTCAGATATACATGTGCACCAACGGAAGCTTCGAGTGGTGTATCTACCACCAGGTGAGGCGCCTGCACAGGCAGAAGGAGGAGAGGGTGTGGAGAAGGCGCCGTCAATTCATGTCGAAAGGCCGCAGGAAGACGACAACGAAAATGTACGTTGCTTTTCATATCTGACTTCATAAACTCCATGCCAACAGCCTGTCCTTTCTTTTTAGCTCACTGTCGATCGTTTGTTAATTGACGCCGCATACAGAGCCCAGCGGGATTCCGTTGGGCAAGAGGCCACCCATCTCGATGATCCCTCGACGGATGCGCAGCGTGAGGAGGAGACTCAATCCCATGAAGCACCCCCTGCACCCTCGTTGGTTCAGGTGGGTCACGAGATTAGTGTGGCGCACACCGAACTTGGGCTTGCCGAGTCCCGATCATCATCCGAATCCAATCAAGACACAAGCCCCCCAAGAGTTCAAGAAGTGGAAGCGGTGACAGAGTCAACGGTCCAGCGCAAACGAAGCCTGGATGTTACCAACGAGACGACTGCCTCGAAAAGCCTCAAGCTAGACGAGCTTGTGGCGCTCGAGGAGAAGACCATAACTATCACAGAGGTCGTCGTTCCCAAAGATCTGGCGAGCCCAGTTCCTATTTATGAGCAAGGCATTCCTGTCTGGATTGTTTGCATCTTGGTCTCTACGACCTTCGTTTTTACCTACATTTTCATGTAAATTATTCTGGGACCTTTTTGCTGTCATTGTGTTTGTCGACAATGGACTTGTAGAGTACAATGATATCAGTGCGTGCTGTTATTACTGGAAAGAGGGAAGCGACCCAACGACGGACATAGACAAGTCCGCTTTCCACGAGGGTGTGCATTGATGAAGGAAAAGATGCGATTATTGATTCAACAACCCAGCGGCACTGTAATATCTATCTCACAAATGTCTTCGGCATAGACCGTGTGTATATGACAGAGCATGATCTGTGAGAGGGTGATCTGTGAGAGGAATCTCAGTGGAATCTGTCGATATACATATGATGGCCTTCGGCAACTTAATCTAGTGTCGCGATTACATCACGTGCAAATAGTTGGCAATTCAAACTCCGACGGCACTTGTGTGACCCAACGTCACACAAGTGCCGTCAGAGTGTCGATGGGTAACACCAAGGAAATTCGTACCCGCCAGCACGTCCTATAGCTCCATCTTGTCCTCCGTCTCCCAACCGGCGTTCTTCTGTAGGATGACGAAGCCCTCGAGGACGTGGCTAAAGGGAATGAACTCCTCGGTTGCTAGCTCCGCACGCTCTGTCGTCCCAAGCCGGACGGGTGACTGATGTGTCTGGAAACCGGAGATCGTCCGTGGCTTGCCGGCCTGGCCAACGACGTCAATCGCCTGTCCGACACGCACCGTGACGGGCTTGTTCTTGAGGTTCTCATCGAGGGTGATGAAGAAGCGGGGATACATGGCAGGGGTAAGGAAGTATAGCATCCAGTGGTACTTGTCAAGAATAACTGGAGGAAGAAGAAGAAACGTCAGTTGGTTCCATAATATTGAGCTTCCTGTCAACTCACAGGATTTGGTGTCCGTAAATGCAGTCAGCGTCGCCAGCAACCCAGCAACGGCAGGCCGGCTCATGATACTCCGATCACAGAAGAAGGGGTTAAGACCGAGCGTGCCCTTGCCCATATGCACCATACCCTGTGCAATACGGACCATGAACAGCGAGTCGGGTTCCTTCTGGTAGTATCCAGCTAGCTGCCTCAGCATCTGAGCCAGACGGGCGTTATTCGTGCCAGCACCAACAAGACCCATCGCGAAGATCGCGTTGATCGCCACTGACAGGTCATTGTCGTGGCTGTACTTGGAGAGTGTGTCGAGGATGGGTAATTGAGGGTTGGATGTGCTGACGAGGCCGATAGCGAGAGGGACTGCTTTTCGGATGACAGGCTCGCCATAGTGCATCTAAAATACGGATTAATTTATGATGCAACAGCTAGAGTTCATGTACTCACCAGGTGGTTGAATTGACGCAGAGACATCTCAGCGCCAATATCCTCTCCAATCGCGATCAACGAGATGGCAAGAACGGCAAAGGCTTGGAAGGTGTCATCCTTCTTCGGCTCGTCCTTCTCCTCCTTGTCGTCCTTCGCGGTCGAGACACCGATATGCTCATCACATTGGTGCAACATGGATTGAATCTTCAAAACGTTGCCTGTTCCAGCGAAGGAGCACGCTTCGACCAAGATCTGAGCGGTTTTGGCTATTGGGTGGTCGATGGCCTTCAGAGTTTCGAGGGTGGCGTCTGACGCATCTTGCAAGCCTGATGCCGATATGAGTACGTAGGAGTGGAATACGGGCAAGAAGTGAATTCACCGAGATACAGAAGGCCAAGACCCAAGGCCATGAACCTTGCCCACTTCTCGTCTAGGGATTTGTCTGCCCGCTCGAACTTTTCCATCAGCGTTTGCAGGATTGTTTCCGAGATCTCTCCATGCTGACTGCCAACAAACACAAACCCAAGCGCCAACGCGGAAAGACTGGCAATCTCCATCGATACTGCGTCGTCGGCTATGTGCGGAAGGAGGAGAGGTAGGATTTCTTGTCGGTGCGTGCCGACGTACGCAAGGCCGAGGCCCATGATAGAGCTGGTCTTCAAAGAGATGGAGGGATTTGAGGTGTATTCGGAGAGCAGGTTGAGAGCGTAGTCGGCCTCTGTCCGGATGCCGGTGTTGAGCAGACCAGTGGCGAGGAGGGCTCCAGCTTTGATATGCTCTTCGGCGGAATAGGTGTATTTATCGATGTGACTGATACCAACATCGACATCCCACAGCAGGCTCACGCCTAGCGATGCCGCGGCGCTCATCATGCCTTTGAAAAAGGAAAATTAGACAGACAGGGCGCCATTGAAGAAACGTTGACCTACCATGGTCCTTGTTCTTGTAGATCCAACTGTTGCCCTCCTCAGCCATCACCATCAACTTATCATTTCCGAAACCTGCATTCACAAATGCGTTCACGAAAGTTCCTGCCAAGTTGCCACGAGCAGAGTCGATGTTCGCGGAAATTCCTGGTCCTGCACATGAAGGCCACTGAGATTGGCCAAGGGTTGTTCCAAACAGAAATACTGACTTGTGTTCTCCAAGTGCGATTTATAGACATCCTCCAGGTTCTTTGCATCCTCAACGCCGAGTTCCTTACCGAAATCGCGGAAGTGTTCGCTGAGCTTCGCGTTGAAAAGACAGTCTTGGAGATCGCTCTCGAACGAATCTTCAGCCTCGTCTTCGGTTAGTGGGATCTGCAGCCACTCCAGAGGAATTTGTGCTCGAGCAATGAGGAATGCAAGTTGGCGTTTCATTAGCCTACAAAGAAGCCGGTCAGAATTAAGGAATATCTTCCGAACGAAAGTGCTTACGGGTTTGCAGGGGCAGCGAAGTCCTCTCTGATCAGGTCAGGATCGCCTAACCGAATGGCGAGGGACAACGCGTCAGGGAATTTGGAATATTTGACGTAGATCGCGTGGGCAGTTCGAAGGAAGTGGACGTCATCAGGAGGAACTAGGAAATCCACGCATCTTCCAGGAGGTTAGTTCGTGACCGTTGGTTGATACAGCTGGCACAGTTACACACCGAAGCATGTATTGGCAAACGCGGCCATACGTGTTCTCGTCCACGAGACCAGTGATGTCTTCTATGATCTCCAATTCCTCAAGCAAATCCACCGCGTCTGGTTCGGCATTATGGCTCAACAGGAACACAGCACACTGCCTCGCCAAGTTGCGGAGATCGTCTATCGTCCCTGGAAGCTTGTCTTTTGGCTGGTTCTCCTTCCCAGCGTCGGGTTTTGTCTCTAGCTCTCCTTCTTCGCGCGCCGTGAATTCCTCCCCTAGTTCTGCGGCGATATGACGAACATATTCGTGTCCCCATGTTCCCGGATCAGCAAGGGGGGAGTCGACTGGTCGCAGAGAAGCGGATAGCAAGCGGTATCGCAGCGTTCCTCTTGGCTGTGTGTCGGAGTAGGTCATGGCCAGAACGGAGAGGATATCGGCGAAGAGACTCTGAAGACGTGTTAAACGGGGTATGGCGGTGAAAGAGAGGACTGACCTTGTCTTCCGACGGAGCCCAGGTTTCGTACAGTGCTTGAAGATCGGGATAATGCGGCCGGAGGAATTTAAGAGGTTTAGGTACGGAAGTCATAGAAGAAGTAGATGTTCGTATGAGGGTTCGTAATGTTTCCAGAGCAGACCGATAGAGCTCGGTATTCGATTCCTAGAGTTGCATTAGGACCTGAGCTGCCTCTAGTGGGTATTATGACGTACCTTCAACCGTTCGCCCAACATCTCTAGCTGATCTTTTAGTTGCTGATCCTCTTCCGACTGCAAGGCATTCGTTAAACGGTGGAACTACTAGACAAAGATAGCACGACGGACCAACTCCTCGCCTTCGCCCTCTTTAGAATCCTTCAAGAGTTTCGATGAACCCTCGAAATTGGGCTTATCACTCTCGGGCTTTTCCTTCTTTTCTGCATCTTCTGACTGCACTTTGATGGTGAATTCTTGAGGTTTCGACATGATGGGAATGGTGTAGATGGAGAGTAGAGTGCTTCACCAAAATGTCGACGCGACGCGCGTCCTGCTCGATTTCCCACGGTCACTCAAGCCCGTGGCGCTGACGGCCCGGCCCTACTGCCCCTTTCAAGCCAGATGCCGTTGTTTACTTAATCGCGCCGCCAGAAATCGACACACTCTCAATTCCTGGTAATAGTTCCATGAGTTTGCTATGTCTGAGCATCGCATATAGATGCTATTTTGTGATGGGAGATTGATGGAGAAGACACAGTGCTATCACATCTACCAGGATAAAGCCTAATAGACTTATGGTGAGCGCACTCCATAACTTCCAAATATTCTAATCACATACAAGTTCATCTCTTCACAGTCACCCTTGGCACTCCCCGTTTGCGACGACTTCTCAACATCGCTTCCATGTCTCACCTGTCGACATCCTTAAATCACCTGGCCGCCGCGACGTGCCTGGCCAATGCCCTACAAAACAAGAAATATTCTGGCTTTCGTTACTTGAACACCCATCGTGACTACTGAGCAAATATGTACGTTATCGGAAGTTACACCAAAGCAATCTCCTTTCTCTGCTTCTGGGAGAACACAGCGGTCGAGAGTCGGTCGAGAGCTTAAGAGAGGACGAGCTCGTAACTGTCACCAGGTGAGTCCTATTCAGCTTCCTTTCGCGAAGCACAGACAGAACAGATGCTCACCTCGCGGGAACGTTCGCCTGCTTCAATCCTTTGATGGGGAGGGGGATGCCAATCTTGCCGTTGATAGTGGCGACACTGAAATACAGTTGAATCAGTACCCATATCCAGGCCGTCTTGTGTGGGGCCTCACCGAGCATAAACGTCGACATTGATCAGATCCTGGACACCGTAGGGGATGATATCAAGGGAAGCGAGCGCGCCTTGCGTGAGGAGGACGTTTGGGATGGTCCCAGAGTTGGCGGTCTGCGTGCCTTTGATGATGAAGGGCGTTTCGAAAGTGTGGTCGAAGGATGCGTAGACGGTGCCATTGAGGCCAGCTTGGCTCACAACGCGATCGATGGTCAGTTCAATGAGGAGGGGGTTGTGGACTGTAATATGACGGTTCGGTAAATGGTTCTTCGTTCTTTGATCAATGCGACCGTACTGTCAAAGTTGATCCTGCATGCGCAATTCCAACAGAAATGAGGAAAAGCATCGCGAAGAATTGGCCTCGAGAACTCACGTAATGAGATTCGTTTCCAAAGATTCGAGCTTTCAACCAACTCCCCAGTCAGCGCGTCATTCACCGAGTCTGCCATGGATGTCGCTCACCGAGATGAATGCGTTAATCTGGGTGACGAGACCCAACCCAAGGAAGTTGATGATGTCGCCAATCCAATCACGTTTCTCGAGGTTGGCGTTGGCAGTGGGCGCAGCGCCAACAGACACGAGCAAGCAGCCAAAGAGCGCGAACAAGAGGGTGCCAATCTTCGCCATCGCAGTTCTCGGGAAAGTCAACGGTGAGCGGGGCGGACCACAACGAAGACAAGAAAATCCCATAACGCGAAAGGTCCGATATTTATAACATTGAACGCGTCTTCCCCACCGTGCTTCCCCGCAACCTTACTGGGCATGCTGCATGCACCGCGATCGGTTCCAGAAACAAGAAGGGAAGATCATACACAAAACTAGGCATCAAAGAGTCAAGAGTCGTGTGGGCCATGCTGCCTTCTTTTCCCATCAATTGCGAAAACACGGAAATAACAGCAAGAGGGTGTTCATAGGTGATCATCTGGGGCGAATTCACTGAAATGAATCACCATTTTGGCGGCACGTTTGGGATCTCGTGGGAGAGATCCACGCATTGAGGTTGTCAGCTGATCCGTATACAGAGAAGGGTGGTAACGCCGACAACGCCCAACGGTCCTCCGTTCAAGTCAATCGTCAAACGCACTTACAACAAAGAATATCGTCTGTGCCGAGCTCAACGTCCCGCAGATGGCCAGCGCTTGCATGGAAAGAACAGAGCTTGAGAGTTTTTTTGGTTGCAAGAGATCAGAGATTAATCACTGGCACTCAGCTCGAGGGTAGAGACGTTCTGAGAAAATAAAGCTTGTCGACAATCAGCTGCATCGCTTCGTGGGGGAAGCCAGCAGTCCGACGTCATAAATGTGGGGAAATAGAGGAGAAAAAGAAGTTGGGGTGGTCAGGGCAGCTCAGGCCGGACTAGAGAATGTCATGAGGTGGTATCGATCTGTGCGTCTCGGGTGCTTGTGATTATGGATGTAAGAGCCATCAAAGACCATCAAGCATCTTCAAGCATTCCTTTTGCGCAATTGACCTTCATGACAGGCACGGGAGACAAATACGACAGAACTTGGAAGCAATACTCCGACCCATGACGCCGTCACGATGAAGTTGAAAATTTTGGTCCTGGTCGCTTAAGAAAGCTCAATAGTGTAACTTCAAGGTTAAGTTATGAATCAGGACATCGGTATTGTGAAAAGAGAAACCACGTACCTACTGTTTCCAATTTCCCAATCCTGTGCCTGATATCGCTCGAGTGAACAATCTCGACAAATTCTAAGTACGCCATCCGTGTTCACCGTTTGCCCACAGATTCGGGACTCATCAAGCGCCCGCGGGCCGTACGGAAGTGACTGTGACCTTCGTGACCCACACACTGTTGCAAGTCACAACGATTGGGCAACTCACTACAACAGGCTGCAACGGGTCTGCGAGAGGACCCTTGCGCCATTTCTGTACGGTTTCGCGACTTTTTTCTGGCTGGTCATCTCTGTGTAGGACCCCCTATTCTGGTTGGGACACAGGATGAGCGAGGGGATCCAGATTACTATTCCAGGTGAGTGACACTTGTTCTATTTTCCTGTACCAACTAACGCCCTCCAGATTTTGACGATGATGACTTGAGATCAGCACCTATTCCCTTCGGACGCTCCGCTTTTGGTCATGGAGGTGGGGGCTTCGGTAGTGGAGGGTTTGGCAGCGCAGGGTTCGGAGGGTCAAGTTCGGGTCTTGATTCACCAGGCGGTACGACGACCCCAATAAGTGCCTTTCAATCCGCGGAGCGAAGCTACTTCTCGCATTCAAGAGCGGATTCATCTACATCTATAGACTCTGCGGGTTCGGCTACAACACGATTTGCGAGCAAGCCAGGCACACCGTTTTCACACTCGGCTCAACCTTCTTTTGCGGCACCGACATCGTCGTTTTCGAAGAAACCCTCCTTTGCCTCTATCCGGAATGCCTTCAAAAGTGGAAAGAACAACGACCCCCCTCCTGTTCCTTCTCTCGACCACACGCCATATCCGGTTCTAAAGAACCCTTTCAACCGGTCGACATCCTCCCTGACCCAGAGCAAAGGGTCGAATACAACACCAACCAGTGCATCGAGCAGTTCGTATACCAGGCCATCGACACCGGGGTCGAACGATACGAGGTTCGCGCGTGCAGCATTGTCGATGAAGGGCAGGAGTCATGGTTACTCGAAGTCTCAACATTCGCATAGTGGTTCAATATTTCACGTGTCGGACGGAGGGAGCGACTCTGGAGCCTACCTGCCATCGCCACCTCCGGTGCCGCGGGTTCCAAGCGCCTATAACAACATGTACCGCGATGACACGACGCCGCCTTCGCAGGACTACGAGGAGGACAAGCTAGTAATGGACCTGAAGACGCCTTCAGATTATGCGCTTCATGCTGTGTTCATTCGGTTTGCGACTTCTGCGGAAGAGAAGATAGACACCTTTCTTCGCCAGCACCTGGTAAGTCTCTTGACTTAGAGATCAGCTCAGCCTTAGCTCAGCCTTAACTCCGACCACAGGAAAATGAAGTCTTGCTCACAGCGTACATGGGCCCCGGAGTCGACAGCAAGTTTGACGAGACGCTACATTCATTAGGTGTTATAGCTCAGAAGCATGCTAAGCAGGTTATCGACTCGATTATGCGCTGGAGACGAACGCAGATCGAAGGTGTTGGAGCGGACATGATTCGGGCACACATGAGTTCGACAGGGCCCAATCGACTGCTTCGAGCGCAAGACGTCCCCAGTCTTTTGAACGAACGGAAATCGCTAGCATCCATCTACATCATGTGTCGTGCTCTCATTGCCGTTCTACAGCTACTGTCGAAAGACGCCCTTGGTGATGCTCTTGGGTACAATTTGGAGGAGACGACATTCGAACAGTTCCGGAGGCCTGAGCGAAAATCTCCTTCGGCGAACCATCGAATCAATTCAGAGCTATATGCTACCCTTCTTGGCCATCTTGCTAACGTTCGGTCAGTTTCAAGTCGTAGGCATCACAAATTTTCTCGTTTCTGAACAATTTGTGCAGGTTCATCAGCGTCACGGATCGCTTCCTGGCCGAAATGAGCCCTGTGGCCATGGGTCAGGTAACAAAGGATTCTGGAACAAAATACGAGAATCTGGTCAAGGGTTTGAAACACATCAAGATCAAGGTATGAGGTCCCCTTCTGCGTTGTTGATCGCTCCATATGCTAATTTCATCATAGGTATGGCCGCCAGAAGCTTTCGAGGAGGCAGCAGAATTCCTGGAATCATTGTCTAAGTCATACGCCAATGCACATGGACCAAATCTAAAGATGGCGTTTGCTGAGACGTTGATCACGTTGCTGCATCCTATTGGAAAGGTTAGTGGCGCAGATTTCCTTTGGATTATTGTATTATTTATTTCCCTGCCCTCGTATCGTAGACAGCCCAAGCTGAGACCAATAACCCGCAATGGGGAAAGGGCATTGAGCTAATATATCCGAAGGCAAGAGAGATGATGAGCAAACCACGGTACTGGCAGGCCGCCTTCCCGCTTGCGATCACGAGTCTTTGTGTGGCACCGCAGACGTATTTTTTGAAGCATTGGCACGCCTTTTTCGAGAGCTCAATATCCAAGCTCAAGGTAAGCCAGTTAATTCCCTTTGATGACAGCCGGTCCTCAATGCATTTCATCACCTTCTAGGAGAAACCTTACAAGACGTCGGTTATGAATGGCCTCATGCGGCTCGTTTGGACATACCTCTATCGTTGCCAAGAATCCGCCTCAACGACCATGACCAAGTTGGAGAACCTTTTGAAACACTTCTTTCCTCCAAACCGAAATACCGTGCTTCTAGGCGAGGAGATGTCGGAACCTCTGACATACATCATTCATTTCATCCTCTCCCGACACCCCGAGTATGGCCGAGAGCTATGTTTGGAGCTTCTTCAAGAACCAACGATAACTATCCTGCAAAAGTCCGGGAACATCAGCAGCGCACTATCCCATGAACGAACTGCCGTCGTCGTCAACGCCATCCTTCTCTCCCTGCACAGTACGGAACGAGAAGTGTTGACACCGTCATGGCCGTCCGGCAGCGATTTCACGGTTCTCCCGTCGAAGGAGGACTATCCCTCATCTTCTGGGTACATCCCTACGTCGATCATGAAGCCTGGGCTTCAGGACTTCCTGAGCCGTGTTCAAACGATGTTGGCTGCCATTGCAGTGCATTGTGGCAATTCTGTTGGGTACATGTTGGTGTATGACGACCAGTGGTCCTACGCGCGAGTAAATCCGGCCTACGAAGAATCGAACAGCTATACGGTTCGACGCCATCCGGCAGACATCGTGGTCGCGTACCCGAACGCACTCTTACCGCATATATCCCTGCTCAACACGTGTTTCCAAGCATGGCCTCGGTTCGCCCATCCATCCATCGCACTTCCAGACGCTATCGACATGCTCTTGCGGGGCGTTATGCACGTGGAGCCTATGGTCGCTGAGTCGGCTACAGCTGCTTTGAAGAGGTTCATGGACGACGATTTCAATGCCATCCAGGTTATAGGGCGGTTTAACCTATTCATGTTCAGCCCAAACCGAATCTGCCACGAGTCCAATTTCAAGCTTCTCCTCGAATATCCGCCGCTGCTCAATCTTTGGGTTGATATCGTCGACGACTGGGTACGGACCATTATTCGCCGCGATATCGATACCTTCCCGCAGGGCGAACAAATCGTTGCAAGATGTGTCGAGATTGAAGCAGCCTCGCTGTTCCTCCTTTCTCATGGAACCGGAAATATTCAGGCAGCCGGAGTGAAGGTTGTTCGTCTACTTGGCACGCTCGCCGCACATTTAACATCATCCACCTCCTTCGCTTCCACCAACCTGCTTTACATTGTGGAGCGACTGCAAGGCAAGCGGCCTGGAGAGGCGTATCTCACTGGATACGATGATCTTCTGGACAAGTCAGAACAATCGCGGTTGGATCAATGGCGAAAATTCAAAGGGGAAGAAGTTGCTCTTCGCATCGCTGACAGCACCAACGAGAAGGATCGCAAGTTATGGCGCTATATTTACCCTGCTTTCCTTCAAGGTTGCATGAAGTATTCACCATCGACATTAGCCATGCTCCGAGAAGGCATGATTGCTGCAGTGTCGAGATATCATCCTTCTATATCCCATCTCGCAGGATTGAGCAGCAGAATGCCTCAGGGCCTCTCTGCTCGAAATCCTGCAGAGAAGGACGGATATAAACTAGTGGTTGACAACAAAGGCCTGATCGATCAATGGCACATGTGGGTCAAGATCCTCTCAGCCACCGCCATTCCTCCAGATTCTTCCCGCCCTGCGTTGACATTGATAGGAAGGGATCATACTCGTGCTGGATCGGATGTCAGCTTCGAAAGGGAGAGATATATGACGACTCGTGGTCTTTTCCGCCACCTTACCCCTTTCCTTGACTCAGAGTATACCCTGTTCCGCGATACCGCCGTCCTCTGTATCAGTTCATTTCCTGCAAATGCCTACCCGTACCTGCTTGAAGACCTGAGTCTTCTGGCCGGACGGCAGTTTTATGACGACCCAAGGTCAAAGGCAATAACAACACCTGGGTTGGAGCAGAATTTCGGACTTTTGGCCTCTCGTCAAGCATACGACGAGACACGTTCAAGATCAGGAAGTTCAGCAATACAATCCGAACGGACTCGCCGTCAGGAACGTCTTCACTCTGCTGTTGCTCGCATTTATTGCATAACAGCCCACCTATTGGAACAGCAAAGATCCTCCGCTCGTCAGGCAGCGTTGTCCAACATTCTCAAATTTGTTCGTAACACCCAAACATTCCTCAGTGCCCCAGAGATGCGTGACAATCACACCCTGCATCGGCTGCGTCGCTATTTTTGTGGTATCGTTGAACGTCTATTTGATGGACTAGCTACGCTCAAGGATTCCGATCGATTCATTCCTTCTCTCATGCACCTGACATTGTACCATCTGTGCGAGGATTGGTGTCAAGTCGGACCTCAATCGGAATCGGCCAAGAAGCGGTTCGCTGCGATGCAAAGAGCCGTCGAGTCTGTGGAGGGCGACAATCGGAATAGTGTGCAACGGTTCAGACATGAAGCGTCATTGCTTTCCCAGGCCTCTGTCGGTGCACTGGCCGCCTTATGTGTGAGTTGTCCATTCGCCGTGTGATACAAAGTACTGAGCCCCACCGCAACAGCAAAAAGCCTTCTTCCCTCCCGACCAATCCGCGAGTTCGCCTACCACAGAACGCTCTCCGCCGGAATTTATGAAGCCTTTGAGCGTACGTACTGTATTGGACCGCTTGAGTGCTATCATGACATCGTCGAACTTGGCGAAGGGGAAGTAAGTATACGTATTTGCCGATGCCCTTCCAACAATTGATCTATGAATTTACAGGAGCACCTTGAGGTCTCTTCTGACACATACAGAGTCCAATCGTGACCTGATCCATGAATCATTGCGAGCGTCCATCGTCGTCACCGAGAAATCTGGCTCTAGCAACCAACACTTCTTCGAAGTCGTCTCGGAGATCGTCTGCAACGAACACCACAATTTCAGTTTCTCCCAGATAGTTTGCCTTGGCCTAACCAACCTGCGACATCCATCCGTGACAGTGCGCTGCCTAGCTTTCAACATGCTGGAAAGCATTCATCAGCAGCATTCTGGCCTGCTGACAATGTCTACTTTCGAATCGTCGGTGGCAAGTTTGGCGTCTGCGACATACATTCATTCTCATCGACTCATCTCCGACTTCCTCGCTGGAGAACATCCATATCAAGCGATTAGTATACTGGCACAGCTAGGCAACTGGCTTCCAACACTACCTGGAGAAGCATACGATACAAACGTAATCCTTCTCCTGCTCCAGAGCCTGGAGTTCTGGATTTCCAACATCAATCTCATGTCAGAGGACAAGACAGCAGTCTCTCGGGAGGGGCTATCCTGTTTGTATCACCTCACGTCTTTAACCCTTCGCTATGGGCAAAGCCATGCCGAACAAATTCTGGTTTTGTGGACCAAGCTCGTTGACTCTCCGCATCAATCTAATGGACATGCAACAGTTCGATTCCTGCTCGAACAAGCTCACAAAGTCGGCAACGTCATCTTCGTCACCTGCGCCTCGAATATTGTCGCATCCCTGTGCCAAACACATATTGGTCGACAGGTTTTCGAGGATCTATGTTCGGTGATAGAGCCCATCCACATGCTGCCTACCATTGACCATAAACTTTCCTTCCCTGCGGCGCAAGAAATGAAACTATGGGAAGACCTTGACGCGCTCTTTGCAGAGCAACCACGACTGTCATTAGGATCTGCCCAATTTGCCTGGCTCTTCCTGTCCGACGTTTCCCTACAACGTTATTGGGAGATGAAGGACCAGTTGCCCACACTTCTCCACGCAGTTTTCACGCACCTGGACCACCGGATGCCATTTGTTCGTCAACGAGCCCACACCTTACTTTTCCAAATCTTGCGCTCTTGGACTCCAGGATACGATGAATTGCCTGATAGATCCGTCAGCCGGTCACGTCCTTTGGTCAAGGAGTCCATTTCGGCGCTAGAAAAAGAAGCGGAGAACCTCTACTGGGAAGAGGACGAAGCCAGTGCAGACGCTATTCCCAAGATGAAGTCGCTCTGTTCTCGAATTCTGGCCTACCTAGAGCCTCTTGCCCCAAACCTCATCAGCCAGTGGGGCTCCTTGGCACTGACATGGGGTACGGCTTGCTCTATTCGTGCGACAGCGTTCAGATCTCTCCAAATCTTCCGTGCACTCATGCCTCGCGTCAAGAAGGCTGACTTCGCACTACTTCTTGGTCGGCTCTCAAACACCATTGCCGCACCAGAAGAAAACATTCAATCCTTCACCTCCGAAATATTCCTAACGATCAATGCGGTGGCCAACTTCGGTGATCTCGACAAATCGCTCCTTCCACAAGTGTACTGGTGTGCGTGTGCGTGCTTGTCAACAACTCTGGAGTCGGAGTTCCACCAGACGGTCCTTCTTGTCGACTCACTGTTGACCAGAATTGATCTTGACGACCCTGCGACGATCGACCAGCTGTTATCCCACAAGCCTGTGGATTGGACCGATTCCCCTTACTTGCAGCCCGCTCTTTTGAGAGGATTGAGATCATCCTTGGTTGCAGGCCCAGCTATGAAGGTTCTTCAAGCCCTTGCGCAGATCCAGGACAGGCAATTGATCCACGATTCGGATGGTCGTTTACGCGATCTCTACACCGCTTCTCTTCCCTGGTGTCTGCACGCCATGGATAAACAAGACGGGTCGATGAAAGGTTTGGCGGAGGATATCAGTGTTCTCGCGGGAAAAGAGAAACGGCAGAGCATTCAGAAGATTATGAACTCTTTTTCCAAGGGCCACTTCAGAACCAGAGATGACTTCCTTCGGCAGTCTGTCGCTAGCCTCAGGGAACACTATGGAGCCAAACATTGGACAGAGGTTGTTACCCTACTGATCGGTCTCGTGCTGAATCAGGAGAGGTGGTTGCGCATACATGCCATGCAGGTCCTCAAGGTCCTCTTCCAACACAGGGAGACGCGGAACCCAGTTGAGCTCCTGGGATCGGAGCTCCTCATGCCTCTTCTCCGTCTCCTCGAGACCGACCTGGCCGCACAGGCTCTCGACGTCCTCGAAGAACCACTAGCCATGTCCGGGATAGGTCCAGCAGCCAAGCATGTTCTTCGGATGAGCATGCACATCGGAGCGCTTCCTGCAGCAGTCTCGGATCCAGAGTCAATGGGAACGGTCTTTGGGGTGCCGGAAGAGTCAGGTTGGTGTGTCGCCCAAGCAGATGCCCTTCGAGAGACATGTCGAGCGAATGTCATGGCAGTCTTCGACACATGCTCCGTTCCGACGAGGCCGTCGCGCATCGAGTTCGAACCTGAAGTCGAAGCTCTTGCATCCATCAAGACGCCGTTGGCGGATGACGTTGAGGGCGTCGGTAGCCTCGTCAAAAGCATCCAAGAAATCAACAACTTTTTCAACGGAGAACCGCCGCCGCGCAGGCCTAGCACTCTCATCCCTACGCGCCGCCTCGAGGCTCGGGTTGCCGCCATCCTTGCCAAGTCATCTGGTCCCGATTCCGTGTCGGACACACCTCAGACCCCCTTCCTTGACGTCTTCAACGTCGGTGCAGGCATTGACGAGGGAGACGATTCCGACAACTCTGACAGCGACTCTGACACTGATGCCTTCATTTTCGATACCATTTCTCCACCTCGTAGCGCACCTAATGGAACTCGTTATCATTAGCATTGTCCCATATTCCATAGTCCATCCTCACCATCTATTTGCATATAGTTTTCTCTTCCTTTCTTTCTTCCATAGCTGTCTCCTTTCATAGCTGCTCTCTCAAAAGATCATTTTCCTTTTTTTTTCATGTATTACTGCAATTACTTATGTACTACTCATCCACCATCCTGCACTGTAAATTAATGTCCTGAGCATAGAGTTACCTATAACCATCTTGTAATCGTCATCATTATTACTGGAATGCATTGCTGTCAGCATCTTTCGAAGACCTTGTAGAGATCGGGGAGATTGGCGACTTGAACAATGTCACGATCGAGCAAGGATTTTGGAGCAACCAAATATCGACGCATGGCAGGGAAGAGGATGTGTTGGATTTGCCACCGCTCAGCTTTGTGCTGATCCTCGGACAATGACGCTATAGGTGTATAGAAGTACGCAAGTTCTCGTAAAAAGGTTTCAAAACACTCTGATTCTGAAGTCCAGTCAACCTAAACCAAAAGTCAGAAGATAATTTCAGACAGTATAGTCTCAGTCAACGTACCTGAGGACCGAGTCTCATAAGGAAGCCCGGTAGGTTGTCTAGGTTGGGTATATAGTCACGAAGGAGGAGTGGTATGCTTTCAAGGAAGCCCGTATCTGTAATGGTCATTGAAAAGTACTCTGCTAGCATCTCGCGCCGGTCAACCAGGATCGTCTCTATGCGCTGACACTCTTCCATCAGCCAGAGTCTATAGAAGGCCTAAAGGTTCTCACCTCCACGATCTGCTCCTTGGTCAAACTGCTACTCTTCGTGCTTTCCTCCGCTTCTACCGCGATCTGAAGCATGGCACGTATCGAAGGCGCTGGCTCTAGTTTTATTCGACTGAAGTCACCGAACTGTCGCAGACCTAGCTGATAGAATAATTCTTCTCTGTGGTAGAACAGAAACATGAGTCGAGGAACAAAATTCTCAGCGTGCCGGTAGACATACGCTAGAGCATCATGGTTGACCATGTAGAGTTTCGTGGAATATTGTATCAAAGACAAACACTTCTCCAGGTCGACAATCCCGACGAAGGTGTGCTTTTCCAGGATTTCTGTCAATTCTACGCACTCCGTCAGCTTAACTCATCGGAGAAAGGAAACGCAGTAGTCACGGCGATGTTTTCCTTTCAGAATACTCTTCCGAAGATTCTTCACCGATGTCAGGAAACATTCCGACTCCCTGATCTCTCGCGACTTCGACGGTGCATTAATCGGTGTTGGCTCAGTAGGATCTGAAGCTGCCGGTGCTTGAGATGGATTTGGAACGGGAAACATCGAGTCCAGAGTGCGGTCTTGAAGAGATGTGCGGACTTTATGGTGTGAATAAGTCTTGCGCTTCGCTTCGGCTGTTGACGTGAATTATAGGCCAATAAAGCAACAAAGTTGAAGAGGGCGTACCAGATTGAGATGTTCCTTCCTGCTTGTCACCCTCATCATCATCATCCTTCCGACTTCGTTTCTTCGATAAGGGGTTTTCACCCATAATCCCTCCTGTTAGCAGCGTCTACTGTGATGTTAGTCAGAGCCGCAAGAAAATTGTTATCTTACACACCTGGTATTCAAACGCCCTCGAATGGCTCTGCTTAGCCAGGTTCTCCTGAATCGCATCTGCGATCCGTTCTGTGATAGCTTCTTCGTTTAGAAAATGGACTTCGCGCTTCGTAGGATGCACATTCACGTCCACCGACCGCGGATCTATCTGGAGGCTGAGATGTATGCGTCAGAACAGGGAAGGGGCAGCCAGGAGTGACTGAGGTATACCTCAAGTACATAAACGGCGACGAACCTTTCGGCAGAATGCTTTGGTACGCTGCTTCGAAAGCGCGTTTCATGCGAGGCGATTCAACAAGTCGGTCTTGGGGGCTGTCAGTCTTCGTACACTGGAAGAGCAAAAGACGGAGCCTACGATTTATGAAAAGCAAAAAGATAAACTTCTTCGCTTGGTAGTTCGCATTTGTAAAGTGGGCTTCTGCTATCCAAGCTTCTGGATCGTCTGGCTCGTCTTCATCCATGGCATCCTCAGCCCGTCGTTTCTCGTTCGACGAAATTTTGAAGTGTAGCAGTTCTTTCGCGATTGAATGGCCGTAGAGCAGCCTTATTGCCGTAGGAGTGTCCGACGACGATGGGGTCGACAGTTCGGGAGAAGGAGACCCTGCCTGCGAATGTGAACCCTGAAGCAAAAAAGGAAGAATCCTTCAACAACTTACTTTCTTGCATACAAATGAAACCTTCGGGTTGTGGATAGCGTACTTCGTGATGACGTCAAGAATTCGCGAGTATTCCTCCGAGGTGCTTCTCAAAGCAGAGAGACGTGTTGGCGTGTTATAGAACAAGTCCTCGATCTAAACACGTCAAATTTCGCGTTTACAGAAGATAAATGCTTCATACCGTTATAGTAGTGCCGTCGTTTCCAGCACAAGGTCGAGGTTCTGACTTCTGCCCTGTCTTCGCGTCGACAAGAATCCCATCCGAATACGAGGCCCTGGTGGCAAATGAGACCTCCACGTTGATCATTGCAGGCGAACACTCACTTCCATGCACAAGTATCGCTCTTTGTCTTCGTGATAACAGTCAGGTGGGCGACATGCGACATCGACGCGAGCGCTTCTCCTCTGAAGCCATAAGTCGTGATGCGCGACAAGTCGGAAAACGTGGACAGCTTCGATGTCGTGAACCGTTCTGCGAGTATTGGGAGGTCTGCTTTCTGTCCCGCCCCCAGTTACACGTCTCTTCCGACTCATATAACCAGTACTCACCCGAATACCGCAGCCATTGTCCTGAATTTGCAGCACCTTCATTCCACCATCTTTCACAGAAACTTTGATAGACGTGGAGCCTGCGTCGAGGCTGTTCTCAATCAACTCTTTGAGAGCTGAAGCAGGCCTGTGGATAATCTTTTCCACGTCAGTCAACTGCGCAAGAATAGCTCGAGGAAAACGCGCACTTCACCAGCGGCAATCTTATTTATGAGGTTTTCGCTGAGACGATGTATGGCCTTCGGCTCTGAAGAAGACGTTCCAGGCGTCGCGGTCATAATATTCGTGTTGACGGCTCAAATAAACGTCAAGGCAGAGATGACAATCTTCTACGTGTGGTTTGTACAGACCCTAACCCAAATTTGTGTGAACCCTAACCTTGCCATCAGCCTCGCAAGGTCCGATCTTATCAGGCGACTTTCATCTTGCATTATTACGAGTCAACGATCTCATACCACCACGTACCCGAGGCCTCTATAAGACACGTTCTCGACCAATACCTACCTATGGCCACTGCAACGATGAGCAGCTCATCCAGCTTCCAACCTCTATCATTCCCGGCCGATAAATACCGCGGTGCAGTCGTAGAGGTACGCGTCTGAACCTTGAGCTTCTGGCCGACATGGATCTGAGCACCAGTGTATCCAGGACTTGCAACTGCCCCCAGCATTTTCCGTATCGTTGAATGAAGCTATTTCTCGAGCGATAGAGATGGCATACGAACGAGATTTCTCTCATATCCCGTACGCTACTTGACCTTTCTCCAGGGCCCCGTCATTCTAACCGAAGTTCGGGACTCGACAGCGTCCTGAACCAAAATCGGAGACCGCTGGGGTACATCGACATGGCCAAGTTGAAGCAAAAGTGGGAAGCTGGTCAGGCTAGCCCTGTGCGTCCCTTCCACGATTCACCATTCACGTAGCCATCCATTTTGCTCACCCTGGTCCTGTCCCAACGCCCCGTTTCCACAGGACGAGAAAGTTAGCCAATACATGACCAAGTTCAAGCGAGTGTCAACAGAACCATATACGATAATCACCCCGCTGTCACCGCTCTCGGAATTAGAGGAATTCCTGAAGACAAATATATTCGCGCTGGGTACGTTCACCCTGCCTCACGGAGAGATGCCAACCAAGCTGACACTACCCTGCGCAAAGTAACGGACCAAGGTCGCAAATTTGTCCTCGCCGTCGCGACAGCACACGATCTCGAAAACTTTGTGTCCCGGCGCGGACTCTAACTCTGGAATTCTGAAGGTTCCTCTTTTCATTTGTATGTACGTATAACCATATCTAATGGGATATTCGATATCAATATTGAGCAGTGTCCGATATTACGATAATTGATTCCTGCAAGGGGACTAGTAATGAGTACAAGGTAGGATGAATATATAAGTGTCATATAGAGGATAGGGAGAGCTGCAGCAAATAGATAACACAGAATTGACTCTTCATATCTTGACAGGATGCCAAGGTATGAGGTTCCGCCGCACAGCAGGAAGATGACCTGGAAAAACACGTCTCAGAAGGTCGATCACCAGTGCTGTCAATGAGGGCACATACCGAAAAATACTACGGGACCCCAGGCTGCCAGCAGCAAGGCAAAATGTTGTGTCCCTAGAGGTGTCGGCGTAGGCCGTCGCTTCACGACATCAACAAACGTCGAAATGCAGCTGAGCAGCTGAACAGAGGCAAATGCACTGGAACGGTCGGGTGTAAGATTTACTTCGAGCGCATATACGGATGCTTTACGCACATCTGAAACAGAATTATGCGCCACACAGCAGGCGCTAAACTCGGAATCTGTCTTCGCTGTTTGCGATACGGTAAACCTGGAACACACAGCCATGAGATACACCTCTTCAAGGATGCAAACCAAAGTTACTTACCACCCATCGACGCAGGTCTCGGCGAGTACGGCCCATTGAACCCCTCAGCAAGGATGAAGTCCTCCTTCCCAATATCCGACTCGGAGCGCAAATGCAGCTTATCCTGGTTCCACCCCTTCTCCCCATCCTCATCCCTTAAATCACTCACCGACCCCGCTCCACCATGCACGATCACCTCCACCCCATGCCAATCCGGTTTCACACTCCCATTCCCATCCACAACATCAGCCTCCGACGCCGACGCCGACCCCCGCGACTCGCTCGTGGTGACGACATTAACATTGCTTAGCTCGATCACTCTGTCGCCGTCTCGGTTGCGCTCCTCGATACCTGGAGCACTGGCCCCAGCGAAGGTGGGGAACGATCCGGACACGCGGGAGCTCAAATCATCGGCGCTGTTACCTGCCGGGATGGAGAACTGTGAAGACTCGTGGTCCCCTACCACCGTCTCCGTGCGTACCACCTTATCCTGCCCGCCTGCTGTGGACGTCGACGGACGGCCGAATGGGAGGTGGAAACGCCGTGAAAGGGGTACAGGGTCCGCAAGGTCCTGGCTGATAGGCCCTCGATGCGGTGTGGTTGCCGATTTGGAGCCAGAGGCGGAACGCAGGCTGCGTGGTGTCAGCGAAAACTTCTTCTTGCGCGTGCTGCCGCTCCGACTTTGCGGGGCAGAGGTGAATACGTCGTCACTGTCGGACCGCGCACGCTGGAGGTGCTGGTTCGTCTTGATGACGCGCATGATTGAACGTACGGCCAGGTAAAACGAGGGCAGAGAGAGGAGGAAGGGGACGCCTGCATAGCCTAGGAAACGAATCCTACGTTGGATGAGTAACAGGGCAACTGGAAAGGAGCAAGAAAGACGCACCACAACGGATCGTTCGTATCGCAGTGCAAGTCATCGGCCGGTTGCACGGCATCGAACTTGAAGATAAGGGCGATGTGGATGGCGGTCGCCACGACAGGGAGCATGACAATCGGAATCCCGTACAAATTCCGCCATTTCAGCGCGCTGCTCCCTCGTTAGCTACCTGCAGTCACCACGGCCTCAGAGCGAGATACATACCTCCTTCCATCTGACCACGTCTTCGGCTTCAGCACCGTCATACTCGTTGCCAACGAAAATGCCAACGCAACCCCGGCTATGAGGACGCCTCCAAAGGAGATAATAATCGTCTGCGCTGAAGGCGGCACGCAAGGGTCATGAGGCTGGCCGATAGACTCCTCGTAAGGATGCGACACATACCTATGCAAAACGATCGAGGCATTCGATAAGGATCCATCTTATAAATCATGCCTGAAATTCGTCGAAATCTTGTCAGCGCCCAATACCATAATTTTTAGGATGAACTATCAACGACGCACCTAGGCAAAATATGCCTTGCAACATCGTGTTACCAACGCAATATAGAACCGGGCCCCAACGCGCATCTACAGCACGTCCGAAAGCCCATAGAACTATCCAGCAAGCAAAGAGTCCTACATGAAGGTACGAAGTTCAGGGCGCCTATTCCATTATAGAAACACAACTCCACAACGCACCTGTTAACGAAAGGATAAACCAAGCTATCTTGAGGCCAAAAGGCAGCATATCCACAGTCCTCTCGCTCCTTCGATGCGCAACATGCACCAACCACTCTGCCCTTCTGGTACAACTTCAGCGAGCTTTAGTGCTGCTTGCAAGCAACTCAGTGGCGCACAACTCCCACTACTGGCCTACAAGCCTTTACGATTTCGGTCGGGAGACGGGGGGTAGGAGCGAGAAGTCGTTTTTCTGCGGGTCCGTGGCGGCTCATATATGTCTCGCGTCCCATCACCACGGTCCTGGACGGGACGTGCAATATCGAAATGATGCGTGTCGTGAGAGCCCCAGTGGGAGTCAGCTGCAGGTTCTGGGACGTACGCTCCTTTTGGCGTTAGCGCCATTCAGACAAGAGAATGATAGGCTCGCCCATGCCGTGCCGACTCGGAAGGCACCAGAACGCGTTCTCTTCCTCCACCCAGCGATACGCTCTATTTAAAAATCAATCAAGCTGAGGTAGGCACAGACAGTTGGGCTCCGCGGAAACAGGGTACCTTTGACAGCCAACACACCACCAGCTCTATAAATTGCGTTTCACGTTTGCGGGCCTCCAGACGGGATGAGCGGCTCCGAGGCGTCCTGAAAATTGAATTTCGTGTTTCCGACATTTAGGGGTGCCTGAGAAAACAGGCGCCAAGCGCAGGTCTTCCCGGACTCGGAAAGTTTTCTCCTTTAGCAACCCTGAAACGTTTTCTTGAAGCCACGGCAACCCTCGGCAACCAGAATTTGGAAGCGTGCCAGTATAAATACCGTTGAGCTATGACGAATTTGCTATGCGGACATTGGCACCGAATCCCCGCCAAAGAATCTTCAGTTTCTGCTTGTTTCTGGTGTTGAGTACGGTACGGTTGCCGAGCTGCGTCAGGCAGGATTTCGGTGGCATTGCTCCCCGGGCACGAGGCTTGGCAACGTCGTCTGCCATAAATAGCAAGTGTCGGCGCCGTGCCAAGCCCCCTGCTCATCGTCCGAGGCAGCGAGCAGGGTATGTTGGCACTCCAGGGTTATTCAAAATTTCTTGGCTAGAAAATACACCAAATACTTCTATTCTTTTCTTTTTGGGTAGTCAATTTTCCATGAAATAGTTTACAATTATGCAAGTGCCTTTCCGAAAGGCTCAGAAGTGGGAGACCGTGATCCGTCGGAGAGATCGTTGGACAGGATGAATTCGAAACTTCATCGGAGTCCATGACCAACAAAACGAGAGGAGGAGGATCAATGTAAACTCCCTCAGAAATTTTGTGGGGGTCGCCAGTCAACTGCGCGGAAAGACGATCAACTAGACTGAATGCGCCGCCCGCCATCTTACCATCACCGCGCTAATAGACAGATGTTGAAGGGGGTATTTCCTTGAATTTGAATCTGCCCAAAATTAAATCGGAACTTCGCGTAGGGGCTGGCAAAGTAGATGGGATACAACATTTTTCAGGTATTGACACGACTTGATCATACTTCTAATTCAGTGGGATTACCCATTCGATGAGAATTCTATAAATCCAGACTCGGAGTTGAAGGCGATATTCACTCCGTCACCGTCAGAACGTGGCCAGCAATCACGCCCGAGCGGCGAGCCCGCTCCACTTACGGCACCGGCGCTAAATACCGTCATCGCGTCGTGGGCGCCACCACTTCCGTTCTCTTGATACCGTATTTTTTGCATCTTGTTATCCTGTATTATTCCCTATTCCTTATTTTTATGTCTTTTGTCCCGCTCATTCTGTCCCTTTTTAATGCTGCTTTCCTTACTCATTTCACATTTTATTCTATGGCTATCATAGCTACTATAGTTATGGTAGAAGTATGCCTCGATTGATAAAATACACATATAATTCCGCTTCATTTGTCCAGTCACTGCCTCGGACGATGAGCAGGGGGCTTGGCACGGCGCCGACACTTGCTATTTATGGCAGACGACGTTGCCAAGCCTCGTGCCCGGGGAGCAATGCCACCGAAGGGAGGCCCGAGAGGGTCGCGGGGGGTCCATGTGGTCTGGCTGAGGCAGCTGGGGAGAAGACACCATCCATCACTGCGCGTCGTACTCGCGCAATCCTGCCTGACGCAGCTCGGCAACCGTAGTACGGCGAACGAATGCTGTATTAAATAAAAACGAATGACTGTACGAGTTTGCAAAAGAACGTGATTATGCACACGACGTGTACAAGTTGGAAGGACTGGGGTATGCATGCACTCCGACCAATCTCCTACCTTACTCCTTCAAGCTTTGTATCTTTTAGAACAATCTTACTGCATCAAAGATGAAGTTGGGGGACCTAGAGAAGCGTACGTTGGATAGATTAATGATTCGAGGCGACGAAAAGAGGCCTGGAAAGCACTCACAAGTACATGTCTCCGGAAGAACCGGAGATCACATTGATAGTTATCGTGTTCTGGCCTGAGACGAGGGTTCCGGAAGCTGGACAAGACAAATGTGGTCAGCGATAGGGAGATAAGATCCTCCTTGCACTTACGAATGTTATAGTTGTACACCATGTTCTAGGTGGATTGGCCAAGCGTCAGTTATAAGGAACATTTCCTGCAGGCATTTCAACTCACATTTCCCCTCCATGTTCCGCGAGTAACACCTATGAATTGACATATGAAAAAGCGATGGGGGAACGAACAATCTTAAATACCTCGGGAATCGGGTTGGGATGGCGCTGAAGGGTTGGGAGCGCTCCAGCTGTTCACTTGGACTGACGGCCGTCCACCTGAGAGAAAATGAGCGATTAAAAGGAGACCAAGATCATCACGAGAAATCGTTCAGTACCAGCAAACGCAAGAGTGGTTCCTATTTGCAAAGTACGGGCTCCAAGTTGAGAGGATGACAAGTTGAACCGAATGGTCAGAGGACCAATAGTCTACCACAACAATGTTAGCCGATGAGGTCATTCCCACTGTATAATTCGGCCAACATTACCTTGAAGAGCGCCATGGGGAAAGAGTTGATTGAGCTGCCCACGTTAAAGGTGACTACACACCGGAATGAGCGTCGGCGAGCGGGGGTTGACAAATGGATTTGACTAACGTGCTGATGCCCAATTCGACATGCGATTGTCGCTTGGGCTAAAAATAGGTCATGAGCGTCAAAAAGTCTAATGTTGGGTGAACGATAACCGTACTGCATGGTTTCGATTTTGCTGTTCACGAAAAAGTCAGCTTCGACTAAACGAGACGCGAAAATTGCACTTACTCGGCGTTGAGGAAACCTCTGGGAGTTCCATCGAAGTCTCCGATTTGCCAGATAGAGGTAGGGTTCTGAAGGCTGTCGTTCAGAAACATCCTGAGGGCTGTAAATACGAATACATACGGCTTCTGTGGACGCGATATTCGATGTCGTCACACCGCCGGAGTTGACAGTAACTGACTGGGATGCGACGGCGAGTTCACTCTTGTACACTATCCATGATCAGTCATATCAGAGAGAGCCGGAACGAGACGCGAGAAAACGAACGTCTCATCGTGTAAGTTCCAGGTTTCATGTATGGGGTTGTGAAGGATCCAGAGGAGTCGGTGCGGGCCCTGATTTTACTGCGGTCAGAAAGAAAGGCGCGAAGCCTGATGTAATCCTACGTACCAGTATTGGGCATTCGAGTTAGAGAAGCCGACCACCTGCAAGTTGGAGAAGGCAGATGGAATGCCAGAGGCCCTTCCAGTAACGCGTCCACGCTGGGCACGGGGAACGAGCCCGTTGATACTCAAGCCTTCCCAGAACAGCAGGTCTAAGCCACGGGGAAATAGTTAGATTTTATGAAGGCGCGACAAAAATGAGCCCTGACCGATGGAAGACGAGGGCGCTGAACCAGTGGTGAACCACAGGGCGCTATCATATCACATTGGTTGGGGAAGTCGAGGGACCAACTAAAGGCACGTACTAGGGGCCGTGCAGACCCATGCGGTATGCTAGAAAGAAGGCATGGTGAGAAACAGGAATAACAAATAGTTCATTTCATCCTGACATTCGGTTTGGGTATGGCCAGAGTTCTAAGGACGAGTGTTAGTAATATAGATGAGGGAGAAGTTTCTGAGCCGATGTACCATGTCTACGAGGACGTTAGAAATCGCTTCGTGTCATGGGGAAATGACTTACAGAAGTAAAGCTCTTGTTGATCTCCTATTTTTGTGCCCTGAAGTCAGTACCACAACCTTCTCAAGGTACGCCGCATGACACTGGCCTCCCTGGTTATTAATATCGCGGAAGAAGGGGCCTCCAGAGGAGCTCTCGTAGCCAGTACCGGGGATGATCATGTACACGCCGATGCCATTTCCGGTTACACCATGGACCTGATCGTCGATGAATTGCCTTGAGGAATAGAACTTGCAGCGCGTCTCGGAACCGACTCTGAACACGTCGCTGCCTTCGATGGCGGTACCACCACGAATCTCGGACACCTTGTAACCATTGGGCACTGCGGACTGTCTCAGGCGAGCAATAAAACGAAGCTCGCCAACTGATGGCTGGGCCGTGATGCTGGAAAATCCGTTGAGCTTCGAAAAGGTGACCGTGATCGAGAAAGAAGACTTACTAAGTAGCCATGTGAATAGCAGGATCTTTGTAGCGTGCAACATAATACCTGTCGTCGCGATTGGTGACTATGCAATACAATCCCTCTGGTAGACGACTCACTGCGTGAGGGTGCTGGTAGTACAAGTGATTTTGACATAGTTGTTAGAGTTTCCAGTTCGGACGGCGGAGCAACTGGCCCCGATTCCGGAGGAAATGTGACTTCTCTTGCTGCTGTCTTGGACCTGCAAACGATTCAATTATTAGGGTCGCATACGATTCTGCGAGAATCGGAATCACCTCGATCCCATTGAACACCATAGAAGTGATATCTCCAGAGTTCTTAGCAACTGGATGTTTTCAGTGATCAGCATAATGGGCCCAGTAGGATGACAACTACGCGATTTACCAGTAAACGTCAGACCACCTTCCGTATCGACAATGATATTGTTCCCAGACTCGGTGAATCCGAACCCCAACGCGGGGATCGTGAGGAGACCAAGGTAGGCCGCACCAACGAGTAAGCCAAACATGACGAAGAGAAATAGAGTGCTGAAGGAAACGGACGCGTCGCTAGCAACGTCTTTAAATATAAGTCCAAGCCGAGAAATATTTATCCGAAGAAGCGCTCCCTATTAGAGGCTGATGTCTGCTTCCGCCCGCTTCTGAGCGCGGTGCGTGGTCCCAAGATTCCCCTGATGACTCGCAGATGTGTGCGTTCCAACGCGCATATACCTTCTCGTGCTGTGAGCCATGGTCAGGGGACTGACACGAGAAGAACCCACACCCTGTCCGTGTACACTCTTTAGGTTTTTGTTGAATCCGGCGGTCCGCGCAGATTTCCCGTTGTGTCTTGGACTTTTCCTTCGGAGTCGCTTATTGCCTCCTGTTGCCTACCGCTGGCTGTTACGGCGGGGCCCACATGGGTGACGACGATTTCAAATCAAGGCCGCTAGGCGCCCAACAACGACCACGTTCGCGTGTCTCGAGAAGTTCCTCGATGTAGGAGTGAGTCAAACATGCATCGAATACAAGCACTAGGAGCAGCGTCATGCCAAAAGCGATGCCGTCTTTGAACCAGTGTTGGCCAGCATGAGTCTTGGCACGAACATATGACCGAACAGGTGAAGCCAATAAAACCCCGAGAAATAGGCACATCCAGATAAACAGCCGCGGCAGGAGATATGAATGAAGTCGGCCAGCCAGTTGACGTAGTGGAGGTTGTAAACATAAGTTCGTCGGACACGACGCTGATGGCTTCATCCTGTTGACGCCTGTTGTCGTGTTGCGGGAGGAGCATGCCCAGGGTAAGATCTATCTTTACACCCTAAGCTCTCGGTGCCGCCAGCAAGATGATCGTATTCATGAAAAGGGTACATCGGAGACTTGGATATGAGTTGCAACTTGAAGTGTATATGTTGTACAATCTGCGATGAATAAATCTGAAGAAATGAGTAAAAATATCGCCACCCATGATCGATGCATGATCCGCGGTGCTGCTGAATAATAATGGTACAACATCTTCTGCTCGTGGCAATCCCGAAGCAAGAGCGAACGGCAGATAATCTCCCGCTGAAAACTCTACCTTACTCCAGCCGAGGCCGACGAACGAGCGAGAAGTACATGCCTATGAGCGTATACTACCTTGCAGTGCTCAAGACTTGCAGGCCTTTTTGTGGTCAGGCCAGTGCATCTTCTGACATCCAGAATCACAGTACCGTGTCTTCGCACACCCGCTGCCTGTAGGATGAAGCAAGGTTGTCAGCACCGATAAACTGAGGTCCGAAAAGAAGACGTACATTTCCGCAATACAGCAGAAGGGTTCCCACACCAGGAACACCGATACATAGTGACTTTATCGAAGTTGACCTTCGTCTCTCCATGGCCGAACCCGCCGCAGCGGGTGCGCTCCTCCAACGTTCCGTCCTCCAGGCGCATATCCTCCAGCCATGCGGCGAGGTCGTCCTCCAGTTTTTCATTGCTGATCTCAGGCGCGTCCTTGGCCTTGATTTTGTCGAGCCCTTCGTAGATACGTGAAAACTCCTTGACGCCGAGCGGGTAGTGCTTGATGGCCGCTTGTTGAGCGAGACGTAGATTCGTCTTCGACGGAGGAACGCCCATGAACTCGCTGAACTGATCAGCGATCTTCAACTTTTGGAGAGCATCCTGAGCGAGGGCGAGAAAAGTAAGAGCCTGGAAAAAAATGAAAGTAAACTAAAGGACCGACCTTCAGCTCCCTCAAATCCGGGCTGAGGTCCTCCTTCACCAGCAACGTCAGAAGGATGAACCAGTACCCGACGTTTTTCATATGCCTGTTATCCGGTGGAGCACCATCAACGTACGCCTTCGCGTCCTCTAGCGCACTCATCAAGAATGCAATTCCTTCCTCCCATTTCTGCTCTCCAGCTTCCGGCATTTCCTGCAACACCTTCACGCCCATATCCCCCGCGTGTTCCACCGCCCGTTGCATCATCTGATATTTGACAAACGGCGTGATCTGCTTGCACTTCAGGCCTTTCTTTGCCGCCCGTAAGCCCTGTACATTGTCGGCCGCCAGAGTGATCGCATAATGGAAATACGCCTGCTCGGGATTGCGTAGGAGGCCTTTCTTCGCGAGAGCCACGGCGTCGGGAATGCGTTGCCTCATGATCATATACTTGATGTCCAAGATGTCCGCATAATCTTGCTCCTCTGGTTTCTTCTTCTGGCGAATTGCTCTCGCAGCGTGAGGAAGCGAGTCTGACCACATCTTGAACGGAAGTCCGAAGTCGTCAATCGACCTCTTTCCCATGCGCGGGTCTTCCACCTCAAACATCCCGTCCGCGACCGAAAACTCCGTCTTGAGGATTAATGGCGCCTGCCTGAGTCCCAAGGCATACAGATCGTGCGTCTGCATGCACGCCATCATCGCGCTCTGGAACTCGTTCGTGCAAGAGAGCGTCAAGAAAATCTCGCTGCGACTGTGCCCGTAGTCTATCAAGATATCACTAAGGTGGTCGGGCACACCTCTTTGGATGGCGTTCATGAAGCGCATGGGGTCGAGGAAGCGTTGGTCGTTCTCCGCCTCCAGCCGGAACAGCCGAATGAGGCCGCCCATGCATGTACAGCGAGTCACCCAGTCTTTGCTTCGGAACCCAGCCACGAGGAAATTGATAGCAGACGGGTAAACTTTTAATGCAGACGATGCGTGCATGCTCGACATCGCCACGAGCTCGATCGCATGCTCGTAAATCGACCTGGGGTTCCGGTATAGCCTCTTGACTGCCTCAATTATAGTTTTGAGAACGTCGACCATGTCGACTGCCTGTAGGACACGTGGGTTGGCAGGTTTCGAAACTCCCTCGACGACTGCTGAGACTGAATGCGCCAGGGTCGATACGCCGAGCTCTGCAACTTTCTCGTCGTCGGGTAAATCACGAATGAGCTTGGTCAAGACGTTGGCGTGTCTCGCGATCTCAATACGCGCGGTGCTTCCGCCGTGGTGAGTGATTGTGCTCAGTGAACGTAGTGCAAGGTGTCGCGTCTCATCAATGTGCAACAAAGGAATGATTTTGTTCAGGATTCCTGTGCGATCGTCAAATATCAGTACTGAGAAACCAGCCAGAGACGGACCTTTATCGAACAACTTGTTTCTCAGTAGCGAATCCACGCACATCCTCGCAAATATGCCCACTATCCCTCCTCTAATTCTGTCATTGCCAATATTCTGTTCGTATCCCTTGTCTAGCCGCGTGTAGATGGCATTAAAACTTGCATGGACCTTCTTCAACCCACTCCGTGTCGTAAGATCTATCGGTTTCGAACCAAAGTCAAATTCATGTATAGCAAGGATACTTGCTACTGACTCACCAGGGAGCTGGAAGAAGTCGCACAGAACATTCACAACTGCATTCCATCCTTCGGAATTATCAATGTCGGGTGTGCGGACGACATCCACATCGGAACGTGGCCTGGCTGTTGACGACGACGAGGGACCTTTTGCCTTCTTTGCCTTCTTCTTTGCACCAGGTCTTGGCATTCTGGTAAGTGGTAAGGCAAGTTGGGGAAGTGTGTCGAAAAGCAAAGGACGAACCCTGTCGTGAACAAGATCAGTGTTTGTTACGTAATCGAAGGTAACCTTAGACCCTGCTTTCAGTCAGAGAACCTCTCAGTGCTTGGGCTCAACTGGCAGATAAAAGAACATACATTAGATCTCAAATTTACTGGTGCAAAATTTGATTTTCTCTACCAGATACAACGCGTCGCGTCCAGTCGCGTCTTTAATGAGTCACGGGCTAGTCAAGCGCGTCCACAGTGCCAAATAACGCGTCGCGTAAGGGCTGTTGACATCGGCTGCAATTTTCACTTACCACTACCTGCCATGTCTTCGAAAGTTCAGCGCACCTATTCAAGGTCTCGCCATACCAAAATGCCAGCTCTAACACCGTCTTCCCCGCCATCCACTTTCTCCTCGTCTCCACCAGCAACGCCGGCGATATCCAGACCCTCAAAACGGCCCTTTTCCGAGGTCACATCGCCTTCATCAGAGGATAGACCCTCACCTCTGTTCCCACTTGCCAAGCGGTCCAAACTATCTGCTAAATTGTCAAGTACCGTGAAGGCCAAGTCCTCTTCCAACACGAAGAACGGCGCTCCAAAACCAAGTCAGCAAAAGCTCACACAGCTACACTTCAACATCGACCAAAGCATTCTCAGAACATGCCCCATATGCGATCTTTCCTACACGAAAGGCGCGTCTGGAGACGAAGCGTTGCATCGCACTCACTGCGCCAAGGTGCAACAAGGGATGGAATGGGGACGAGAAGAGGAAAAGGATAGGATTCGGAATGGGGAGAACGTCGTTACAGATGTGGTGACGGACGTGAAACTCAGAGGGAGAAAGAAGAAGGGACGCGTAATTTGCTTCTCAGCGGATATCGATGGTAAGATCGGCGCTAAAGTACGTCCCTTGATGACTTCGGTTGTCCTCATTGAAGCTGACCTTTACTTGTAGCTTTCGATCATCCTTCAAACCGTCAACACCGCTCTCTCTTCCTCGGAGCTCTCACCTGCTGCACTACAGTGCTCCAAAGGCTACTTGTTTCTGATTCCACACGACACAATGCCCAACCGCGAGCGAATCGCCGGCTGCGTGATCGCCCAACGCATCACAACGGCTATGGCAGTCGTACCTCCCTCAGTGCAAGGATGCCTTTTCACCTCGACCGATTTATCCAACGATCTATCACTTCCATCTACTACACCTACATCAAGTGCGACCCCAAGACCTGTTGCGGTAGGCTCTGATTCCAATATCTTCTGCGACCCTACACCTCTTCCTACTCCAATGGGCATCTCAAGAATGTTCGTCTACTCAGCGTATCGCCGTCTCGGGATCGCACAGGCGTTACTGGATACGGCTGCGGCGACTTTCATTCATGGCTGTCCACTCGACCCTCTGAAAGGCCAGGTCGCCTTCTCCCAGCCGACAGGGACTGGACAAGCAGTCATGGAGAAGTGGGGGAAAGGCGCCGTCAGAGTGTTCGAGGACGATGATTAAATATTATGATTTCTCATGATTTAAAGTATTGCTGTATTATTTGATCTCTCTCTTCTCATCGAATCGCATTGTCAAGTTCAGGCGTGAAGTCGTATTTGTTCTGTGCGCTAGGTACTTGTATAGGATAGGCATATTATGGTATTTGCATGAAAGGTTGAGAAGATGGAAGGTTGAATACGCGTCGTATCATGGTGAGATACTACGTAATAATTGGAAGGTCTATGCGTGTGATGCCGTGCGATAGAAATGCGAAAGAAATGAAATATACTGGGCGGGTGAGGTGTGTGTTCAGGTGGGCGCTAAAGCGTTATGATACGACGAGGTCGGACGGTCATGTCGAAATTTTGAGAGAAGTCCGCAGGATACCCTTACCTTCAGCTCAGATTGTCCCTCCCCTCTCCAGATGACATTGACCCTTAAAAACTCAGAGCGAGAACGCGAAATGTAGGTCCATCTACTAACCACTCCTTTCGCCAACCCAAAGTCACACTGTCTCCAGTGCAACCGTGGCCAGCGCTCGAGAGTCGGCGTTCGACGCGCCAACGAGGTTAGCATTCCAACCGTCTGAGTGGTGCTGCCACCACAAGAACCTAGTCGTGCTCCAGTATTGACCCTTGAAAACTCGTGGACGAGAGCGCGAAAACGAAAGCCCCTGCATCCTTGAAGTCTGGGCCCTCCTACTCGACTCTACTGAGCAAGCTCCCAGCACACGGGTGGGCAGCCCCCGTTCGAGGTTCGGGTTGGGGGTTGGACTTTGGATGGGGATGCGGGGACAGTCGAGGTGAGCGCTGCGATCGTGGGTGAATGGTGCTGCCGGAGTGCGACGGGAAGGCACGACTCGACAGAGAGCAGGCAACAATGGTATACATTGACATGCCACGGTCTCCCATGCGCGAGCGCGAGCCGACACTACAGGCCTTCGAAGAGGTGAGGTTCGTTCCAGGCTGTTGGCGCGGGCATCCGGAACGTTGGAGTACGGGATGATAGCAAGGGGCCTATGAAAATGAAGTCAGTACGGAATGGACGAACGAGTCGCGATAAATACCGAGTGGAAGGAGGCCCTCCTTGATAGACCAGAATGTGGGGTATAAATGAAAGTGGTAATGATGCGTATGCGTATGCGTGATGAGGGTATGTATGTGCGATGCGGGGAGGAATAAATAGAGAATAAAAATATAGAGACGAGATGTCATGCTAAGAGATGAGGCAGAAAAAACAACTGAGGCGTTCTATTCAAATGCCCGAGACGGGAGACGAGCAACGGAGGCGGGGTATTCGCACGGAGTTTTGAAAATGGAAAACGGGTTTCGTTTCGAGCATGAGCCCGAGGCGAGAGCGTTGCCTCGACGGGGAGTAGTTGGCGGGTTTCGTATCGACCATATGGTCAACGCGTGAGCCCTGGCCTGAGTCACAGGATAACGGAAGAGGGTATGATAGGTGGATATGTGTGATGAGGGTATACTTGAATGCGAAAGTGGATGAAAGATGACGGTGCAGTGGCGCGGAGGGTTTGATTCAGATGCGAGGGAAGCTCCGAAGGTGGCAGATTCGTTTCGAGCGGATGCCCGACGCGTGATCCTTGCCGAGACCGAGAAGCGATTGGCAGGTTTCGTATCGACCACCAGGTCAATGCGTGAGCCTTGGCCAGCGTCGGAGGACAGCGCAGAATAGCGGAACAGCGAGGAGTCGTGGAAATCTTGTGAAGGCTGAGAGCCGGATTGAGAGTGATATGGATGGATGTTGTGTGTTTCAGAGCACGGGGGCGCCGAGTTCAAGAAAAAGAATGTGGAACATATGAAGCTAGATATTGTCAAAGGGTGAAAACGTGGCCGGTGAATAAAGGAGGGAGAACGGTATACCTCTGAGGCACCCATTCACAGCGGGCAAAGACGCACACGAGGTGAAGGTATAGTATGGTATTTAGATATTGCGATGTGTGGTTTAGCCAATATGGCGTAGCTAAACGCCACCAAGCCTAGGTCTGAAGAGCTGAGAAGTACAATCAGTCGATGGAGAGATCGGAAAAGGCGATTGAAACGTACCATGTTGAAAGACAGTGGCTCGGAGGGTACAGCGGCTGTGTGAAGAGAGTAGCGGACTGTCATGGCTGTCGAGTATGGCTCCAAACAGCAGTGGCGAGACGGGGAGATAAAACGCACAGCCTATGGTTAGGCGTATTTGCGGGGTGGTGGGGGAGAAAGGTGAAAGGCAAAAAAGAACGAGAGGGGTCTTATATATGTGAAAGCGATGGTCTTGTCCATCTCCTTCTGGATCCGTACCGCCTGAAGACCTCGTCAGCAGGCGGCGTCCGAAGTGATTATCTTACAGGGTGGACCATAAACAGGCGCACGAATCACGCTATCAGCCCACCTTCGATCAGCTCTTGTCTAGAAGCACAAATCGGTGGCGGGAAGTGGGCACGCTAGAGCGAAAATGGGTGAGCGGTGTCAGAGGGAGTCACCCTCTAAGGTGTCGCGGACGTTGAAATTCGTTATCGATGGTCTTGAGGTGGTGATCGCTGTGGGCGCTTGTCTGATAAGACTCTGGCGGCCCCTTGGCGGGTCCTTCGCTGTGTTCCTTTCCATTCTATTGAAAGAAAAAGGCAAGTGGCTGATAATCGCCTTAGATGAGGGAGTTAAGTCGGTGATGAAGGGGCTACTGCATGGCCCAGAAAAGGGTTTGCTGTGTGCCTTCGTTGTGTCGGCTTCGTTGTGTCGGACTTCGAAGTCTAGTCCTCAAGGCAGCCTACCAGCGTCCTTCATCGTTTATTATTCCGAAAAGGGTACAATGAATGAAAATTCTGACTCACACACATTTGTCTAGGCGGAATCGATTTCCAATCCATCAGAAATGCAAGAAAGCAGGCAGGATCTATGGCATCTGGTTCGCCGCGTGGTGATGCGCTTTGACGCCCCATTTTCCCGTTTTGGCAGGTACAGCGTTTGCGCTGAACACAGCACGGATGAATCGATTTTGTGTGGAGTAACAATGGCTGACAGAATAAAATGTTTTCTGAAACATTCAACGGAAGAAAACCTACAGATGCGCCACATGCAACTGGAAGGTGAGCTCGCTGAGAGGGGAACTCGAGTAGAGTTGCTAATCTTTGCGATCTGCTGTGTTGATGGCGGAGCCTGTGATGTCTGGAGTATTCCGCGTACTTGTAATTTGAATTCAATTCAGAATTCTGATAGAATAAGACCCGTTTCAGCAACATTAGAGAACCCTAGAGCAGCAAGCCGCACGCAGCATAAAGCCGATCCGGCAAACGCTTCCTCTGCCGTGAGGCGAAGCAGCGATTATTCATCATGCCTTTGGAGCAATTTTGTTATATGAAGTAGCTGGAGCGCATGAAAGACTCGAGCTGGGTGTTCAGAGATATGAAGGAGGTCTGGGACGATGTGGTTCAGTGGAGAGAGGGGTCGTGGGAGAATCTCTGCTGACACACTGAGGTCACATGACCGCGACGCGTTGAATAGTCTAAGTCCTTGAACTTCTGTGTACCTCTAATATCTTCACCCTATAACACTTCCGCGTTTATATTCACCGCAAATCATGGCATACTCACGTCGACCTGTGCAAGTCAATCTTCAGGCCCTCCTGGCGCAACCCAACCCCACAATTGACCTTGGTGTCCAATCTTACGAGACCTCCACGCGCAACTTTCTCAAGGCCGTCGCAAACTACAAGAACCGGGCGATCACGACCATCTCAGAGCGTCGAAAACACCAGGCGTCTGAGAAGAAGAAGATCTTGGACAAGACACAGGCAGCGGAGGCGGAGACGAGCCAGTGCAAGTTGAAGGAGATCGAGCTGGTGGCGCGTGCGTTTTCTTTCTCCAGAGGGGGTGAATGTTGTTACTAACGATCATACAGAGCTAGAGAGAGAAAAGGAGGAGAGGAAGGACGCGGAGTTGTCTGTTGCTGCGTTCAAACGACAACTCGCGACTCTACGGGAGAAGATTGCGTCAGTGGATACGGATATCGAGCAGTACCGAGCTCTCACAGAGAACCTACGAAGAGGTGTGTATAACAACGCCCTCTAGGGAGAATCTGCTGACGAAGTGTGTTCAGAGAAGAACAAGGAACGATCGACGCTCAGTGCGCATGCCTCCAATATCGACCCCGAATCCCGAAGCTGCGAGCAGCGGCTGGCGTGCACAATTGAAGGCGTGGAGAAGGATCGCCTCCTCATACGATTCTCCCAGCTCGATCCTTCTGACCCAGAACGCGAGGCGAGCTTCGTTATCGATCTCTCAAATGACATATACAAAAGTTAGTTTCTTTAGTCCTCGTTCTGGGGTATTTGCATTGAATTGAGCATGTCTCTTGCAGTTATCACTTCCTCGCCGCACCTGCCCTCAATGCCGATTCTCGTTAATAATCTTAACGAGAGCAAGGACATATATACATTCATTAGGGAAGTGCGCACGGGGTATAAGGGTTTGGTGAGTGTTCCTCAGTGTCATCGAAATAGGGTGCAATTGACGATCTTCGCAGTTCGATACGTCCTCGAGATAATTGAAGATCGTTTGAGGAAGATACATGAGGGTGTACTGCTATGCTATATTCTTACATGTGTATTGTATTTTCATAATCTGTATCGTTATCACTGACAACTGCACAATCGTCCTGATGGCTAGAATTGTCCATCCAACCTGGTATCTACAAAGCATCACGCATCACTCCAATTCCAACACTCCTCCTAGCGTCCCGTAACCTACAGCTGCCATCACTGCGGGACGGAGAACAAGAACGCAGGCACAAGCCAACCCCACACATAATCCAATGATAAGGAAGAAATCGCGAGCTGTTCAAGTATCGTCAGCAAGAGCAAAGCAACTTTCAGGCGTGGACGCACAGATGCCCTCCTCCTGAACCTTCTGTCTCACTCGAACCCTGCCACTTGCTCTGCGCACCCCGGAACTGCGCCGTCTGTGATGCGTCCTTGCCTTTTCCTCAGGTTTATCTGTACTCGGACGTGGGAGGGGCAGTTGTGAAGGTTCGGCAGCTGGTGCGATCGGCGCAGGAGGGGTCTCGAATTCGCGAATACGGGGTGGAGGGATCGCAAGAGGTGTGGGGCTAGAGAGCGTTGAGGATAATGAGGAAATGGACGAAAGAACCCGTCTGTGCGTTGGGGTGAACGGCGGTGTGGGCGGTGCGATGGGCCCTCCGATCGTCACCCGTCGCAGTGAGGAGGTCCTGCGTCGAATCGAGCTCCTCGAACTAAGTATCGAACTCGTGGCCGACGAGCTGAGGCGCAGCTCAGAGCTCGATCCCGAAGCCATACTCGTCACTGGCGAGCTCGATTCTTGCGCTCTTTCCCGGTCCAGTCTCGCATCAACTCCGAAGAGAAAATCGTCTCCTCCATCGTCATCGTCATCGCCGTTCGCTAGGGTAGGTGATGGAGCCTGTTGGATGAGCTCTGACGCTCCCCGAGAAAGCGGTGAAAGCGGGTGCAAGTGGATGGTATCATGGCGGACGACGTCCCGGTTCTTCGATGCTTTACGCACATCCTCGTCGTAGCGGTCGTCATAGGTGCCCTCTGGCACCAAGGTCGTCCTACCCCAGCTCCTGTTCGCGCTCTCGCTGTCGTCCACCGACTGCACACCTGAGCCCGGTGACGTCGCTGGAGAGGTATCCTCCGAGTTGGAAGGGGATGATTCTGAAGTAAGGAAGAAAGACATGAGAAAATGGGTGTGTTATAATGTTGCTGCCAACAGAGCAGCACGTTTCCTCGTGGTGTGGTGTAAAGGCCCCTGCTCTCTTCTGCTGCACGACTAAAGAGGCGATGCTTGTTCTCTCCGGTCTAATTGAAGTTCACGGCTTCTTTATACAATCGTTTACGAGCTTGAAAGTCGGATCTGCGAGCTTGTTGTGCCGATATTGGGGTTCTCAGCCCAGTAGCGTTGTGGAAGGTAAGAAGCCTCATGACATGCGTTTGGGTTGTGTTTGCGGTGTGGGGATGGGAATAGGGGTAGATTATGTAAGATCGCCTCCACAGCACTTTTTATGTGCAACGCGATTCTTTACTCTCTCCAGAGAATATCTAACATATATAGGGCACGAAAAAAACATTTATGCAATATTGTTTGCAGACGGTCGTCACCGTTGGTTGCAGCGAAACGCTACGCGTCCAATTCGAACGACACTTCGACAACAACTTCACGGTCAAATCCGAGTCAGTTTTCTTCTTGTGGGTGGGGGCTAAAATGATAGTGGGCAGTTTAGTGATCTGTACATATATATGTATCTTATATTTTATACTCACGACGAGACATCAGCGCACCCAAATATACCTATGACACGTATTAACGATCTACCAGGTATATATCATGGTAATATGACACAGGCTCCCGCCGCACATCCCATCTGTACGGCGCTGACGGTCGATTGTAGGAGGGTGAAAGTGCCTCGTGGTTGTGCGAGAACTCGAAAGCCAAGCGCAGATCGAGACCAGCACCAACATACCGATTGACATGCACCCCGATTGGAATGGTCTGTCATCGCGAGAGGTATATGTCCAGAATCGTGAGCTTCGTCACGCCAGGGACGTTCCCATCCTGTTTCGCGCAGATGAAATCTAGCAGGCCCTTGTCTGTTGGCCCACCAAAGCCTTGTTGGGATCCGAACCTTAGTTTCTTCATTTTGGGACAGAGAATCCGCCCCGACTGATCTGGTGTGGTAAATCGGCGGAAGAACGCATCGTCCAGCTCCCAGGCGGGCTGCGGCACCAGAATGGGACCAATGCCAGTATCGAGTTTCAATGCTTCGAGATTTGGGCAGAGATGGAGGCAGGCAAGGAAGTCGTCCTGTGGAAAGAGACCGCGGCTTGTTTCAAGAGTGCGAAGGTGATTGCTAGAGGTTTCCACCCAGAAGAGGAGGGGGGACGGTTTGGGCAGCGTTCGGGCGAAGTAGTATGTAACTTCTTGGAGGGAGGGAACATCCAAGGGGAGACCTGCTGCAGGCGCGTCTCCAGTGATCTGTGGAGGGTGATATGCCGTAAATAAGGGAGTGAGATGATAGGCATGTCGCAGGGGCTGGTCGTCTGTAGCTCGTTATATTGATGAATCGTGCCTATTTCAAACGAGAATGAGACAAGGCGCTCACAAGCCCTCAATATCCAGGCTATGTCGTCGATCGAATGTGCCCTGGAAGTATAACTTTCCGATATGGAGACGTGGGACAACGTCGACCAGGATATGGGAATGACGCGGACATTTCCAGGGAACTCTCGGAGAGTGAGGTGTCGAAGGGAAGTCGACATGAAAAGCTGGGGGTTGTGAAAGACTGCCTGGATGTCACTTTCGTCATCCTGCCACAGCCTGGTGGAGATGGTCAGGGACTTCAAACTCGGAGCTTCGGACGGCGGCAGAGACACGACCCGCTGAACCTGCGGCACCGGTGCAGTGATTTCCAGACGTTCCCAACGTTTCGAGAGTAGGAATATCGTGGACAATAACTGGTCACAATAATCTTCATTTGAATCGAAGCTCGTCGAGTTGGATAGTGTGATCGCCAGGGGACAGTCCTGCGCTCTCTGACTCTCTGACTCCAACTTTGAATTGCCTGTACGCGTTTGACGGTGGTGGTCAGTGCAAGTTTCTCGGATGCCTGTTCTTCTTGGTAGCCATAGGAGTAGGAGGGAGGGGGTACTGGAACGTAGAACGATGCCCACAACGAAGGAGTCGATAAAGCGAGCTGGTGCCACCTGCGACAGACGAGCGTGAATATGAGAGGAGGTTCCTTGACAGACATGATTGTGTCGTATTGTTCTGGTAAGGAAGTAAGGAAGATTTGCTGCAAAATATAGTCCGGAAGGCGTCTTGATATCGAGATGAACTACTGATATGGCTCGATATCGTCTTGAATTCGTTCGCGTCGTTTCTCCAGTTCGGTGTAGGTTTCCGTTATTCTCCACATTTCTGCCTCTATATCTTGTATTTCCTCGCCTTTCTCAGATATTATGGTCCGAATTTGGAGTATTTCCTCGTCGTCTGGGATGTAAGGTGTCCCAAGGAGGCTGCTGAATTGCGAGGTGATCATGGCGGTTTCTGTCGCCGACTTTAGCGAGGTAGAGCGTGGAACAAATTGGGGTACTCACAAAACAAACAGAATTATGGAGTAGAGGTCGTAAGGGACCAGATATTGGTCGATACAGCTTGCAATTGGACTGGAAAACTAAAGCGATTTATCGGGGAAAGACTGACAACATGAACCGTTCATTGTATTGCGGGAAGAATTTTCGCTAGTATTTCCCAAAACCTTGGCTCATAACCTGACATGTAGATGGTGGTCGGAGGAAAGTTAAAGAGCACTTCGACGAATCAAGACTTTCCGACTTCAACGAACTGGTCACGGGCCGGCCATACCGGCTCACGTGGATGCCAGCTACAGTACTTCGCGTCGAGAATTTTGAAACACCCCTTCGACCAGAACGTCCCTTACAATGCCCTCGAACTCTCCAGAACAGTATCCATCGCTACTTTGGATCACGTATGTCGTTCTGTTCATGCTTTTTGCAGCAATAGCTCACCAAAACATCGGATGAATTGTGCACCAAATTCGCCACACAACGCTCAGCATCCCACCCATTTTGTTGTTATCAGCATACTATGTGCGGGAGTGGTATCTTGCGAGACGCCTACGCCTGCACGGTATCGGCAAAGGCGGTGTGTTTCTCCGCGAGCTTGCACATTCTCCGAGTCGAATGACAGCGCCTCTTTAGCACCTGGCTTCCAAACTGGTGTCCGGCGCGTCCGCATAACGCCCGATGTTGCTGCGCGAATCAGACGAGGAGAGGATGTCAGTCCGGAGGAGATCGAGGCTGCGTCGAGAAAGGCAGACCAGGAAGAGGAAGCGCAGAAACAATTCCGGTCCAGCTCTTCGGCAAACGCGAACATCTCGGGTGGATTGCCAAGAGGTGTAATCGAGGAGAGGGATGACAGACATTTGCTTGATTCCGGTGAAAGTCGGCCCACAGAGGCCACCAAGCCGCAGGAGACAGCGGTTAACGAATGGCTGCCGGAGTCTATCACCAGACCAACGAAAAGAAAGAAAGGACGTCGTTAGGCCTCGGTGAGTCGCGTTTGCCCGCATATATGCCACTTCACTGAAACTGGCAGGCCTTTAGGACGCCGCAAGAGTGGTGTATCTAGATAATTTATTGTCGTGCCTCTGGTACTAATTCAGTCCCTTCAAGTCTCATACTCGAACTTCTGGAAGTTTATTCTTGCCGTGCACATTCCTGTCCAGACCTCAACGACCGTCACAGGCCTTGTCGGTGTCGGCTCATCTGTCCGGAGTTTCCGAGTTGAAGTTCACATTTCACCCCGCAGCAAGTCAGGCAAACGATAAATTAGGATTCTACAAAGGTGGATCATCTAACGGCACGACTCGTTTCCTATCATGCATTGTTTTCCATCTCAACTCCACCTTTCAGAGAACATTTCATTTCGATCTGTGCTTCTGCAGAGTCTAAACCTCTGGGGAACCTCGACTTGTCCAGGTGCCTGTCGGTGCGGTCATGTTATCTGATAAGATCAAGATGAAGTGATTGCCCGATCCACGTGCGCTCGGCTCCCATACCTTGGGGGATCTAGCAGCGTGTGTAGATAATAGATTCACCTTCTCTGTCGCCATATTTACCCCTCTCTTTCCCAACAGCACTCACACTGGCCACCACCCACCACCCCCTACCCACACCAAGCACCGGACAGGACAAGAGCCCATGGAGGACACCGCGACACTGAGCACCAGCGCGTCCAGTGTTCGGACCCTCCACCAGAGCCTCGCAGAGCTGGCATCACAGAGAGAGCAGCAGCTGGGGTCGAGTGGGGTGACGGATTGCGCAGCTAGCACATCCACTAGCCACGCGAGCAGCAGCACGAACACCGGCGTCCATGTCTCAGAATCGTACAGCGCCTACTCGGGGTCAAGCAGCGGCCTCGTCCTACCATCGCCGCCAGACAGCCCGAACCTCAGCCCAATCCACAGCGCGACACACAGCCCCTCGATCGACAGCGTCTCCGAGTCGTCTTTGCCCTCCGTATCTTCCTCGTTCTTCTTTTCTTCGAGTGCTGCAGGGAGCCCTGGGCGCTCGAGGGCCAGCTCGTACCCGCACTCCGAGGGCGGCTCGCAGCCTCACTCTGATCATGAGTCGAAGCCCGGGCACAATTTGATCATTCCGTCACTCACTCTTCCGTCTGCGCTCCGACGGCCGACGCCATTCGGACAGACGCTTGGCGAGCTTCGGCTGCTCGTTTTGGGTGCTCAGGGTGCAGGCAAGAGCTTTCTGACGGGCCTGCTGCTAGAAGACAACGAAGATGTGGTGGAAGTCGGGACCTGGGAAGACTGGGAAGAGGGATCGGGAGATGGGGATGGGTACGGCAAGGTGCTGAGGGCGTCGACGGACTGGGCGGAGCAGAAGGATTCGTTTGGACTGGAGAGGTTTGAGCCGACACGGAATGTGCACATCGTTGAACTTCCAGGATACGGACAGGATGCAGACGTGAGTCTCGGAATGTTTTCGCCTCACCCTCCTTATCTCCCACTTCCATCTCGCTTCCTCGCGAACCTGACTGATGATGAAATCATTGTCCAGGCCACTGAACTGATAACGCGACTGAAGCACATCATCGAGACACCCTTCCACGCCCTGAACAACGTCCTTCATCCTGATACCGCGCCGTCAGGCATTGTCGCAAGTATGCTTGCGTCACCGACATCGCCACTCTACACTGCTCTCGTGTTTCTCCTGCCTTCCAGTGAGTGTTGCGGTCTCTAGCCATCCTTCCTGTTCTCACCTTCCAACCACCCTGCAGCTCCGACGACACTTGATCGACAGATTATATCTGCACTCTCAACGCACATCCCGCTCATCGTGCTTCCACGGCTGCACGGCCCGCATCGCGAAGCGCCCGACCCTTCCAAGCTGTCGAACTTCCGCCCTTCCTCTGCCGTTGCGTTGCGGAACGGTCTCTTCCATTCACCAGAAACTGTCCAGCTACTTCGATCAGAGGCAGTTGATCGGTTCCTGAGATGGAGGGAGGTGGAACGAAGCGTCGAGCAGATCGCGTCCCGCGAGACGAGGAAGCGGCGGTTGGGCGAGAGGGAATGGGGTAGATCGAAGGTCGACGAGGCGGGCCCTCTGGGTTGGGAAAGGAG